CGTAGTCGTTTTGTCTGATAGCTAGTCAAACGGGTGGGAGTTTTTGGTGGTTAGGCACCCAAAAGGTGGGGTACCTGTAGATGTAGGAGGGAAGCTTGAGCGTCTTATACAAGGAGGGGTGAAGAGTATGCAAAGGCGCTGGAAAAGGCAAAAGGCTGCGCTGAAGGGAAAATTGTCGTCGTAAACCCTAGAGTTTAAGTCATATACAGTCGAGACAGTAGTTCTTTACTAGGTACTTTAGAGGGAAGAGAGAAAGAAACAGTATAAATTAAAAGAAGACCAGGCATTATCTAAATAAATCCGAATTGCCATTGTTCTCGTATCTAGCCTATGTTGCTACGATAGCAAGGTGTAAACGCTCATGCAGTGATCAAGATGGTTTAGCTTTGTATGTAGTCATGGCCATATTCATGAAAGATCAGACAGTTGATGGTACTCATAGTAAACATTCCAATTGTTCCAGTAGCCCGTCACGCCTCCAAGATTTCCAATTCTCCGACAATGACAAACAATTGTAAACATGTAGAGATCGTGACCCATGCCGAAGTCTATTCATTAAGATCTTAGAATAGAGTCGGCCTGCAGTTAGATGATGTCGAAGAAACATACAAGGTTAGCTTTCCGGACAAGGCGTCATATCCCATTGAAAACTTCCGAGAAGATAAATACAATCGTACTCAAATTGTACTGTTGAAGATGTAGCTACCCGGGAGAAAGATTGGAATGGTTTGGACAGCGAATTTGGGAAGACTCTCGAGACGGCTTTGGAGAGTATCCGCAATAAACAAGGTCATTGGGAATATCAGAAGTCCGTGTTACCCAATCGAAGAGCCACAGGAATGTTAATTGCCTAAGCGCGCCGAATCATGGAGATTCTTTCCCCCGTGTCTCCAGTTCGGAATTATGTGCTTTAGTAACAACTAATCATGGACATATGCAAGCTGCTATGAAAACATAATGAACGCCAGTTTTAGTCATTCAGACAAGAAATGTCTGAATAATTCGATATTGGCGGTGATGTGATCAGTAATCTGAATTAATAATCATTGTAACATGAAGCAAGATCACTAATCACTATTCCAATGACCAGTGGCCGGAAATATAACATTGTTTTATAACATAGCATAGTTGACATCCTGTTCAAAAGCCGTTACATTATATATTCAGCTTGTCGAAGTATTGAATGGAGTCAATTGAGCTGGCGTCTACACAATCTGCTACTTGGTTGGACACAATATAGCGAAATACACTTTTAACTAGGACGCAACTTGAATTTCAGCTACCAAAATGGCTGACCTGAAACTCATCTCAATCATTGGCGGAACGGGTGCTCAGGGCATCCCAGTTGTCAAAGGTTAGTAAAAGTCTCTTTCGATTTCGTTCCGAGCTAACAATGGCACTGCGTCAGCGCTCGCTGAAAGTAATCGTTACAGTGTGAGGGTCCTCACTCGAAACCGCAACTCGGCTCGAGCCCTACAGCTAGCTGCTTTGCCAAACGTTACGCTCCTTGAAGGTAGCCAAGATGACCTGGACGATCTCCATGCGGCCTTCAACGGTGCATATGGAGCATGGGTTAACCTGGATGGATTCACGCTCGGCGAGAAAAACGAACTCTTCTTCGGCATTAGAGCTTATGAAATTGCGAGACACGAGGGCGTCAAACATTATGTCTGGGCAAACACGGACTACGCAGTTCGAAAAGCAGGTTGGGATGAAAAATACCACTGGGGGCACAATGATGCGAAAGGCCGTATCGGCGACTTGATTTTGAGCCACGGCCAAGAAACCATGAAGACGACGCTCTTCACTACTGGTCCGTACATGAATATGCTCTGGGACGGCATGTACGTGCCACAGGAGCAGGATGACGGATCATTTGTTTGGGCTAATCCTGCCAGTATGTTGACTGATTCAACGTTTCTTGTTTCTGTCTTCTAATCCTTTACCAGGTGACGGGAAAATCCCCCTAATCGCACTTGAAGATGTTGGTTTCTATAACCTCTGGATCTTTGAAAACCTACAACAATCAGCCGGACTCAATCTTGAAGTCGCCACAGACCAAGTCAGCATGGTGGATATCGCAGAGACGTTTACCAGAGTCACTGGCAAGAAGGCTTTCCACAAGTGTCTGCCGCTCGAAGAATATTTAGAAAAGGCCGAACCTTACCCCAACGCGCCCGCCAACTGGGCTGCTGGTCCAAATGCGGTTCGTGACAAGTCTGCAATGACTTGGAGGGAGAATTTTACCGCATGGTGGCGATTCTGGGGCGAGGGCAAAGGTGCAACTAGAGACATGGCACTTTTGGACAGGATCTATCCCCATCGAATTAAGAGCTTGGAGGAGTGGATGAGAAAAGTCAATTACGATGGGAAACAGAAAGCGGTGCTCAAGGGCGCTGAGGATCTGAAAGCCCAAAATGCGTAGAGAATGGCTGGCTAAATGGCAATCAGGAACGGACCATTGAAAATTAGGAATGATCCCACTTAGCTAGCTGGATATATAAGATTCAATTCTCTACACTCGTTAATCGAATTCAATGGTCAATCATTCACATACTTAGAGCCAGAGCATTAGCAACAAACTTAGACTATTGACTGAACGCCAACAGATATAGCATGAGTGATATTTACACAGTTTCGAGTACTAAGGATCCCCTGAAGAAGAAAAGTCTTCAAATACCCGCTTCCTCGGATATTGGTAAGTGTTAGCAAGCATAGGATATATATGGTTACGATTTAGCTTATCTCATTCGACAGCCCTCCCTAAGAAAAGAAGAACGTCATCAATTACGTGAAGAGATTATAAGCTCCACTTGTCAATGATTTGGAGCGGATCGGTCTCTGAATTCGGATTGGGACTGGTCTACGTCTTCAGACACGCCGCAAGAGAGAAGAGCCCATTGTTTTAGTAGAATGAGATTCTCACAACTATCATCAATCCTGTATACTTAACTTTGCTAGTTTTGCATTCCTGGACCGGGGCTGCCCTGGGCCCTCCGTGCCATCTTGCTCTGTATCTAATTGCGCTGGATAATCTGGGCTCTGGTAGACATGTTGTTCATGAGAGGCGCGCCGTCCATGGGAGTCATACTCCTAAGGAGTCATGTTTTTCATAGGGGACATGATCCTTTGAGGCGTGTTTTTAGAAACTATGTTGTTGTTGGGATGCATGTTCATAGGAAGCATGTTCCTTGACGACGTAGTGTTTATATTGTTCCTGAAAACAATCTTTTGTTGTAACGGGAGGAGGTTCAGCAGGATCTTCGTCATCTTCTAAGCCACTATCACCGTCCATTTGGACCTCAATAGGCATCAGATATGATGTCCTATTGGTGACATAAAAGTAGAACTTTTGATGCTTTGAACCTGATCATTTTTTGGACTCATTGATCCCTTAGCTCCAGGTGCCTCTCCTCACTCTGTTCTTCAGAATGCCGTGAATTCTCATTAGAAGCGTAAGACGACAACCACTTATCCCAAATCTGGATAGTGCCGTCACTTAAGCCGCATACTACGAAATTCAAGTCGTGCGAGAAGGCTATTGCACGAACCGCAGCGCCTTTGCTTCCAATTAACTGTTTGCATATCCGTGTACCGAGCCCCCAAAGCTTCCTTGTTTCGTTTAACGATCCTGATGCAACAATGACAGATAAAGTTGGTGAAGCGTCGTGATCGTGTGATATTTGTTGACGTTGGCCGTTTTCAGTACTCCCGACTCTCACAGCGCCGTCTGCCGACGTCGTGCAGAAATGGCAGAAATACATTGACATCTCCGAAATGTTCAGTCTACTCAAGGAGGCGGTGTTGGGCTCTATCATGCGGTAGGTTCGTTTATCGTCATTCCACATTATAACGACACCATCCCTCGATGCTGATATCATTAAGTAGGAGTTGTGTGAAAAGGCCACGGCGTAGATGGTGGCATTATGACCCATAAGCGATCTCGAGAGCTTGCCTGTCGTTACATCCCACACCTTGAAGATTGCATCACTTGACCCAGATATTATGAGTTTTGAGTCATGCGAGAATGCCACTGCCTCCATGGTGATGTCCGATCTAGGGCCACGTAACATCTGTTGGCATCTACCTGTTGTGGTATTCCACACCCTGATGGCAGAATCATTCGATGCCGATGCTATAAGCGTTGAATCGTGTGAGAAGGCCACCGCGTTGACGATGCCATTGTGACCCTCGAGTGTTTTTTGCCATCTTCCTGTGATCCTGTCTAAGATTCTGACAGTATAATCTGATGACCCTGATGCTATAAGCGCTGAATCGTGTGAGAAGGCCACCCCCTCGATACTGCCGCCATAACCCTGAAGCGTTTGTTGATAAACATTGGGCGCGCCTCGATCAAGCAGCAACTGTCTTGCATCCCCCCAATCTCCTTCAGATGCCCACTGCAACGGCGTCTTGCCATTCACGTCCCGTGGGTTAAGATCTGTGTCGTTCCTGTCAACAAGCAGCTTCATAACAGACGTATGGCCTCTTCCTGAAGCCAGATGCAGCGGCGTGGCTCCATTCACATCTTGCGCATTTACATTCACCCTATTTGTGTCGAGAAGCAGCTTCACGACGTCTGCGTGACCATTCTCACTTGCCCAACCAAGCGCCGTCCGACCAGCTCTTATATCTCTAGAGTCAGGATCGACTTTGTTGTTCGCGAGGAGCCCCCCAACCGTGTCGGCATCTCCTCTGAAGGACGCCGAAGTAAGCACCAGCCAACTATAGTTACTTGCAGCGTCCTCGTCGTCAGATCCTGCAAGAAGCATCTTCATCGCTTCAACATCGCCATTCTTGATGGCTTCTCGCAACAATGTCCTGCCCACATCCTCATCCTTTCTCTGCGCTTCGGAATCATTTTCGTCCACATCAAAGTCGTTCAACTTCACTTCGGAATACTCGATGGGCTCGACACTTCTCAGCCGTTGATGTGCAGCTTCTAGCTCTTTGAACAAATCATCTTGAAGCTTTCTGGCTTGTGTCTGCTCCTCTGCTAGGTCGTTCATCTCGTTAGACTTGTCTTGTTCTTCCTCGATTAACATCGCCCTTCTAGCCTCGAGCTTTTTTATTTCGTCGTCGACCGTCTGTCGCTGCTCCTTGACAAATTGCAAACGCCGCCTGCGAGCTTCCGTATCGATTCTGAGCCGTTCCTCTTTCGCTTTCCCCAGCTTCCTAGATCTCAACAATTTTGTGAATTGAGCAACAGCCGCTAGCTTCTCCGTCTCTGAAGATGCATTAATAGTATCGTGCGAATCAGGCGCTTCTCCGGGCGTGAGAGACATTCTATCTCCTCCATCCTCTGAGTCTAGTGTTATGTGTAGATTGAATATCCCGTTGCTGGCGTATCCGGATATGTTTGGTAGCTCTGGGCGAAATTGTTCTGCGAGCTCTGGTAGCGGAGCATCTCTGCGGCATATCGCAGTATGAAACAGATGCTTTGCGTTGGAACCCGGCTGGCTTAATTCGAGTATAAAGAGAAAATCTGGGTATTCCGTCTTGGATTCCGGTTTGCAATAGCGACACCGCATCAAGATTCGATTAATAGCAGTATCGTCAGAATCCATTCCAGAAATCATACCTTTCTTCTTGTCCCACCAAGATGAGGGATGCACTTCCATCAACTCCAGGTGAAATTTGGCAAATGACGCATCCTCATAAAGCCAGCATTGCTGATCTGCCGTTGTATCCTTTTGACCATCTTTTTTTATTTGGATCCACTGAGTTGAAGAATCAGGTGCCGGTGCTGGACATAGTCTCAAAGAGCGCTTCTTTGGCCTGATATACTCATTTGGTGCCCCGGAGGTTGCTTTGGCCAGAGGAATTCCAACGCATTGAATTCCCTCCTTGGTTGATTTAGGACCACAATTGAGCAATCCAAACAATTCACCAGACTCAGCAATATGGAGCGGCAAGTTGATCCCAAGCCTGCCACCAAGCACATTGATTTCGCTAAAAATGCGCTCCGGCTTTCGGGCCACAATCTTTCCAGAATTTGCGAAATATGCCGGACTAACTGCGAATATCTCATCTCCAATAGTCCGATCTTGGGGGTTGGGAGGTTCGCTGTGATCCCAAGCAAGAATGGAGTCATCCCCGGTCTTCTTCATAATGAGATCCTGGAGCCGGAAGAAGGCATTTTTGCCGCCCTCTGGATATAGCATTGACATGTGTATGTCAAAGATACCTAGCAGACAGTATGCGAGATCTTCAGGCCGCGTTGTTTCTCTTCGCGCCGCCCATGACATGCGCTGTGCAACGCTTGCGTTATGTATTTTGTCGATACCTTTCAGAACCAGCCATGAGATGCCAGTGATTTTCTCAATAGTACGGCTCAGTTCAATTTTGTCGCCTATGGGTTTCCATTCTGCATTGTAAAAACGCACTTCCTTTGGTGCAAGAAGCTCTTGTAGGGTCCAACCTCTCGAAAACCATCGGCTAGTGAAGAACTTGGATTCACTATCAGAAGGTAGCTTGTCGTCCTGAGGCACATCCGATAAATAGGCATAACAGACAGAGGCATTGGCATACCAATCAAACATGGCGTTGATAGCCTCTTGCAGTTCTGAAGAGCTTGATTTGTCGATGCAGCAAGTGTCAATCCAGACATGTTTCATTTTGTTTTCTTTTTCTTCTTTGATGTTTTCCTTGATGACTAGATCACAGCATCCCTTAAACTTGATCGTCCCAATACCTGGCTTGTCAGTTATTCCTTTTCGGAGGTCATCGAAGGTAAGCTCTTCCGAATCGGTGCCCCAGGTGTGGGATAGGATGGCATATTTAGGAACTTTCTTGCCAGAGAACGTCTCCAACTTTAACGTCTCCATGTTAATCAAGCGAATCATATTGAAGCGCGTTGAAGTCTGTATTGTATCAGGGATGGGAACCAGTTTGGTGGTTCTCAAGGACAAACTTCATCGCAGCTGACCTTTTCGTCCGTAATGACGCAAGGAGAGAACGTCGTAAAGAAATATCGGCCTGAGGTGAGGTGCGATAAATTGGGCCGCCACACTGCGAGGAGAGGATGCCTTAGCAATGCCACAACAGCGTGCATGTTGGGCTGCCTCGCGCAGATCGCCATTACCCAAGCCTTTTAGCCGTACCTATCGCAGTTGTTATATAATCAGGCCATTTCAAGGACCAAATATCTGAGGCATGGCAGAGGAATTACAGCTGCAGAGTGATATGGTAGGCTGGGAGATAATAATTAATTAGACAAGTGTGACGAACCGGTATCTATAGGTTAGTATAATGTAAATATAGTAGATGTTTGAAGAACTAGATATATATTTTTAACCAAGCAAGCAATGCTTGTAATACTCAATAAACGGCTCTCTGGTGCTCTCATATGTTCATTCTATGTAGATGGTTCTAAATGATAAGTTGCACTCTGATGCCTCTCCTTGCATGAAACCGTGCACATATGCTCCGCCCACAAGCCTCCATCGCCCTTCGTGCGAGGGCGATGGACGCAACAGTAGGGGCACCCTAGAGCCGGGAACAATCCACACAGAGTCACCTGCTTTCATCGACTGCGAGCCAACTCCCATGAAGCCCTTTGCAGTGCTAAATAAGCGCAGAAGCAGTGAATGAGAATAACAACTGTGGAACTTGGGGGCCTTGTTCGATTCTTCTTTAACAACGGACTCATCAAGCTGCTCGGGGCCTCGTGCGGCCCTGCGGCCACGAATCCAGCTCCAAAACTCATTTCTTAAATCAGATGAAGGGAATTTGCCGCTCATGTCCGTGTTCGTAATTAAGCATCTCCAAAAGACGTCCTGCCGCTGTTCTTTAGTAGGGTAGAGCTCTTCGGTCTCATTGAGGATATCCAGCCATTTCACGAATGGCATGCCTCTATCCACCTCTGCTTTCGTCTCCCCCGTCTTGGTGACAGCGTCGAGTTTGGCTGCCCTGAATGTCAGAATATTTTCATCCGAAATGTTGGGCTTCACATAAGCTTCTGTGCCGGCAGCAGCATCAAAGCGCTCATAGCCCGTTATTCCAAGACCCAAGGTACCCTTGACACTCCAATCCGGAACCCAACTGGGCAACGAAGCGATGCTCTGAAAGTCTTGGCCCTCGACGTGTGCAAGGAGCAAGAGATCAGAAGTATGTTCCAAGATGTACTTTGCAATGTCAATATACGCCCTTCGCACATCTCTCTCATAACGTGGATACAAGGGAGAATCAGGCTCGGCGTCCTCTAGCTCCAAAGCAGCCTTGTGGATTCCGAGAAGACCGTAGACCTTGTCATGCCCTCTGACAGAATCCCAGGTGCGAAACCTGATGAGGCTATGCAATAGTATGGCGCTGTCTCTGTTGGAATGTTTCCCAACCGCAGCGAGTTTAACCAGATCTCTCCTCACGGCAGCCATTTTCGCGGGATTCTTGTATGGCAACTCCTGCAGTTCAAGGCCGGCTGCATGAAATTCTGTGGCTAGGTAGTGAGACACTTCTGTAATGTCATCCCATTTGAACACGTAGGAACCACATATCACGGTAGCTTCCTGGGAAAGGACCACCTCTTGAACAACCCATACTCGGGTAAACCAAGTTCTGTTAAAAAAGGAGGCCAAGGCTGACAATTGCTGTTGCTTGAGCTCGTCAACTATGGCTTGGTGGTCTGTTGACTCTGTTCCACTAGCATTCGCCCTACTACTAGTTGGTTAGCCGTGGACATCGGTGTAACGTCTCCTCTTCCGTGGACGGAGGCTGCAATTATGAGAGGTATTGAAAAGCGTCACAAGGAAATTGGATTACTGAGAAACTAGGAAAGCAGCGGACCTACTGGGATCTGGCAAACTTTTCTATGAAGGTGCGTGCTCGTTCAGTATGTTCGTCCGCTTTGCCTAGCCAAATAATCACCTTTTTCGCCTGCCGGTAAATCTCCGCCATCAAATTAACTTGCTGGTTTTGTTCTTCGCTCCCCTGGCCGATACAAATAGCATCTATCCATAATTCCGTGCAATTGCCGTCGTGTAGGAGCTGCTGTAGACAGTCAAAGAGGTTTTGCGTCACCAGAATCGACTCTCCATTGCAGTTGATACGACACGTCGGGGTACCGTCTATCCCTCTTGCTGCAGCCTCACGACTCGGAGGGCCCCACGTGTAGGAAAGTGCATTGTAAGATGGGCCATCGTCGAGATTTACCACTCGAAGGCTGAGCTGGATCCCAGCTTCAATTTGAGGCTGAGGCGCCGACACAGCCTCGATGTTGAGGATGCGAATCGACCTTGGCGAAGTGAGGGGCAGGTCCCTATAGAGACTTGAAGCCATCGTACGGAGCGAAGAAAACACCGCCGATCTGCCGTATAAAACTGTACGTGATAGGCGGCGCCGTAATTTCTGCCCCCTGTGGTGCATGTGGTTTGCACTATCAGTCAGTGGTGGTAAGTAAATGTGTTTATGAGGAATTAAAGCTTGTGACTGTGCTGAAATATAAGCCTAAATAATCTCAGTAGTGGGAGTATGTGGGATCCTCGCAAGCGGAGGTCGAAAAAAGCGACACCAGAAAAGGAATAAGTGCGTACGCTCAGCAATTAATATAACCACCTAGTTGGCTCATTGAGTACCTCAGTTGTGTTTGTAAAAGAACGCCTACTTGACGGCACCCGATTTGTATTGTATAATTATAATAGTAGTTCCTAGAGAAGATGAATGTAGTAGCATTTACTAAAGAAGTGTAAATATGGTAGCACTTACAAAAGAAAGATAGATGCAGTAGGAAAATCTTGAGGAAATACAACTGTAGTAACGGATAATTAAAGAATTGGTGTGTGATTTAACACTCAGTTTTCTGGCCTCCGCTTGCCTGGTATCGCCTTGTACGGTGTATCCAAGTTGCAACCACACAGGTATCGTACATTCTCGCGCCATGGTGCCAGCATATATATATCGCAGTGATTAATGTACAGCTACCGCAGCCACATAAATAAGAATATCCCATCTTGGCCCTTTCCCCCCTTTTTATACAGTGATTTTACCTACTCATCTACATCTCTATTTGCATAAATTATCGGGTGCCCTCTTGCTTTATACGGTACCTTTACTATACGTCAAGTGCGTACCCTCAATACCTAGCACCGCGGCATATAGCATACAGTACCGCTACGGTGCTGGCACTCATTGCACCGTGGTAACATGGTAACAGACCCTTACTATCTTCAACTACGGCTTCTGGGCTTTAACCTTTGTGTTTCAACATGATACGAATCTGGGCTGTGATGATAAACAATAAAGACGAAGCCGAATGGATGAAGATGCGGTGGGCTCACGTGACAATGTCCAGGCTGAGATAACTAGGCAGCCGGGCCCTTTCTTCACTTCGAAATATACAGTCTTATCAGAACAAAACCGCATCAAATCTCGCCAGGCACCGCACGGATGTGCATATACTTCTCGAAATCGCGATTCCTGTGAGAATTACTGCAGTCCAGACTCGGCAGGCAGTGGTTGACGGTTGTAGAGCGACTTTTTGCCTCGGTGTTGTTATAGCGATATCATTGCTTCCAGGTTGGAACGGAGGCGATAACAGAGCCGAGATGTCGAGCCATTCGCTGAATTACTCGACTTTATCGGGGTACTTTGAACATGACGAACAACCAGAAGGGCCGCAATTCCGAGCAGTGAGTCGAAACCCCTTTCCCTTGATTGCTATTTACAAAGTGGCCAACTACTGTGACAGACAACTCTACCTGGATTCGGGCTCATCGATAGCGCGTATGACACAGACAGAGATTTGGAACATGGGCAAACGCAATGGGAGCGTTTCATGCACTTTCTCGACCACCTTAACAAAGAAGCAGATGGCCAAGCCCGATACAAGTTAATCTTTGTGATTCGACATGGTCAAGGCTTCCACAATGTCAAGGAAGCACAAGTCGGCAGAGCGGACTGGGAGGTAAGGAAAACATCCGCTAGGACAATATGAACAGGTGCGCTAACTATGCCTGCAGGCCAAATGGGCTTTGCTAGACGGTGATGATGAGATGACCTGGGCCAACGCGAGACTGACGGAAAAGGGTAAATCCCAAGCGCTCAAACTCAAGGCGACGCTGGAAAGTGATGTCCGGGAGATGAAAGTTCCACTGCCAGGGAAATGCTATACCAGTCCCCTGGCTCGGTGCCTGGAGACAACTCGACTTGCCTTTTCAGGTCTTGAGTGGCCGACGGATCAGCCTTTCAAGCCGATGGTCAAGGAAGCCCTCCGCGAGAGGTTGGGGAGACACACATGCGATCGACGCAGCAGCCGCTCCTGGATAGAGAGCAATTATGCCGAGTTTGAGATTGAGTCGGGCTTTGCTGAGCAAGACGAACTTTGGCAACCAGACTACCGAGAAACAGCTGACGAGCAAGTCGTGCGAGTCAAGCAACTATTGGACGACATATTTAACAGTGAGGAAAGTACCGTGATCTCTTTAACGGCTCATTCAGGGACTATCCGAGCACTTTACGGTCTGACCGGACACAAGGAGGTCTGGGTGGCTGCGGGGGCAATTGTACCTCTTTTAGTAGTAGCAAAGCCGCAGTAAATAGGAACAATAAATATGAGTTTAAGGATGATCTCTTCAATACCAAGTCTATAATGACACTAATTTTCGCATAAAACACTGAATTGTAACCCAAGTATAGGCTTCACCGAGACGGGGAAAAAATAACGACTGTTTTATATGACCTCCACATAATATTTGCTTACACGCCAGAGATACAGCACGCATCTGCTTTCTGCTCTGAATCTCCTGTGTATAAAACACTCTTATTCTTGTCTTGAGTCGACACAGGCACGTCTAAGCCCGGGTTGCCTGTAAAAAAGTTCACTGGCTTGAGACCTACCGTCATTTTCTCACTCGGCATAACAGGCCAATCTTCAATCCGAGGATTGTGTGTTGATCCAAAAGTATGCCAAACGACAATATCTGCGTTCCTAACGGATTTAGAAGAGCCCATGGCATTTCTCTTCTGAATACCTGAAGCAATGCCATCGCCACCAGAAGACTGCATCGTATATCTACCCGATGGGAAATGGTCGTCGTCTTCATAATGAGTGACCCAGACAGCATGCCGGCCAAATTCAGATCTTTTTGCATGATACGAGTCTGCATGTGAAAGTAGCATCTGGCTCGGCTGTGGAAGCAACTTGAATCCGACGGGTGTTCCCGTGATTGGGTTGATCTTGTTTTCGTTGATACACTTGAAGACGCGGCCTTTGCTAATATCCAGATCGAAACCGCCCTCCTTCTCCACGTACTGATTCACAGTGTGATAACCCACTCCAAAGGGGTTATCGATTGCCGGATCATCGATTGGCAAAGGATGAGATTCTTCAATCAACAACGTGTTTTGATGACCATCGACGGCTGGATCAATCCGAAGACTGAATAGGTGTTGATGATACGGCGCCAACACGCCTGGTGCGACTACTGTGCCATATGGAACGTTGTCTTTTTGATCTAGGTGATGCGGCACGGTGGACAGGATGCCAGTTGCCCGAACTTCATAGAATATGGATGCATCTTGAGCGAATTGGAACGCAAAAATGTATTCATAATTGCTGACTGTGATGATCGTCTGCAACACGAGGATGCGCGATCGAGTAACGACTGCATTGCCAGTACGAAAGTTTGTGTGCTTCCATAGGATTCCGTCATCTTGTTCGTGACAGCAAACAACATTGGGCAGCTTCATAGGCTCTCCGGATTGCGTATTATGCCAAGCATCAAAATACGTGATGGTACCTAGACAATCACAGCCAAGCTGCAAGTTATTAGCGTTTATGCCGGCACCATCGTTGCCGAGGTCGAAAGCAGCCTTTCGTGGATATGGAGCTCGTGGGTCGCCGTAAGGAACAAACATTTCTGCCAGGGAGAGGCGGTAGAAAAGACTCCGGCCATCATACCGTATGTCATGGAGCGTCAGGCCCTCTCGATAGTTGAAACCGACGCGAAAACTCCATTTCTCCCAGTTCAGCAGATTGCCTTGAATCTGAAACGACGGGCCGTCTGGCTGTATCACCTGGTAGGGCTTTGTGGTTGATCGTGGCTTGGGCCGTAGATCAGGATGGTATTCGCTGGATGACGCTTCATGTATTTTGCGGCGATCAAAAGGGCGATCTTCGTTATTAATCTTTTCATCTTTTGCTCCAGGCAGGCGATAGACTCGAAGAACTTGCAGTTGCTCCGATATCTCGGCACATATGTCGAGAGGATAAGCGTAATAGTTGACATCAGGATGATCGAAATGACGGCAGTAGAACCAGCACTTGTTCAACAATACATTAGCATTCAATAGAGACAGGTGATCATAATGGGCTTCTCACCATAGTGATGCGCTCAGACATATCATTGGCGCCATCTGTTGCATATGCCCACGGCTCAACAATTGCCGTTGATCCCGGCGGGAGATTTAGCTTGCGAATCTCCTCCTGCACTTGCTCATCAGCTAGACAGACAGCTTCTACCTCTTTCATGTATGCCGCATCGATATATGAATGCTTTCCGATAAGATGATTCTGTCCTATAATCTTGCCTTCATCGAGATTGACAAAGAGTTGATGCAATTCGTGTTTGCCAGCTTGAGGCTTGACCAGCGCTTCGACCCGTGCGCAGCGCGAGGGCCTCCTTCTCTCCGCCTCATTGCGATGCTCACGCTCGAGAAAGTCCATCATCTCAGCTTTGGGCGGTTCCTTGAGAGTGATTACTCGGAAATTGAGACCCTGGCCATCGAATGCGGGCCGTACAATGTCTGCGGCCTGTCATCATGTCTGTCAGTGTCATTTTGTGTGAGAAAGTTGCAAAGGACATACCCGGCTGATCTCTTCAGGCCGCAGCGGGTCAAAGGGATGGATATATGTTGCCATGATGATGTGAAGAGACAGTACAAGTAAATGTACGCTGGGTTAAAGTTGAACACTGAGATAGACAATGGTGGATAGTAGAGGAATTATGGCAGCTTTTGTACTCGTCTCGACCACTGCAGATCGGATAGTACTGAGCTTCTTATATGTAAGCAACGGTATCTCCAGGTTGGCGTTTCATTCCCACAAGGGCATCCTCCGAGTCACGGTCCTATGAAGCTGCTGTTGACCATTCATCAACCAGACCAGAGTCAAGCTGATTAGTTCGCTCGAGATTTCCTTTAGTGATCGCTGATGCAGTAACCAGCTCCAACATCCACTGTAATTGAACACTTGACCTCCAAAGGCTTCATCTCCGGGCTCGGCATCTTGGCTGCAACTCTCTGCCCAGGTACCCCTCACCATTCCAAGACAGCTTAGTTGTCACGCTACCGTCTGGAGCCCACAAGTCGTAACCTCTAAAGGCAAATAACAGGAACTCATAACCTCCAAAGGAAAGGTTCCGCCGTAACTATTTTTTTTTTCAACAGTCTGTCGGAATACATCACCTCTAAAGGAAACCTTGCAAGAAATTGCCTCAGATAACCCCGCCAACAAGCAAAGACGCTGCCTTGAGACCGAGCTCTGTTTAAGACATGTAGTTATGCTGTAATAACACAAAGTGTGAGCTCCTACTCTATACCATACAGTCTTTCTCAATCAACAAGTGAGAAGTGAATGGACATTGCTAAACACTTCATCCAACCGTACATTAAACCCTTTCAAACACCGGCATATACTCCAGCGGGCATTTCACTTGAACCGTTTGTCCTCCTGTCAATGTCTCGCCATCCGCATTCTTCCACTTTGCTCCCTTTGGCAAATACACCTCCATCTCCGTCACACCAGGCTTCAGAACCGGACAGCACAAGTACTTATCGCCAAACATGTACTGCTTACCGACTTCCCAACACTTTTTATCCTCTGGAAACTCGTAAAACAGAGTCCTCATCACGGGACTACCCTTTTCATGAGCCGCCTCCATGAGCCTTCTTGTGTATGGCCTCATCGTTTCGCGAAGAGCCATGTACTTTTCGCAAATGCCGTAAATCTCTTCACCATAAGACCACACCTCGTTATCAGCGCCACTCAGACACGTCGCTCCGCCAGTCGTGCCGTGCTGGGGCTGATGCGGCTCTCGATCACCGTGAAGTCGAAAGACGGGGCAAAAAGCACCCCATTGAAACCAGCGAACAAACAGCTCCCGGAAAGCCGGGTCCTTGGGGTCACCCCCGTGGAAGCCGCCAATGTCCGTGGTCCACCATGGGATTCCCGCGATGCCCATGTGAAGCCCTGCTGCGAGCTGGTTGCTGAAGCTCGACCACGAGGACGCGATATCGCCGCTCCAGACTAGGGCGCCGTATTTCTGGCTGCCGGCCCATGCACAGCGGACCAGGTTGACAATCTGTTCATGGCCTTCTTTCCTGAGGCCTTCGTAAAAGCCTCGCGAATATGAAACGGGGTAGATGTTGCCAATGCTGAGGTTAGAGCCAAGATGGTACCTGAAGTTGTCGAAATCGTAAGCCGAGTACTCGGGCTCCGCCTCATCCAACCAAAACACCTTGATCCCTTTGCTGTAATAGTTCTTCTTTACTTTATCCCAAACGTACTCTCTTGCCTTTGGGTTCGTCGCATCAAAGTGGATGGTGTCACCCTGAAAGTCCATGCCGATGCGGATGCCACGGTCCGTACGAATGAGATAGCCCCCTTCGACCATTTCTTGGAAATTCTCCGAGCGCTTGTCCACGGTCGGCCAGATGGAAACCATCAGCTCAACCTTCATCTCTTCAAGTTCCCGGATCATCGCGTCTGGATCCGGCCAGTACGTGGGATCAAACTTCCACTCGCCCTGCATCGGCCAATGGAAGAAGTCAATCACAATAAGATCCAGAGGCAGTCTTCTTCGCTTGTACTCTCGAGCAACTGCAAGGAGCTCTTCCTGCGTCTGGTAGCGCAGCTTGCATTGCCAGAACCCAAGTCCATACTCTGGCATCATGGGAACCTTGCCGGTCGCATTGGCGTAGGCCTCTTCGATCTCTGCCGGGCTGTCACCTGCCACCACCCAATAGTCCAATGTCGTGGTAGAGTACGCCTCAAAAGTCATAATGTTGCGGCCGAGGACGGCACGTCCCACACCGGGATTGTTCCAGAGGAGGCCGTAGCCAAGAGATGAGAGCGCAAACGGCACGCTTGCTTGGGAGTTGCGGTGAGCGAGTTCAAGGTCGTGGCCCTTTAGGTCAAAAAATGGCTGTTGATATTGGCCCATGCCATAGATCTTTTCGTCGGGGTCAACACTCTCGAAGCGCATTGTGAGGTGAAAGCTGTCCGTGCCGAGGATGCCTTTGAAGTCACGAGCCTCAATCTCAATCGCACTGCACTTGGCATCGAGCACGTCCTTGCGGTTCCGAGTATATTCTTCGAGCAGTAATTCTCCCTTGGAATTCCACACTGTGATTTTCCCCGCCTTGGTTACAATGGCCTTGATTTTGCCATTGACAATGGTGCCGGCGCTTTCGGTAATCTCAATGCTGGATTTTGATAATGCAGGCGATTGGAGTGCCCAGCTCTGCTCCGACATGGACGGCAGCTTGGTTGCGCGAATTCTCAGGGAGTTTTCACCCCATGGCTCGATCCAAAGAGTTTCGGCATCATAAGTATATACCAAGCGATTTTCCTGGGAGAATAACATTGTGAACTGGTGAGTTGTCTCTTCCCCTTCTCCCTTGGGCCTTTGGTGTCTTTGGAATCTCCGGTCTACAACTTATAACAGTCTATGAGCTGAAACAAGAGGATGAATAACAAGAATACCGCGGGCAGGAATTATAAGAGGAGAAACCGAAGCGCGTCTCGATTATTGGCTGGACTTACAAAGTGAATGGATAACACATCCGGCGGGAATATCAGCATGGCGGCTATAGTGGCTGCATCCATCTCTCCACACCACCGGAGCAACTCCTTCAGAGGCAAAGATTTCCTCTGGATGCTGGAGGTATCTCACAAAAGCTCGACCATTCCCCGATCAAGTCCGTACACTGCCCCTCATCAAGGCTCCCCGAAACTCATCCCAGTTCCCTGTGTCAACCCCCACCCCCACCGGAGTTTTGGCGGAGCCCGCGTCCTGGGATTCTCCGTCCTTGTATGATGCGGAGATAGTGAGGCCAATATTAGCGATATGATGGGTCTTTCGAGACGGGACTTCTTCTAGTTCCAAATTAGAGAGCCCGGCTGTGTCATTCCCGGTGGGGTATGACAGTCCAAGGGATGGGGACAGCGTTATTAACGTCTAGCTGGAGACATGCATCCTGTTTAGACGCAGCCTGATCACGTTGATGTCTGTCATTCCCCTTATTGGCTACCACCCAGGCAATTGGAATCAGTACCTCGAGTAATGTCCCGGCTATTTCTTGAGCAAGACCAAGGGGGCCAAGGCTGATACTGGCACTAACTGGACTGACAGCAAGAGAGAGATGTACTCGTATGCTGGCTGTTTCCAGTCTATCCCGGTGTAATACACTACTCAACAGCCCATGCGACAGGAAGAGATGTGCCTAGGGCATTTTTGCGTCTACGGAGTATCGGAATTGTCTCTAGGTCATGTACTGACCCTGAACTAGGTAGCTAGTTCCAGAGAATTCGTAAGCGTAGGCAGTCGAGTTCGTCGGCGGATCCAGCGTGATGATGAGCTGTTTCAGTATCGTTAATCAGTCAAGATGATCCATGTGCAATGGCTTGCGAAAGACGTACCTCATTCGCGGTATAGGAGTAATTGGTCGTACCGAGATCAACACGGCCGTCAACCTCTCCTTCTGGACCATTCCAATCGAGCCGGTAAACATGGACATTGATGCTTCCATTTTCCTCGAGACCTATCTGGCTGAGGTTGGTGACCCTGATATCATGTGGCGCCTGGATCGTCCTGGTACCAGCCAAGATCTTGATGTCGTTATTCTGACGGATAGCAAACGCATCGAACTGGGTGTCGGAAGAGGCCGTAGTCACGAGCCTCTCGCCACTCATCCCAGCATAGTAGTGGTATACTTGCCACTCGCCGTTGGGATAGTACCTATGTACCGTTGTTGCTGTATACAAGATTAGCCATCCAATTATGAAGATCAGAGCCGCTACCCAGTTGGCGCGTAAAGCACGGATGTCATGTCGCTCCATCTGGGATAGGTTCCAGGCTGCATTTGCTGGGTTCTGCTCCGATGGCCAGGCATATTCGTTGTTGTCGATCGGCCTCGTCGGCGCACCAAGTTGAGCGAGCAGTGTGTTGAAATCGGGCACATTCAAGTCTGGACACGGCTCCCACGAGCCGATCTGATGCCAGGAGTAGTGATCAGGCACGGTGTTGTTACCGACAATGGATGGCAGCCAGGTGAGCCAGTTTTCATTCTGGAGGCCAGGCGCATTGGCCATGGCTGGGCCACTGATCAGGGTTCCGCGTAGTCCTGCTCTGCGCGAGTGATTGGCTCTATTGAACAACATGCTAGAATGCGTACCTCACAAGCACAGTGGCACGGTTCCAGTACTCGAGGAATTGGTCCCAGCTGCGGGGCCAGAAACCTGACCCGTCAGGCTCATTCCAGAGATCAATGATGAGGCCATCCAGCATGTCAGTTTCCACCAGATCAGACACGACTTGGGTCCAAAAGGCCTCCATCTCGGTCCACTCTCCATTGTCACCGGGGAACGGAGAGGCTGAGCCCGAGCCGCCGTCTGCACCCCACATGTCGTGAGGTAAGAGGACGAACTCTCCGCCATACTTGCGCGTGGTACGGTAGTTTGACAAGGCCGATTGGAATCGTGCTGTGTAACCGCCGAGGCCACCAGGCCTGAATGCTTCTCCACAACCGGGAATCGGGAACCGGCAAAGCGGATAACGCTGTCATGGTCGTTCCAATGAAAGCTTCAGGCCCTGGTTCGCCTCCCCCGCGCTGCTCTTGACCTCCGCCCCCACCGGAAATTTGTACAAACTGCTCGCAGTGCCCAAGGTAATTCTGTGGATCTCGCGTGGTGCAGTCAAGATGAATTCAGGGATCGAGCAGAGGAAGCCACGCACAAGGTGCACAGAGACTGTCGAAGAAAACAAAACGACGGAATCGAAACAAGCTGGGCATTTTCGTTGCATCAACAATGGCAGATGCCGTCCATCCAAATCCCCCGCCAACCTCCCCGCCAAATCCATCAACCATCCAGCCAACATTGAACCCACCAAACTCCCTGCAGTATAGCGGCGTGCGGCGTCGGTCGTGTGGAGCGGGATCGTATCGTATGCGGTACTCGCAAGATCTAGTGCAGCGCTGGTTTGTTAGTGCAGCGACAGTGCAGATGCTGGATTGCACGCGCTGATTGACTGGCTGACCTTGTGAAGACCTCAGCCTGGCAGTTGGTGATGGACACGATTGAGATGAAGGAGATTGAGGAATCTTGGCGGGAGAACGGAAAGCCTACGATTGCCTGCTGGTGCCTGAGGCCGCAAAATGTACAAATGAAAAAGTACCCAGTACCTATGGTCGCTCGGTAAAAGTCGAGCCACACGTGTACTGCTACAGTAAATGCCTTGAGAATACCATCCAGTCGGCAGCATTTGTAGCGTCTGCAAGCCTTTCACCCATCCGGAAAGAATACTATTGCACCCATTGCCTTGGAGGAAGATATACTGTAAGAGCAGAAATGCACTTGGACAGCGATTTTTTTTTTTTGGTTCATGAACATTACAGGGTAGGCGGTCTTAATCATGGTGTGTGTCGATAAGAAATCCAAGCACCAAGTCAGGTGCAGTATCGAGCTTATCGAGACGTTAGCCGAGCTCTGCTTGCGAAACCAACCCAGCCTTGGATGTCTTGATGTGCAGAAGCCAGAGCAACGCCTGAAGTACATCATCAGCCTAAATTCTGGATCCGGGCGACAGCCAAAAGACGAACCGTCAAAAGCCGAGAGACGGGCTAATAGCAGTGGAGAAGAACGAGTTTCTGCCACTGAACGAGCCAGAGTGATCAACCCAGACTGTCCTCTAGCACAGCCGCCCTTTGACTCTCCATCAACAAAAGGAACAGCAATCGCACGTCAGATCCGACATGGTGACGGCCAGCCCGGCTGCATCAAAACCACCCGCAGGCGCGGATAAGAAATGCGACATTTGCGAGGCGACGTTTAGCAGACAAGAGCACCTCGTTCGCCATATCAAGAGCCACACTCGCGAGAAGCCCTTCAGGTGCCTCATCTGTGGCAAAGGGTTTGCTCGCCAGTAAGTCGCTCCCGCTTCACTTCATCCGCTGTGTTCCACTGAGCATCTTTGACGCGATACAGGGATGTCTTGAGCCGTCACCGCACGTCGCACCGGCAGGACAACCAAGAGGCTCGCACCGATACGCGCTCCAGGGCATGCAGGCAATGTGCCACAAGCCGAGCCCGCTGCTCCCGGAGCGATCCGTGTAGGCGATGCGTTGAACGCAATCTGGCTTGTACTTTTCCTGCGGCGCGGAAACCAAAGGCTCCAGGGATTGTCGGCTCGAGGATGGAGGTTGACGGTGAGCCGCGGGGTTCGAGTCTGGAGGCGATTCACCAAACAGTTGGTAGACGGGCTGAAGACGGGGCTACTCTGCTTACGATCGGACCTGGGGCGTCTGTCAACATCAACGGTGCCGACCTCGACGAGTGTGGCCCTGATGGAGCAAATGGGACTCGGCTGGCATCCGGAACCGATGCTTGGGCCCAGCGACCAGCTCTGTTTCAAGTTTCACAGCCTGTTGGTTCGGTGGACCCCGGCACCCAGCGCATCTACGAATTCCATTCCATGTCGGGGTTGAACGAACAGGCCATGGATCTGCTCTCCATGAACTGGATGTCTCCTGATTCCACGTCGTTTGGATGGAACGGACTGATTACCGCACCGCCCTACGCCGAGGACGACAAGAGCGACCTCTATATGCCGTTTCTCTTCCCTGCCGCGGGCGCCCTTCCCGATCCTGATCGAGAGTGTGTCTCTAGTAACGGTCAAGAACCTGGCATTGTGCGACATGACACCAGCGCCAGCAGTGTTGGCCACTCAACCTACACTCCTAGCAAAATCGGATCAGAGGTAAACAAGTCTGTTACTGGGAGCTACTACGTGGATGGTGACGGCTCTAGAGCGCCATTTCGTGGCCAAACTGCCCGGCGATGGAGAGGCCGACACAACGATGCATCGACCCCAGGAAGCAGCATCACCAATTGCACAGATGGTGGGCCAAGCGGTTCATGGGAGGGCCCATTGGTGAGTGCGGACGGCTACAATAACTTGATACGAGAGCTGGGGAGGGAGGATTTGGTGGTCGATGCCAACTTCTTCCCGTCTCTGCAGTGCATCGATGCATGCGTCCGCTCCTACTTTGCAAATTTCCATCCAACATTCCCCTTTGTTCGAAAAAAGACTTTTTTGGAAGAGTCAAACAACCACTGGAAACTCCTCTTGGCAGTGGCCGTGGTTGGGTCCAAATACAATACGTCTAATGAAGAGCCACAGCTTAGTCCGGAGTTTATGGCTATTCTGGACAGCATATCTAGCAGCCAAGTGTGCTACCACGAGCCAGCAGAAAATGAAATTCCTTCAGGGTCACCATCACAGGGGCTGGCACACAACGCATTCGACCTGCCATCGTTGCAGGCGGCTAGCCTCTCCTTGATCTGCTCGCTTCACAGGGGCAAGTCAAAGATGGCAAGGCATGCCTTACTCCAGCGGCACTACCTTGTGGAAGCTTGCAACCAACTAAATCTGCTATCTGGGGAGTCTGAGGACACTCATGCCCACCACGACTACAACAAACTTGTTCAGGACTGGTCAACGAATCAGTCTCGCATCAGGACTGGCTTGATGATATGGGTATGTCCATTGCTCAAGAAGCATAATCATCCCCCCCAAGCTAAATTGACTCTAGTTACTTGATGCCATCATCTCATACGAGTTCAACGCAGCTTCACTGATGCAGCTGGTGGATGCCAAAGTCCTCCTGCCATGTCAGGATCATATATGGGAATATCCATCAGCAGAAAAAGTTATTGCAGAACAGACATCATCTGGTAATTCACATGTGATTGTACTTGAACCGTACACAAGATCAGCAAACTGACAATCTCCGCATTCAGTCACACTGCTAGCCGCAGTCGAAACGTTGTACATCGAAAAGCGTCTCCCAGACAGCCTGAGCGAATTCAGCACGATCTTAATCATCCACAGCATTTGGCGAAGAACCAAAGAGGTCATCAACCAGAACCGTACGCAACTGGCAAATTGGATTCCCAGCGCCACCATCCAAACACGAGAAGACCGCCAGAGCGCATCAACAGAAACCTGGCCGCCGTCAAGTCCAATCTTATCAAAGTGGCGCAACAGTGCATGCGACTGTCTAGATATCCTGCACTGGCGAGCTAATGCCAAGGCAGCCACTGCTGGGGGACTGGAATACCCTGCCATCATGTACTTGCATCTATCTCGCCTCATTCTGCTCACGCCTGTAGCGCAAATCCAGACGCTGGCGACTAATCCCAGGAACACAAACACCACACATCTCGCTGTTGACCAGGGATATACAGATGCGAGAAACCATGTGCTGAAGTGGGCAATGAATGACTCATTCAAGGCTAGGCTTGCCATCATTCACGCCGGCGCCCTGTTTTGGCATATACGACGGTACTCGACAAGGAGCTTCCTGGAACCCTTTACAATCTACATGGCCACGCTCGTCATCTGGGCGTACAGTGTCTCGGTGCAATTTGCAAGACAGCAGGAAGAATCTCAAGCTGCGCCTTCGATGGAGGGACCTGAAGCCCGCACCGTGGCTGCTGCGTGTCAGCAACCAGCAACTTCCACGCAAGACGAAGGGCTGTATTCGGAGCTCCCTTTTTTCTTCATTGACCGGCCGTGTGACGATGAGATGGTGCAAATGTACCTCCGCTTCGGTAATAAAATGTCTGCGCACATGGCAAGAGTTGGAGTCATAACGCAAGCCTCTGCTCCCAGCAAGATCCTCCACGAAGGCGTCCGACTGCTTGAAAACGCCACGGCGGGTGTTGGCTCGGCGTCAATAGCTAATGATGGTGGGCAAAACGGACCTGAAGCGAGCACATGGGGGGCAGAGCGGACTTACATGGAGGCGTTGGTTGCCTTGGCCCGGGCAATGGAGCAGAAGCAGGCATGATCGCGCTCGATCTATACTTGACTCGTACCACCTGAATGCCAAGTCTTGTGTTGTCTGAGTAACGAAACTCACCGAGGCGTTCTTATTCGCTCTTCGAATGCAACAAGACTGATGATCCTTTCTCCGAGATTGTCATGTCGTATCGTTTGGCTTCCCCAGACCCACCCCCATCGCAGTTGATCTTCCCGTCCCCGGATTCTCAAGGCTACCCCACCGCGATGCCACCGGACCTGGTCACTCTTGGTAGAGTCAGGTTCCGTAAATCATCAAAGGATGATGTTTGAATCAAGAGCTTCTAGCCATCTCCAGATTGAAGCTTAATGCCCGTCGTACCACATGTGTCTTCCCTCCACTATTTTTTTTCTTGCCCGTTTTGTACAACTCCCGCATCAAAGCTTCATTCTAGATTGCGGGGTGACTTGACAGGCTCGGGGATTGGTCCATGTGTACTGTTAGCTCACGGTGTCTGGATGGATGCAAAGCGTGTATTTGAAGCCCGGCAGCCCTGAACATTCCCAATTCGTTCCCATCACCATCTTTTATCCACACTTTGCTTCACTCCTCATGCTCTTGCTTTGAATCACCATGGCAAACGACGATGAAAAGGTCGACGTAGTCGCCTTGGAGCACCAAAACCCAACGACTGGTGGCAAGGATGTTATCCTCGCAAGGCAAGCAGCCGAAGCCGAACATAATCTCAGTCTCTTGCAAGCCATCCGTAAATATCCCAAGGCCGTCTTGTGGTCGGTCCTCTTGTCAACCTCCATCATCATGGAAGGCTACGACATCGTTCTCATCTCTTCATTCTTCGCACAGCCCTCCTTTCGGGAACGGTACGGCGATTTCGACCCTGGATCCAACTCTTATCAAATCTCCGCGTCATGGCAGAACGGGCTTAGTAACGCGGTGAGCGTTGGTACCATCATTGGGGCTTTTGCTAATGGATATTTCACGCATAAATTCGGTCATCGAAAAGTTCTCTTAGCGTCCCTGCTTCTTGTTGTCGGATTTGTGTTTATTCCCTTTTTTGCTCCTAATCTTGGGGTTTTGTTGGTTGGTGAGCTGCTTTGTGGTATTCCTTGGGGAGTTTTCGCAACCATGGTACGTGATGAACCTCTTTGATTCAGACTGAAATCCGATGCCGCGCCAAATTCTCCCTCTCACCTCTCCGCTCCCCTGGATATTGGTTGCACTGGTAGATGGAGGAGGGAGAGTCTCGTAACTGCGAGATGATGAGCTGACGCATCCAACTAATTAGGCCCCTGCGTATGCCTCAGAAGTCTGCCCAATGGCCCTCCGTGGATATTTAACCGTCCATGTCAACCTCTGCTGGGCCTTTGGTCAGCTTATTTCGGCCGGAGTCCAGTCTGGATTCGAAAATAACACGACGCAATGGTCTTACAGAATCCCCTTTGCGATTCAATGGGCCTGGCCCGTCCCCCTGTTCTTCATCCTCTGGTTTGCTCCGGAATCGCCGTGGTTCTACGTCCGTCAAGGCCTACTCAGCGATGCAGAACAGACCATTATTCGCCTCGGTGCGGATAGAGATATGGCTAAGCAGACTTTGGCCATGATGATTCACACAAATGAGCTGGAGGAGTCCATCGATAAGGGGACATCGTATTTGGATTGCTTCCGCGGCATCGATCGCTATCGTACAGAGATTGCCTGCATGGCCTTTGCTGCTCAGCCGTTTTGTGGATCAGCCATGGGGGGAACTCCGACGTACTTCTTTGTCCAAGCTGGGTTGCCGACCTCAATCTCGTTCAAGATGTCGGTCGGCGGGTTGGGTCTCGCATCTGTGGGAACAATCATCTCCTGGTTCTTGATGCACCGCCTTGGAAGGCGTACCATGTACCTCTGGGGCCTGGGGACTCTGACCACGATTTTGCTCGTCGTTGGATTCATCAGTGTTGGAGCTGCCAACTCGGCCGGAGGCAATTATGCCCAAGCGACCATGATTCTGCTATGGCAATTAGTTTATTACCTCACCGTTGGACCCATCTGCTATGCGATTATAGGCGAAGTATCCTCAACACGACTCCGAAACAAGAGTGTCTGTCTTAGCCGGATTGTTTATTACATCGCCCAAATCATCTGCAACGTGGTGAACCCGTATATGCTTAACCCTACCGCGGGAGACTGGCGAGGAAAAACCGGTTTCTTTTGGGGATTTTGGGCTTTTGTTTTCTTCGTTTGGACTTGGTTTAGGCTCCCCGAGACAAAAGACAAGACTTTTGAAGAGCTGGATATTCTCTTTGCTCGTGGCATCAAGGCGAGGGAGTTTGCGAGTTACAAGGTAGATGCTTATGTTGAGGGAGGAGAAAGCCTGTCCAAGAATGCATAACTGGTAGCTTTATTCTATCTTGATGCTACAGCAGTGCACATACGATGTAACATCAGTATGCGGACAATTTGCCCCCCTTGGCTGCGATATGATGAGCTAAAGGAATTTTCCCTTTCTAGGCTTGGTTGTCCCGTTCTGCTGTTGATGATGGAGGATTTATTAGCTCACAGGCGCATTTTACTGAGGTAGCCCGAAGTATTAAGCAATCTGGACTTGACGAGGGAGATGCTCTCTGAAGGCCAACTTCAATACTATGGTGTTGAACTGTTCCTGTGTAGTTAGCTATTGTAATGAACTGGAGTAGATTATCCATAGATGACTGCTTCATTTACCATATAAAAATAATAATATCTAGCATACACAAAACACAACTTGGGAAGCTGCATATCAAGTTTCTGTATCCACTGCGAGCGTGACTTTTTTCTTTTTCTCTATACGATCGCTAACCCAGTAAAAGCCGAGTCTGATAGTTGCATTAGGTAGGTGGCTAAAAGCACACATGGCATCCATAGTAAGCCCATTCGGATCACACTGCCGAATACTAGACTCTCCCGGAAAAAGCTTAGCTTTACGACAACAACGGTAGTTGCTGCGTCATTTTCAAGATTTACCAGTCGCTTGCGTTAGCACAACAGACTTGAGTCTGGAATTATCCGATTCAATGGAGATGGAGGATTAGTCTCGAACGGAGGCCTCCTTCTGACCTCATCGAGGAGGCCTCCTTTTGACAATTCAGCCGCTTAAAGGTCTTATTATTCTTTAAATCACTCATAGAATGATGGATATGTGCATAGTTAGGCTGCTGTTGAGTTAAATAGATATATCAAGAGTCGTGTCGATGAGAAGTAGACAAACGCGGTGAAGAATAAAATAGCGAGAAAAAAAGAGAGAGAAAGGCGTTAGGAGAGCATAAATTGTGATTGAGTTGAACACATGCACCATACATTTCTAGTTGCATAACTATAGATGTTGTATTATTTTTTATAAAATCAGCATCTCTTTGGCACAAATGTTTGGTCATATTGCCAGACTAGTTCAAAAGCTCTCAAGTTGATGATTGTTTTGAGTTTAATATTGGACCTTATGGCGCAGAAATCCGTCTACTCCATATGTATATCATCATACTGTGATGCAGCATTAGATACATTTCGAAAATCACTCATAATGTAATTGTGCTCCCCCCAGCTTGGTCAGAATTGGGTAAAGAGTGAGGAGCATCAACGTCACATCTTCGGTGTAAGCTCTGCTTGTAATCACTAGCCCTCTATCTCCGGACGAATTTCATATTTATATGATTATCCTCGACCTCCTTCTTGAAGCGTTATGCAGCTTGAGTTGTTTACACATTCTTCTTCTCTAAATCTATTTCCACCTCTCGAACACTGCACTTCCTCTCGTTGGAGGCAGAATGGCTGGTCCCAATGATGAGAGCGATCCTGAAAAGGGTACGCCGAAAACACTTGTTCAAACCAAGGGCGACCATGCCTCAAAGCGTCGAATCCGATATTTTGACGACCAGGATGAGATGCAAGAGATCGAATCTTCCCCTGCAAACAATCATGGCAAACTCAAAAGAAAGAGTTCGGCCTACTCTACCCACTCTCTGTCCAGCATCAGGAGTGGCCAACGGGCGGTTGATCCTGCCTCTGCCCTCCCCGTCATGTACCGCACTTTGAGTATGGATATGGCACGGCAGGAGAAATCGAATGTGATGATCAAGAAATCGGAAATTGACGACAAGGCTATGGCAGGTAAGTTTGTTTTTCATGGATAACTACAAAGCTTGCAAAGGCTGACCAACCTGTTATAATAGAGCTAGGAGAACTCGAATGGCACACTCTATCCATCCAAGACGTTACCGAACGACTGGACACATCGGTCGAAAGTGGTCTCTCAACCCAGGGAGTCAAAGATAAAACGGTAGAATTCGGTGCCAACACTCCAACCCCGCCGAAGTCACAATTGTTTCAGAAAATCTTCCTCTATCTCTTTGGAGGCTTTGGCTCCATCCTCTTTGGTGGAAGCATTCTTGTCTTTATCTCATGGAAACCCCTTGGCGAACCGGCTCCTGCAGTGGCCAACCTAGCCTTGGGTATTGTCCTAGCCATTGTGTGGTTAGCTCAAGCCGCGTTCAATGCCTGGCAAGACTTCTCCTCCTCGAGAGTTATGAAAAGTATCACGGGCATGCTTCCCGAAGACTGCAGTGTTCTTCGCGATGGGAGCAAGAGATTGGTCCCCGCATCTCAAGTGGTTCCTGGAGACATTCTCTTTTTCAGTGCCGGCAATAAGTTGCCTGCTGATATTCGATTCGTCAGCGTGTCTACTGATGCCAAGTTTGACAGAAGCATCCTCACTGGTGAATCTGATCCTCTGTCGGCGGTAACTGAATCCATGGAGAGCAACTACCTCGAAACTAAATGCATTGGAATGCAGGGTACTCATTGCACCTCTGGAAGTGGCCTGGGTATCGTCGTCGCTACTGGCGACAACACGGTTTTCGGCCATATCGCGAAGCTGACAAACAAGCCCAAGTCTGGTCAAACTCCACTACAAAAGGAGATTTTCAGATTTGTCCTCATCATCGCAACCTTGATGATATTAATGGTTATAGTCATTGTTGCTCTATGGGCTGGTTTTATTCGTCACAAGTATCCCGATTACATCTCGGTATCAACATTAATCGTGGATTGTGTCAGTGTGGCGATTGCCTTTATTCCTGAAGGTCTGCCAATCGCCTTAACAGCGTCACTTACAATTACTGCGGGAATCATGAAGAAGAACAATATCCTCTGCAAATCCCTAAAGACGGTTGAGACCCTGGGCACTGTTTCAGTGCTACTGTCGGATAAAACAGGGACTCTGACCAAGAATCAAATGGCTGTAACGGACTGCCTCATTGGCTCCAGCGCCTTGACTGCCACAGAAGCCGTTCAAGAAATTGCAGATGAGTCGATTTCGCGCAAAAAGGCTGCTCTTACGCAGCTCCGTGTCACTTCTGCAGTGTGCAATGCTGGAGAGTTTGATCCCACAACCATCCATCTTCCCATCTCTGATAGGAAGATCATCGCTGATGCGACGGATCAAGCTATTCTTCGGTTATCAGAGTCGTTGGGTCCCATTAATGACTCTCGCAGTTTATGGATCAAACGATTTGATCTCGCATTCAACTCCAAGAACAAATTTTCCTTGCGCGTCAGCTCTCCCAGCAGCTCCTCTTCACTGGAATCCACACTCTCTGTTTCTGAAATCAGCAGCTTTGATGCTCAAAAGGACTACATTCTGATGATCAAGGGTGCACCGGATATTCTCCTCCCTCGATGCACAAAGTATGTTGGCGAAGACGGCGAAGTGCACGATTTCGACAAAGCTGCTCGCACGTCCATTGAGGCAATCAAAAACTCATGGTCAAGCCAAGGTAAACGGGTGTTGGCTCTTGCACGCAAGTCTCTTCCTGGTACCACGATACAATTCAATCCAGAAGATAATTCATTCGAAAAAGAAGCTCTCGAACTCGCGCGTACAGGCCTCACGCTGATCGGGCTGGTGGGCATCGTGGACCCCCCACGAGAAGAAGTTCCCGGCGTAATTGAGACTTTGCACCGTGCTGGTATTCGTACCGCCATGGTTACGGGAGATTTTCAGCTCACGGCTCAAGCGATTGCTCGCTCTTGTGGTATCATCAGCGTTTCGGACCGCGAGGTTCACACCGTTGATAACCTCCCCCGCGTGCCTCCCAAGATCGAGCCCAGAAAGAATCACAAATCCAACCATCTCCCAGATGAAACTAAGGCGATTGTCTTGACAGGCCAAGATCTAATGACGCTGCTTCCGCATCAATGGCATACTTTGGTTACGGAGTATTCGGAGATTGTATTTGCTCGAACCACACCGGAGCATAAACTCCAAATTGTACGGGAATTCCAGTCGCATTCTTACGTCGTGGCCATGATCGGAGATGGAGTGAATGACGCTCCAAGTTTGAAGCAAGCGGACATTGGTATATCGCCTGCGTCCGGCTCCGACATCGCCATTGAGGCTGCAGACATGGTCTTGTTAGACACATTCTCAGCTATTCCCGAGGCCGTTCTCTATGGTCGCGTAGTATTCGACAATCTCAAGAAAACAATTGCGTACTTGCTACCGGCTGGCTCCTGGTCCGAATTTTGGCCAGTCTTTACGAATGTTGCCTTTGGCCTGCCCCAAATCTTGTCGTCTTTTCTCATGATTATTATCTGCTGCTTTACAGATTGCGCTACCGCAATATCCTTGGCTTACGAAAAGCCCGAGGCGAATCTCATGCTTCAGCCTCCTCGGGACGTTGTAAATGACCGCCTCGTCGACTGGAAGCTTCTCCTCCAGGCTTACGGTTTTGTTGGTACTTTTGAGACGGTTCTCTCATTCACCATGTCGTACTGGTACCTTCAGCGAAATGGGCTGACTTTCACATCGTTGTGGTTCTCATTTGGCTCAATCCCAACTCCCGAAGGACAGACCGCTGATGATGTTTCCACGCACTTGACAGTCGCATCTTCCGTCTACTTCATCACCTTGGTGGTGATACAGTGGTCTTATGCAATGGCACTACGCACGCGCCACCTCTCAATCTTTACCCATCCACCACTCTTTAATCCTGCGACTCAAAACTGGCTCCTTTTCCCTGCTATCTTGTTTGCACTTGTTATCGCGTTAATATTCACGTTGGTCCCTGATATCACTTATCTTGGCTGTGCCCCAGTTCCGGTTGAGCACTGGTTTATTCCCATGACTCTCGGTCTTGGCTTATTATGCATTGATGAGCTGAGAAAAATGATGAAGAGAAGGTATCCTGAGGGATTCATCGGACGAACTGCTTGGTAGACGCTCACTTCCGAAGAGATCAGCAAACGTGTCTTTAACTAAAGTGTTTCAATCATTTTCAATGTCACTTTAATTTAATATCATCATTGCTCTCGTGAATTTTACTAGGCACGGTTGATAAAATACGTGCGCTCCATATACATGTCCCATCATGGATCCTGGGCATAAAGAACTGAAGAAAAGTGGTTCATCATTAACAATTAACCACTGGAAGTAAGCATTACAATCTTTGTGATGGTCATAAAATATTCTTTTGTTTCCTTTGATACGGCCTTGTCAAAAAGGACGCCGAACGCTGACAGTGTACCACTGGCTCCGACGATCCCCAACGCCTTTCTTCGAAACTTGGCGAAAAGAAGAGTGCAACGCGCGGTTTGGCAATTTAAATTACTTATCAAAGACCTTGTTGTTTGATCAAATGCAAATCTGGCTCATCTTTGTTGTACATACCTTGACTACGTAGAAAGTGAATTCCCCCTCGAAGACCCAAATAAGATATACATAAGACCGATCATCCCAATCAACCCCTCTATAAAAAAGTAGCAGACCTTGAATCCTGCCTCTCTCCTTCGTGTCTGAATCTTTTTCAGATGGGGCTATCTATGAAGGGTATGTATTGCTGCGGGCATGTAGTGTTGGACGGTGGAACTATGCCTTGGAGATATGCCTGAACATGTTCAAAGTAACAATCTGATCCCCCTTGGTTGACAACTGTGTGCTACAATCGAGAGAGATAGACCACTAGTAAGCTAAGTGTCCCTTTTGAGATGATTGTACGATTAAGAACAAAATAACTTACCCCGATGCCTTCTTGCAATAGAACAGACCCGGGAAAACGAGAAGATGTCTTGCGCGCCCTGTGAAGATTGAACGTCAGTTAGCAAAATACCATGTTGCTAGATGTTGGGTCAAAATATACCATGATAAGGGCGTTATGGGGTCGATGGTATTACTCGCAAGCAAGATCGGAAAGCTCGTAGGCCTGTCCAGTCCATTTACCGGGTCTGCACACAAAAGAAGCCGGTTAGATTCTGCGCCCAATGCAAATATTCATTTCGAGAAAACAAGAAGAAAAACAGAGGCGGTGTAGAGAGAGATGGATAGATGGGTTGCCTTACTTTGTATCACCATGCTATCGGGCAATTGTGGTCGGAACGATGTACACAAGATTGTTTCCACGACGATGGGCCAGATGTCGCCGATATACTTGCTCTTGGAAGCCGTATACTTAGCGTAGCTCTTGAACTCTTCGATGGTAGCAAGCTTATTCCTCCGATACGAATCGGCGCACTGGATAATGCGGCCGGCGTCGGACGTAACATCCAGTCCGCTGAACATACCCGCAAGAGCAGACACGTTCCCGCTCTCAACCTGGTGTAAGATGTTGGCCATGCCTGGGAAGGACAATAGAGGGTTGTAGATGGTAAATACAAAAAGAGCCTTTAGATCGGAATAAGTGACGAGCGTCGGCGTCTCTCGACTTGCGACTCCGCTTATCGGGACCGGATGGTTCTGAAGCTGACTGATGATGTTGTCCATTCTGGCTGTGATGTTGGCTGGCGAGGGTCCCCAGAAGGAACACTTTCCAGGACCTGCGGAATGGCATAAGCTTGAGAACTTTTCCATGGCCTCGTCCATTTGATCGACGCTGTCCCTCCAAGTATTATCGTAGTATTGCTCCGCGTCCAAAACACCATCGAGTATCATTCTCTCAACTCGGTCGGGAAACATGGAAGCAAAAGTGGCGCCAATGACAGTGCCGTAACTGATGCCATAAAACCACAATTTGGCGTCTGATGCCGGCTGACCTGCCAACTCGGCCTCGGCCTCTATAAATGTGAGCAAATCCTGGGCGGCTGCTGGTGTGGTTACATAATAGCCATGAGGTGACTCGTTCTCGACGGCATTGTTGCACCAGTCTCCGTAGATGGAGCTTGAATAATACTGTTCTTGAAACGAGGTTGATGATGCGTTGGTAATGCCCGTCCTGTGTAGTCGATTGAAGACCAATCTTGCTTCAGTGTTCCCCGAGAAACAGTCGACGGTTAGGTCGCTATTGTTGACCCCACGAGGATCATAGGAGATTACGTTGTATTGATCTCCAAACATTTGACTTGCGAGGGCCTGATTTGTGAGGAGGAGGTCGACTCCAGAACCACCGGGACCGCCTAACGGAGCATCAGTCTAGTCACATGTAATTTGAGTAGGCGATCTGATGAATGCCTTACCGGGGTTAATTATGATGCTTGGAGACTCAATGGTAGCATTCTTTCCAGCTAGCTTTATGAATGCGATAGACGTCGTGCCCAGACTCTTATTTGAGTAATCCAACGGAACTTCTAGTTTAGAGCACGTAAAGTAATCAAAACACGGAGTCCACGTGAGAATGGATGATGGTACAATCTAGATGGCCAGTCATACAGCTGAAAAGCTTTGGAGGAAAGTGATTGGGCAAGGTCCAAGGCTCACATTGTCAAATCCATAGGACATGCCCTGATCATGCGAGCAATTGGCTTTGCATCCCAAGCTGACAAAGAGAATGAGTACATTCCTAAATCGGTTCATTTTGATCTCCATAAATTGTCTCATTGAACTGTCTGCTGTGTTGCTTGCAAGAAGAGACAATATTCAGTATTGTAGTCAGAATAACTGCGATATCATGGATCTACTTATACATGCTGGATTTTGCAAGAGACTTGTCTAGCACTCCGCTTGTACGAACTAGCCAATCAGTATGTATTGTAACACAGCCTGTTTTACCTATCAATCCTCTTCCCGCTTTGACTACATAATTCATATGACAGGGTAGAGCAAGGATTTTCTCCCACGTCCGTCTGACATTTCGCAGTTGGTTGAAACATCGGTGCGTTTGGATGGATGGCTCATGACGGAAACATTGCTGAGCCACGTCAGCCACGAAACTGTTTCAATCCTTGTCACGTAGCTGAGAAATCTCCTTTCCAAGCCCCGCCTGTACGAACTAACCAATCAATCTTTGGTATTATACTGCTAATCTCCATTAGGATTTGCCCCGATTGGTCCATGTTTCCGCTCTTTGGTTTGTCCAGGATTCTCTTATACCGTCCAACTTCCCTGGCTAAAGTATTCACAGCGAAAGATGAGTTAGATGACTTCCCCGCCTGTACGAACAGACAAATAAACAACCTTTTCTGCAAAATTGTCAATGCTACTATCAACGTGATGGACGCGATTAAGAACAAAAGCACCAAGGCACCCAGTCAAGCATGGAGAAGCAAGCCTCGCCAGTTTGCTCCAAAGTCAAGGCTAGGCTGTAAGACCTGCAAGTGAGTCCCAGCTCCATGCGTTGCTTCATTGCGATCAATTGTGATTTCAGATTCATAAACTGATACTTGACTTTAGAATAAGACGAATCAAATGCGATCTCTCCCAGCCTTCATGCACGAAATGCCAATCCACGGGTCGCACATGTGACGGCTATGGCGAAATGCCCTACACTTTCAGAACGGACATTGGATCAAGTCATTATCACGATGACAAGGCCAGCCACCAGCTTGGCGCTACGATCTGCGCGTATCAGACAAGACAATGGGACGCAAAATACCATGACCTGATTTCTCATAACCTCAGGCCCCTCATGGTCTTACCAGCCACTAGGTCAGCGCAGACAGAGGCAATGTGTTTCTTCGAGTACATTTCGATCAAACATCTGAATGAATATCGTCCCAACGAAACATGGCGCAAGATCCTCATGTTCTTCTCCCAAACAGTGCCATCAGTGCGATATGCCGCCGTTGCATTGGCCTTGGTCAACCGAAGCTACCTAGATCGCGATTCTGGCGACCATGCACAACAACCGTCATCTTCAAAAGACTGGCTACCGAGCAAAGATGCCTTGTTTCACTATAATCGGGCCATTCAGCTTCTTCTGAACCAAGACTTTGATGACAGCGTCGAGACAACAGCAATTACGCTCTTGGTCTGTTATCTCTTCACATGTTTTGATCATCTGGCGGGCAACTACGTACAAGCAACGAGGCACCTACGCGGAGGCGTTGAGCTCTCACGCAACATCGACACGGGTATCCTGAACAATAATACATATGGCGATACCAAATTCTCGGCAGTTTGCACGCTCATTTGCCAAGTTACCAGACAGATCCGCCGTCTCGATATGCAGGCCGCGACATTTCTAGTCGATTGGATTCCCATCAATGTTCAAGAGACACCTATGCCGGATTCCCTGTCTTCCAGCAACGCTTTTCGGTCCCTTGACCAAGCGGCCGACCACCTCCAGGTCCTTATCGCTCGTGTAATGGGATTGCGCAATACGGAGCAGCAAATGTACCTCATGGGTGGGATGTCGTCACCACCACCGTCGCCAATCAAGGATTATATTCTCAACGAGTTGGAAACGTGGTCAAGCCTCTTTGAGAACATGCCGCAAAAAGGCGACTCCTATGAGAGTGACCCTGAAACCTACCCCCTCATATCACTACTGCGCCTACAACATCTCATCATATGGACTTTCCTCAGTAGTTACGGGGCTGGCAGGGAAATGGAATATGACAACTACCTGCCCCAGTTCCAGCAATGTGTGGCGTTGGCGGACGTTGTAGTAGCAGCGCATGAGCGGTATTCAGGATCTATAAAGCCGACGTTTACGCCAGAGATTGGTGTTGTTCCCGTGCTTTACATAATTGGAATCAAGTGCAGGCATCCTGTGGTCCGACGCGAAGTTTTGAGCATCTTACGGCGGCGACCGATACGAGAAGCGATTTGGGATAGCATCTCTGCTGCTAGGGTGGTTGAACGGGTCATCGAGATTGAAGAGGGTGGATCTGAGAAGAAGGGAATGATACAGAGCATGGAACAAATCGCCGTGCGGCAGAGAGTTGAGGCTTTGTCTTGGATCCAAGTCCTCTGTGAGTCTGCAGCCAGGGTGGATATCACGTATACGTTTTGCACACAGGAGGGAGTGCATAATGAGTCTCTTATGGTACAACATCTAATGTAGTAAATGACTTTTTCTCTGAAACACAATCGTTTATATAAAGTCTACGCTACTTAGCTATTCTATGCCAAGATATTCTCCAAGCCATTCTTGCTGGCTTCTTCCCATTCCTTGCTGAATTGATAGTCAATGTACCCAGTCTTCGATTTGATTGCGTAGAACAGATCACGGTTATACTTGTTTGGCTCGAGCCCTCGCCTGATCCTGAAGGGCAAGTCGGGCGTAGCCAAAAAGTACCGACCAAAGACAATAGCGACGTTTTTGCCGCTGTATTTACCTTCCAGAGCCGCCTGAGCCTCCTTGGGCTTCCAGCCACCAGCAATCAGGAAGGGCTTCTCATCTCCCCAGATATCCAGCATGAAATCGACCTTCTCAGTGCCTTGACCAGCGTCATCACCTGAAATCCGCGACTCGACGACATGGACATACGCCAGATCTAGGGCCTTTAGATCTCTAACCAGCGCAGAGAACTGAGGATGGGGATCGGCCATCTTCATGCTCTGAAAGGTCGAGAAGGGGCTGATTCTAAACCCGACTTTATCGGCACCGATGGCATCGGCGGCCGCCTTTGCAACCTCCAAGGCAAACCTGTTCCTCTTATCAATCGAGCCACCGTAATCGTCGGTCCGCTGGTTCGAAACATCCTGGATGAACTGGTCGACAAGATAGCCGTTTGCACCGTGAATCTCAACGCCGTCGAATCCAGCCTCAATCGCGTTCTTGGCCGCCTGGCCGTAATCCGCCACGAAGTTCTGGATCTCTTCATAGCTCAGTTCTTCGGGCTCCGGGTGTTCGCTATCCATGGGGATGCTGCTTGGCCCAACAATCTTGACGCCTTCCTTGTCTGTAATTTCTTTTTCTGCTACGCGGCCCAGAGCCCAGAGTTGAAGGAATATGTAGCTTCCCTTGGCGTGCACGGCGGTGGTGACTTGTTTCCACGACGCGATTTGGTCTTTGCTCCAGATTCCAGGGAGGTTGGAGTATCCGGCTGCACGAGGTGAGACGGCTGTCGCTTCAGCGATCAAGAAGGTGCCCGGAACAGATGCCCGCTGAGAGTAATAATCGGCCACAAAGGGAAGGGGAACGTGGTTCTCGTCGTTGCGGTAGCGAGTCAAGGGGGCCATGACGACGCGGTGTTTTAGTTCCAGGCTGCCGATTTTGAAGGGCTTGAAGAGCTGTGCAGGTGCAGCCGCATCTTGAGCGATTGATCCCATGATGGCTGCAGTGTATGTAGTTTAAGATTGGGATCTAGTTGTTTGTGGACTCGAGACAGATGATGGAAAGTCTAGTTGGTTTGATACAGTATAGTACAGTGCAGGATAGTAGTTTCAGAAGAGGACAAACTCAAGACAACGAGGAACGTTTGGTTAAATAAGGCGATTTCGATCTTGAAGCTTAGCAGTTTGGTGGGTCCGGGTGCTCATCGTTCATAGACATCACATCCCTAATGGTATGCTCAGGATGGTACATCTTCGATTTCGGATTGATCATCATTATCGTTATTAAGCGACATGATCAGATTACCAATAATTATTCAGCGCCTTGTTTTGATGCGACATTTCGAATCGTTTGGAGTCGGATTTCTCAGCTTGTTCCTCGGGTGCTATTACCGTCCAATCCTGAGGGAGAATATAGACATGATGGGGTGGTGCCGTGAACGCAATAAGAGATGGGCGCCAAACACCTTAGCCCGAAACTGGACATAGGTCTCTATTCAGCTTACTAAATGATATAAAGATATGGAATGTTTAGGCGCGACTTCAGATGCTGTATATATAGGATGGAGGAAGAACGTGGGTACTCCATATGCCACGCCGAAAAGGGATATAGGTCCCTCGCCGTCTCCTTGGCAATAGGCAATAAACCGGGATTTAACATCAAGGCTTGCGATGCTTTGTCAGGATAAGCGCCCGTGGTCGGTTCACTAGTCCAAAAGGCAATGTTGATGAATGTGCAAAGTTGCTAATTGAAGCTAGCGAGTTAGCTGGTCTTTCATCGTGTGGAAAGAATAATTGGGTACTATTGTTTGTTTTATAAGGACATCAAAGTAATAAAGTACAACGACGGCCGTCAACCCTATCTTGATCAAGACATACATTCTACGTCCAAGATATTATAAGCTCGATTTCATCAAGCCCTACTACCACTCTGTACAGGACATTGACAACTGGCATAGGAAGTATCCATTCCAAAATGTATGGATAATCTTCTCAAGAGGACATTGATACTGATACGATCTGTGGAAAGAAAATTTCTCTTTGAGAGCGCAGGATTACGCATGACCGACTACGAATAGACTCCGAAGGCAGACACCATCCGTAATCAAGGGCTTGTGATTTCCGATCTCTCGCGACAAGTTTTGCTCACAAAAAAAGAGATATGAAACAATATCTTCAGACATGAGCACGAGGAGCTTGAATACACCCCAGAACATGAGATAAAGGCTTCATAACTGGCATAGCTAAGACGTTAAAGGCTGGTTTCCACAGCATCAACGTTGGGTATTTCTATATAGATACAAGCTGCAGATCTATTGGAGCAGCGGTGGGAATGACTGCATGTTGAGACTCTGAATGTCTTCGGGTCAAACTAATGATGTTTGTTGTCTTTCCCCGCCGCTCTGCTGGATCTGCCTGGGGTATTATGTCGTGACAACTAGCAAGCAAGAAAACGAAGACAGCCTGCGTCGCGGGCTCCATCGTACGGTAAGGCGTTTATATGTTCTCTTCGGTGATGAGAAAGCTTTTGACTTTCGATCCCTCCATTCGAAGCTCCTCCTCACTCTCGTTATCTCCTCTGTGTCCTTTTGGTTTCCACACGGACTTTGGGGCAGCGGTGATTGTTGTTTGGAAACCTCCTGTATATCCGTTGACCAACTTCAACTGTCCATCTTCCAGAGGCCTTTCTTCTTCATCTTCGTCTTCGTGGCGGTTAAAAGTCGCGAGGCTGAATGGGTCTCGTGATTGCTTCTTCTTCGAACGGCCGGTTGTGTTACGGTTACTCATGGAACCGTTGGGGGCATCTCCGGTGGATCGCATTGTCGACCATCCCAGCTTGGACGCAATCTTCCTAAAGAGCGGTCGAAGGGTAGCAAGGCTGCCGGCCGTGATGGCCAGGCCTTGCTCAGTAGTAGACCAGATTGCGATGTCGATGGTTGCCCCTAGAAAAAAAAAACCCTGTTAGTCAGAGCTCGTGGTAAGAGCAGCCACAAGGTAGCAACCTACACAAGAAGTCGATATTCTTAAAGTCCTTTACATAGGGAAATCGAACAACAACGGCGGCACTCGCGCTATATCGAAGAGAATTAGTGAGAAATTGGCCAAAGGCATGAAAGAAGGCACGCGGAACCTACACGCATGCCATGAGCATAATAGGGACCAACGCAATCTTGGTCCTGCTGTTCATCTGAAGTTGCATGATGAGCACAATCGGAAGCAGTGCAAAAGTAAAGTCGCAGATGACGCTGAAAGCACTGTATATGTAGGTGAGAGTGATGATGACGTCGATATTGATGCAGGATCCAGGTTGAGTCTTGTCCCAGAAGTAGGACACCGGAGCACACTGCAGCATTGTAACAAAGAAGAAGACGATACCCGTGACGACGGTAACCAGCATGACGGTGCCAATGATCCAGGTGTGTATGCGCTCGACGGTGATTCTCAGAAGAAAGTATCCGATAGAGATCTTTGTCAAGATCATTGTTACGCAATACCATATGTAGCAAAAATACCAGTACTGTGGGATATGTTAATCCACTTGCCACGGTTGTATCGTAGGCATAGAAGAGAAGTGAGTACGCACCTTCAACGCTTCTGATATATCCTCTGGTTCGAGGTCCCAGTAATGACGACCGGTACCATAATGTACACCGGTGGCAGCAACAGCACAAAACAGCACAAATGATATCTGCGGTTGGGGAAGAGTGAGTAACTCGTAGTTGCGGATGCGGGAAGTTGGTTTGCTACATACCATGGCAAAGATCATGAGATAATCATCCACACCAAATGCCTTTACGAGGCTTATCCGAACATAGCATCTCAAAACGATGGCCGTCAATGAAAAGACCAGCAGCACCGCTATCACAGCGATGAGCTGTGGACCACGATTCGGAACCTCAGCCATCCTGTCTCACGCTCTCCGGCAGATCGGTCGTCGGCGCTGGTTGCAAATCGAGAAGGTGTAATCAAACGGCGTCTAGAAACAATCGAAAAGCAAAAGTCGGCTTCTGTACTACATCTCTTATAGCATCGACACAAGGGCGAAGCTCTCGTTGCGCATGAGTAATTTACGTTTCTATTTTGCCCCTGCACGCAGTCGACATTGCAGTACACGGGGTGCGCCAGCGCATACGAGTAGTCCCTAGTATTATACGGCCGACTCATACATAAGTTAGCACGCTGATCGGCGGTCGATTGCCTTTTATAACGGAGCTTTCCCTCCATCTCCTCAAGCCCGCTTGCTCGCCTCAACAGTTTTCGAGAACCTTTACACTGCCGCAGTGGCGCCCTACGAGCGTCCAAAATCGGGGTTTGCATATAAAACCGGGGAACCGTCCAGGATACCACGAGTCATGTCAGGGGATAGCAGCCACTTGCGGAGATAGAGGCCAGCCCTGAAGGAAGCGATTTTCGGCCAACCTCAGCCGAGGCACGGTCCCCCTCTCTCACGAACCAGGAGGCCCAAACATCAATCGTCTTGGTATCAGGATAGGCATCGCTCACCCTCGAAACAAAACAAACGGGCGGTTCACTCGGTATTCGTACGATATTAGACGTTCATGTTATCAGCCCGCAGAAACACAGCCTCCCAACAAATTGGAGAGCCCCCTAGATTATTCTGCAGGACCTTGAACAAGCGTGGGAGCTGAAGAGTTCGGTAAATTAGTGGCGTCCCGTGCCCGCCCACATCTCGACTGCCCCTATCATGAGACGAACCGCCGCACACAGATGAGATAGCAGGGGGGGGGATTTGGGAATCTACCGTATTGCCCGAGTCAAGATATCCATTGATATTTATATCAGTGGTCCCCCTAGCGGCCTGACCCAGTATAATTGCGCCCGTCTAATTCCCCGTGGCGATTCGACAGGCATGGAATTTTCAACTCCATTGATTGTCTGTTCTACTGACTGCAGAGCAGACAAGCACATCGCTTATCAAGATGATCAACAGACTGTGTGATGCAAAGCTCTGGAGTAATTCCAGCACATGCGAAAGCGGACCAAAGGATCTATGTACAGTTAGATCATGCCGCCTCGGCTACAGCTTGATGCCAATCCCAATTAGCTGGAAGCTGCCATCAGCGCCCTGGCTAAAAAGAACACCCATTTAGCCTCTGGATCTAGACCTACTCAGGGCTGCGGCCGCAAGCTCGCCGACGAATAAATTGGGGACGGAACGGCCGGCGACGGCCCTACTTTCGGTTTGTGGCTAGAGAAGCTACGGAATATTAATGGAAAGTTTCTGGGATACGGCAATTAATAAATGGTTGAATAGCATGTCCTCCTTTCAAAGAAGCTCTGCCGTTGTTTGTCAGTTATTAAAGACGAAGTGTCATCGAAGAACTATGCTCAAAGCAGCAGCTGAGTAGGATCTTGGCGTTCCCTCCGTACCTGGCAGATGCGGGGAATATACCGAGTCGGTATAGCTACGTCCGTAGTGGAAATAAATCAAGACTATAAACCGGTCTTTCACTAAAAAAAAAAAACTTACGTATGTACGGAGGACGGAGGACTTGCTAATGCCGTGTAGGGCTTTGTCTCTCTCTTCAAAGAACGCGCTGTTCCATAAAGAGCTAAGGGGGAACTACCATCACTTCTCAGTAATAACAGCATCCAACATCTCGATCATATCTGTCTCGGCTCTTTGCTTCGGCTCTGAGCAAGTCATTATCGATACTATCCTGAAACCTCACCGCTGAAATCAGAGCAAGCAATCTCGTAGAAAATACGAGAATGTGACGCGGGCACAAAACCCTTGCACAAGCCCAGTCTTGTCTGCTCATTACGCGCCGTGTAACGTTATATCGTGACGAGGAGTGCGGTAGACTTGTCTTGGCTACGCATTCTCCCAGTGCAAACCGATTGTACAGTCAAGTGCCAATATCTCGAACACAAAGCATCCTGTTCCTCATTGCTTGTAGTGTCCAAATCGTAACTAGCACGAGATTAAAGGCCGCCACCAACTACGAGTGTGGGTCGGTAGGTCGGCACGCAAACGGTTGACATAAAACCGACACCGCAAAATGAATACGTGTTTACCCAAGGAGAATACGCTCACTACGCCGTATGAGTTTAGGGGGGCGGATATGTGCGGCTTGTCCGTTTCGGTATGCTGCTCGATTCCCCCCTTTTGGTAAACCCTTTGGCAAGTTGAGGCAACAAGTATTTCTTCGAATCTTTGTGAAAGGCGTCTTTATTGAAAGAAAAAGTCCAGGTCAAGTCAAAACGGTTTGTCATATCCATCGGATAGTCATGAATCTTGATCTTTGCTACGAGTCTAGTGACACTTCTAATATCAGGATTGGCAATGTTCGTTTTCATATCTCAACCGATAACGCTCTGGACACTGGCATCAAGGGCCATGTCAACATCAACAATCTGAAATACGCATCTTAAAACTATAATCGTTGAGATGACAACAAATTAACTACGAATAACCTCGGGTGCGAAGTGATATGATGGCCCGTTAGCCTTCAAAGTCTTAACACAGCCGGACTCATAAACTTTAGAAAGGGGAAAGGTTGAAGCGACGAGTGGCAAACAGCTTCTCTAATATAAAAAGTCTGGTTTGTTACGTAGAGTCTTTAGGGCGGCGCTCATATATACGTTAGTTTCAAGGAGTACTCATTTTGGGTCACTTGACCTGAAAGGCTGAGTCATGACAATACCGCGAGTCCAATCTGCACATCACCAGGAATTAGAAGAAATGCATCCGGTGGGCCTTTATCCACCGATAACTACTAGTATAACTTTTCTTGAAATATTGGCCTTAAAGGGCCCGCTTTGGATCCAGACGCTTCAAGAATGGGGGATAGAGAGGGGAGACGTTCCAGAGATGTCCATCCAAATGCCGTTCGATTACTTATTGCACCGCAACATTTGCGCGCATCAAAAAAGTGTAACGGTTTTTTCACACGAATGAGCCTTTCGAAAATTACCTTCTGCATCTATAATAATTAATCGGTGGATTATAACCTGACGGGAGGAATATCCTCCACAAGTGGGTGGCTCTGGAAAAGATCGTTTGCTTACCGTTTGTCTGCTTCATTCATAAACTTGTATCAAGCAGCATTCGGATGCTATTAACTAATAATGTGATCATATTTCTGTATTCAATAAGCATTTATATCGATGTAATTTCAACTCTATTACATGCAGAACACGAAGATCGATATCTTTTTTACCAGAAGACATGGACAACAGCGAGACATCTTTACCCTACAATTTCGCAAAGTATTCCCAGGAATTGCTGGGATGCATTGGAGAAATTATCAATCGTATGTCCTCATTAGGCGTTTCTCCCTTTATTAACGCATAACTAGTAATGATCTTCCAGAATGCGATGGCTATTCTTTTGGACATTATGAATACAATGGGGCTACATGCCGGCTGGTCACAATATTGCTATGGACCCCGTATAAAGCATCCCAGAGGTAGAGGTTTTCGCAATGCAATGTGGATGCAAGTATACTTTCCAAGTTATATAACAGGTTGGGTTGTTATAATAACTCAAATATATTTACTTTGTAGCTCCCCGATCAAGCAGCAGTTTAACTATAGTGCTATACCCTCTTCGAGCTGCTGACTGAACTGGTGTGTCCCCATCTTCATCTTTCGGTTCAATATTAGCTCCTCGATAAAGCAGCAGTCTAGCCATATCCATTTCTCCAATCCAAATTGCATAGTGGAGGGGCGTATTGCCCCATTCGTCTTTCGCTTCAATATCAGCTCTATGGTCAAGAAGTAACGTAACCATATCTACTTTGTTATTATAGGCGAGGAGATGAAGTTGTGTACCGTTATAAATCGTTGGGCATTTGGCTTCCGTATTTGCTCCTTGATTAATCAGTAACTTTGCAACATCCGCTCTTCTACTCCAAAGTGCCCCAGACAGTGGTGTTCTGCCATACTCAGCTCTCGCTTCGATATTGGCCCTTTGGTGAAGAAGTAATTTTACCTCATCTATTCTTCCACTTCGTGCTGCTAAATGAAGTGGTGTATAAGGTCCGTACGTAATCTGGGCCAAAGCCTTCTTGCGGTCAGCTTTCCTTTTAGCTAGTTGCTCAGCTTGCTCCTTGCGTTGCAATTCGGCTTGGAGCTTGGCTTGAAGCTCGGCTTGGAGCTCGGCTTTTTCCTCGGCTTGCCTCTCGATGATCTCATCCTTGATGCGCATATTCTCCTTCAACATGTTGTAATTATCCTGCAATTTGCATATATCTGAATGCAACTGTTGATACGCTGCTTCACAATCGTTGTGAATTTGCCGCTGTTCATTGGCTCGATCGGCCTGTTGTTTTTGCAAGTGCGTAATAATCCCGACTGATCCTGCAAAGCGTGTATGGCAATTGCTTGTGTAGATATTGGTTTCAGCAGTTTGTAGGGTGATATCCTCTCGGATGTCCTGAAGGTAAATGAGACCGCTGACTTTGATGCTCCCCTCAATTTCTTCATCTTCAAGCCCTTTGTTGATAATTTGGAGCCGCTCATAAAGTGAGCTGATAATCGATGGAATGTTGATGAGCCATACAGAATGGCCCTTGAAGACTCCCTTGACTACACAAACTCTTGAGCTTGATACAAGATGCTCGCCAGTAGCTTCAAACCAAACGCCCCGCTCTAGGCCATCAGCTCCAATGAGAACAAGAACGATGGTGTCTTTGGCTCCCATTCTGGAGCATGTGATGTTGAAATAGATGCCATGATATGCTACATGTAATGTTCTCTTTGGAGACGAAAGGACTGGTTCACTGTCTGCTGTTGATTGAGAGCTGTCGATTAAGGGATGGAATGTACAGGTGAAAGGGGTCAGGAACAATGGACATAGAGCTCCTCTTTGAAGAAACCTAGATTCATCGCGTTCGAGTTAATGGAGCCTCTTCTCAGTTTGTTGCACAAAGTAGCACCATAGCGACCTATGATTCCTTGAGCATTATGGGTGTAAGACATACACAGACCCACAATCAGACATCTAGCTGGTACATAATACATTAGAAACGTCAAGTACAGGTACTTGCCTCGGGCTGTCACGAGGCTACACGCAGCCACGGATAATAGGACACGTATAAACTTTTGTTAATTGATGCATACATGTAACCATTCTGACTAATATTAAAGCCGTTAATATGTCCGATGGCTATCTGGGCTGTTGTGACTTATGGTACAGGACCCCTCATATATCCTCCAGTAGCATCGTCCTTCGGTGACAGTCTGCATACGCTTACTGTGTATAGGTTGCGACTCTGCAGATGGATACAAAAAAATGAAATGAATGATTATTAAATCTATTGAAACAATGCTACTTGGAATATTTATAAATATTACACAACACGCAATTTGTAGGAATATAAGACGTTATACCTATTAAGGGAGTAGAACTGAAACACATATCCTAGGATACTGTGCACATCCACGAATGCCACCTAATATCATCCTCCCAAACCCCCAACCTATGATCTCTGCTAGAAAAAGACATATTTTCTGCCACCCGGCATATTCTTGTGTCTTTTTTGCGTCATTTCTCCGGTTGAACTGGATGAAATACCCACCCAACTACCTCCTTGAGCGATCTTAGTGGGAGTAAGCAAGCCGTAATTACATAAAAAATTCAAAAGGAACTTTGAGGAGAAAGAAGACGACTCATATCTGCATATATGGCGCCCGCAATTCTATTGATCGGCTGAGGGTTGTATTAGTCAAGGCTACCATTGGTGGTTTAATATAATGAAGTATAACACGATGTTTCCAGCACACAAGCCTATTTCTAACTGTAGCAGACCTAAAATACCCGAGTATTTATGCTGCATACTTCTAGAGACTACTTTTTCTTTCCCTATATTCAGTACTTTTTTTGGCTTCATAAACCAAGCACTTTTGTTCATGGCCTCCCGTTATGTTGCCTAGTGAACTGCACAACTCACCTTTGTGATGCTTTGTGGGGCGTATCATCAGCAGCTCGTTCTTCTCTGTACAGTTAGTGTCAGAGCAACAGCATCAACGGTACCGCTCTATGGGTTATGGCAAGTCTTCCGCTCCGCCCCGTAAATAGTCATAGGCAGAAAGGCGATGCTGACCCTAGAATCACAGATTTGACGTAGACCGACTGGACCATGTTCCAATATCTGTAGGGAGCTTTCCCTGTCAAGTTTGTATACGTCGTCTCGCATCTTCAGCCACGGTTAGTTGGCTATTCCATTTGGGGCTATCGCTGCGGTGGGCTGTGGCTTCGGTAGGCTCGCTTTGCCCTTTGCGGCGACGGCTGCGGTAGGATCAGCTGTTCCGTTTGGGGATATTCTTGCGGTTGGGCAGCCTTTCCTATTGGAGATGGCGATACGAGTTGATCATTACCCTACGAGTCTTATTGAAAGGATTTGATCAGGTCAACAAGAATCCTATTTTAACTTACGACCAAGTTATTCGGTAAAGGAGCGAACACAGACGCGTAATTGGCATTCAGATGCCTTTGACAACTCGGGTCCATCGGACTGATTATAAAAGCAAGACTCTGTTGAAGCATTTGCGCGTTCAATTCTATAACCCACTTCCACTTTTGCTCGATACCCCCAAGTTCTTGAAGAATAACAACCCATACCCCCTTGTCATATCATCACGCCTCTTTTTCCTGTCATGGTTGCCATCGATCAGTCATCTCGTACTCTCGTGTTTGCTAGAGGAGATGATGATGATTCTTGCGCTCGACCTACTGTGGATGACAATGGAGACATATTAAGCATTGGCATCACGACACACACACTACTAAAGATTCTTTCGGCCGTCTTTCTCGGCCTGACCGTTCTCAACAGCATCATCCACATTACGAGACATCTCGCCAGATACACCGCTCCGATCCAGCAGCGACAAATAATCCGCATAATCTTGGTTCCTACTGTCTTTGCCATATGCTCTTTTCTTTCTGTATTATTCTATCAGACATCCATATACTTGCGTCCAGTGGCCGAAATCTACGAGTCCATCGCCATTCCTGCCATCTTCATACTTTATGTTCATTATGTCTTCCCTGGTAGCCACTCGTGGCGGGAACTTTTTCATCGGCTCGAAGATCCAAATAGCAGAGAGGCGGACATTGCAGGCGGCGACTCGACTTGGTTCAAACGCACCTGTCTCTTTGTTTTCCAGTATGTCAAACACACGCCGAGCTTGATCGCGTTTGCTAATCCAGCTCCTTGTAGATACCCGATCGCAAAGACGGCTTCTTCGATTGTGGAAATCGCCACGCAAGGCGCTGGAGTGTACTGCGTCAATTCGCTGGCTCCGCGCCATGCACATCTTTGGTGCGAGATCATCAATATTCTAGCAATTGTGTTGGCTATACCGCATATCATTCGTTTCGAGCGCAGAATGAAGGACCATATTGACCCAACGCACAAGCCTGGAGCCAAACTGTGGACCTTTAAAGGTTTCGTTTTCCTTCAGTTTGTGCAGCTGATTCTCTTTGGGTTACTGAATGACCGATTGTCTCACCCAACTGCGTCCATTACCTTCAACGACCTTTATTATGGCATTCCTGCTACGCTGACTTGTATTGAGGCATGGATATTCACGATTATTTTTATGTGGTCTTTTTCAACGAATGAGTATGCCCCCGACAACATCGATGGCCAATGCCATCGCATGCCCTTTTGGCGCGCGCTTTTGGACTCTCTCAATATTGCAGACTTCGTTGAAGCAATAGCCGTATTGATCCGCATTTTGATGGAAGGAAATTGGCAACCGATAAGAGAAGACCAGAACAATGGCGAAAGGAAGTGAGCAGATGAGAGTACGGGGTAGTTCAAAGGGCTGCATCCGTACCAGTTCCGTCCGCATCGGATAGCCCCCAGATCAAGGCCGGTAGGCAATAGTCGGGGCCTTGCAACGATGGGCACACCTGGCGGAACAATATAAATGATGCAGTTGAGCAGGAGAAAGGATTTGAGACCGCTTAAATGGTACTCAGTATCAAACACAGAGGGGGGAGTTTTGTTTTACAGCATAAAGGCACATTTCACACTTGGTAACTGCGTTTAAAGAAATTACAGTCTTTGGAAAAATATTCAAGTGTATTCTGCGTACTATGGGTTATTTATACTTTGTAACAAACGCTTGTGCCTTTGCCAAACTCATAGAGTTCTTCAAAAATGCGAGTACACCTTGCACCCAACCTCGTCTAAAGTCAACGTCCAATTTCTGAACATCCTGGTTCTGCAAACACGCCATAGCTGCGGAAAGAGGCCATAGCATCAGAATGCCTCTGAGGCTGTACAACTCGTCTGTCGACTGCGGGTCATCCATACCACCCGTTGCCGTCAATTGAAGCATGGACGGCACAGTCATACAAAGATCATTGATAATCTCCATCAGCAGTGCAGCAGTAGACGAAACAAGGGACTCATCGATTCCGGATGTATTGGTATCAGAGCGTGACGAGTCAACGCTTGGGTGAGCGCACTCGAGGATGGAGAGATTTAGCAGGAGACGCGTACCACGGTAGAGGTTTGTGGATAGCACCGCTAGGAAGCTATCATAGACGAGCATTTCGCTTGGAGACCCCGGGAGGCTGAAGAGCTCTCGAGCCCATTGTGGTCGGCCCTGAACATTTACAGCGTAAACTCGGGATGAAGCCCATTCCCCGCGACTGGTGTTTTGCTGATACCACTCTTCCAGCGCCTCATCGACATCCATGGGCTCCTGGAGTCGTGGGTCCAGCCTCTGTGGTAGGTTTTCGTTTGGTTTGTCATTTCCAATTGATGAAGACCGCTGCGTAAGATCATGTCGGATTTGGCAGGCTCTGTGCATAAGAGTGGTCAAGTCGGATCTGGGATCGCTTGTTGCATGTAGTTTCATGTCTGCAAGAAACAATGGCGGCGGCTCATTGTTAGCGAGACAAAATATGAGCTAAAGAGAATTAGCAAAGGCTTGCTCATCTAGACATCTGTTGCCTTTAAACCGAGGAAACCGGGACACATACAGTTTGCATGTGGAGGACGGGCGCGTAATTGGGTTTATCAAGTCGTTTCCTCCCCTCGCCGCCCTCCCAAAAATGTTCCAGGATGGAAATGGCTCCTCGCAGGTGGATGGCGTAGATCCCATCGAAATCTGTCGAAGTCATGACCTGCCTACCATTAGTATTCAAGATGTAAGATGCAAAGAAGAGACCTAACCGACTTCGTAGATGCCCAAGAGGAATATCCCAAAGAGGACTTCCTCCATCTTGATCTTCCCACTGGTAGAATTAGACATTACGCTTGCAAACCGACCAAGGGCATCGTTATAGAACACAACTGCGGCATCCTTCGCCTCTTGGGACTTGAGCCTGCCACCAAAGTTTACCAGTGCAAGTGCTGACAATGCAGAATGAAACCATGAGTTTGGCGACGAGTCTGCCATCATTTGAGGAATCTGATCGAGCGAGCCTCTGATCCTCGTATCACGGTCTTGTGCGCTTGCAAAGTCGTAGAGAAAACGCAGCTGAACCATGTGTTGAAGCGATGGACGCAAAGAAACCGACTTGGGGACTGGGGCGCTATTGGGATATACTTGTTGCGATGATGCTAATTGCATGCCGTTCGTCCCTGGTGGCGAAGGAGAACTTGTGTGCCTAGTTGCTCGTTTTCGCCATTTTGACTTTGCAGTTTCTGCTGCATAACGGCTTTGGTTCCGTAGAATTAGGTCGAATGTGTCCTTGTACTCGCATATCTGGGTGGCCTTTCTGCAACGCAAGCAGCTCGGCTTGTTTTCATCACACTGGCATGGTTAGCACGGCTCATTCAGTTGGAGACAAGTAACCCCAAGACAGTCCTGAGAATATTCTGAATGCAATGCCTAATCTCTAGAAATATTATGTTACCTTGACTTTAATAGAGATACATCTCCGACAACCTTTGCTAGGACCCTTGTATGGCATATTTATTGCTGACGCGTAATAGCGCTGGTGAAAGTCGGTCTATTGTAACCCGTGTATTTATAGCAGTTGAAACAAGCCTCCCCTCTACTGGAGAGGTTTCCGGAATTATATGAGACCGAGAAGCTCCTGGTTGGCTCTCTAGGCATCAATAAACTTAACAAAGGCCTACGGATTTTAACCGGATATTAGGGAGTAGGAGCACGATGGATTATCACGTAGTAACACGCAGACGCAATGGACCCCATGGATGACTTTTTGGACTAAATTTGGGGAGTTACTCTATAGCTATTTTAAGAGCAGCTCGATGGCCTATGCTATTGGAAATTTGAATCAGGATGTAGCTCGAAATTTCCTTAATGAGCGTGTATCGGTATACCATAGATCAGCTAGCAATAGAGGTGTTTAGCTTACTCCTCAATAACCATGGCCTATGGCTTATTTAATTACAGTCTCCGTTGACGAAACAGCGCAAAAACACGCCAGTCCCTTTGGGAAATTGCTCCCTTCTCCTCTTTCTCTGCAGCTTGTTTCTCCTCGGCAGTAATTCGACCAGTGGAAAGGCCCATTGATGCTGGCTGGACGCGAGAGTATCGAAAGAGGAATTTTGGAGCCAATATGAGCACAATATGAATAGGAATTCCCACGTAAACGAACACGAACGGCTTCGCCTGAAATGACGTTCTGAAATCGCCGACGCCTAGAGAATAGATATATGTTAGGGCACAATCTGCTGCCGACATGGTACGGAGAACAGTACACGAGCTTAACATACCATTAAATAAAACAACAAGACTCAATTTCATCCACGACTCGCTATAAGGAAGGCTATCGCGGGGCATATTTTGCGCCTCCATGCCTCGCCGAAATGACAGATAAGTAACCATGATGCTAATCCAGTTAAATAAGCCGAAAATGGTGGCAAGCGATACAAAATCGCTGAACACCTGGTTACTGCCAGTTGTTACGTTCATCAACGCCAAGAGAAAGAAAATTGAAGCCGTTCCAACCGCCGCAATGGGGACAGCGCCGTAAGTTCTGGTGAATCTTTGGAGCAAGTAGCTGTCGCGAGCTAGACCGTAGAGCGTTCGTGATGCGATATATATATCTGCCTGTTGTTAGAGATGCGGCGCTATCATGTTCATTCGATGCACTCACCCGAGTTTGCTGCACTCAAGACAAAAACGAGCAAGCAGCCATTAATGAAGCCCGGAAGAAAGCTGATGCCCGCATCTTTGATCGCCACAATAAAAGGAGAAGCGCCTATTATATGATGAGTAAAATATTGATGAGAGCACGGATATTCAGAAAGGCAGTAGTGTCAACATACCAGCTCCCGTCTTTGAGTGAGTTGCTGTCATCAAGTTAGGGCTGTTGTACGGCACAACCAAACCCAAGAGGAAAACAGCCCCTACATAAAGAAAAAGAATTCGCCAAAACGTTTGTCGTATGGCACGCGGAATCACCTTCCATGGCTTGCCTGCCTCTCCAAAGGCCACACCCACGATCTCTGTCCCCATGTATACAAAGCCTGCGCTGACCATGCAGGACCACCAGCCCAGAAACCGTCCCGTTGCTCCATCAACGAGATGAGCATTGAAAGCGCCGGGATCTTCCAGTAGCGAAATCCGAGTCTATCATGATTCGGGCCTCCGCCAAGATCAATGACCAAGCAGAGTGTCATCAGTCCTAGAACACGAGAGTCTTGATGATTGCAGCGACAAATTCGATTTCCCCAAAGACTTTGACTGGGAAAAGCTTAGGTGGTTGTTAGATTCAAGGGTATTTGCTTGGCTTGGATAGTTGGTCGAGACTCACGTTGATACAAATGATCGGAACTGCAAATGAAATCTTAATGAATAACTGAATACTTACCCATAGGCAGGGTCTACAAAGCGCGCTGCATGTCCACTGAATCCCTTGTCCATGGCAAAGGCCGTCGCCATCTCTCCGTAAGCAACAAGTACGTTGTAACAGATGAAGCCCAGAATAGCAAATGCTATCAGCATCGAGCCAGACCTTCCATTAGCTAGAGAAGAACCTTTTGCAATCAGCAGCCCAGTGCCGATAGAGCCGGCAATCGAAAACATGTTGATTTGCCGGCTGTTGAGGCTCCTCTTGAGGTGGCCATTTTGCCCATTTGTCGGAATTTGGTTGGTTTCATCTGCTAGTATCGCGGTGCCAATGACACCTTCGTCTTGATCAAAGGTCGGTTTCGGCGAGGTTTCCATACTTCAAATGGGCGATCTCTGTTGCAAGTGTGGAGTATTGTAGGGTCGAGAGGAGAATATCTTGACGGAGCCGGGATAGATGAACGATCTGGCTTGCTCGTTCAACTCCCTTCCCCACGGGGTCATGATCCCATTTGTATCCAGATTAGCCATATACGTGCTGTCAAATTTAACAGCACTTACAGGTATCACAGGGCGATGGCGATTCGGCGCCGAGACCCCGGCTGGAGACGTGCCATCTCGACACCTTGAACAATAACCACACTAAACCTTACGCTACCCCATACTTTAGGCCAGAACTAGATAGTCTTTCTACGATGGCCCGATGCTTGGATTTGTCAAGATGATCCAAATCTTTCCGCAACTTCCTCGTTAGAAGTGTGGACGGATTATAAGATGAATGCCCCAGCCATCACCGGAACACAAGATATCCATGTCGTAGAGAAATCAGGAGAATAAGTATGACAACACGACACCTATATATAGTGTATAAAGAACAGACTCATTAAGTATTGATGAAGCTAAGATAGCCAAGTGTACGAGACGCCGTGAAAAAGGTATGAATGGTCTTCGGCGATGAATCACCGGAAACCTCAACACGCACATATCCACAAATCACCGTCACCTTGATACTGAATGAACCAAGGAAATCCGCGACACCCATTTCAAACGTTACGGTACTCCGTACTTTGAAATAGTATTAGCTACCGAGCCGGCGACACAGGGGGATTTAAATTTCGCGTGCATGTCTGTTCCATTTCTGGTCCATTAGCCAAGTACACCGACTCGCGCTTCACAAGGAAGAGGAATGTATTGCATCCATTTCCCACCGACCAACTCTCCGGCTAGCAACTTGATACATGGGTGACATGATGGAACTTTAGTCAACGTGGAGACTGAAAACACCCAAAGCGGTTTCAAGTTGCTGAATCCACTCTGTTCCGTCTTCATACCCACCAGAAGAAATCTGAGCAAAGATAGCCCCCAGATCCTTTGTAATCGCTTCTCGGGAATGCTGGTTGAGGAGACCCTTGGCGATTGCAGAATAGCCTTGTGCCAACAACACCAGGCCGGGTGCGTTGGCAGCCCGGTATCGTTGAGTAGAGATGGAGAATCCCGCCAGCGCATCTTCGAGTCTGCCCAGGGCCAGGTCAAAGGCCGCCACCAGCCAAGCGCCTGTGCCCTGGTGGACGGCACCAAGCTGCAGTGTATCGACCAGCTCTGCAGAGTGGATTGCGAGCCGCTTCGCCGCGACCAGGGTTGGCCTATCGAGGCTGCCATCTTCAACCTGTTGCCATCCGGGCCAGGCGTCTGCCGAAGCATTGTAAGTGAAGCGTTGGACGGCTTTCAAAGCCCGAGTCTCGTCTTGGGTGGGGTTTGCGAGCACTTTGACTTGATGCTCTATCGCATCTGCAGCTGCAGCAGCTATAGCGGTTGTCTGGCAAGGATCGCCTTTGCGACGGGCGTCTTTGACTCTGGCTTCCCAGGATGCGACTTGCTCACCAAGTGTCGAAGCGACGGCATGATGAGCGGTAATGTCAGTCATTGTAACAAGGGCCGATGTGGAGGAGTATTTTCAGAACAAATTTGCTATATAGTCTTCCCTCGATGGTCACGCTGGATTGGTAGTAGATATTCTTTTCGTAGAGAGCAGACGACGCCCCCTGCTTGTGTGCTTGCATGCACATCGTGAAATCTCTCATATCCCTGCCCCGCTTGACCATCACGCAGCCGTGCAAGGCCATCAGTCGAGGTCAAATGTAACAAACCACTCTTCCGATTCGGCGGTTTGAAACGCGCTTTTCAGCTTTCCACTGGTCATCTTCCGGGTCCATAGCGGGTGGCCGATGTTGCAGGGCAATTCCGGTATCCTGGAGATGATTTGCGAAAGAAAGTCCAAATCCAACTCGACTGGCAATCGGCTCTTCTCGCCCAGGGTTACCACCCTTTGATGTAGCTGAACCTCGTTTTTTGGTCTTGTTTCACATCTATAACATGTATCGCGACGTACTCAATGTTGAAAAACAAAAAGTTTAAGTGCCCAAAGGCTATTGAGGTTTATATTTCAACACTCAAAAGTACACCACCTCAAGTCACTCAAACACAACAATCCCAAATAGCCACACAGAACTCTCGTATAAATCGAATGCGCTCAGTACATAAAAAAGGCGTTTCTTGAGCTTTAAAATAATATACAACTTACTATATACAAAAGGCTGTCGCAGACCCGAAAAGCGCCGCGGACAACCCCCCCGGCAGGACTCCCGGATTGGATCCAGTAAATTCCACCGCCATCTATCGGCCAATTGAAAACACCACGAGACCTACATATCTAGGTATTATCCGAGTCTGATACGGCGTCAAAGCCTCGCTCTCTCGCAGTAGCACCTTTGCTTGCCCTTTTGAATGCCTTTGGCAGGCATCAGCATTTTTACCTGTCGTGATTACTCGTCACTACAGCTCTATTTTGAGTACGTGTAGTCAAGCCTAGAATCCACGGGACAGCCGAAAGAAAGGGTTACGGCTAAGATGACCCCTTTTCTATGCAGCTCAGATCTAGAAAACAATACGAATCTGTCTGTAGCACTCAATCCATTACATTGTATTAACCTCTGCCGTGGCTAAGATTCGCCGGACCGAGTCGAAGATGAAGCGCTGATTATTCTCCGTGCTGTTTGTACCTCTGGCGATGACTGCTTCAAGTCTGAAACCAGCTCCTCGGCAGCTTCGACCAAAGCTTCATCTGAAAGTGGTTCTAATGCATCCAAAATAAACAGCACACGAGTTGTATCGTCTGTTAATGCAGTCCGCGGACCCTGACGCCAGTTCTAGCGGCGACAAGTAATGCCAGTATCATCACACCAAATGGGCTCACCTGGCACGGCACACTCGCTTTGGGCCTGGCCACCAGAGAAAGTCTCAAACTGCTCCTGTCCGCTGGCACGGGTGAGAAACGGTGATCCATTGTATTTGTCCAGATCTTCGCCGCCGATGTGGACCTGGTGTTTCACGGAAATGGCGTTATAGATATCCGTCAATCGATTCACACGTGGTAGGCCGCCTTCTGCACGTCGAGTCAATGCTTCCAGACTATTGCGTGTTTTCTGAGGCTTCGCCCTAAAAGCCTTGTAAGCTTCGCGCTATGCGGCGATATGTGGAAGTTCAGTGACTATTCGTTCCAACAACAGTCCTTTGACAGAATTTTCCGCCTCGCGCAAAAGAGTCTCGCTGGCGTCGTCGCCAGGTCCCGGGGGAATGCCCTCAATAACCATCAAGAGCACGCGATATTCGGGACGTAGCTCAAAAAGTTTCGGGTGTTATCTGAGCAGCGTTGAGGAGTTTTTGCATGTTGCTGATTATACTCGTCCGAAGAGAACAGCACGAGTTTGCTCGCGGCTACTTGAGATGAATAAAAGCCGTTGCGAATGGAAGACACACAAATAAAAGTGTAACTAAGCGAGAAGTAACGTACAAGGACAAATTGAAGAGCTCCATCATCTTCAGACGAGCATACCTATCCAAGAATTTTATATAGTATATTACGACAAGCATAGCCGAATCGAGCCCTTGTCCAACATAATAGATCTCATCGCTTCTTTTTCCACCTTGACGCCTTTCCATCGACAGAAGCTTAGAGAATGCCCGTAGAACATACAAATGCCATAGCACAAGGCGCGTCGTACATCTACGAGTGGAGCTGCGTGTCTCACAAACATCGCCTATGCGGATCGCTGTCAAGCGGGAAAGAGTCATTACACACTGGCTTTCAACATTCACAAGTTGCTATTTCTTAGATATAGCCAATAGCGGCTCATCATGGGGAAAATTGTTCTCATCAGACTTGTTGCTGGGCTGTCATTCTTTAAGAGTACACTTTCTGTTGCCGTCTCTGTCTTTCTGAAGACTACTACAATGGCTTAGTTAATATAGCCAAATCATTGTGGTTCTTTCGACCCTTGATAGTGTAACGCAGCTAGGTGCCATGTCTTTGCAAGTCAAAGCTTGGCGTGTCCAATTCTATGCCATGAACCTCCAGATTAACGTTTGCTTTTTTCCAAATGACTAAGAATTGATGCCAAGAAGTCATGCGTAACAATTTCGTCTTATTTTCGTAATAAAAGGGAAGAAACATGTAATGTGAACATGTTGATCACTCCATACCCTACATACCAAATCAGTGAATTTTCGCTTTGAGATAAGCCTGATAATAACCTCACTAGTCAATCTTACACCATCATGTTAAACACGCCTTATGTTAACTCTCTTGGGACTAACCACACAAACTAGCGGATACATAGCAGGGTGTTGAACACGCCTTATGCATACAAGCGGAGACTGGCCCACCAACTCAGGCTGAGGGTTGCTTTATTTCTGTTTGGTTCCCTCGAGAGAATGCTGATTCAATCTGCAGCGATATATCTTGGGCTGCATCCTCGCGTTGGCTGAGACACACACCAAGCTCGTTTGAGATTTGAAACCGTACATTGTCGGTGAATATGGCGACATGTACCCAAACGCAGGCTGCCATACTGCCATCTGTGGCTCTTACCACCGGCGACATTAGTTCACGACAATCACTGGAATACAGCAACGCCGAGCAACCTGCCGAATCCGATGATGAGGCTCCACGAATGTCTCTCCTCCGCAAGCTGGCGGTTATTATACAACTCTCAGGCGTCAATTTCTCTTCGAGCGCCGTGAACGGTCTTGTCGTCGTCGGCTTACCTACCATCACCGCTGATCTCAGATTAGATCCATCACTAGCTTTTTGGCCAACTTCGGTCTCCAGCTTGGCAAACGCTTCCACAATCCTCCTTGCTGGCTCTGTAGCAGATTCAATAGGGCCCCGACCTGTCAATATCGCCGGTGGTTTAGTGACGGGTGCATTCATCATAGCCGCCGGTGCCTGCAAAACAGGCCCTCAACTCATTGTGATGCGTGCCTTGCAGGGTATCGGCTACGCCATGCATCTGGTGTCGTCTGTCGCTATTGTAACCCACGCACTTCCACGTGGAAGGCCTCGCAACTTTGCCTTCTCTTGCCTTGGTCTTAGCCAGCCGTTGGGCTTCTCGTTCGGCCTGGTCCTAGGTGGCATCCTTCAGGATCTCATCGGCTGGAGGGCAGCTTGGTACATATACGGAGGCCTGACCCTTGCACTCTCCATTGTCGCCACCTGGGCCTTGCCGAATTTCCAGAATGAGGCAACATTCAAGGGCACTATGCGCAATTTGAAAGCCCGAGTGGATTGGGTTGGGGCGTTGCTTGCCTCCATCTTCATGACATTGCTATCTTACCTCTTTGCGTAAGCTCACTCCCCTGTTGATGCGTATTCCATGAGCTCACGAATTTGCAGTGCCATCAGTGTGGACTTGAATAGAATCCGAGACCCAAAAAGTATCGTCTTCATCTGCTTAATCGCCATGGCACTACCCTTGTTTGTTGTCTGGGTCCACCGACAGGTCAAACTTGGTAAACCAGCACTCATTCCGAATGCTCTATGGAAAGAGACGGCATTTTCCAGCGTTTGTGGTACGGTGGCTCTTTCGTTTGGTGTGACGACGTCAATGGAGCTTTTCGCCAGTTTATTGTAAGTCATCACCCAGCAGTTCCAACGCTGTTACCTGCTAACGAAAAGTTGCGTAGTTTCCAACAAGTCCAGCGCCTTTCTCCCCTTCAGACTGGTCTTAGAATTATGCCAAGTCTCCTTGTAGGAGTTGTCCTCAACGTCACTACAGGTTTATTTGTCCACAGAGTGCCTGCGTTGTGGATCGTGACTGTGTCCTCCATCATTTGTTCAGTAGCGCCCCTTCTCATGGCAGTAATTAAAGTACAATCTCCGTACTGGACCAACGCCTTTATTGCACAGGTGCTGGCGCCTATGAGCACCGATGTCCTCTTCACGGTAGGTCTCATCATTATTTCGGACAACTTTCCTGATAACACGCAAGCATTGGCGGGCGCTGTGTTTAACACAGCAAGCCAACTCGGCCAGGCCCTCACCTTGGGCATGATGCAAATTGTCTCAACACTTGTGACAAAGGATCACAACGACAAGGCCTTGCCAATGGCTAGACTGGAGGGCTTGAGAGCAAGCTTCTGGACCATGTTTGGTTTCATGATGGTATGCACTTTGTGGGGTGCAATTGGACTACGGAACACTGGAAGAGTTGGATTAAAGCGGGATTAGACTCATTATCTCTAGTAAACATCTAAACTTCAAAAGAGACTATAACACTCACATTTGAGGAGACCTTGAAAGTATCATTCTTTCATGTCTGAGGACTCATCACTACACGTCAGCAGAACATTTCTATTGACACATACAATTAGACGTGAATAACTTGGAGTGGTGCCATGTATTCATACTGGCTGGTAGTTTGCTCTCAAGTTTCTTTCTAGAGCTAGGCTCTTAAAAGATTAAACTCGTTTTGCCGTCTCAACCAAGGTGGGCCTGACCAGAGGGATCCGAAGTGGCGAAGCGCCACATCTGCGTCCCATGATCTGACTCTCAAACTTCTGATTGTTTTGTTCACTCTCATCGAATGATCGTCGCTTTTCGCTGTTGTTTGACAGACGTACTCCGTTGGTTGTCGGCAATTCAAGCGATATGTCAGGAGCTGACTGTGAACTCGTACAGCCTCACGATGGCCCGGATCCCGACACTTGTCCAGCTTCAGGGCAGACGGATCTCTCCACCTCGCTGCACCAACACGATGTCACACAGCACAGCATCTCAACTCAACTTTTAGACAAGACGCTTTCGGAGCATTCCTACAGGTCTGCAGCCACAGATCAGTCCATGAACCAGGACAATCTCTCCGATGACTTCTGGGGCTTGGGAGACATGGCAATTGCGGCAACCAGTGCATCTGACGCTGTAGCTAGATCGAGTGCCCATTCTAGCGTTCCCCATGTTCCACAAACAAGTCATCACGATTCGAATGCGGCCGATGAAAGTATTTCCCAGGAAAATCCCGCCTCTCTGAATTATGAAATTTTCACGACTCTATCGCCTCTCCCCAATATGGGGCGGGGATCGGGCCCTCAATCTGTAGGGTCAGCCCATGTTCATTCGCATAGCAACTCTGTGAATCCCCCAAAGATAGGCTCGCGCTTCTCTAGGGAATCATCCAAGCTGTTAAAACAGTGGTTTTCAAACCACTATCAGTATCCATATCCGAGTAAAGAAGAAATGAAGATACTACAACAACAGACTGGTCTATCCAAGACGCAAATCAGCAACTGGCTTTCGAATACCAGGCGGCGAGAAAAGATGCACTACAGCACACAATCTTCTCAAAAGGCAACGGCCGCAGTTGATTCAAATACACCGGCGATGAATATCCCCAGACGACCCGATACGCCGACAGTTCAGAAGAGGCGTAATTGCCGCACTATGGGACCTCTTGAACGCTGGGTTGACTCGCCTCCAGAGAGTGAGCCTGCAACGGTCACTGCCATAGCCAATGCAGTTCAATGTGCTGAATCATCACAATGTACGTATCTAGACGGTTTCTTTGTTGGATCAATGCGCATGAATGAAAGTTGACTTGTGCACCAAGCTTGGCCATTGTCGACGCCCATGGATGACGAGTCCGGCCAGTCTATCAACGAGTCGTCAGACAACAGCTATCGGACCTCAAGTGGTAGCTCACTTGGTTCGGCATACTCTCATGGCTCCAGTGATTCTGTTACGGGGGCTCCAGCTGTATTACGTAGCAGGTCACGTCGTCGTCGAAAGCGCAGGCTGCCGTCAAGGCCGCACATACCTCGTGTCGGTAAGAGGCAGTATCCCTTCCAATGTACTTTCTGCGCAGAGACATTCAGAACGAAATATGACTGGCAGAGACATGAGAAAACTCTTCATATACCCCTCGAGCGATGGCTGTGTTCCCCTGACGGACCGCGCGCCATCAACCCCGAAACTGGCCAGCCGCAATGTGTATTCTGTGGCGAATCAGAGCCAACTGATGGTCATATAAACAGCCACAACCCATATTCGTGCCAGGAACGGGTATTCAACAGGAAAGATCATCTTAAGCAACACTTACACTTGGTACACAAGGCGAAGCTGGCAAACGCGGTTACAACCGGTTGGAAAACATCTACCCCTAATATTCGATCACGGTGTGGATTTTGCGAGATGTATCTAGATTCATGGGGTGATCGGGTTGAACACTTGGCCGACCATTTTAAAATGGGCAAGACTATGGCCAGCTGGACGGGTGATTGGGGTTTTGATGATGCCATCACAGACACGCTCGAGGACGCCATTCCACCTTGTAAGACGTCCCATCCTAGTTACTCCTTGATGGAACCTAATCATCATGTTATAGATCTCCTCGGTAAAGAGAGCACTAGCATGTTTCCGTTCGAAGCAAGCGATGTTTCTCCAGAATCCCCTCGCACCGCGTACGAACTGCTCGTCGTCGAGCTCTCCTGCTTTGTCGAAACATATCAGTACAAGACCAGGCAGCTTCCCAGCCATGACGCCATGCATACCGAAGCCTGTCGCATTATCTTTGCCTCGGAGATGTTGTCTTTAGAAGTGGACGCCGAACCCTCATGGCTGCGAGACGTAGTCTTGTCGAATGAGATGATTGCTACGCAGGCGCAGTTCCTCCCTATACGAACACCGTCTGAGGGAAGGCTTCGAACCTTGGAGATTAGGGGAAAGAAGTCGCTATTCGAAGATTGCCCGCTTGAGGCTCAACTCTACAATTTTGCCTTTACCGAGGCGATGGCTAACCAGGCCGTCATTTCCGACGAGATGTTACAGGCCGAGGCTTGTAAAATAATCACACGAATGCAGCAAGCCTTACAGCTGCCCCTAACCGATTTTGTCTTTATGTGGTTTATGACATTGGTTTATTCGTCGCCCATGAATTGGCTCAGCCATTTCAGGCGACGTTCGTCTCTTCCACTCACTGAAAGTGGTGGCACATCTATATCTACGAGTTTGGCCGGGCACTGGACTGTAGGGACTACATCTGGCGCAATTCGCAGCCACTTATATATCGGTACTCACGATTTTGAAGCACTCCGGCAACCCGGCGGAGAGGCAACGCTAGGGGCTGGACATTGTGAAGCTTCGCCTAGCGACTTGCATTTGACTGGGCTTAAACATACACCAACAAATGTCGAAACTAGCACACCTTTGTCATCAGAGTCATTTGTTCCGATCATGGCTCCGTTGATGAGCGAGGAACTCTTTAGCCACGGACCAGGAAGAAATTCTAGGGCAATTGGCAGTTCTGGTCCGGAAGTGAGCGGTACGGCATTGCTCATGAAGCATGTGAATGTAGGTTCGGGGAGAAATCCCGATGGCCTTCAGACTGGGTCTTATATGTTCCATGATCCCAATCTATACAAGTGGTTGGGCCGGGAGTTGGGCCGCTGGGTCACGTCTATCATGTCTCCCAAAAACCCAAATTCCCATGTGCCGTCCGACGAGGAGATTCAGCATCATGCTCGCTTTCTAGTGTATGATGAGTAAGTTCATTAACACCTTGTGTAGTCCTTGTACTGCGCTAATCGATTTTCAGTGATGATCCGTGGAATCAGACGGTGGCAGATAATCTAGAGTGGCTGCATCGTTTCAAAGTCAGTGTTGGGATTGTTCCAGAATAGACCCGAGATAAGTTTCACTGATGGAAGTGGTTATAGCTACATTGCATCATCTCAGTTACCCATATACGCCGTGGATTCATCTCATGTCGTGCGTGCACTTACAAATGCAGATTGAAGATGAAACACGACGTGCCCCATGATGATTTTCTCTTGTCGTAATCATCACCAACATTCTCTTCCTCTTCAATAGTAGCAATGCCATGAGAGTGATATGGATCAACAGCGATTTTGCTAAACTTATGCGCTGGAACGCGCCTCTCAAAAAGCACATCAATATCAGCAAATGTAAGACCTTTTGGTTCGGGTAGACGGAAATAAGTCCAAACAATGCCAATCAAGTTCGTTCCAGCCCAGAGGAAAGCAGCCTTTCCACGCCAATTCCAGGCAGTTGGGTTTATTAAACGCGCCTGAAGAGTGCTAGTGATGAAACCAGAGGCAAGATATGAGTTACGTTAATGTAATAAAGCGATTGTCTTGATTCGAAGACGATTTGATGGCAACTCAGCCACAAGTGAAGTGAGTCAGTGAACGTGTTGGATGGGGGATCCCTACAACTTACCATGGCAACCCAGACGTGATGTAGCCAGCAAGAAGCATCTCTACGTTGACAGCAAAGCATTGTATAAAATGAAGCATGTATTATGATGTCGTCCATGGCACTTGTTGAGTCGGAGCTGTTGCTTAGTGGAGGGAGATTGGGCACCTCGGTAATGTGGTCGTTGAGGAGCTGAAACATGGTTTCTGGTAACATGCCGCGGCATCCCGATCGTTTGGTCGCAACGTGTAAGAGTTGTAGCCAGACACAGATCCGTAAGGCCATAGGAGACCGATCGGTATTTAGTAGCCAAACGGCCAATCTTGCCTCGAAAGCCAAGCCAAAGGGTTGGAACGCAGGGCCATCTTCGTTGGGTAGAATAATCTCGCAGAGGCATAGAAGCAGTGAGATGACTATAATAGTCTCAAAAGCAACTTTCTCATCAGCCGCCAGGAGCTCAAAAGCGGCAAGACGGGCTTGATACTGCGACGCAGCGTGAATCATGGCCAATCGATTCACCTGTGCTCTGTAGATGCTTTGGACGGCTTCAATGGCTGCAGCTATCGATGTGTCCTGGGTACCTAGTTGCTCCAATTTAAATAGTCAAAGGTTGAAAAGATGGGACAGTCGACTTCGTCAATGAAATATGAGGATGATGGAGACGTTATTCCAGAATGGTATAAGAAATCAATGGCCGTGGTTACATATACTAGCAACGATGTAGTGTGGAACCGAGCAGAGGGCGAGTCTGCATTGTTCGAGTTGGACTCCCGATGGAAGCTGCTCATGTCTTGATTCGATGCTGGAAGGGTTTGAGATGACTGCAATGAATAGCGAGCAGTCTTGAAGATTGCCGAGTCTCTGGTATCGCAAGTAGAATCAGGAGGCAATAAATCGCCCTGAATTTGATGCTTTCTGCTCTTTGCTGTCGACCCTTGGCGGCGCCGGCTGTAAAGGCATCAGAGGCAGCCTCCGTCCATAGACGCATTTCCTCTTTGCCTTTGAGCACCTGTGACGATTCGGTCGCCGCTCATGGCATTTGATCTTTCTGGCTCGGCAGACGAGGCATCCAGTGCGGACACGACTTCGGTGGCTTGTTTGCTGTAATGGTGGACTCGGATTGCTGCCGTTTTGGATATAGGTATTTGGATCCGTAAGCATCACGAATTGTGACATCAACGCTGCACTGTGGCATACGAATATGAGGAAGAAAATGAGCAGTGAGAAATTTACAGCATGAGATTCTCCTCCAAATAGGAGGAACAGGCGGAGGGTTTGTAGGTCCCACCCATACCAACCACGTGGGCTTGGAGAGCAGCCAAAGAAGAGGCGCGTTTGAGCAGTCTGGGGAAAAGGTAAGATGTAGTTTACAGACTGTTTCTACAGAGTAACGCTCAAAAGATGAATCGCTACCTACGCTCAGGATCTCCCGGCTGAATCTTGGTACAAGTTGATGCATCCATGCCGCCGCAAACCGTACGCCAAGTCCCAATGCCAGCCTCATTCCCACGCCAAAGCAAAAAGCTGGGGTATTACTGATCTGATGGATCCCACTCTCCATGTAACCATAAACAGCAGAGGCCATCCGTAAAAGGGACTGTTACAGGCTCATATAAATTGATGAAGCTCCAGTCTAGGCGGCGGTAATGGTGGACAAGGATGGACATAATCACAGGGCGAGACTGGTAACACTACGATGTGTGTTTGTATGGATATCTCGCCCAGACATGCATGCCAGTGCATCAAAAATAGCGTGGAAATAAATACCGTTACCAAGAAATAATGCAACCTCTTATAGAAGTAAAGAGTGTCCACCTGTAATATCATGTATGTTTCAATCTTGATAATACCTAGTGGCTGGTCACAACATAAAATGAACATCCATCGTTTGACCGAAGCAAGCAGCAATGGAAGCTGGAGTTGAAAATATGTACCTACTAGAGGTAATCACTGGGCGCCTGAAATAGCGACAACCCAGACTACATGTACCTACTGCATGTATATGTCATGCCGACCAATTGGCTGCGGTACAAAAAAAATAAAGCTTGCATTGCAATTTTTTTGTCTCCATGCCTCGCGAATTTCTTCGCGGTGCATCGCAAGGAATTGCAAGCTTGGGAAAATAGTGTCTTTTCGAGATTTGAGCTGGGGAGAAATCAATCGGGCTATCAGGCCCACTGGGCTATCCTATCCGTGCTATTGATCCATTGATTGGATGGATCTGAATTGCAGCGCTGTGCCGATACGTCCTTGTAGGGCTTGGGGCGCTGTAACGCGCTGTATCGAGAGGTAAGCACCTGAACTGGAGCGCTGAGGCTGATAAGGATAAGGCACCTGGGCACCTATGGAGACGCCGCCAGTCGCGTATGGCCACCGCAAAATGGACCTCTTACCAAAAAGGCCCCCGCCTCGTGGGTACATGTACGTACAAAAGATTTCTTAGCATTAAATGATAATACTTGTACAGTCTTTTGTATTTTTTTCCAGCAGCCTCAGGCACCAGCAGGCAATAGCAATCTTTCCATCCCTTTGCCAAAAGTTCCTTCATCTCCATCACCTTGTTCACATCCTTCGTCTCCTTCGTCCCCATCGTCTCCATCACCAACTGTCAAGTCATCAAAAGGTCAGTCAATCAGCGCATGCAATCCAGCACTAACCAGCGCTGCACCAGGCCTACCAGATCTCGCCGCATACGATCCGACACCGCTCCACACGTTCCGACGCCGCACCCCGCACGCCGTTATACTGCAGGGATTTTGGCAGACTTGGTGGGATCTGGATGGCCTAGGGTGGCTGATGGCGGGAATTTGACGGGGGGGGATTGTGTCCGAGTCCAAGATGGGCGCGGGCAAGGCACATCAGTCTGCTGGTCGGCCAAGGTGCTGAAGGTCTTGCCAGCCTTGCGGTTCTGCAGGACCACGCCAGGGTTGGGCCGATGCTGTCGGCAGTCAGCCGTGAATTCTTGGATGGCGATGGAATGGAAACAAGGAACGGTGAGTTGGTCGACTTGTTCAGCCTTGTTTGCCCTGAATGCTCACGTCGTTGTGCGGTTGGACGGCTTGCCCACGGCCGACTGCTCGATGCACAAAGGTTTGTCGCGCAGTACTGGCAGTTTGTAACACTCTTCCTGATGGCTGTCAGTCATGTTGACGGCCTGCCCCCAGTAGGTCATTCAGCCATGACGACTCTGACAGACTGGAACGTCGTCCAGCGCGCTCTGTCTTGCTGTTGCCCACGCATTCTCTGCCTGTCAACCAACACTGTCGAACGGCTACAGCTCCTCCGCCGAACCTGTCGCTGGTCAACATCAACCCGTGCCCGTCGCCCACCCCGCCGCCGAAACGAAATTGACCTTGACGACCCTCGATCCACTGGAGTTTGCTGAAGTCGCAATACAATTCAAAAGTGCACTTGCTCATCCACAAACGGGCCAACCAGAAGCTACCGCCTAACCTCGCTTCAGGCTGCAGCCTTGATGCATGGAGATTTTGCAACTTTTTTTTACTGTCAAACAAAATTGCATGCAATTCTACTAGGCAGACGAGCTTGCAGCCTGCACTACCCGTCCGTTCAGACTTGTCGACCAGTTGATTCACCTTGACGGATACGTCTTTGTTAGCCTCCCCATTGGCTCCATTGCTTTCTATGCCTTGATCGCGTTGGTTGGCATGCACTTTTCGACGCACGCCTTGAAGCATGTGCATTTCTGGCCGACGTCAATTTCGCTGAGCTCAAACGCCGCTTCCACCAGTTTCTCGCAATAGACTCGATCGTCTCGCACGGTCGGTTCATTGAGGTTTGCCGGGTTATTGCAGCTTGCGATACTCCCCCTGCGCCTTTTCCAGACGCTCGTCCATCCTTGACTGCGGTTTCTCAGTGACCGCCACTGCTAGGTTGCTTATAGGGCTTGGGGCGCTATAACGCGCTATATCGCGAGGCACGTACCCATGGAGCGCTGGTTGGTCGCCATAATCCCGATCGGTCGCTGTAACCAGTGGCCCTGAGGCTAATGGAGATGAGGTCTACTTACCTCCAGCACTGGTTCCGCCGTCCGTCCTCCTCATCGTTATAATCCTCCAGGTTGGTCCTTTCTCGAGCAGCTTCAATACGTATGGCTGCCGTATCCTCTGCCGTCTTCTTCTACTCGTCCCTCACTGCCTTTTGCTCCGTAACATGAGCAACTCTTCGCGCACCTCCTTGTACGTCTGTTCCCTCCATCTTGGCATCATTCTCGCAATACAACACCGAACCGTGTTGACGCCATTTCTCACTTCATAGTGCACTGCCATTGTTCTGACATTTGGGTAATTCTGGAGTGATGCCATCTCGCCCGGTGTGTTGTAGATGAGGGCCCTTTTTTGGTACATGCAGCCATATGGAAGCGACTATACGGACCGAGTATCGCCTTTGGACATCCGCATCGTAGCAACTGCATCATTCATCTTTGCAACACAACATTTCATGACATCCATGGCAAATTCCAGCTCCTTTGGGCTACAATCATGTAAGTTACACCTTTGGCTTTCCATTCTAGCCGTCAGAAATCATGTAGAGCATACTTCAAGCGGTATTGCGAGTCCGGTCTGCACCGGCAAACCATTACCCAAAACAGAAAGCTTCATCCCTCTCCCCGGTATACTGCGAAATCACGGCAAACAACATGCTTGCCATCGAAGCATTATTGCCTCTGAGCAGCTATATAAGAGCTTGTGAGAGTATGTCGTCCATTTACTTTACTTCATCACACTTGATAGACGTCGTTGACGCATTCCAGAATCTAAACGATAGACCATGATCAAATCTCTTCTTTTGGCCTACATTCTCGGCGGCGCCTGTGCCCTCGCTGCGCCGTCTCATAGCACAAAGGAGAATCCAGTTGTTGACTTGGGATATGCCAAATATCGAGGCGTTCGCAATGCCACCTACGGCCTCGACTATTACTTTGGCATTCGCTACGCAGTCCCTCCAGAGGGCGATCTGCGTTGGCGAGCACCTCAAGACATGGAGTCTCATGGTAAATACTCGACCTCGGTAGTTATTGACGCTACTACTGTAGGACCTCAGTGTGTCCAGGGCCCAACGGCCTGGGCAAACGGAACTAATCTGGGGGCCCTTCAAGTACTGGGTGCGATTCCCCAACTGCCGTCGTCCGAAGATTGCTTACTTCTCAACGTTCTTACGCCAACATTGCCAAAATCCAAGTCTCTCCCTGTTGTCGTCTATATCCATGGAGGAGGTGAGCAGCTATAGTATCTACTAAATATATGAGTTGTAGCTCAAACAAACATCTTCTAGGATACGTCACCGGCAACTCCATCTCCTCCGATGGCTCATCGTTCACGCAGTATGCCCAAGGCAATGTTGTCTGGGTCTCCATTCAATATCGCCTCGGTGCATACGGATTCCTGAACCCAAAGGAGTTTGACGGACACGACGGAGTGAAGAATGCCGGCCTTTTAGATCAGCGCCTCGCTCTTGAATGGGTTCAACGTCATGTATCCAAATTTGGCGGTGATCCCTCCAAGGTGACGATTTGGGGAGGCAGCGCAGGCGGCGGATCGGTTGTGAACCAGATGCTTTACAACCGAGGAGAGAAGAATCCGCCGTACAGAGGTGCAATTGCAGGTATGTTTTGGCGAAGCTGCTGATACAACTTGGATCGGGCTAATCCCCCACGTAGAATTCCCATGGCTGCAGCCCTACCACGACGACGTCTTTTTGCAAAAGCAGTACCAGACTCTCTTGAATGACGCCAAGTGTCATGATCTCGCCTGTCTTCGAAGTCTACGTCCATCCGCACTGGAAACGGCCATCACCAAAAGCTACTACACAGCCTACGATGCTGGACTGTACGCTTATGGGGACATGTTCTTCGGACCTTCAGTGGATGGAAATTTCGTCCATGATCTGCCGTCTGTGGAATTCAACAAGGGTCATTTTGCTAGGGTCCCATTCATGACAAACCATGATTCGTTTGAAGGTATAAAGACAACCACATCGTCTGTACATGACATCTTGCCTCACTAATGACCCGACAGGCATCTTGTTCACCAACTTTTCATTGACCTCGTTTGACGAATTAAGCTCCCAGTGGCAAAAGACGTGGAAATCTCCTACACCCCAGTTCTGGGCCAGTCTAAAACAGCTCTACCCGCTGTCCGACTTTGGAAGCGCATATTACGAGCAGCCATTCTTTCGCAGCCTCATCTTTCCGCTCATTGCTCTTCTCGCTCCCCTCTCCATTCCCGGCAACGATCCGTCTCTGTGGCAGGCTCAACAAATCAACGGCGATGCCAACATCAACTGCCCTACCCATTACCTCGCGGCGGCTGCACAGGAATACGGCGTCCCGGCCTATAAATCCATCTTTGATGCGGGAGTTTATGTGCATTCGGCTGCAGACTTTCCCATTTTCGACGCACAAATCTTTACCGTCGACTCATCCGTGGCGACTGCAGTCAAGGATTACTTTCTCTCATTTATCGTGGGCCTTGACCCGAATACCCTTCCTTCAGTGTCTCATCACACACGAACTCACTGGCCACAGTACGGACAAAAGAATTATGATACTCTGATTGTACAGGATACGAGCATAACGGCCCAGAGAGATCCCGATGCTTCTGATCGCTGCGACTTTTTTCACTCTCAGAGCGCCATTGTGAGAAACTAGATGCAATTCTCAAGTATGCATTTTTGTGTTTTAGTCGATAGGGCATACAGAAGATGGAATTTATTCGGTGTGTGGAATATAGTCTTTTTATACACAGCCAACAATGTCAAGTCGGTGATTGGCGCTTGTGTTAGCAGCAATTCCAGATGTATTTCACCACGCGCCAAGGCATTCCTCCCTGCGCTACATCCCGTTTTTTTATACAGATTAGAATGGAATTTAACAAATCCAATTCAAATCGAGAATATTCACTCTGCAGCTATAGAGATAGTTATCATGGAGAGTGGCTGAATTAGTGCTTTGTGAGATTCAACTTAATTCTACCACTGCGATGTTCGACTTCATTCCAACACTTCAAACCAATCAAGGCGAGGCATGTTCAATAATTCGCCAAACAACTCCTCCTGGTTTCCAAAATCATCCTGATACCACTCATCTCCCTTGACACTGGAATACTCTGCCCAAATGCTGCCAGGTGTTTCTGGCGAGTTGCTCTTGGGCTGTACATCTGCTTCTACCCCATCGCACACATTCGGTTGCAGATTCCCCAGCTGCCTCTGTAACAATTTCCCATAGATTGATGGAAAGTGGAACGTGTGAATGCCCAGATCAACCAACAACTGAGCCGTTGTCGCCACTGTCTTCAACCGTTTACATCGTTCCTCTGCAAGCATCTGACGAGATTCGCAAGCTTGGACGATAAACATGCATGCATAGAGAAGCATGACAAACGCAAAGTCACTAATGTACCGAAGACTCTCTCGAACGACGGGACTCAACTGTTGGAGCCATGATAGGATGCCGACAGCGTGATCTAGCGTTGTTCTCACCAATAGGTCTCGCTTGTCAACATGACTGACATGTGTATAGTGACAAACCGCGTAGGTACTGAGGCAAAACTGGGAGTATCTGTGATGAAAATCGAGGCCGATTCCAAACCCTCCTACGAAAAATTTAGCCTTGTGAACACATGAGTATCTGAGAGGCTATTCCTACCATGCTCAATGAAAGAAGCGTACTTTGCTCTCCAGACGGCCAAATCACGCGTAACAATGTCCACTACAGCTGGCGGCGAGGAACAGGCCGGTGCAGCTTTTTCTGATGGACACCACCACTCGCCGAAATTGGAATCAACAGCATTTGCCTAGATGAAGAATTGTCAGAAAAGATTCATCTGGAGTTTGTTAAGCATTACCTTTTCCCATAGCAAACACAGCTCCACTTCGCCCAACAGTCGACGCATACGAGGCTCGATGTTTGTGCCTGCGAATAATTCTGGAGCTGACCGTATTGAGTTGTCGCTTCGGATGCTGGGAGGCGTTCTTGTAATGATTGCACTGCTTTAATGGTGGTTCAAGCACATCGTTAGCACTGACGACTTGAAAGAAAAGAGAAAAGGTTCGGAACCATGAAATGACAGCTTACTGATGAGACATGGTGAATAGCCATAGCCAATATGTATATCGCTTATAACTGGCGCTCGACTGCCATTGATCAAGCGGTAGGCTCAACATGGCTCTAGCACCGTCGATAGATCTGTGCAGTCCCAGTTGTGTTCCATATATTTCCGTCACAGTTTTAAGAAGCTGCGTTGGTAGGATATAGGGGGAATGCGGCGACTCGATGTTGGGCAGAGCAATTTGCGAAAACGCATAAAGAACAACCAGTGCTCTGAAGCTTGCTACATCTGCTATTCTCGGCCATACAGCACCAGCAGACTTGTCCTGAACAAATTTCAAGACTTTTGGATAAATCAGCCGCACAGTTGACAGACCTCCCGGTAGATATCTCGCGGTGACGTAGCATATTGCGTGGATTAATTCAGGCTGCTGTTCGATGATGAGTTCTGGGTTTTTGAAGTCGTCTTTCGTGAAGACGGGTATAGACTGCAGCAACCGCGAACAGAATCTGCGCTACTTAGCATTATAATCCAGCATACCACAAGATATTATTAGACTTGCATCTTCAAAAGCTGTCTCATTTCTGCCCTCGACAATGGTGAACCTATTCCATCAGAGAGTAGAGTGCTTGGTGATATACTAAAAGAGGTTGCCGGGCTATGAAGCGAGTGGGAATCAATGTCCAGAGCATCATTCAGAACATTATCGCCCAAAACCGCCAAGATGGGAGCGGTCAAGTAGATGGACGGGAGGTCATCGATGAGCTTTCTGTCGTGCCTCACAACGGCATGTCCATCGCAATTAACAGGAGTAGTTCTCCTATTGTGATGTCTACTTTTAGCCCGTCGGCGGTAAACGTCCCTGGATGTCCGAGGTTGCTTTGGAGCATTAAAGTTCTTGGGTGTCTTGACAACAACCTCGAATTCGTCAGCATACAGCGGCAGTCTCGCAGAGCAATTGCGCATGGCACGTTGACAGCGAGTGCAAGCCGACTCGCCCACGCGGACGCATTTCATCTAGTCATCGTCAGCGTGAGCCATGCCATTGCACGTTGTGGTTAGCAGGCCACAGCAGCTCAGCTCATAACAAACCTTGAGGCGATGACACGCAACGCAAGCGGTGCTGACACGCCCACCCCTCCAGCTCGGCGTTGCAGGCGAGCCCGTCATGAGGCTGAGCTCGTTCTGCTCTAGCCTCGCCATCAGAGTGGCAGAAGCGATTCTCAAGTCACGAGGTTGAGCGACTGCAACGAAGACGGCGAGAGTTGGCGGTACCACTATGAATCTCTAGATGTTCACCATTGTTCACAAAGCTTTTCGCCAACACGCCACCCTGCCGCTGTCAGAGGGGTAAAGCTCGAGGCCTCCGCTTCCCCTTTTCTTCAGCCGAATTCGGTCCCAGTTGCCGGCGTACCCCAGATCAGCACTGCGCCATCCTCGGCATTTTCTCTACGATCTGGGGATCTTACCCCGCGGCCGGCGAGGTGGGAATAGCGCAATGGTGTCCTTCGAGTGTATACTCTGTAGTTTATTGATGGACTCTCTGTCGTCAACCCTATTCTGGATGAGTTTGTTGGCTGATTCTTTCGATGCTGAGATCTAATCCCATCATCTACTCTACCGTTGAGCTACATCACGCTTCAAGGCACAACGACCATATACCAACTCACACGTTAGCTCAACTTCTGTTCGTATTTGCTCACAACCTTCTTTACCCATGTAGTTCTAGTCGATCAGTTAGTGCTCGGGTAGAATTCCATACTAATATAAAAGACAGGTTCCTTTGTTGCTTTGTCAGTTTGTCAATGACAGAAAGCCGCCAACCCACTTAGAAAATGAAGGCTCCGCACAAAATCGGGAACGTCCGGCGTCTAGCTGAAAAGGGTTATGGTTTACCGGTCCTCACCAAAGCGAAGAGTCGGGTTGGTGATGAGAAACATTCCGGAAGTTCAAAAAGACTTGTACGTCTCTTAGAGAATATATCATAGGTAGAAATTCAATCCATATAAAAGTTTTCAAAATTCCCAAGTCGGGCATGATATGAATGATCTGAAAATCTACACAGACTGATATTCCTTCTCCCAGCTCGCTGGAGAGTCCGCTCATGACTTGTTCAGTAACAATGATGCTGGCGCTGCTGCTTTTCGTCGCCGGCGCGTTTGGCCAACAAGTCTACATTCATACACACAGTCCTAATATCCAATGCAAGGCAACTCCCACGCACCAAGCTTTCGGCAAGGCTCCAAAATACGAATTTTCACAGTTCAAATACACCAATACAGAAACTGTCCGCACGGCATCCCCAGTACCAAAATTCACCGCTCTCCCTCAGTACGCTCCGCACTATGCTCAAGTCAAGCACTTGCTTCCGAGCTTGTCAACGACATCATGGGGTAACTGGTACGCGCAGCCATCCAAACCGCCCTCTCATGACTCAAAAGATCCATATGGTCATGCTGCCTACTCGCAACTTTGGGAGATTGCCGGTGTACCAAACTTGACTTCGAGGGGACTCTACTCGACTACTGTGTCTCCAACCCCGGTGCCCACTGCAGAGCTTGTCCTTCCACCGCCGTTGCTGTTTGCATCATCAGATTGTTACCCAGTTCCTCATGACTTCATCCTCGGAGTTGCTGGTTCTGCAGCACAAATTGAGGGCGCCATTGCGGATGAGGGAAGGGCGCCGGCGATCCCAGAGATGTTTGCCTTCCTCCCACCAGAGGCAGCAACTAAGCTGGGTATCCGCAACTTATCGCCAAACTACATTACAGATGAGAATTATTATCTCTATCGGCAGGATATCGAGCGTCTTGCTAGCATCGGAGTTCGACACTATTCTTTCAGTATTGCCTGGTCTCGCATACTGCCATTTGCTTTTCCCAATACTCCCGTCAACTCTCAAGCGCTGGCGCACTATGACGACCTGATCAACTTTGCTATTTCCAAAGGCATCAGTCCCGTTGTAACCCTTCATCACTTTGACACTCCGCTGCAGTTTTTCGGAGACAATCAGACGGAAATCCTTACCAATTCCAACACGCGTTGTTATCTTGGGACAACGAATCTCGGCTTTCAGCACGACCGCTTTGAGGATGCTTTTGTGAATTATGGCAAAATTGTCATGAGCCACTTTGCAGATCGAGTGCCCTTCTGGTTTACCTTTAACGAGCCTCAGATAGGAACAGTCAATGGGCTGAGTATCGATCACGTCATCAAGGCTCATGCCAAGTTATACCACTTTTACAAAGAGGAACTACGCGGCACCGGCAAGATATCCATGAAGATGGAAATTCCTCCGGGTGTCCCCCTTGACCCCTCCCAAAAGTCCCATGTTGCCGCAGCTGCACACTTTAACAATCTTCAGCTGGGGCCCTTTCTTTATCCCCTGGCTCTTGGGAAAGACTATCCTTCTGCGTATAAGATGACGGTTCAGGATTATGTGCCGTTGAGCAAGGCCGATCTATGCAATCTCAAAGGAACGCTAGGTACGTTATAACACCGTTTGTAGGTGTAATCGCCCTGTGAGGCAATACACTATATGGAGACAGTTGCGCTTACTTTGTGACCCGGATGACTTAGACTTCATCGCAATGGACGTTTACACTGCCCCCATTATTTTCCCTGTTACCGATAACATGGCTGCCTGCGCCGCAAATAACAAAACTAGCAACGCACTCTACCCAAATTGCGTCGGTGTCACTGAGACAACTTCAAATGGCTGGTTGATTGGCCAGCCTAGTAATAGTATACAGATGTATACCACCCCAACTTACCTTCGCACTCAGATATCGTATCTATGGAACACCTTTCGTGCTCCAGTCATGGTGACGGAATTTGGGCACCCCACAAACGGCACAGCAAATCCGCCACAACTCAACGCTATCCAATATGACACCGTGCGTTCTGAGTACTATATATCGTTCTTGAGGGAGATGCTCAAGGCGATTTGGGAAGATCATGTTCACGTTCTTGGGGCGTTTATGTGGAGCTTTGTCGATAACTGGGAATGGGGCAGCTTTGACTCTCAATTTGGGCTGCAATATGTGAATCGCACTACGCAACAAAGGACATATAAACGCAGCTTCTTTGATGTTGTAGATTATGTAGAGAGTCGGAGATCTCAGCCAACACGGTAATACATTGTCAGGGCGCAATTATCAAGGTCGCGACAATGGGTCTACAAGGTAGACGCTCTTACACTGCAATTGGATTAATGTCTTCAAATCTTCGAATCGTTATTCTTGGCTGAGTTATATAATGGCGTGATAACAATGTGTTGCTCTCTCGGACATGCCCAAATTGAAACATTGCCTCTTGGAAGACTGTTTGATACTCCCATATCAATGTCGTTTGTCCAAATTCACTTGACGGTGTGTTTTAGCCACCTACCAGAAGCTATTGATATCTTGACGTTGGGATTCGCCGACTGACTAATATTTAATGATATTGAGAGCTTCATTAAACGGAATTTCTGCCCATTTATTTTTGCACCTTGCGAAGCAGAGCACTGATGTTGTCTCAATATGTTGCTCCCATTCCGACAGCTCGAACTGGTCGCAGTTGTATTATTAACTAAAAGTGTACAGGCTGGTTTCTCTCCTTCGACAACTTGATTTTGGCGCTGGGTCCAGCACAATATTCTTCGTCTTGACTACTAAAAGACCGCCATCGGCGGTATTGACATTTCACGGGGTAAAATATGACTAATGCGGCCAATAAAGCTGATGGATTTATTGCATCAACTCTTTATAAAACGACTACTGCGCTCATATCTTCCCCTCTTTAGCCAACTGGTGCAAAGCAGCAATAGATCCCTCGACAGCTACTTTGCTCATCGCCTTTTCCTTCTTCAGCAATGCCGCCAGTTCCTCCTTGGGGGCGTCCGGGTGCCTCCATTCAAAGGTGTAAGTCATGTAGAGCTCTCCGTCCGCCCCCTCGCTGACGATGTTATTGACAGAGCTGCCGTCTGGCTGGATAAACTCTACTCTAGAAGGTTCGTATGCCGTGACTGTCTCTCTGACTTTGCGCTTGTCTGCTGTGAATACGATGTCGCGGACCGTGACTGGGTTCCCCGTGATTGGGTCCGTTGACTCGGAGATGACTGTTGTGGATTGGATGGCTTGCGGAACAAAGGTCTCGGCTGAACGAATTTTCAGACGCAAAGCGGTCCATACTTGCTCTCGGGTGAGCGCCGGTCCAGCTCCAGCAGGGTTGATGGGGGCTGTGAAAGCGATGTTGTTTGTAGACATGATAAAGATGTTGGATTCTATAGTGATTTGAAGGACGAGGACTTGTGCGAAATGAATAGCAGTCAACAGTGTGCACTTTGTGATGTTTTTACTTGTCGAAATTGTCGTCACTCTCCTCACAACTTAAATACGTTTATTGTTGTCAGCTGTTAACTTGAAATGGCTTACGCTTCCCGGTTCCTCCGTCCCGCGCGCCCCGCAACCAAGCCTCGCCTTTTCGCCTTACTCACGCAACAAAGACCGAAGAGCGAGAAGTGGACGAATGAGCGAAGGAGCTTGTAAAGGAAGCAGTAATTAGTCAGTGAAACGCAAGGCAAAAAAGAGGAGCGCGCTACTTCGGTGTTCCGTACGCTCGGTACTCCGTAGAAAAGTGCAAGGATATTGGGATGATGAACAATCATTAATAATTGAGCTGAGCTTTTTGTACTTTAGCTGAGCTCTTTTTCACATCAAGACAGCTCCCTGCAGGCAGGACAGTTGATGACGATGAGCCACGGAAAATTATCCTGGGCGACACTAGTGAGGGCCAGTTAGGCGTGGGGGGTCTTGTTTGCAGAAGAACGCATGTGGGGTGATCATGATAATTCCTCTGTTGTATCTCTGCATACCTTGTTCTATATCGAGAGGTTGGGCGTTGCGTAAGTCAAGACAGGATACTGTATAGTGGAGATTCAAGTTTAAAAAAAAAAAAAAAAAGGCAAAGGAACAAAGGTTTTAACCTCATATACCCCAAATACATCAGTTAGGTTACTGTGAGTGAGCAGTGTCGCTTATACTGTAGACATAACATCTACACATTCACGGTATCCGGAGTGCAATGGTGGAACAGTTGATTTAGAAGATCTTGTCTGTCAGATATATTTATACGGCTAACTCAGATCTCGAACGACATTTTCTTGTTTTTTAACTTTTGCTCAACTCTCAAGTCGTGACTTAACCACGGTTGCTGTTGATGAAGCTGACATAGTTGCCCAGGCGGGTGTAAACACCGGGGAAGCCACGCTCAGCACATCCCTGACCCCAAGAAACAACACCGACCAGGGTTCCGCTGGGGTCAATGATGGGGCCGCCAGAGTCTCCGGAGCAGGAGTCCTTGCCACCAGCAGCAACGGCAGCGCAGAACATGTTGCTGCTGACCTCTCCATCGTAGTCGCTGTCGCAAGTGGCGCGGGCAACAACGGGGACCGAGACCTTCCTCAGGGTGGAAGGGAGAGAGTTGGAGTTCTCGCTAGTGGTTCCCCTGTGTAATCATTAGTATCGGTTTTCTTGAGAAAAGGTGATGGATACACGTACCAGCCAGCGACGGTAAGGGTAGTGCCGGCAGCGGGGTCTGAGCCAGAGGCAGGCAGAGTGGCATAGCCAATGGTAGAGCTGGTGGCAATGGGGGTAGACAGGTGCCAGACACCAACATCGTTATCAGGAACACCCTGGTTGTCGACGGTGTAGCTGGGGTGGAGGACCAGAGATGAAACACCAACCTGGGTGCCACCGGAAGCCCAAGTCTTTCGAAACTGATTAGCATCTATTTCAAGAAAAGCGTGTGTTTGGCGTGACTTACAAGAGTTCCAGCGCGGACCTTGACAGAGGAGGCCCTCTGGTCAATGGTGCAGTGGCCAGCGGTGACAACGGTGCGGGAGTCGATCAAGACACCACCGCAGAAGTGCGAACCACCAGTGGACAGAGAGACAATGTAGGGGAACTCGCCGAGGGCGGCAGTGGTTCCTCCGACGATTTCACTGCCACGAGGAGTGATGGCAGCTCCCATGGTGAGAGCGGGAAGTGCTGCAAGCACGGAGGCGATGGCGAGAACGGGAGCCATTGTGACTGTTTGGTCCTTTGCAAAGGTGATTGTCTGGAAAGGTGTTGGAGTGAGTGAGTGAGTAGATGATTCTTCTTCTCTGAGACGGGTGAAGAGGATATATTTATATAAAACTCCAGAGGCTGTGTCTCATAGACATCGATTGATATCATCACGTCTCTACGACTTATAACCGATTCGTACTAGCATCTTGGTTCTTCGGTAATCACATTATAGGAAGGATCAAAAAGTCCCTAAGATCTCCTTCCCAAAATAACCTCCGAAGTTGAACGCTCTCTTAACTAGAAACGGAAGGTAGTAACATTACCTTTATTTTAAGGTAGGAAGTCTCCCATCAAGTCTATCCAAAGCCCCTCATCGTGAATGGAGTTGCAAACACTATAAAAAACAACATGTAGTCTTAATTAATAGGCTTAACTTTAGCTTACCTTTAAGCCTAACTTTATAAGACTATCGTTCACCGTGAAAAAAGCTGGACAACTGTCGTTGTTTGCAACAGTCTGCACGACTAAAAATAACAACCCCACTACAGAATAGGCAATCGATGGAGGCAATCGATGTATGCCAAGTCCGCCAAGGGATCTTTTGATCGCATTATCCCTGATTTATGCGCCGGGCGACTTAGTCAATGTGACTATCATGTGCAATTGCCGATTCATTCTGTCACTCGTTGTCGCGTTTTCTCTATCTTTGTTGATAAACACGGACCGCAGCTGTTGTCCTTTTGCAGCTAGATCACCGCGTTTGACCCACTCATCGTAGCTGTCAAACATTGCGCGACCTTCCATATTAAGGAGCTAGGTATTGCAATCTGGGATCGGTAATCTCTTCTAAGTAAGTAGATTAATAGGGAAGTTAGGTAAACACAGCTTTCCACTTTGAATACAACTTGAAGGAGGGGAGAGGTTGCTATACTATCGGGATTGTAAAACTAGGAGTAGCAAAACAGCCGAGGATGATAGCGCTGCGGCTATTATGCCTTGTTGAGATGTTAATTTGTATGAGGATTGCATCATTCCATCATGACGCAATGGAACCTTTGTAGGCTTTCTGCCTGAACAAAGTATCTATAGACGAGGTTCAAGGTCAGGCGGTTAGTCATTGTTAAACGGAAACTGTCCAAATTGCTTAGCCATTTTAGCAGCTTTGATACTAATCCTAAATGTGAGATTTACCAATGCTATTCCACAGCAACTGGGGTATGACAATTATACTGAACATGAGTGCAATAAGATGTGTGTAGTCACCTAAATTTTAATTGAGAAGTCTGTGTAGGAACCTTTTCTGATTTACCTCGTAAATGCTGTAATAATAGTGATAGGTAGTCCTGAGTATTCTGAAACGGATTACCCTATATTCATACGAATATATAAAGAAGAAGAAACGAAGCCACTGGTAAAACAACTTGTAGTATAAAGTCAAGGTGAATGATGGAAAATCTTCTTGTTAGGGCACTTCAGGTAGATGGGTAGATAAATAAATAAGATACAACATCCAAAATGCCCAAATCATCGGTCATCTTCGGACACGAATCGAATCTGCCGCCGCCATCATTCGTGAACCATTTCAATTGCTTTTGTAATCTTGAAAGGTTCAGGCAGGAAGATTCAGGCACTAGGCCGTAACAAATGGGTTGTACATACTCCGTAGCTAGTAGTGAACCACAACATCGAAGAAAGGGGTTACACTGTGCCACGATCTTGCATAGGCTTGGCAGTTGTTGATGCCCACTCAGTTCGGAGAAAGAGGATAGCCAATGATAGGACAGCCATGTTACTTATATAGGTAATAGAGTGTTGCACTAATTCAGGTGTGTCAACCTTGAAGTAGAGGGAGCTGCCTCTCCTTCGTAGTCTTACTAGCTGTCGCCAATGTTTAGGCTACGCCTTTTATTCCACCAGTTAGCATTATATCAACAGTATCAACAGCGTAACCACATACTCTTGCTCCGTTCGCATCTCACTCACGCCCCCAATTCATGGTTTCAGATGTCCTACCTCATTTGCCATTCACGTCCGCAGTCAGTTTGGTGATTTGCTTCGTGAGCCCCCCTCAGTTACCGTCGACTGTATTACATGATCAATTAACACAACCACGAAAAACAATTCATTACCTGCCGAAGACGAGAGATGACGAGCAGCCAATGAGGCAAGGAACGTTGGCCCAAGTGTGAGCCACCGTAGCTGACACTTTATACCAAGGCAAACTTTTGAGATTTGCGCGTACGATAGTAATCGTGAAAATGATTACATATCAAGACTTACTAGGTAGTTGATTAAGTTTTAAAAATGAATAAAACTATAACATAAGCTTACACTTGTATTCCTTGTACATCTTAGGACCATGCCTATTGTTCACGATTGCTCCACATACTCTCTCTAACACGAATGAACGCTCAGTTAACATCTTGAGACCTGCCCCTCCATTTATGTACATTAAAATGTCACATAGGATTTTTAGGCCGCTGACTGCTCTTAAAGAGCTCGCAGAGTTATTTATGCGCGGAAATTGTGATCAAAAGTTTAGTCACGTCTCAGTCCAGCCAGGGTTTCTGCCTGTATCTTGTGCATTGCAACACCCAAGGTTAAATGTGCGATGCCTACGGGATAGCGCATAAGCAATTATTTGGTGTTGGAGGCGGCATCGCCAAGGAGACTGGGATGTACTAACAGTGATTGGCAACACTACCAATTACTCAGGTGGGAATATGGAATGTTCTTCATAGCCTAGAGAACGAATGGTTGAATTCTGTACCATATCTACAGTGACTGGATACTCAGATGAGGGCCAACTGATGGAGCTCTGGCGTCGTCATCGTTTGCGTCATCTCCTACGCGTTTGGAGATATTGCCAAACAAATTCCCGTCAACATTCCCTTAAAAGATGATTGGCTTTTCTTGTTCTCCGTAAATCGACTCATGCGAGATCTATGGACTGTATTGTTGAACCAATAGCCTCCTAAGAGCGCCGCGGATGGCCCCGCCACCAGTTGTAGCAGGGTGTTGGAAATAAAAATCTCAATTTCCGGGCCTCCGCGGATTCCACAGGCGCAACCTCTCCATGTTATCGCTAGGTAGCCAAGAGGTAGGCGAGAATAAAGGGATAAACAGCAATCCGCCCAAACCCGCCACACTAAACTCATCTGGAACCGCAAGCGTATTCATTATGCGGTCTCGGCTTTCTGTTTTAAACAAACCGCTTGGAAGCCGAGAAAATATAGGGCCCAGCTTCAGCTCAGGACAAACTACCTGCCGCCCTCAGATGAGATTTTAGCAGCTCTGGCTCTGCTCGCTTTCCGCAACGTGAAAGTGTCTTCACTGGTATGTGATCTGTTTTTTATTCCTTTGCCGCCCATTGTAATCATCAAGAATTGGGTGAATACCTGTCATCAAAGAGGGTGTCTTTTTGGTTGGTAAGCTCTCAATCTGATCAATGTCCTCAGCTCATAATAAACAACGAGTCACTCGATTCGTAAGCGTCTTACGAAAAATCGCTCCTTCGTTCCCTATAGCCTGCTTTCGCATACATCAACAATAGAGGATTGCGCTTAACCGGGTACAAGATCCATCTCCGATAGGAGGCATGATCGCGAACCAGATTGTTGAGCAACTTTTATAACACACAGCCAGCTTCGCGACTCCAAAGCAAACAAAGACAAGCGCAACAATGGCATTCTCTTTCTCGACTACCGTCCAGGGACCAAGCGGTCCTTTGAAGATTGTCTTTGGTGAAGAAACTCCCGAGCAACGCCTTGCATGCTGCGAGGTCATCGTTGCATCTTACGCGCCATCCTTCCCGGCCTCCGCTATCGTGGAACTCGAAGAGTATCTGTCGCAGCACCCGTTAACCCTCAACCAAGGAACACGATTTTGGTGCATATCTCTGGATGACGATACGGGATCTGTTCTCGCATTATGCAAGACGATACGTCGGCGGTTCCTTGTAAAGGATAGCGAGTCGATGCGTGAAGAGAGCGGTTACTGCATCAGCACTGTTGCTACGCATCCTCAATATAGACGGCTGGGACTTGCGACTCTGCTCATTCAACAAGTTGCGAAATGGTTGGATGGACCGGCTGACGCGGCGGCAAGCATGCTGTATACCAGTGTGGGCGACGTACGTGATAACCATTTTCTAGCCGGGTTGATGCCCTCGAGCCGCCCTATACTCACTTTCTCGCAGTTTTATGTCCGTTCTGGGTGGCAGATGATACCCTCAATCATATCAAACATGACAAATATCTCTGATGATTCTCAGTTGGGACATCGCGCAGGCCTCCCAAGTACCCGTCTCCTAGCGAACGAGGAGATCCCAGCACTGTGCGAGCGCGACGTGGCAGACCTGAAGGCAAGCTTTGAAAATACGACAGTCGTACCAAACGAGGTGCATGTCGCTGTGATTCCATCGGCTGAAATGATCTCGTGGTTGCACGAATGGGGCGATTTCCTCAACACCACGCTCCGTGGTGGTGAAGCGCCATTTGTGCATGGCGCAATCTGCGAAGCTGCCGACACTTGGATATACTGGCATTATGGGTTCAAACATCTAGCAATATCGAGGGTACGAGTTCCTCCTGGTGTCGGCCAAGGCTCTCCCGAAGTATTAGCCGGCTTGCTGCTCGATGCTTTGGAAGAAGCTCGTAAATGGAAGTTCGATAAAGTTGTCGTCTGGGAACCGAGTGCTGAATTAATCAGTGCCATGGACCTCATTTCGAAAATGGCTGGAGTCGAGGTGGAGACTCTGGCGAGGCCGAACAGTATTACTTCGCTGAGATGGAAGAATTCAGACGAGACCAAAAAGACTACTCTTCATTTGAACGAAGTCTACGCCTCATGTTAAATAATATTAGCCGCTAAAGCATTTGGGATGGAGATTCGTTCAAGTGCGAAATTTTTCGAGCTGTGGAGATAACATCTTGTGTAAACACCTGCTCATCATTAATCCCTAAAGAACAATGTTAAACCATACTATACATATCTTATAGGCTGTACTCCTCCTTGATAATATCTGCAGCTTTTTCTGCAATGGCATAAACCGCAGTCGCAATGTTGCCCCGAACTAGGACAGGCATGATACTCGCATCAACAACCCTCAGCTTGTCTACTCCATATACTTTCAGCTGCGGGTTGACCACTCCTCCCTTCTCCCGAGGCAACATGGCGCATGTGCCAACAGGATGCCACGAGGAAATAGTCGCTTCTCTTACCAGCTTCTCAGCAATATCTCGATCAATCCGGGTGGGTATCTTGAAGCTCTCTTGTATCTTTTTCCCGCTTCCATCTTCTCGATCACGAACGTAGTTTGCAAGAGGCTTTGTCTCAAAGACCTTTTGCATGAAAAGCACACCCTGCACCAATAGCTCAAAATCCACCGGGTGATCAAGGTAATTGGGATCAATAGACGGCGCAACCTGAGGGTCGGATGAAGTGACATGCACAGAGCCTCTCGAAAATGGGTGAGTCAGTGCAGCGACCATACCAAGGTAGTTTCCTGGATCAGGGTGCGTGAATAGCCGCGAGAGAGCCTCCCCGCCTTTGTATGGATCGAAGCCAGCAGGGGCGAAGTTGAATTGTAAGTCGGCCTCACTGTCGCTTGAGAGAAGCTTTCGCAAGAATGGAGAATGCTCATCATCGTGGTTCGTGCCAATGCTCTGCATAGAATCAGGCGACTGTCCGACATGATGGGCAATGCTCTGTGTTGACAAGAACGATGTGCCATTTATCCCCGACGACAGAGGGCCACATCGACCAGACATCCATTCATTCAGCGCCCACTGTAAAACTTCCGGCTGTCGGAATGATTCGGCGCCCATTACGCCGTCCTGGGCCTCGCTGATTAATGGTACCAAAGGATGATCCTATTGCCGTGAATTGTCAGTATTTAATTCATGCTTGTCGTTGCTAGCTTGAAGACTGAGATTCTCAATCGTCTTCGTAACGTTCGTCGAGCGACTTACTTGTAAGTTTTCTCCTACAGCGGGATTGTCGACTACAACGTCTAGACCAAGTTTCTTCAGTAGACTAGAAGATCCAATGCCAGATAATTCCAGTAGTTTAGGGCTCATATATGAGCCACCGGCAAGAATCGTTTCTTTGGTAGCGCGAACGACGTGTTCTACTTTGTCGAGGATAAAAGACACACCTGCCACTTTTGCCAAGCCCCCAGACTCTTCTGGTGGATCAAGGAGCATCTTGGTAACATATGCACTCGTCAGTACCATAAGATTAGGTCGTCCAGCGATCGAAGCATAGTAGGCAGACGCCGCATAACTCCTCTTCCCCGTAGAATCAGTATACTTCAACACTGGCCAGCCTCCAAGACTGCCTGGCACCCTGGGATCGTTGTCCGATGGAATTCCGAGAGCCTGTAGTGTCGGCTGCCACGAAGCATCAGAAGCTCCCGTACCAATGGGCATGGTGAGCTGGACCGGGCCATCGGAGCCGTATAGGCTACGATCATAACTCGCAGTACCATATAGCGCTGCCTGCTCTGCTGTTGGAGGAATAAACGACTCTGACTTGCGAAAATATTGAAGCATGGATTCCCAGTTCCAGCCTGGATTCCCAAGCTCCTCCCAATGTTGAAACTCGCTTGCGGTCCCATGCGAGGCCATCAGAAAGTTAATGGCGGAGCTACCTCCGAGCACTTTACCGCGCGGTTGAGCGATAATGCGGTTGTTCAGTGCTGGCTGAGGAGTAGATTTTAAACACCAATCATACTCTGGGCTGTTTGTAACGTCAATATTGCCCAATTAATGACCATAACGGGAGCATATGAAGTAAAGGTTTGGACATGATGGAGGAGGGAAGGTTGCTATATGAGGTGAAGACAACATTGTTAACATGCTTACTCTTCATATAATTGAGAAAACAGGGCTGGTATGTTGATTTTAGGATCCTTCCCATGGGCATTTAGTGATTTGCGAGACTATGGAACGCATGACGAAGATAGATACTTACATCTAATTTGGATGCACCAGCTTCAAGCACCAACACATGAGTGTTGGGATTCTCTGTCAGGCGTGATGCCAAAACGAGACCAGCAGTTCCACCGCCAATGATGACGAAGTCATACAGCTTGGATTCAAGGTCTTGAGTAGACATTTTGGGCTTATATCAGGGATGAAAAATTGCTCCTAGTAAAGGATGTTCTCGCCAGGGCAAAACGACGAGATTATTAAATGGACGGCTAACTGGGTATATATACAGGCTCTCGAAAGCTACGTATCTGTCTATTGGGGTTGGTAATTCAGAGGCCAATATATTCACGCTTGCTTTAGGCGAAGGCTCTCGAGGTGAATATCGGACTTCGTGTGATCGTTAGTCCGACTGACAAATAATGTCGGAGATAGAGACAAAAAGAAGCACCATCAGGTAAGACCGTTGCTGGTTTCGGGGCTTGACGAGGGCTAGTTTGTTCATAGTATAATGCTCACACTGACTACCTAGGTAGTGAAAGGCCATATAAACACGACTCGTTTACGTCCGATTATTAATCTCAATTATCAGATACCACAAGAGCTGAGAAGCGGAAATATGGCTACACATAGAATATAAGCACTAGAGCCTACACGCGCTTTTCTTAAATATATAAACTGTTTTCTACGTAATTAGGTAGGCTTGTTGAGGTAAGTATACAGTGGCCTAATAAGCACTAGATGAATACGCGCTTTTCTTAAATATATAAGCTGTTTTCTACTTGGCAGGCTAGTCAAGGTAAATGCACAGTGACCAAACTTTCAATCCTGATTTAGAAATTCGTTTCTAAACAAGAAATAACTCCTCGGGAGGCGCAATCGCATGCGGCCAGATGAATCAAACGTCGGCCATATGGATTAACAGGATGACTCTGATGTCGCATAGGAGGGTTGGATAGTACGACATTGGATCAAAGTTTCAGAAACAGACGATTAATATAACGTTCTTAAAGTTAGTGTATGGTAATCACGAATAATGACCAAAAGAAGGCTTCACTGCTGCATTCATCTGAGCGTCTTGTTGCTACAACTTGGGCTAATCGTAGTTCATATGCTGTTCTCCGCTGTGCTGAACAACCTACCGCATAACCTCGCAACATTCGCTTGTGGGTATCTGCAGCGTTTGGGACACCATTTACTAGAGATGGTAATATGCTAACTGTATATAATTAAGCGAAAAAATCATAGAGACCCACCGACGAATTTTGCGAGGTTATACGGTCATCACCTAATAAGAGGCCGAATTCTCCGTAGAGGCGGCAGTTTTGACGTTATTGAAGCGACTCCTCGGAAACCATGGGGTAACCTTTCGAAGGTTGCGGGGCAATATAAGCTAACATCACAGAAAATCCCAATACTAACTGAGAAACTTAAAGCCTCGACTACCCTTTCTCGTAGCACTCTTGTGGGTGAAGTTAGTTTGCCAAACTAATGTCTGGTATGATAGTATGCATGTTTACACTTACGAGTACTCTCATTTTCCCTTGTTTGTATGAGTTGGTGCTTTCACGGTTGTTTTTTTTTTTTTTACATACCCTGGACAAGGAAGGTAGAAGTGAAGATGATTACCTGGAGTATGGACGGCTTGAAAACACATGCTCGTAATGATAGATATTTCTGGCTCTTGCATTATGGATTGTTTGATGCTCGCGGCTTTAAAAATAAATAAAAGAAAGGGGACTGTTGTTAGTTATTGATCTTATCACCCTGGTATGTGATCTCAGACTCCTTGCCTCAGAACAGTTGTGCTCCACAGACCAACTGGCTCACCTACTGTGAAGTGTATATATTTACTAGGGTCTTATTGTTATTGCAGCCTAGATACCCATCTGTGTGATGAATGTAGGTCAATATTTATATACTCATGAGGCGTCGGCATGCTATTGTCAATTGGTCTGCTAGTGAACACATTTTCAGAATATAGCAAACTATGACGATCACGAGTAAGTAAGGGGCATTTACACCTAGAGCAATTCGTAGATTTTAAAATTACCATTTCACAGAATAGGTTATCGATATAGAGTGCTTACTACCGCGGCGCACTCAAAGCATCTACGGGGCAAACCCGCCGATCCAACCCACCGATGCCGGAACTTCGGCCGGAAGTAAGCACATAGCAATTTGCGGCCCTTGAACACGATGTATAAACAGCTTCAAGTATAGAATTAGGGAAACTTGGTGTAGTGACAACGGCAGTGATAGTTCAAGATGCAACGAATAATCTCATCAGAATTCTTCAATTTTGAGTATCTCCGCGTCCTTGGTACCGCTCCTTTCCAAGGATCCGAGGTTGGCGAGTGCCTGGAAGCAGCATACAAGATCCGAAGCAATGATCCCGAAAGCTGGTTTCGAGCGTGGTCCGAGGCGGCAGCAACAAGTGAAGAGATAGCGGAAACGTCACTTCGAACTGGAGATCGCGAAGCCGCCCGGTGGGCGTTCCTCCGCTCATCCAACTACCGGAGAGCCAGCGAGTTCCTCCTTCATCATAACCCAAACGACTCCAGGCTGGTCACTGCAATCTCTCAATCTATTAGCAACTTTAGGAAAGCATGCCAGCTTTTTGATAGTCCGGTATACTTCCTCGAGATTCCCTACGAGAATGGCGCCAAGCTACCGGCCTATCTCTTCATGCCTACCGAGACGTCTACCCTACCAGGAAAAATTCCCATTGTCATCAGCACTGGAGGATTCGACTCTATTCAGGAAGAGCTTTATTATTTTACGGCATCAGGCGCAAGGACCAGAGGATATGCAACACTATCGTTTGAGGGGCCTGGTCAAGGCATTGTGGTTCGCCGAGACAAGCTTCACCTGCGACCTGACTGGGAAGCCGTTGTCGGCAAGGTCCTGGATCAGCTAGAGGTCGTCATTCACCAACATCCAGAGCGAAATCTGGATATGTCGCGTATCGCTATTGCGGGAGCATCGATGGGGGGATATTTCGCGCTTCGCGGAGCTCTGGACCCGCGAATCTCAGCCTGCATCTCAATTGACGGATTCTATGACTTGTCTGTCCTGACAAGAGCGCGTGTTTCCAGCCCTCTGATGACTGCTATAGAGCAGCAATACATTGCAGATGGAATCTTCAATGCGCTTCTCAGCATCGTATTAGCACTTGATTTCCAGAAGAAGTGGGAAATGGGACACGCCATTCTAGCGACTGGTATCACATCGCCAGCAGCGGCAATGCGCACATGGCAAAACTACAGCATGGCTTTGCCAAATGGCAGGACACGGTTGAGCGAGCTCAAATGTCCCGTGTTAGTCACGGGCACCCGCGATACCATGTATGTCCCTTGGGAAGCGGGACCACAGCGCATCTACGACGAACTGATGCGAGCTCATGGATCTGAGAAGAAGCACGAGCTTTGGATCCCGACCGGACCTGGCCAAGGTTCGTTGCAGGCAAAGGTGGCGGCGCTGGCAGCTTTGCATACAAAGTCATTTGGCTGGCTTGATGATGTATTTGGCATTAGAAGAGAGGCCATTTCGCTGAACGAGTAGTTCTACATGTTTGGAATCAGAATAGGCCTAATGTATCACTGAATTGGCTATACAAGGTTCCTAAGGACTATTCACGGAACGTTACTACCACTATACTGTATATCCCAGGATCGCCCCCAGTAGAGATTCTCCATAGATGATAGTTAGCGAAAGTGAGGCTCCTTGTATGTATTGACGGCGTGGAGAAAGAAAGCGACACTGCATGCCACCCTTGCTGCTGATGTGGATCTCGGCGGATTTCAAGCATCTGCCACGGTGGTGAGATTTATACCCAGACGTATTTAACGCATCGAACAATCGGTGGAAATAGGCAAAAAGCCTAGTTATACTCAAATTAGATGATTCATATGAGCACTGTTTCCTGAATGGTTGAGCGTAGAATCTGGGAGGAAGAGCCACTTGGGCATTACCGACGCCTCACGACGACACACCAACCAAGCAGAGAGCTTTGGCTATAATCTCAATCGCCTAACCAGGAAAACACTGTACAAAACCTAGGCAACATCAAGGCAATTATAATGGCCTCATTGCAAACATCTATGCTTCTGCGCATCGCGCCTCTAGTCTCTTCATCATTCTGTATCTGGTTCGCCTGGGATCAGTATTACTTTCTTCATCTGTTTACAACGCCGACTGTGAGGCCAAAAGCCGGCTTGGTCCTCCCGTCATACATGAAAACATTTTACCCTGGTGCCTCGGCCCGCGTGTTCGTCACATACATGACCACTCTGTCAACGTCCATTGCAACTATTTATTCACAGCGACAGATCCTCGAGGCTAATGAGTCCTTGTGGTGGTATAAAGTTGGATTGGGACTGGCTGCAGGCCATGCCTTGTTTGCACCAATCATCATACCTACAATCATGAAGATATTGAAGATGGAGGATAACACCGCTGCTCAAAAGGATATTATGCCGCTTTTAGCGAGATGGTTGCAGGTTCACACTGTTCGCTCGCTAACGGTTGATCTATGGGCTTGGGTGTGTTTCATTGTGGCAGTTTCGAGGCAATAATTACTAGGCAAGCATATTCTCATCCTATTCAGTTTGAGAGACTAGGGGAGGAAAGCTAAATAAATAAAATCGTTTCATTCGTATAATCATTTTTCGACACTTGGCAAAAATGATCTTTGTGCATGCGACTTCTATTTCTATTGCCTTCCATTGACTATGACGGACTATTACTCCGAAAGACTGTAGCATTCAAAATACTCCTAATTACTGCTGAGCAAAGTGACCTCCGGGCCCAAACTTTGCTCTCATATACGTGGTAAGCAGGTTCTGCTTGACTATTCCTTCCTTCTTAGCCTCCAGATCATCTATTGTCCAGTTGGCAGAGATAAATCTTCCCCGCAGGAACTCGGCACCTGGCGTCGTGAGATATAATGAAACGCCAGATGATAAACCGGCTACAGTGATAATAAGCGAAAGTCCTTGTTGAATCGTGCAAATAGTTAATACTCACGTGTATCCACATTTGCTCCTGCGAGCATTCCAAATTGGACACCGTTGGGGACGATGCCAGGGTGAAGATTGAAAGCCCGGACATTTGGATGCTCTACAATTAGCCATTAGTACTGATAAAGCGCAAAGCTTGAAGGCAATTTACCTACCTGCATGCAAATACTCTATGAGTTTACACCCTGCTGATTTGGTAATTCCGTAGTTTGACCTTGTTGGAATTGTTTCAATAGCCATGCTGCTTGTGACGTTAATAAAGGTAATAGCCCCCTCCGACTTTATATTTGCAGCATGTCGGGTCAACAAATAGAGTCCCTTGACGTTAGTTTCCTACGCCGATGATGAATTAGTTTCTCCTCATTTTCTACATCCAAGGCTTAAGTAGATAGGACTTACAAAATCTCCCCACCACCCGGCAATATCCGTCTCTCCAATCTTCTTCATCTGCGAACGAGAGGCTGCACAGGCAATGACCACATCAACTGTACCAAACTTGGATATAGCAGTGTCCCAGAGATTGGCAACTTCGCTCTCAGAGGTCAAGTCACAACGAATAGCCAGAACTTCGGTATTAGGATACGAGTTTCTGATCTCCTGCTTCAGTTCCTCCAATATTTCAAGACGTCGAGCACTAATGACAATAGCTTTTGCTCCAGCTTTGGCAAAAAATCGAGCATGTTCCTATACTCATATGAATATTGAACAATTCAAAATGCCACAGGACGTTTCACTCAGATCCATCGGTACTAAGGCATGTGGAAGCGCTTACAGATGCGATTGGGCCACTGGCGCCTGTGATCAAAATGATGCGTCCTTCTTGTGTTAGGCTAGGATTCTTGGGGTCAATTGTCGGATACACATCATGGTGGAATGTGGGCGTGAATAGCTGATGGTAGACAAATCTATCCGGATTTGCGGCTGCTTGGGCTGCTGCATCTGCCATGTTGTCGGTGATACCTCAAGTATGGGAGTTAATTTGGGCTGATATTCAACAAGTCCTAGCCGGTAAAATGTAATTCGCTAAGGGTATACTGAAGCTTGTGAAGTGACAAACGAGTTAGATGATAAATGATATGACGTCTGTGTCTTCTGCACAACATAGACCAGCAGTCAATCTATCGTCTACTTACTACGCAGTTTTTGGTCGCCAAAATACCACCGGGCTGACGGTTAATTCTGTGGTGTCGGAGGATATCTGATAATACCCACCGACTACATGCAAGTGAGTGGAGTGGCTTATGTGCAGCTTGTCCACCGTATTGATCGAATTATACATAGATCGTTATATGATCACGGTAGAAATGACCGTTGATTGGCCCTTCCGAGTGTAAGAACAAACCGACGTCTGAGAGTCTAGTAGGTGCGATATGCTTGTCTCAGCATGGCCATTTACAGATCATAAGTGTGTTGGTAGTTGCTGGGAGCGTTCGACGTACTACGCTCGTAATGAATTATGCATTTGGAATAGAATCTTTATTTTTATCAATGTGACGAAATAGAAATTTGCCCATTGGCCCGGATACGACGTATCCTGGCACTACGGTCCTCTGATCCTACTCGGGATAATTGTAGGTAATATGGCGTTGATTAAATCAAATAACCAAGTTTGATAATTACGAATTATTTGTGTAATAATTTCCTGTGATGTTAAATATGGACTATTCAGCTATGAATAATCAACCTGAGAATATCAAGACCTCTGGAATAAATATGCTGTGTATCTTAATATGATGATATACAAATCTATTCGAGCGTAACATGAATCACTCGAGTCGCTCTACCCAGAATGTTCATAGAAATGAATCAACAGGCAATCATTCATCCAGATTTATCCGCTTCCTAATCTCATTCAAGCTTAGTTTAGTACTTCATCCGGCGATTAGGGGTAAAGCTGTGCGTGATTCATCAGGTGGCTCCTCCCAAGTCGCTTGTGTAGCATCTTCGGTGATTTCTTTTGCCGAAGAAAGCATCTCATGTCTGGGTATGATGTGGAGCTTTGTTTTGTCAACAGTTTATGGCCGAGTGTGTGGGAATATGTAACGCAGTTTGTAATCCGGCCCGAAACGCAGGGATATAAGTTCACCATCTTCCCTCCTCATCTTTCCTCGTCAATAAAGTTGACTCTTTTCCATCAGATTGAGTCAAAGTTCATAATCTGTTGCTTCACTACCTTCATCTGCTTTTGCAGTTGTTCTTGACGGTGTTTCATCACATCTATCGCTGAAGTAATGGCCTTGTGAGAACCGCTGGACGAGTTGTCGGTGCTAGGGCTACTACCACGCTCGTCACCATCGCCATTGGCTGTGGGTTTTAGCTTGCTCTGTGATGGCTGCTTTTCAGTAGCCGAGACGATCTGAGGAGAGTGAAGTTGCTCTGGAGACAGAGGTGAAAGAGCCCCTAAGTCAGCCATTTGTGCTGCCGAACCGGAGCGCCTCTTTGTTGTTTCGCCGTCTTCGGCTAGAAGCCCGACGGCTCGATCCAGTCGGTCGAGCTGGTGGCTGACCAGGTTCACAATAATGAGAGCCTGCGTCGTTGGCATTTCTATAAAGGGAGAGGTCCCGATGGGTAACCCCCGGGGTTTCTGCTGGCGGAGATGCCGCGAAATATAAAACAAAATACCCCCCAAAGTCACAAGAAGGCGCTGATGACAGGCCAGGATCATTAGTACCACACCCGTATCTGGGGCCCTGTTGACTGTCGGGGATACTTGTGGCAACGCCCATTGATTGTGTGGTGGGCCTTGAAGCCAATGAAACTCGTCCCAATCTGGCTGATGACTGAAACCAGCAGAGTCGGCATTCGGAAAAAGATTATCTTTATTGCTATTAGAGCCGGTGCTGGTATTTCGATGAATAATGCTAACTAGGGCCTCGGTGGAAGCGAATATTTCGTTTAGAGATGGTGAAGATACAGCCAGCGATGTTGGATATGACGAAGACAGTGCCCTCGATGCGTGACAGACTTGGAGGCAAAGGTTGCCCAGCTCCTCCGTATCCCTCTCGATCATATCCACGATGGGATTGGTAGTGTTTCGTTCACTGACAGATCTATTATGTCTTTGTGACGGCAGGGAATCGTTTGATGATATTGTCGGGATTGATATTAAAAAGTCTGCATCGTAGCAGCCATCTCCCAATTCGTCACCAGTCGTAAAAGGTGAAAATAACGTTGAACTTAGGCCTAGCGAGCCCACCATTGGCGCCGAATCGGGCAACGAGGTCACGGTAGACGGGCATGTCGGAGGAGGAGATTGCGGCAGGTCCACAGAACTGAGTGACTGTCTCGGTCTCTTTCGTGAATACATGGCAGATGAGGTTGCCTCGCGGGAATCGCTTCCGAGAGGCGGCCGGCCGGGCTTTTGCTGAGGACTGAAGATGCATAATGAGCCGGATCTCTTGCACCGCACACACGGCTCAGAGTCGGGAATGGGATGATCAGACTCCTGGGGCCTCATGCAACGGACTTTTTGATCGTGACATCTATCACACGACCGGCGGAATGGCATATGAGCCTCTCCAGGAGTGGCTGCGAGTGACATTGTTGGCAGTCACGGTAGGGATAAGGTTATGTCCGCGGCAGTTGGAGCTTGGAGTATTGAAAGGATGCTTCGTAACAATTAGTTTTTTATCGAATTGGAGTTGCCAACAGCGTAAACAACACGTCGTTCTAATGGAGTACGACACTGATGAAAGAGCGGATTGGTCAATTGCAGAGTAGGAACGAGCTTCCAAGGTGCCTTGTCTCTTGATTGAAAGGAAAATACCGCATTGGCTTATAAGTAGCGTAAAGTAAGTATCTTTCCGCGACTCTGAGTGCATCATACAGAGCTCTCTGGTAGCTACTTGGCAGGGATGAGGTAGCTACAGCATCCCCCTGGTACGAGATTCCTTGTCAAAGCAACGTTGACAAGGCCACTTTCATGCATCAAGATCTGGGTATTTCAAGTAATTTGATCCATGTAAATGATTGAGGTCTGTGTTTTACTGTAATAGGCTTAACTCTGTGGAATTTGCCATGTAAAAGAATACATGCATCTGTAGATGTAATTCAGTTAATTATTTGGAATGTAAACTCTTGTGCTTTTTAGGTCAAGTCTTTGGTTATTAAGATCCTTGCAAGTGGCCCCCTCGGCATGCATCTGCCTGCTCGGTAGCACTCGGTACTCCGCCTGTTTGCACCGTTGGCACCCACAGCACCTCGGACCCATGGATATTTAGCACAACAGGTCTTTGTTTAAATAGGTAGCTCGTACGACAATCATATATCGAGAGCAACATTGCTCCCCCACGCTAAATATAGAGTAGCATTTTGTAATTGCAAGCCGCAGTGCTTATTCTGAGAAGCGCTGGATAAGCTGCAGATCTATTCCTTGTTGTAGATTAATGTGCTGAGGTACGGAGTAGGCTCTTTGAAGTCGTGTCCCAAGTCTCCGACCCTTGTCAATCTCCCATGTGTATCTTGAATATGGCAAGAGTAGACTTCGGATACTGTTGCGGATACAGTAAGGATATGAGTCCTCTATGGTTTCTTGTAAATAGCAAGTATAGAAAAGAACACGTCCACTAGTAAAAATAGAGATACGGAGTTTAAGTAAAGCATTTGGACCGTCCTACCTCATCTCTGATCAGAAGTCTTATTCTCCGATCATCTGGGAAACGGCGAGACCAATATTTGCTTACGTGTAATGTGCGCATCGCAAGTGTAAGGCTCGCCCTGGCTAACGCCGGAGCGCTGATGTGCCGTCTTTCGCATCTAAATGCCGTTCTCGTTTACGTCCTATATCAACGCATCAATAGGGTGAGCGCTAACTATGAATGGCATCTACATTATTCGTGAAACGACGAGTCGTGCCGGTATCGAGTTCCCGAAACGGCTATGCATCGGCACTCCAATGTTAGGGCTGACGGAGCAGGCCGTTCTTCTACCCAAGGTACGGGACACTACGGGGCATTGCATATTTCCTTATTTGCTTGCTGGTTCGCATGGGTTTAACAGACAAGGAGTATAATTAACGTTGAATCTAACAAAGGCGATGCTGCTGTTTACGCACACGTGAGTGATTCTCCATTGTTCCCACATTGCCCAGTCTTCATTAACCTCCACTACCCCATGTTCACGGGCCCTACGCGAGTCGATATCGTAAGATAGCTATATGCAGATGGCTGACGATCGTGCACGGCCTCCGCGGGGGCTTACTCGTACATATCGGCTTTCATGCGACGCTCGCTAAGCTGTTATACGTCGGAGGACAATCCATAGTTCACCGGCAGGTTTCCGGTGCACGTACAAGTCCGTTCGTATTGAAGCCGGGCAAAATTCCGCTACTAGTTGAAGCCTGCAGCTTTCTCACGTTATCTGACATGCGTTAGCCTACTAATATATACTGCTGCCTATGAAAGGACGGGACAACGGGAGTAAAATTGCCGATCGCCTTCAGCACCATACAGATTTCATACTCTCGTTATCTTGTTGAAGATCTCGGATGGTTCCATGGCAAACCGGTGGGCTCGGGGCGTTTCATCGGCATCGGGGTAGAAGCACCTTTGAATGATTCAACCCCGCCGAGGATGTTCTTGCATCTGAGATGAATCGTAGATGACATCAATATGTAGATGTGTGGTCTATAAGAGAAGATTGATTCGAGAGGAGCAACAGAAACTGTTCAACCGATAACTAACCTGCTGCTGACCAGTAAGATGTATGCCGCAGCCGTTGGTGTCGTCGCCGCCATTGGGGCCTATTTGGCAGGAGGTCCTTCGACGGAGCCCCCCAAAGTCAGCATCGCCAATGGCACGGTTATCGGATCAAGCCTGGACGGCGTTGATTCGTTTCTTGGAATCCCCTACGCTCAGCCTCCCATGGGAGATTTGCGGCTTAAACGAGCCCAGCCACTGCAGGAGAAATTCGGAACCATCCAGACAACATCGCTTCCTCGAGCATGTCCGCCGCTCAAGGTCCGAGGGGACCCCAACATGCTCTCGCAGCTCCCTCCTGAGCTGGCGGCCATGATTGGAACTTACTTCAACGAGCCTACGTTTGTCGGTGAAGACTGCCTGACGCTAAATGTTCAACGACCTTCCTATATCGCCAAGAATGCAAAGCTGCCGGTCCTCGTGTGGATTTACGGAGGCGGTTTCGAGCAGGGCTCGACTCAGCAGTATGATTTTGCCCGATTCGTGAATTCGTCCGTCACAATGGACCACCCTGTCATTGTTGTGCAGATGAACTGGCGCGTGTCTGCCCTTGGTTTCCTCGGGGGCAAGGAGCTCAAGAAAGAGGGCAACACCAACCTCGGCCTGCGTGACCAGCGTTTTGCTCTTGAGTGGATTGCCGAGAACATTGAGGCGTTTGGGGGAGACCCAAGCAGGGTGACGCTCTGGGGCGAGTCTGGAGGCAGCATGTCCGTGTTCAATCACATGCTTATCAACGGTGGTGACCACACGTACAACGGGAAACCCCTGTTCCGCGGAGCTATGCTCAACTCTGGCGCTGCTGGACCAGCTGTCCAGGTAGATTCTCCGGTGGCTCAAAAAACTTTTGACACAATTGTCAAAGCGGCGGGATGCTCTTCAGCAGAGGATACTCTGGCCTGCTTGAGGGCCTTGCCTTACGAGGCCTTTATGGACGCCTCCAATGTTATTCCCAACATGTTCAACCAGGATGGCATCGCTGTTGCTTTTACCCCGCGACCAGACCCCTCAGATGGCTTCTTCCCTCTCTCACCCGATGTGGTCATCAAGGCGAATCCACCCAAAGTGGCTCCCGTATCACTCCTGGCGGGAACCATGGAGGACGAGGGCACCTTATTTGCACTGGCTTTGTACAGACAGCAGACCAAGGATGCCCTTGTTGATGTTATCCATGGTATTGCACCGGATTGCCCTCGCTCCGTCTTCGAAAAGCTGTTTTCGTTCTATCCAGATGATCCCAAGCATGGATCGCCATATGGTACTGGGGAGGCCAATGAGCTGTACCCGGGATACAAGCGTAATGCTGCTATTACAGGCGACATTTGCTTTGCGTTCCAGCATCGCGTTGTTCTAGAGGCCATCTCTGATACGATCCCATCGTGGAGTTATCTTTCTGCGTATGGAAGACAGACGCCCTTTATCGGAACCTTTCATGGTGCAGATGTTGCGCTTATGGCTACGGGATTCCCCGAGCCTTTGTACTTGGCAATGGCGCAGTATCTACTGAGTTTCGTCTACCACCTTGATCCCAACGTCATCAGCAAGATGGACGGTGGCGCGAGGCCTCTGCCCGAGTGGCCACGTTATGATGTGAAGACCAAGGACATGATGCAATTTACTGACAAGGGACTCGTCATTGGGAAGGATGATTTCCGCCAAGACGCGTTCAACTATTTCAACTCGAAACTCCATCAGCTGAGGTGGTAATGGTCACTGAACTTTTTCTTAAGTTTTCGATCTACCTAGTCTTGGACAGCAGAATTTCTACATGATTAAGATCTATATTTAGAATGCAACAATCTAGAGTAACTATATATCACAAAATAAAATGAAACTGAAATTTACTCCACACGTTGGACATTTTCCACTTCCCAGCTCATATAAAAAGAGTCTCCCCCATTCTTCGTCAAACGAAAAGAAGGAACTCTGTGCTCCATATAGCATCAGAATCATGTGTTTGGTCATCGTGGGTATCCACCTCGGCGGGTTTCTTCTATCGGTGGATTTAACTACACAAACGGCGAGACGAAAAGATTAGTCAGATTTCACTCCCCCGATGACACCATCTACGAATCTCTCTCTATTAGACACTGGGTCTACTTCAAGCAGCCTTTGCGATGGATATGTAGATTGACGTTGTGCAAGGGCACTGTTGTGGTTGAGTCCAGATAGTCCCTCTTTGACAATGGATTGGTTTAGCTTTGGCTATGTAGCCAAAGTGGCCTTTGGATCGGTATAGTCTCACCACGATAAACAGTTATCTGATTGATGCTAACCAAAACGGACTTGACAGCTGGTCTTTTTTGAGACTGTGCAAATTATATACAACATTTATTTTCATCCTCTGAGACACATTCCCGGCCCATGGCTGTTTCGCGCAAAGCGATTATTCTACGTTGTACGATTTAATCAGGGTAGGTTGTCGTATGATGTACATAAATGGCATGCCATATATGGACCGATTGTGCGCATCGCACCCGATGAGCTTGCGTTTGAGGATCCGGATGCTTTCAAGGATATTTACGGGCGCCGTCCTGACGATGAAATGGCCAAACCGGACCGTTCATATCATCTTATAGGCGAGGCCCGCAGTATAATGAATGAGACCAAAGAGAAACACGCTCGTCTGCGGAAACAGCTGGCTCTTGGATTCAGCGAACGCAGCATGCGAGACCAGGAACCCATTATTGGCAACTATGTTGATCTTCTCATCAAGAGACTTCATGAGCATTGTATTGACGGGGATAAACTTGACCCCATCACGGGCGAAAAGGCCAAGAGAGAATTAAACATGACGGCTTGGTATGCTTGGACAACCTTTGACATTATCGGAGATTTAGCATTTGGCGAACCATTTGGGTGTCTGGAACGTGCCAGGTATGATCCTTGGGTAGCCGCTATTGGCAAAGCCGTACGCTTTAGTCCAGTGATTCTGGGTGCGAAGCTCTTGGGCTACGAGTGGGCTTTGCGTCCTCTGCTGAGTATGTTGAACAAGTACCGTCGCGAGCACAACAGGCTGTGCATGGAGAAGCTGCAAAGGCGGATGGCCATGTCGGCTGAACGGCCGGACTTGATTGAAGGACTGCTGCAAAAGGCCAAGGACTGGGTATGTGTTTCATCTTTTGTCTTGAAACGTAATTCTGACATTTCCAAGGACATGGACGTTCGGCAAGTGATGCAGAATAGCAGCAATCTCATTATTGCGGGCTCCGAAACCACGGCCACAGGTCTAGCTGGTATTACATATTTACTGCTGAAGAATCCGGACGCGCTACAAAAGGTTGTCCAAGAGGTCCGGTCCTGTTTCTCCTCTGAGGATGAAATCACGCTGCTGTCGGTCAATAATCTTCCATTCATGTTTGCCTGTATAAATGAAGCTTTGAGGCTATACCCGCCTGTCGCCCTCGGTTTGCCTCGAATCGTGCCAAGAGAAGGTGCAGTCATTGCCGGGCAGTTTGTCCCCCAAGGAGTGAGTATCGAATTACCAAGATCTACCACAATACACCGAAAATAGAGAGTATGCCCAGTGTTAACACTCGGTAACCATTAGATGACAGTTGGCACGTGGCATTGGGCAATTTACCACAGCAAAAGGCTGTGGGCCAAACCATTCGAGTTCCACCCGGAGCGCTTCTTGCACGATGCCAGCTTTGCCAATGATAGACTGGATGCTTTGCAGCCGTTCTCGGTAGGGCCACGAAACTGCCTCGGCCGCAAGTAAGATGCTCCAAAAAGCGATGAGATTTCATCTTAGATTCCGATTTGAAGGCTGTTTTGGCTAATGTTTTTTTTAGTCTTGCGTATGCTGAGATGCGGCTGATCCTCGCACGCATCCTCTTCAACTTTGACTTGAAGCTTGTGAATGAGGACGAGGATTGGATGGACCAGTGCACATTTATTCTATGGGAAAAGGGGCCTCTAAATGTATACTTGACACCTGTTAAGAAGTAAATTTATGATGGATAAATGTGGAATAAATTTGCCATTTTCAGTCCGCTGAAAGCAGTGTGGAATGTACCATCACCCACAACTTGGAAGTATACGTGATGCCGGAAATATACATGTACCTACTGTAATATTATGTCAAAAAAGGCGAATAAAATCAAGGTAAACGCCAATCACAGAGACATCAATAGAGGAAAAGACGATGGCAATGACAATGGCATTGACTACCTATAAAGGCTGAGGAAATATGTAGCCCACATACATGTAGTCACCTGTGGCAACATCTGACCTTGACGAACGGTCTGCTGACGTTGTTGACATGACTGACAAAAATGACATGCACGCCTTCACGATACATACAAGACTCCAATTCATCACAGCTTCAAGAATTGCATCTTTGCCTTTTGGTGCGTCTCGACACAGTTCGGGGCATCAGTCGGATTAGTGACTGATGCTCACCCAGAAATAGCGACAGCCACAAGCCAGCCACAAGCCAGCCACAGCGCCTTTTCCAGACAATTGTGGGCAGCCAAAGGGCGAGGCTTGCAGTTCCTTGTTGTGATGCATGCCAAATTTCTTCGGGGTGCATCACAAGGAATTGCAGGCCTGGAAGAAAAAAATCACTCGGACGATTTAGATGGGTGAGATGTCTATTATTCTATCAAACCATCTGTGCCTTGGGCATCTCGCAGGTTGACGAATCTTATGATTGAGATTGCTGACATCCCAGTCAGCATGGACAGCCCTCACTACGTACCATGTACACCTGTGCTGCTACGGCTTACTGGGCACAGGCTGTTGACATGACTGCAGCATATCAACGAGAACAAGAACAAGAACAAGAAAAAGAAAAAGAACAAGAATACGCCGACCTGCTCCAAGATGTGGAAGGCATTCTACATCGAGTCGTCAGAGGCACATGTATCTACCTATTCGATGGCTGCTATCCGAATCACAGCGCTGTGCCGATACGTTCCAGGTGCTTTTATTGCTGGAGGGCTTGGGTGCTGCAATGCGCCGCAACGCGAGGTACGTACATCCTCCATACATTGGAGGCGCTGGTCGGCCACTTTCATCCTGATTACGGTACATGCAGTCGCTGTGACGGGCAGTGCACTGAGGCTGATGAAGCTACAGGTACCTGAGCACCACTAACGGGCACCACCGCGTTGATGGGTACCAGGTACCTACTAATGTAGACAGCACGGCGCAAAGTCTTTGCGCCGGTGCTAGTCTGGACGCACGGCCAAAAGGGAATTATTCGTACAGACCCAGCCGTAGGTACACCGGTCACCGCTGGTAGCCCGTCTCTAGCAACTTTTTATCGCAGGCAAAGCTGGCACTCGTCGTACTGGCCCGTGATGACAATGTGGTGCTCATCGGTCCGTCCAAAGTCACCGAGACTCGGAACCGCGTACCAAACCGTCCACCAGCGATGCACGTGACGCGGCAATTGGAACAGCCATGGGCGATCCCGATTCCCCCATCTCCCGAATCACGGGCACCTGGTACCTATCAGTGGGAAAATGAGGGGGCCTGCTGGGCTTGCTGGGCGGGTGAAGGACTTGTACCTTGGCCCAAGCTTGGGCTTGCAGACATTGCGAGACTTGCAAATGTTGCCACAGTTGCAGACCGGATGTGCTCTTTATACCTAGTACCTAGTACCTATAGAATGAGGGAGTTGATACACTGTTCGCATGGGTATGCGATGACGTCCGGTGGCTTGGAGGATTCGTCTTCAGAGTCACCCCTCGACCAAATATGCGCCAATAGCGCGCTTGGACACTATAAGGACGGGAGTTAGCTGGTTCCAGGATGGGACCCATGGCGACATACTGGTGAGACAGGCTAGGGCGCGGCAGGGTGTCCAATCATGTGATTTATGATGGCATGTACCTCTCTCTCTTGAAGCTCGAGCGAGCTCGCGTATCAGGTACTCGTCTATTTGTACACTCTTCCGTACCTTATCTCTTTCTGCGGCCTCAGGCACCACAAGTCCTTTTCCCGCAGCCTCAGGCACCGACGGGCAATCGCAGGCCCCATCAATCTCCAATGCAGTCAATCAGCGCGTGCGATACAGCAATACCGACGCACGCACTAACGAACCGCCTGGCAGCGCTACAGTACCTAGGCCTAGATCTTGCCGCATATCATATCAGGCACGAGCACGATCCCGCGCCACACGACCGACGCCCGCACGCCACTGTACATACGTACTGGCGGGAATTGGGCGGTTGTTGCTCTTAAAAGGCCACTTTGCGTTGTCGGTGCTTTTGCTCACTGCATCTTCATGGCCAGGCTCGACATTGACGTCTCAGGACATGCTGGCCGCTGGATTGGCTGTTGGGTTAGGCGAGGGGCTGAGTACCAGATAGTTTGCCGTAGCCGCAATACAATCCAAAAATACACTGCCTTATCAATTCCTTATCCACAAACGAGCCAACCAACAGCCATCGCTTAACCTCGCTTCAACCTGCAAGCCTGGCGGAGAAACGAAAACGCGAGCTTGCAATTGTTTTCCAGCCCAGATGCTGAGACTGCAGGGCATCACAACTGAGATCCTCATGTATTCTTGTATTTCCGTCAACGTAGCACAGGTCGGCAAAGTAGCGCAGCATCAATTGAACATGTCAGAAAACAAGAAATACATCTATTCTACTCGTCAACATGTCTATCCCACACAATAAAGCAGCCATCTAGTCTTTCCCCTTCAAAAGCGTCGGCAGCGACAAAATCTCACCAGCACCAACAGTACTCGCCAAATATTCGCACACAAGCCTGTTCAATCCAGCCTCGCGTGCCTTTTCAAGCCAAACCTTTGACTCCAGCTCATCAAACACGCCGCCCTCCGTCCTTTCCATGTATCTTCCAAAGTCCCCAAGGGGCACCTTTTCATCACTGCAATGATGCTGATACGATACACGCCGTGTGGCATCTTTTCCATCTGCGCTCACAGAGGCCACCGCCGCATCAGCAATGTCCTTCGCTACGGATCGCACGGAAACAAAGTCGAGTGCGCCGCTGATGGCCTTGGGGAATCGCGGTACCGCTTTGAGAAGCCTGGAGTAGTTGTGCAATGATGCTACAATGTCCATTTCTGGTGCATCAACCCCAATGATGCTCGTTGGTCGATGGATCCAGCTGCGTGCTCCGTGATCGTCTGCCAGTGATTCCAGAAAGGCCTCGCTCATCCATTTAGACGCTGCATATCCGTTTCGGCCATCTTTGGGTAGATTGTCGAGGCCCTGGATTGATGTTTCGTGGAGATGCTTGCCGACATGGAAATGTGCCACGGAAGCAGTCGAAACAAGGTGAATTGGAATTGATCTTGCAAGTGCCATCTCGGCCAGGTACCGAGTAGAAAGAACATTTGGTCGACGTAGCGAGCGGTAAGTCTTCATGAATGATACATCTGCGCCGTTGTGCACTACAACGTCGGCACGAGCAACCAGATCCTTCAACGCTGAAGACGACAAGCCGAGGTTGCGGTCTCCAAGATCGCCGGCATGCTCGATAATTTTGGGACTGGATACATCGACATGTCTCGGTTCCCCATTGACTCCGGGCCGTATCGCCACGCAATGTATTTCGCCGACTCTCTCATCATTGACAAGATGTTGGAGCATGTGCCGTCCCAAAAAGCCAGTTGCTCCCGTCAAGATGACTGAAACGCCTGATTTCGTTGCTGGTGTTTTATCCGAAGAAGAGTATGATTGCGGCATTAAACCATCGCAGAGGGACTTTAATTCCTTGCCCCAGTCAATACTTTGGCCTTGCACCTCATTCTTCGACCCATCTGCCTGAATCTTTGACGCCATATCGCGGACTGTGCTCACTTGGAACAGCTCGGGCAATGTCAAATCAATGCCAAAGGCCATTTTAAGCTCAGAACGCAACTTGAGAAGGAGCAGAGAATTACCACCGACAAGGAAAAAGTCGGAATCGGCAGACAACTGCATCGGCTGGATTGCGGTGGGGAGAACATCCTGCCAGACAGACATGACCCGTGCTTCCAGGTCGGTAATGTCCTCATTGCGTTCATTGCCGCTCTCGCTAGATGGAAGTGGTAGATTGTTAATCTTGGACCAATCCTTTTTACCGCTAGCATTCCTCGGAATTTGATCGATTGCAACAATGTGTGCTGGACACATGTACGCTGGTAGAGGCAGATTTGCTCCAAGCTGGCCGAGGAACGCATTCTTGTCTTGAGTGAAATCATCTGAAAAGACGACAAACGCTGAAAGCATGTCAGAGCCGCGAAGGGACACGGCAGCATCCACAATAGCTGATCTAGCCGCCTCGATAATCACGTTTCCAATCTCTTCCAGCTCAATGCGCATTCCACGAATCTTGACTTGCGAGTCGCCCTCCAATCGGCCCATAAAGTCCAAAAGTCCGCTTTCAAGCATGCGGCCCCTATCTCCGGTCCGGTAGAGCTTGTCCCATCCCCAAACAGCAATCTCATGCCTGGGTGAAATGGTGTTGGCGATGAACTTGGTCGCAGTCTCTTCAGGTCGGTTGACGTATCCAGAGGCAACTCCAGCGCCTCCGATGCAGATTTCTCCCGGAAAGCCAACGGGCAACGGGTTTCCTCGCTCGTCAACCACCACCACAGTATAGTTGGGCTGTACCATGCCCGCCGGACTGGCGGCCTCGGAGTCATCTGTAACATACGGGACCGTATATCTTGTACACGAGAGACTCGCTTCAGCGGGACCGTAGAGATTAATCAGAAGCAAGTCGGAGAGACCTAGCCTTTTGAAACTTTGGCGGAGCTGAGGAGTAATCTTTTCGCCTCCAGAAAACGCAAACTTCCAAGATGTGCACTTTTTGAGTACGTCAGATCCATAGTGAAGCAGGTATAGGTACTCTGAAGGGACAAAAACTGTATAAGTTATGCCCTCCGAGAGTATCAAATTGGCAATCTCCATGGCGTCTCCTCGAGCTTCTTTCGAGGCCACCACAACAGTGCCGCCGTTCGCCAGAGCACTAAATATCTGCTCCAAGTGGAGGTCGAACCCAGACGAGCTCTGCTGAAGAACGACTTCTTTGCCGAGACGATGGGCTTTTGAAATGGCCCAAATCTGGTTCAGTAGAGCATGGTGAGTGAGCAAGACTCCTTTGGGGGTGCCAGTTGAGCCACTGGTATAGATGGCGAATCCAGGCGCATTAGGTTCGGCAACGCATTGAATGGGAGATGGAACGTCCTGCGGTGGTTTTGAGATGCACACCAGCTTGGCTTTGCTCTGCTCGACAGTAGAAGCTAGATTCTCCGCCATAGTCTGAGTTTCTTCTTGGTAGATTATGGCGCTCGGCCAACAATCAGCCACAATAGCAGCAAGACGACGCTCTGGATTTCTCAGATCCAGTGGTACATATACCAAACCCAAGGTTAAGATGGCCATCAGTGCACAGATTGAGTCCGCAGCTGGCTGCAAGAGAATTCCAACATAAGACCCAGCCGGGAGATCGGAAAGTTGACCAGCAATTTGACCAGCCCGCTGCATCATTTGAGAATAGCCTAGTTGCTGGCCGTAGCCGTCTTTAACTGCAATGGAATCCGGGTGCTGTGATGCAATCTCTTCAACTCTGTGCGCAAGAGTGGGTGCTTTCCAGCTTATCTCGAGACTCTGACCACGACCAAGAGAGATGGCGTTTTCAATTTCAGAGGGAGTCGCAAGGAGACAATCCAGTGCCGTCCTGGAGGTGTCGTTGGCAAACCCTTCCACAGTATGAGTGTACCACGTCAAGAGTTTGTTAGTATCGGCAGCGCTATAGAGGTAGCGTTGGGTAGTGAACGAGATGATGGTTCCCTCTGCAATTTCCGAAATGTCTATGATGAGGTCGTAAGGATTACGTGCATCTGTTGTAGATGTCCACTCGATTTCGCAATTACCAAGCGGCATGGTTCTGGATCCTCCCAATCGGTAATTGACAGCGATCTGGAAAAGAGGATTCTGGTCACCAGATCGCGGCACTTTCAAGACGTCTAGAATCGTGTCAAAATCGGCATTCGAGTTGGACAGGGCAGCCAAGGTCATGTCTCGAGTTCGCTTGGCCAACGTTCCAAAGCTTTCGTCGGCAGTCGTGTTGAATCTTAGAGGCAGGATGTTGGTGAAATAGCCCACGGTCGTCATGTCCTCTGCAGTCGCGCGATTTGCATCAAGAATCCCAATAGAAAAGTCATTCACGCCAAGACACCTTGATACAAATGCGGCGATGGACGACAGATAAAAGTGGAAGGACGTCACATGCATCTCTCCGCTGGCTTGTTTGATCTGGCCAACGAGCGATTTGGAGAGCATCACATCAAGCGTTTCTGTGTCGTAAGACTTTAGCAGCTGTCGACACTGGACTCGAGAGACGGGAAACAGAGGCAGAGGTTCGGGAAGAGTGCTGTAGACATCTTTCCAAAATTGCAGCTCGTTCTGAACCTTTGCAGGCGCTGCCTTTTGTTGCTGCTTATTGGCAAGGTCAATTGCTTGCTGAACCGGTGATGAAAAATCGCCGCCCGCGTATGCCTTGTTCAGCTCGCTGAGGAAAATGGCCCAGCTGACACCGTCGAGAGCAATGTGGTGAAAGGTGAAGATAACGTGATGCCGAGTGCGAGATAGAGAAAGTACTTGGATCTTCATCCATGCTCCAGTTTCCAAGCTGAACTCTGCGGTCTTCATAGCATCAAGAGTAGCCTGGATTTCCGCATCGTCTTGGATGTTCTTGTGCTCTACAGCAATGCGCGCTTCTTTGCCAACTCCTTGCATGGCCTTTCCAGTTGCATCATTCAAAAAGAAACAACTTCGTAGACCTTCGTGCTTTCTGGTAATGGTGCTGAGCGCTTTCTTCAGTCTGCCCATATCGAACGGGCCTTGTAATTTACCAGACATTGTGACGTTGTACGTGGCTTTATCCTCCAGATAGACGTGCAGAAAGTACAGGCGGCTCTGGCCCGGAGTCATCTCGCCAACTCGTTCGTATAAAGGTTCCTCCAGTGATGCCGTCTCTGAAACTGAAGACGATCCCGTAGAAGCTCTGGACATGAGCGCACTGGCATTGTCTTCCATCTTCAAGGTAGAGACCTCGGTGGGCGCTGCAGACGGAACCTTGAGCTGCCGCACATGTGCTGAGCTCAACAGCTCATTGTTCACTGCTGGAGCTGCATCAGCTGTTGGTGCAGCCGTTTCAGCCGAGGAAATCAGCGTCGGTGGAAGCAGCACCAGAGCGTCTTGGCATATCTCTGCAAGAGAAGCACCGCTCAAGATCTTCAAAACCGGCATGTCGACATTCACCTCTTTCAAAAACCAGGATCTAATCTCGACAGATACTAGGGAGTCGATTCCCAACACCAACAGCGGAGTAGAGTGATCAATGACGTCGGCGTGGACTTGGAGAATCATGGCGAGCTTTTCTGCACAGGCGCCCTGCAAGATGGCCAGAGCATCTTCGCTATTCTTCGCTGCGGCCAGTCTGCCCTTGACACTCTGTGATGATTGAGCCTGGTGATTATCTGCGTCTTCTTCATTGGTCTCGTGTCGCACATAGGTTGCAAATCGAGGATTGCTGTACCACGGCGCATTGGGTTCCTCTCCGATGCCGATGATAATCTCAGGATCCTCCTTGGAAGTCGGCTGACCTGCGGCAATGGCTTCGGCAAAGACACCGTGGAACTCTGGTTCGGATATCCTCATGTATCCGAATTTCTTCAAGTGGTCCTCGTACTGCTCCAGATTGCGGTCGACGAAACCCACACCGAGGAGGAAAGCAATGTCAATGATGGACGCTGCAACGCCCCTCTGCTTTCGCTGGCGCACGAGAGAGTGCATGTACATGTTTGCCGCAGCATAGTTAGACTGTCCCGGATTGCCCATGACACAAGTTAGAGATGAGAAGCAGATAAAAAAGTCCAAAGGAGTGGAATGGAACAGCTCATCCAAATTTTGCGTTCCCTTGACTTTGGGCCTTGATGCCACCTCAAAGTCTTCCAAAGACATGTTTGTGAAAAGCTTATCGTTCAACACCATAGCAGCATTTGCCACGCCGGCAATGGGTGGCATTGTCTCAGAGACTTCTTTGTGCAATCTCAGCAACCCTTCTTTGTCGGTAATGTCAAGGGGGAGAACCTTGACATTGGCACCCCGGCGTCTCAGATCTTCAAGCACCGCCGTGTCAACTCTACCGGGGCTTCGGCTGGTGACTACCAAGTATCTCGCTCCATGCTTGACCATCCAATCACAGATTGACATGCCCAGCTGAGAAGCTAAACCAACGAGAAGATATGTCTTGTTTGCCACAAAAAGGTCGGACGGCCTGAGAGGGCTGATCTTTGATTCCACCGACTCGGCATCATTCCAGTTCAGCATGGTTGTCAATGAAGCTTGACCAGCCTGCTTGTTGATCTCAGCTACAGAGATGGAGGCATTCTCCATGGGGAATTTTGGCAATCCAGTTGAAACATGGTGCCTCGTAATCTTGAGCAAGTCACCCCATCTGTAATTCATCAATATGGCATCATCTTCACGCACACTTCTAACTGCGTCAAGGCTCTCAAAGCCCTCAGCGATGTGTGCTAGGACGCTGTTGTCTTGCCCTAGATTCACAAAAACTTCAATATCCTCAGGAAGGAGAGATAGAATATCTCTTTCGTTGGCGTATGAGTGAATAAAGACTTGAGCGGGGTCAAAATTGCTGTCTTCTTCCGAAGATGTGCTAAAGAATACGTCAATTCCTTCAGCAGCGGCGACGTGTGCAATAAGCTTGGCTAGCAAAACATCGGCATCATGGACCCAAATGCGGCATCTGATGCCAGAAATGATGCTCTCGGCAATAAGGACTCCAAAGAGCACTTGGGAATCAGTTACGAGATCAAAATCCTCGGGGAGATGCCACAAATCCGAAACCATTACACTCAGAGTTGACAGAACCGAAGGAGAGAATATTGCGGCTTTGCGACCTGTTCCGACAACCGTTCCTAGGCAGAGATAGAGAGCTTTGCTCTTTAGAGGCCTGAAAGGTAGCAGAGATGAGGCGTGAACTCTGAATTGTGCATATTCAGATGAAGTATCGGCATTTGAAACATCGGCATTTATCGAGCCTTGCACTCTTTGGAACGAATATGAGCCTTCGTCGGCCACGAGCTCGACACGGTTCTCGGCCAAAGATAATGGACTCATAATATCTCTTCGAACGGAATTGAGTCTGTCATTCATTTCGTTGCTGGCAACAATTCTTGGGATGTAGAGACCGCTCTTCTCCACCGCAAGCTCCCATTCGTCAGCCCAAAGCACATCCTCGAAATCGGCAGAGTTGACGCAAATTGTACGCAGTAAAGTCTCAGAAAACAATCGAGGGTCTGGGGTCATTGTGTCCACATCCAAGAATTGAAGTCGCAGGTTGGGCAGTTCGTGCATGGCGGCTCTACCAAGGCCAACAACCATGTTGCTCAGCGGATTCTCAGCGCGACACCCACGTGTAGCCCAAAGGACAAATCTGGCGTCTTTAAACACTGACTGGACGCCGCTGAATCTCTCTGGCGTGATATCTTGGAAGGTTGGGACATCCAGCTCAGAGAGAACCAACACAGTAGCTCCGTCTGGGACCTCTGTAACGTCTTCGAGCTTGTTGATGAGGGTAACATTGGAAGCGATGGGCTGGAGGAGGCCTTTGGCTGTCTGTGCAATCTTTTCGACTTGGGATGATTGCCCACCTATTATGATCAAATCATCGACAGGAGGTATCATGTCAGTCCAAGCGGTGGGATCACGCAAGACGTTGATGCGCTCGTCGACCGCCTGGCTGACGATGAGCGACGCAAGATATCTTTTGGGGTCGTGATAATCTCTGTACGCCGCGTCCACTCCAGAGAAACCAGTGGCGAGTAGATCTTTGTTCCATCTTTCTTCATCAGTTGTGGGACAGTAGACACGCCCATCATCACGTCCAAGCCACCATCCGGGTAGATGAGAAGAGATGAATTGCGGCAAAACACCGTCGTTGGTAACTTCGTTGAGAATCAGGTAACCCCCTGCCTTTAGAAGAGTTCGGCAATTAGCTAATGTCTTTTTCAGAGACTTGGTCGCGTGCAGAGCGTTTGAAGACATGATGACATCAAAAGAATGTTCTTCAAAGCCCTGTCCCAGGGGATCACGCTCAATATCTAGCACCGCCCATTCCATCATGGATGAGTACTCTCGGAACCGCTCCTGCGCAGCTTCAAAGAAACCAGCTGAGATATCTGTATAGGTATATGAATGGCAACGGCCGACAAGTTCCTTGAGCATATGAACACTGGCACCACCAGTGCCAGCACCAATTTCCAGAACTTTCAAGCGCGGGTAACGGTGAGCCAGTTGACTGGTTACCGTGACAAGATGACCGTAAGTCTGTCGGAATGGAACGGCTTCGGCGTAAAGCCTCGTGAGCATATCGTCTTGCATCATGACCTGCAGGGCTGGCAGCTCGCCTCGCAGAATCGACGGCTGGACTTCTCCGAGTGCTGATATCATCTGCAGTTCTACCATTCCTGGATATTTTGCCCTCCAAGCTGCTGCATCCTCCGCCGTATCAGTCGCCCATTCCTTTTTGATACGTGGGTGTCGTCCGGCTTCAATCTTGGGAAGGAGATAATTCACAATCCAGTCAAATTGGATCTGGAAGTGCTCATCCATCTTGGGGATATCTTCTGGCTTGATCGCATCACGGAGTCGCCTGTGGTAGAAGTAGGCAAGACGCTCACAAGTATCGCCATACTCGACCTCTTCCTCGGTCAGGTACTCAATCTTCTCAGGATCAATGCCACTAGCAATGTCTCTCTTCCAGACAGTCTTTGCAAAAAGCTTCCGATCGTTCTGTGGAGTGGCCTTGGTAAAAGAAGAACACGTTAGAGCGTGCAGCTGGATCTGTGGGTGTCCTACAGCAGTCGAAGTAATGTCAACGTCACCCTGGATCTTCTTTGAGTTGGCATCTCTGAGGTAGCAGTCCGCAAGCAGCTCAGAAGACGTATCTGCAAATGCAGAGGCTTCCAAAGCAGCAGGATTGATGCGAACACGGCGCACGTTAGTCGGAAGATATGGGGTCCATAGCTGGCCATCTCCAGGGAATGCCATGGCAGTGAATATTCCGTGAAAGGCAGCGTCAAGAGTCGCAGGATGCAGGCGGAGCCTATCGTTTTCAAGGCGCTTAAGTGTCACCGTCGACACGTTCAGTCGTCGTTCAACAGCCTCAATTGTAAAGTCTCCCGTGTAGCGAAGGCCGACCTGCTCCATGTACTTGTAAAGACGATCTACGCCAACAGGTTTCATTGGTAGTTTCGGCGCAATCCTGGGTGGCAAGGCATCTACCGCAGGCTTTCCAAGACGAACGATGGCACGTCCAGTGAAGTTCGTACTCTCAGAGTGTTCGGAGACTTCTCCGTCCACTTTGCAGCTGTAGCACGAGTATTCAGCCGTGATCTTATCCGAGTCTCGATCTATGACTCGGATCGTGAAAGTCACTTCTGTGCCAGCTGCGTCATCTTCCAGAGTAATAGCGCGGTGAATGACTAGATCCTCAAGCTCGACAAGCCGCACCTCTTCGTGCTCAGCCGCAAGACGGATGGATGCTTCATAAGCCATGGACACGTATCCAGCTGCTGGGAAGAGGACTTGGTTCTGGAAGATGTGTCCTCGCAGCCATTCCATTTCCTGAATTCTCATCACATTGCGCCAAGTGACCTCGCGATTGTTTCCGTGGGATGTAGGATAGCCAAGCAGTTCGTGAATCGGGTTTTTGCGAGAACGATAGATTCGCGACTTTCGGGACTCTTTCCACAACTTACTAGCATGATCCCAAGGGTAGGGTGGGAGCCCTTTAAGGGTCATGGCTGGACCAACGTCATCTCCAAAGCATGCCTTTCTAAATCCAGCAAAATCCACGACGGGAGAAGAAGAGTGGAATTTGGACCAGATAAATCCAAGAGCGTCCGAAAAGGCCTCCATATCATCCTGCCCTCGGCTTAAAACACCAGAATATGGTATATCCAAACCAGTGAGATTCTTCAAGCTTTCCGATGCAGGTGCCTTGAGAGCGAAATGCGGTCCTACTTCCAATGCAATATCGTGACAGTGCTCTTCAGTAACAGCTCTGTCAATAGCTTGCGAAAAGAGCACCGGCTTGACCATATTATCTACCCAGTAGGTATCCTTGAAGGCATCCATATTGTCAATCGAGCGACCGTTTGAACCATAAACACTGGAGTACCACTTGCACTTTAGCTTGTCAGTGTTAATTTGCATATGTAGCTTCTGCAGAGATTCAAGATATGGCCCTGCACAGGGCTGCATATGATGCGAATGGTAGGCCTTGTCAACTTTGAGAAGTCTTGCAAATGACTGCTGGCTATCAAGTAGCTCCTTGGCTTCATCAACGGCATCTGCATCACCAGAGAGAGTGACGCTGGATCGAGAATTGCTAGCTGCTACATGGATTCGGCCAGCAAGCTTCTCTTGTGAGCAGAAAGCACGCGCTTGCTCCAGTCCCATGCCAACTGCCATCATCTTGCCTTTCTGACCGTTCGGTCCACCGGCCAAGTGAGCGTGAACACCACGATAGTACGCAATCCGGATCGCATCGGCAGCCTCGACATAGCCAGCAGCATAAGCCGCACCAATCTCTCCAGATGAGTGACCGACAACAGCGCTGAATGTGATGCCCGAGGCATAGAGAAGATCGACAAGCGCAACCTGCAGGGCGGTGCATAAAGGCTGTGAGATGGCCGCCTCGTGTATTCTGGACTTTTCAGGTGGCGCAGTCAGTTCAGACACGAGCGACCAAGATGGTGCATCGGGCAAGTTCTTCAGGGAGTCTTCGAGCTTATCAATTGTGCGTTTGAAGCTGGCCGACTTCTCATAGAGACGACGTCCCATCGAAGGCCATTGCGCACCCTGGCCTGTAAATACGCCCAATATCCGCGCTGGAAGATGTTCCGTAACGTGGATTCCTTTTGTAGCGATTGAGTTTGACTTTGAGTCCACGTCATCTAATTTCTCGATGAGTCCTTCGACAGTAGATGAAGAAACATACGTCTTGTATGGGAATTGTGTGCGGCGACACTGCATCGTCCAGGCTAGGTTAGAGATATTTGCCATCTTGCCAGCCTTCAACGCTTCAGACATGTGGCGAGCCCTGGCCAACAAAGCCTTCTCTGTGTTGGCAGATAAAGTAAGCGGGCCACAGGGAACTTGGAGAGCGTCATCCCGTTGAATATCCTCAGGAGCCCAGCTCTCAAGGATGACGTGTGCATTGGTTCCTCCAAATCCGAAGCTGTTGACGCTTGCACGTCTTGGAGTTCCAGGAGGCAGTGTAGGCCATGCTCTGGCCTTTGTCGGTACGTGGAGGTTGGTGTAGAATGGCGAGATTTTGGGGTTTAGTTTGTTAAAGTGCATATTGGGGGGGATTATTCCGTTCTGGATAGCCAGAGAGGCTTTCAATAACCCAGCCAGCCCGGCAGTCCCTTCCAAATGGCCAATTACTGTCTTTATCGATCCAACATAAAGAGGTTCATCCGCCTCAAGACTCGTAGTACGATCTTCGTCTTCGTCGTATTCTGGGAAGAATGCGTCTCTGACCGCCCTAGCTTCGATGGCTGGAAACGATGTTAATTGTTATGGTTGGAAAATTTGGGTGGTTGAAATTACTTACGATCTCCAGCCATAGTTCCTGTGCCGTGAGCCTCAAAATACTGGCAGCGTTCTTCCTTCTTCCGCCAATCCAAGCCAGCTCTGGCATAGGTTGACCGAATTAACGCTGTCTGTGATGTAGAGCTGGGCATGGTAATACCAGATGTGCGCCCATCCTGGTTGACGCCCGTTTCTCGAATGATGCATTCAATATGATCACCGTCTGCAATCGCTTGGCTCAGGGTCTTGAGAAGCACCGACGCAAAGCCTTCACCTCGCGCGTATCCATCAGCTCCAGCGTCCCACATGCGTGATCTGCCTGTCGGAGATAACATGTGAAGCTGTAAAACCGGCCGTATCAGCATCCAAAGACGGCTTTAATTGTCCTGATAAACGTACCTTGGATTCGAGGATATATGGATCAGGGCCGAGAATCAAATTCACGCCGGCTGCCACCGCCAGTGACGACTCTCCGCTCCTCAGAGTTTGCACAGCGTGATGCAACGCTACCAAGCTTGACGAACATGCCGTGTCTATCGTGGATGATGGTCCTTTCCAGTCGAAAAAGTACGACACTCGATTAGACAGAATGGCTCTCGAAATACCGGTCGCTGCATACTGTGGTGCACTGTCTACGTCTCGCAGTAATAAATCGGAGTAGTCCTGAGTCATCTGTCCCACAAAAATGGCCGTCTGAGATCCCTTCATCTCTTGGATCGAGTATCCTGCCGCTTCGAGGCACTCAAAAACAATCTCCAGTAGCATGCGCTGCTGGGGATCCATGGACTCTGCTTCTTTCGGATGGATATTGAAGAAGTTGTGGTCGAATTCTCGGAAATCTTCGTCGAGGAGATAGGAATGTCTCACATTCGTGCTCTAAAGGCTCCAAAAACCGTTGTCAGTCTTTCTTTCAATTTTCCAGAACAATGTGATTGTTGCTTCTTACGCCGTGGTATTCTCCATTATCGTTGTAAAATCCTTCTGGGTTGAAACGACTCTCTGGTATCTCCTTGAGAATATCCTTGGGGTTCTTTAGCAGCTCCCATAGCTTCGATGGGGAGCTTGAGCTGCCGGGGAAGCGACAGCTGCTTCCCACAATGGCAATGGGTTCAGTGGTGAACTCAGACTTTGCCATTTTTGATGTCTTTTGGAACGCGATCTTGGTATTCCCAATGAGCAATGGCAGCTTGTTTCTTAAGATGGCCCAAAGAACACCAACTATGTCTACTGGACTGTCACGAAGAAGAGGACGAAGCTACAGTCTTGAGTATTCATCACTAGCTACTCGACGAATGCGAATTATTTTTGGAATAGTCTACTACGTATGTTAGAACAGTCTTACATACCGTCGGGCATTTTTATCCAGCCATCAATTCATTGATACACCGGCTATCGCAACGGGACTTGCGCGCCGCTCCGGCCATCGCTACCATACTAGGCAAATCACCATTTCATGCTCACATACTGACGGTCGGTGCAATATGCTTACTGTGGAGTTGAGAATGGCCCCGCCGACCGGCCGGCCGATTATTGCGGGCTTGGATGTCGGCAGGTTGCTGACTGTATCCCGTACTCATGAGAGCTACCTTTCCGATCAAGGCGCAGAGCATTCACAGGATTTTTAAGTGTTCCAGAGCTACGCCTGGGATCTGATGTAGACAATATGGATAAGACTCTAGTGATGAGCAACGAACACGCATACATACGGGAAAGTTTGCAAAGCTGTGACTTACGCAGTGTTTGAAAATCATGACATTCCGAAGCACCTTGGTGGGCAAAGACGTTGGCCAATATGAACTGGTCCACGGGGTTCCAGTTCCAGAGGCAGGGCCCGATCAGGTCGTCTGCAAGGTTGGAGCTATTGCCCTGAACCCGACAGACTGGAAGATGGTGGACTTTTCTGTGGTGCCAGGCGCAGTTGGTGGACACGATTTTGCTGGAGAAGTGGTTGAGGTTGGGCAAGGGGTGACGCGATTGAAAAAGGGCGATAGAGTGCTTGGGCTTGCGATTGGCTTCAATGCGGATGATATGAGGATGGGCGCCTTCACCGACTACGCCGTCACATACGCCCATGGCGCTTGGAAGATACCAGATTGGATGTCATATGATGAAGCGGCTACGTATGGTGTCGGAATTGGAACAGCAACATTAGCGCTATACCAAACACTTGCTTTGCCGCCTCCTATCGTGGACGACGATGGCAAGGTTACAGCCAAGAAGCTGAAGAAGCCGGTGTATGTGCTAGTAGCAGGAGGTGCGACTGCAACTGGCACCATTGCCATTCAACTGGCCAAAGCGTAAGTGAATCCCCAAATACGCCCAAATTTATATCAAGTTCAAAGGTATTGACGGAAAGTTTCAGTTCTGGCCTCACCGTGGTAACAACCTGTTCTCCTCAACACAAGGATCTCCTTTTGTCTCTAGGCGCCACCGCCATCTTCGATTACAACTCGCCAAACTGCGCCATAGAAATCCGCAATTACACCAACGATACCCTTCAATACGCCTTGGACTGTGTAACCGAAGCAGGAACCATGAAAATGTGTTACGACGCCATCGGTTCTGCCGGTGGTCGCTACGTCGGGCTTGAGCCGTTGGCCACACATATCCAATACACGCGTCGAACAGTTCATGCAGACTGGGTCATTGGCCGCACGCTCTCAGGGCTTCCCGTACGGCTAGATGGAGCTTATGGCCGACCAGCCAGACCTCAGGATCGCGAGTTTGCCGAGGTATTCTTTGCTCTATCGGAGCAGCTCATCGCACAGGGCATGCTAAAGCCGCATCCAAGAGAGCTACGGACAGGTGGTTTAGAGGCATTGGTTGAGGGAATTGATGACCTTCGAAAGGGCAGGGTTCGAGGAAAGAAATTAGTTTATCCTTTAGCATGAGGTCCGCAAGTATGTTTTAGCCATTTCGACAAGCCAGATTAGACGTGTGCATTGGTTCGGTTGATACTGTCATGTATCAGGTTATTTTACCTACCCTAAAACAATTGAAAGGGCGATGTCTTGCACCAACCAGGTATCACGTAAATCTAACTTGAAGTCTTTTTTTCTTATTGACATACTATCCAAGTATTCTGAACGGGTGTAGCAAAGCGTTTATGTCATTTGATGCTCACGCGGGCGAGTTGTCTATATATTTGTGTGTAGTTCATTATTATAACCATCATGTCAACAATGCCTCATTGGACATGTCATTTAAAAACAAATAAAAATAATAAGCCGCTCAGTAATGAGTCTTTGATCAATCTCGCCCATCCCGATGATGAATTTAATTGATTGCATTATATCAGGGTAGCCTCGTGGGACTGGGTCCATTTCGATAGCACAATCAGCGCCAATCATCCATTGAGACACCTTCAGTATTCGCTAGGCTGGTTCTCATTCCTCAGCCGAAAAGACTCCAAAATGACAGACTTCATAGAGTCGTGTGTAATAGGAATGTCCCGGTCACCGATTTTCTGCGCCCTGACTTCATCTTCCGAAGCCCAAACAAAATCCCGGTGCTCAGCCGCATCCAACGTAACTCGACTCACACTTTCGACCTCGACTTCGAATGAAAACCTACAAAGCCATAGTGTTTCCGTACTATTTGGGAATACTTGCAGATCCCTTCCCCCTAGCCCCTCTGTAACGGGCCTGACAAAACGTCTTGCGACAAGCCTCGTTTCCTCCCATAGTTCCCGTGCAGCGCCGTGCAGAATAGTGGCATCGCCGTCATCAGCAGCGCCGCCAGGTATCTCCCATCTGTTTGGCATGGAATCATGGCTGGCGCGCTGTATGAGGAGGACCTTGCCTTCAGGGCTAAACACGATGCAGCCCGTCGCCAACCTGTCTAACTCGATCTGGCGCTCCTCAAGCTTCACTTTGTGCGTATCGAGCCATTGTTGAACCGGTACACTCCAATCGCCAAGGCCATCATCGATGTTGAAAAGGAACTTGGGTGGCAACGCAGGAGATTCTTGTGGGGAGCTGATTTGCGTCATGATTCGTTCAAGACGTTGACTGAAGCGTGAAAATGTGAAAATGGTATGAGATGGGCTTATTAAATTCAGATACTTTGCACTTGCGATTGATGTGATCAGTATGAAAGGTAAGGCTCGGGTGTGGTTTGTCGTCTTTGATGCGCCGCTGCCTGATTGTATCGCTCCAAGGTCGACTAAATTGTTCTACGCTGACCCCTTGGTTCGCCCTCAGTTCACTGTATTGCAAAGCCTCCATATGCAAGTTGCGTTTGGGAGGGAAGGGCGGCTTGAGGTCATTCATTGGTGGTTGTATGCATTAGTGAACCGAAAGGTTCCCCTGTGGCTGAAAGCTGAGGCAATATCGTGCCATCTGACGAGGTCAACTGTGGCCTAGAATTGCTTAGGGTCTCATCAAGGGTCGTACTGCATCGAGCTGAAGGGTGCTTCCGTAGGGATTGGCACCGCATGAGTCATTTTTCAAGGGGGTCAAACGACCCCGGTTGCTAAACTACCAATAAAACAAATAGTTTTCGCTTCATCTCATTTTTCTCATCGTTTTTCTTAAACGCCAAGGGCGACAAGGCATCCAGCTGAAAGCCAGCTTTACCATCAGGCTGACTGTTGTCATTTGTCAACGCAAGATACGAGTATAGTTCAAAGTTCTCGTCTCTAAAGGAGCGGGGTCTATAAAGATCGTAGCCCTGCAATAACAGTTGTGCAGTTTCCACAATATACGCCAAGTTTGATCTTCTAACCGCGTTGTACTGTAAATATCCACCATGCGAGGTCCAGACAGATTCTCTGACGCGTCAATTTTCATTCCCCAGCCGTACATCGCCAACGTCTCCGCAAGAAAACTGGGCTACCAATACCAACCGTTCCAGGACAATGTGTCTATTAGAATATTTACTCTAGCCCCCGGGAAACCATCTGAACCCTTGAGAGGAACACTGGACGCTATCCAGATTGATGAAGTAGGAAGCTACGAGGCGATATCATATGTCTGGGCGGAACCTGGCCCGCTAAATTGCAAATACGAGATTGTGATCAATACCGATGGTGACGATGAGAGGCTTTTAGAACTGAAGGAAGGGGGAAACATCTTCGCGGCGCTGAGGCGCATCCGTCTTCCGGATCAAGGGCGCCGTATCTGGGCCGACCAAATTTGTATCAATCAAAACGACTTGAATGAAAGAAGCCAGCAGGTGCAATTTATGAACAGGATTTACAAGGATGCGTCCCACGTCTTGGTCTGGCTTGGGCTAGATACTAATGGAGAAGCCACTTCAGCGTTCTCTTTGATACACAATCTACACGCAACGCTCCAAAATGCCGGCGGTGCATCCCATGCCCGGCCCGTGGATAACCTGGAACAGGAAGTGAAGAACAACAGAAAGGCACTACAGAGTCTGACTAGTCGTAACTGGGTAAGCAAGAACTGAGGGAATGATGATGTGTAACGTGAGGCTGAATGGACACTGACGTAAATGTAGTTTAAACGTGGTTGGATCGTACAAGAGATTGGAACCGCCGCACCTGCGACAATGTTCTGGGGAGATGCAGAGATTGACTGGACGATACTGCATAGCGTTTGCGAATCCCTCACAGACTATCACCATCTCCGTAAAGAGCTAAATATCAACACCTCCGACATCAAGTTCCTATTCCAGAGATTCATCGAGCCAGACGCAACTAGCCATCACGCAAACCGATTCAACTTTGTATATGAGCTTCATCGAGCACGCAGCTTAAACTTCACCAACGACAGAGACCGCATTTTTGCTTTTCTCGGACACTATTCTCTCATTTCGGCCGACTCGCTGAACCACGAGCTTGCATCGATCACGCCTAATTATACAATGTCTGTAGAACAAGTCTACATTGACTTGGCTAAGCGATCACTGAGGGGAAGCCAGGGGGATTCAGCTCTGATAACATTGGCAGCCGTTCAGCACCTTGTCGGGAGGCTACCATCCAGTGATGGCTCGGCATTGCCTCATGACGGCGGACTGCCATCTTGGGTGCCAGATTGGAGGACGTATCAAGGTTTTATTCTTTCAGAGCCTATCAATCCACATCGAGCTCATGGTTCTTCAACGCCAAAGCTGCAGATCGACGACGACTCCACCTTACTTCGCATATGGGGCGTAGATGTCGACACGATTGAAGCGTGCTCCCCGCCGCTGAAAAATAAAGACTTCCACGGGAAAAGTCACATGATAGAATTCCTCTGGAACGAGATTTGCCAAAAGAAGAGCTTCAATCTAGATGATGAATATCGCAACGGCCAAGAGAAAGCTTTCTTTGCATTCATGCAAACTCTTAGCAATGGCTGTGTGCAGATTGCTGGACGGGAAGGAATCTCATACACCGAGATTCCAGCCTCTAGATGGCTTGAACAGGCAGCAATGTACCTCATTGGAGCCCTTGGAGACTCAAGTACCGTATCATCAGAGATACAGACACTCGCAGCTGAGGCCAAGTGCAAGCACGAGAAAGAGGAATGGAGCCGTTCGGCTAATGGGGCGTCAAAGAATCGCATCTTTGCGCGAACGAAGAGCGGATATTATGTTCTCGGGCCTGCAGTCATGGAGAAGGGCGACATTGTATGCGTTTTGTTTGGTGGCAAGCTACCATTCTGTCTGCGGCCGGTTGGAAAGCGGTATCTGCTTGTTGGCGAATGTTACACCCATGGGTTGATGAAGGGAGAGGCATTGGGCATGGTGGCCCGTGGAGAATTGTCCGAGAGGAAGTTTGAGATTGTGTAGAGGGATATGGCAACTAAACATGTATGCGTAGTATGCCAATTAGATGAGATACACTCGTTCAGTTACGGTTATAAGTCTCCTGGACTTTTATCCCGTCTTGAAATGACTAAATGCTGCGAGCACTATACACTCCAAGTCCGTCGTCGTAAACTCCAGCTCCATGTCCTTTATCCTCTTAGCCTTGACTTCTTCTTCACTGGCCCACACAAAGCATTGATGCTCTCGTGGGTCCAAAGTTACATCCATGCGGCCCTCGCTGTTGGTCTCGGCCTGCACTGGGAACACAAACTTGCATATTTTCTTCCCAGACCTACTCGAGAGGAAGTAAGGTTTTCCGACAGGAGCCCCCAGATGGACTGCTTTCAGGCCGGATTCCTCCCATAGCTCGCGCGCCGCAGCGTGCAGGATGCTCTCGTCGTTGTCGTCACAGCCGCCCCCAGGGACCTCCCACTTGTTGGGCATGCTATCATGAGCAGCGCGCTGGAGTAGAAGCAAACGAGGACATGATTGGTTGCTCACGTCGAATACGAGTGAGCCAGTCGCGATATAGCCGTATCTCGGATCTGGATGAGCTGCAAGATACGCCTGCTGGGAGACTGCGAATGAAGCGGCGTTGGGATGGACAGTAAACTGGAGGCCTGATGGACGCTGAGCCTCTGCCGCTCCTGAAGTATTGGTATTAAGCATGACAGATTTTACGGCGGCTCTGGATGTGTTGAAAACAGAATGACGAAGAATACGGTTCATTGATGCATTAAGGCCAAACGCTTCGAAAACTCGCAAAAAGACCAAACTATGATAGTTGAGACTGGCCGATGATGGAAGTCATTCTACATGTATTATTGACGATTGTGGGCAGTAATCATCGGCCGATATTAAGCCGATTGAGTACATCTAGATGTAGCAGCATCACGTGGTTCAATCAGCCATTCAGCTCGCATGCATTGGCATTTTCCTGTATACCTATTCAATATCATACTGCCACCAATATTTGCCCATCTACCTAGCTATTCAGTTATTTACCAGTTCATAATAGATAAATCTTCGAGGCTCTTGCTTAAAGCGTTGCAAAATTGACCACCATCATCGTCCTCAGGCTTGAAACCCATACCGAGGTTATGTACTAATCCTCGTCTACCCTACTAGGTAGGTACCTCATACGAATGAGCAGAGAAAAGACATAAAAGACAACCATGTATAATATTACGACGCAGGTAGCTTGGAGATTCTGCCATTTAATTCCAGTAAGCAGCCTCGGTAACATAGCATAAAATCCACTATAGCTGACCACGGCTATCGGGGGGCCTACTACTGGCCGATACGTAGCTGTGGTAACTTGGAACTTCCGGGGGTCACATCTATTCTCGATCTCTCCAAGATCTTACTCCCCACCATTATTATAGGATCATATTAGTCGGGCTGTTTTGCTTAAGAGGAAGAAGAAAATCTAGAATTTCGTCAAGCCTGTCTGTCAGTTGTGTTTTTAGTACCATAATATTCGAGTTTCTCGCCTGAACAGACATGTGTGGCTATGATTTAGGCTTGGCAGTGTGATTGTGTCGAACTCGTAATTAGTTTTATTGACAAGCATAGTGGGGGAAATGTATTCATCATATTTCTTGTTTGACGGCCCAGGAGCATCTCGACGGCAGACCCAGTTCAACGTCCAAGACGGAAGTGATTAATAATCGCCAACTTCTACCGGGATTCTTCTGACTGGATGAGAGTGCCGGCAACCCCGTACTCTCACATCCCTGGAAAAGCGTCAGGAAAGGAGACATCCGATGCTGACCGGGTAAGGAGTACATAAAAGAATATGACACTTTCCGACGCCCTGTAGAGAGGCAACGTTGTGTTTCACGCTGCGGTATCCTTGGCAGATATGCTCCGCACATATACGAGCATCGTATTGACTAAACCCTTTACGTCAATTTTTTTTTAAATCTCCTAGCAGCACTACTGTTAAGAAACTCTGTAAGAATACTGCTGTCTGATGCGTGGCAGAGCCAAAGACGCTGCTCAAGGCTCACATGGTCTGGCCTCTGCTTTCCCCTTAATGCTGCATCGTCGACTTCTTCATCCCCGGTCACCTCGTATCTTGATTCGTATACGCACTGACAATGAAAACAATAAGCATACTTTTAGCATCAAATTGCATGTCATCTGAATTCGTATGGGCTATCAAGACATCCATCTTCCTATCTTTTACGAGACATCTGTATATATAACGAGCCTGTGCCGCATCTACTGAGGAGGCAACGAGAAGAAGAAACATATAGAACTCTCGGCCCGATCGCTATGACTTTCCTGCAGACTGCTCTGCTGGCTCTGGCTGGTGCTTCTCTTTGGTCGCCTGCGCTATGCGAACAAGTCTGGCCTAATGCTCGTACTGACCGTCTGGAGTGGCTGTTGTATGAGCAACTGGGTGGTTACGCTAGCCCAGGCATTGCCTTTTTTGTTCATGATTGCGTTGGCATAGGCAACGAAACCCAGGGGATAAATTTTGGAGCAGAATGGCTGTAAGAAAGTACACCAACAACAACATTTTGCGTTGTCCCCTCAGATATTGCTTGCGAAGCAAAGTGGCCCAGAGGCGTGTCTTTGTCTTTCATCGGATTGCTAACCAGGGCGCTACAGGAGGAACGCTTACCACGATATGTCCACAGCTGATGTTATCGCTGGGACAGGAGGACTAGATGCCTCGATCATCCACGAGTTGGATCGTGCGGAGAATGTGGGCAACGCTTTCTCGGAGACACGGGATAGTTTCTCGGGGTTAGTGACAACCAGGTCTTCTTTGGCAGACCTGTTTGCACTCGGCGCCGTTTTCGCTATTGGAGCTTGCTCCAATGGTACCATGATCATCCCTCTTCGTGCGGGAAGGATAGATGCCAGAGAAGCGGGACCAGCAGGCGTCCCTGAACCGCAGCAAGACCTCGCCACCCACACCGCAACTTTTGCGAGGCAAGGTTTCAATGCCACTGAGATGATTGAACTTGTGGCGTGTGGACATACCATTGGTGGCATACATGGCATTGATTTTCCTGAAATTGTCCCGTTTGTGCCTAATGACGATCCGGTATGTATCGGCTGCCTGATATATTTGCGATACAAGAGGCTGAGTACTTATGGCCCATCATGACTAGGACGATGAGCATACCGATCCTTTCGACACGTCACTTCGCTTCTTCGATAGCAAGGTGTAAGTGTGGTTCGTTCTTTTCACATCATCAGATGCATATTTCTAAATTTTTATGAAATGCAGAGCCACCGAGTTTATTAGCAACACGACTAAGAACCCCCTCGTATCTGGAGCAAACGTCACTACTCGATCAGATGAGCGCATCTTTAACTCGGACGGCCGTGTGACCATGAGAAAGCTAGCCGAGTCTAACGACTACTTCACATCAAGATGCAGTGTCCTGCTAGAACGTATGCTGAATACAGTACCAAAAGAAGTGGTTCTCACTGAGCCCATCGACTACTACCCCGTAAAACCTCGAGCAGCCCAAGTTGACGTTGACGCGTAAGTACATGTATATTTTCATCATAGTGTTCACCTTTTGCACAGCCTCATGACTATTACCCCAATCATTACTCTTTGTACAACTGTGAGGACCTGCTGACCAGAACATTTGTAGCTATGGAACTATGACTTTCTCAGGGGTCATAAGGGTGCGTTGTGCCATTATTATCCGAACAGGATGTTGAAAGAAATTTGTGCTGGCCCACTAACAACCATTTTGGCTACGTCTCAGGTCGAGGATGCCTTACTTACAAGCCCCAATACCCAAGTCCGACTTCATTTCATTCCTCGAAATGCCTCCCACTGCTCGGACGCGTCACCCTGGAGCGTCACTAATGGCATCTCAGGCAACTTCAAACATTCTACCTGTGTATACGCAAAATGTCCTGCAACCTTTAGCTTTTTCGAGTACTCGTTGGTAGTTCCCTCTGCACAAGGTGCTTCGTCCTTCGTGGTTGAGATTGTCGATGGCGACACGGGAGCTTCAGTGATCTACGACAATAACGGAAACGGCTTTCGCACTGGGGAATCGCTTCAGCCTCAATACCAGTTATCGACTCAGGAAACCTTTCTCACTACCGGCCCGGACAATACACTCATTAGCAAGCAACAGCTCAACCTAACTGTAGCAGTTAGTAGACTTCCTGTCGAACAAGAGGCCGATATAGACACAAGCTAACGCGAACTCAAAAGGTGTTGAATGCCGAGCAGTTTACCAATGTTACCGCCATATTTTACGAACCCAAGATTCCAGACATGACTACTGGAGGCTGGAATACAGAGCCTGTAGAGTTGACGTTGTCCCGAAAGGTCGAGGGTACAGACTTTACTTACTATACGACTTCATACACACGTAGTTTTGAGGGTGCCATAGGCGCCCACCCGTTCGATCTTGTGGCAACAGGACCGGGGGTAAGCGTCTCGAACGAATTTATCGACTGGAGTGGGTTTACGTCGATCATGTAACCTATTATTGTTCTTATTTTTGTCTGGTTGTCACAATCCCGGATAGGCAAATTGCATGTGAGCTTGACCGGTGGGACTGATAAAAAGGTTGAGAATTTTCAATCATCACAGGATTAATAAACTGGAAGTTGAACATGAAACATCCAATTTAATTTTTTTAAACTACTTTATAGATTCAATCCTTGAAAGCTATAGGTACAAATTCTTGTCTCCAAAACCTTTCTCCCTGCTCGAACTTTGGCCGCTCGTTTGGATCTGGGCTCAAACATCGAGAAACAAAATCCTTCCACGCTTTTGGCACACTCTCACTTCTCTGGGTCCACGCAACTTCCTTTGCCTCTGGCGGTCTCCTGTCGTAAGACCACACGTCCTCGCTCTGCTCAAAGATCACCCACAAACTCCGCCCTACGCTGTAGACCTCTGCAGCCTCCAACGCTCGTCGGCATTCAAGCTGCCACAATTGGAATACATTCCGCTTTGGCCAAGCCCCAAAATCATCACATAGTGGGCCTATGAACTTTCGATAAACCATTCTTTCTTTCTCGGCGTTTATGAAGACGTCGACGTCCCATGAGCCGTCCGCTTCCGGTGCAAGGAAGAAGGGTGACGCACCACATTGCTCCCAGTCAATGATAATGACGTCGTCTTCGTTGTTCAGAAGCATATTGCTTGGCTTCAAATCCATATGGTACTGCCCTGATGAATGCACAATAGCCATTGCTGATGAAATTTGACACGCCCATTTCGCCTTTGTTGCCAGGGGGAGGCTTGAGTGATTCTCATTGCTTCGACTGATTACCTCTTGCAATGATTGGCGCTCGAGATATGGATACAACGTTCCGCATACGAGGTCGACTTTTTCTGCAATGCCATGATTTACGGATCGAGGTAACCCTGTGATAACCAGGAAGGGTGGAGCACATAGTATGTTTGGATGACTGGGTAGAGAGTAGACGACCCCGAGTTCACGATAGAATATATCTCGCTCGGGTTTATACACTGTATTGCCTTCCAGGAACAAGCGGAAACTTAGTCCTTTATAGACGTATGCTCCACCAGCCTTCTGATCTTTCAAACGAGTGAGAGTCGTCCCTCCACGTCCACCTAATTTATCGGAAAACCGAAGAGACTCAAGTGATATACAGTGCAGTTCGGTCGTCCGAGCTGGTGGGATCAGAGAATCTTTGATGGAAGAAATAGGCAAAAGACTTGTGAGATAATCTCGAAAGACTCTCTCGTGAGAGATTCTGAAAGTCGTTTCACCGTGATCATCTTGCTGGATGTGTACAATGGCATCAGGAAAGCGGAGTGAAGGGTTTGATGCGCAGAGAGGCCAAACGTGCGATATTAAATCGTATATTCCCTGGCGCATGGATTCTCGGTCCGAAAATGTCTTGTTCTCGTCGTCGACTTCGATCTCGTGAAAGCAAGCGACTATGCGGCTGCTGGTGCTGAGCGGCTGGGAGATGCCGAGATTGAATCGAAAAACTAAAGAAAAATCGCCACTGTAGCTCTCAGCAAACACCGCAGTCTCATCTTCATTCCCGGAGATGAGTGTTGTAGAGATTTCCATTGTCAAATAACAACGTTATTAATGCAAACAGTAAAAAATATCCAAAGAGGAGCTTGGGCCGTTGCGTGCCTTCCTTATTGTTGGACAGTCGTGTGGCCACGTGGTGTCCCGTGATGATATGCAAGTCGGATTGCACAACCGCTTCCGATAAGCAATCGCCTGTTTTTTTGTGTGTGTTCGTTATCGTCGGTTTCTAGATACCGTGAAGTGCATTGAGGCAAGATAACAAATCAGTCAAGTCCGTTTACCATCGTGATGCTCGCGAGAGGTTTGTACACGAGGGTTATTCTGTGGTGCTGAGCATTATTGTTGTCCATATGTTTTCTCTCGACATCTCAGACCATGGTTGACAGGACGCTGAATACGACATTCAGCTGAAGTGCAGGCGAATCCTGTCCTAGTATCCCCAAACAAATCTACAGATCAGGTCCAGAGCGGCTATTCCCTTAGCAGTCTCCATCACTCAAACTCATTTTGGCTTCAAGATGGCCCCTCCAACCAATGGCGAGCTGAATGAAAGACGGGGAAAGAATTGCATTGCCATCCCGCACGAGAGAAAGTACTTCCGGGTTGGCACCACCTGGATAAAGCGAAGCCTGCGGCCCTGCGAATGGCAAAAGCAGAATGGCTATATGCACGTTCCTTTATTCAACGTGGAACGTGTCCTTGATGAGGGCGCCTGTCTTTTGTTTCTTGCTCAGACTGGTATCCCTCTCCCAAAATTACTTGGTTGCTTCGAGGATGACGGGGCAGCATACTTGGTTACTGAATATGTGGATGGGGTTGGAATGCTTGATCTTGATGCTGAGAGCCAGTCTGTTGTTAGTGAAGAGCTACAACGCCATATACTCACGCTCAAGAAGCTTACCTCTGACACCTGGGGTGGGCCAGATAACATGGTACCCAAGCACTTGGAAGATTCCCTACATGCAAGGCTGACTCACTGCCAGGTTCTTCCGCCGTATCGTATTATGCGAAAATCCGATGGGCGACCGTGGAGAATGCGTCAGCGGAAGCAGCAAGACCTGGTGTTTTGTCACAACGATCTCTCCATGAACAATGTCATTATTGACCCAAGCACACTCAATATCAACGCCATCATTGATTGGGAATATGCGGGCTTCTGCCCACCTGAGTTCGAATATCCATTCTACCAGAGACCAGGGCCATCTGTCCCATTGGACGGCGAGGTGGACGAGGTTGATTTGTTGACGCGGATGGCGTCTGAAGACAGAGAATAGTCAACGCATAGTTCTACGTAGTCTTACCAGTGTTGGATTAGTGAGTCGTACGAGATCTTGCATTTCATCTTTCGACGCTTCCTAGGTCCATGTAAATATCAGCAGCTGTAATCACCGATACCGTTCATGCGCATTTGTACCTTCAACATCTGAGGTATCTCGGTGACCTCATTTGGGTGTTTGTGGAAGCACTCATCCGTCTATCCACAGGGAGGCAACTCCTCAATTGCATTATATATTTATTAAGAAATAGTACAAACAATTTTACCCAAACTTTTATTTTCTTCCATGTACTTGTGTGCCTCAACAATGTCTTGCCAGGATAGTATCTTGTCTATTATAATCTTGAGTCTACCCGCCTCAAACTCTGGCATATAAGTTTCAAGCTTATCGCGTAGCTCACCCTGATATTCCTCATCGCGGCTTCGCAACGTGGAGCCTTCAATCCGGATACGCTTGAACAGAATCTGCGAGATGTCTGCATCGGGAACCTTGCCGCCGCTCAGCAGCCACAGCAGCACAATGCGACAGTCACGAGCCGCAACATCGAGATTCTTCTGAAAGTAGTCTGCGCCAACATAGTCAATAATAAAGTCCACTCCCTTTCCCCCAGTAGCCTCTTTTATTTCGGAAACCCAGTCTTGTGTCTTGTAATTGAACGCGGCAGTAGCGCCAAGCTGAGATGTCACAAACTCGCACTTCTCATCACTCCCTGCTGTAGCATAAATTGCAGATGCGCCAGCCAATCGCGACAACTGTATACCTGCAACCGATACACCGGAGGCCCCGGCATGCCAGAGAATAGACTTGCCGCTAGTGAATTCCAGTACTTTATGTAGAGATTGCGTGGCTGTGATCCAAGTTTCAGGAATCGCTGCCGCCTCCTCCCAGCTGACAGCATGCGGCTTGTGTATGAGCATCTTGGAACTGACTGCAATATACTCAGCATAAGCTCCACCGTAAGCTAGCCCGAGCACTTCGTCTCCTTTGTTGAAGGTACTGTGATTTCCAGGGCCAAATGTCTCGATGATGCCACTAAATTCGACACCGAGTGTTTTTGGCGCCTGGGGAGGAACAGGATATTCGCCGAGGCGCTGAATAATGTCCATGCGATTAATGCCAAATGCTTTGATCTTAACGAGGGCCTGGCCTTTGCCGGGAGTAGGTTTGGGCGTATGATCATTGATGAAGAGAGCATCACGTTCACCCGTGCCACCTCGGATATCTGTCTGCGTTAGCTAGACTTCGACCAGAATCAGAATAAATATTAACGCATACCAACGGCTTTCATCAGAGACATATTATTGTAAATTAATTTTTACACAGTATTTCCATGATTCTCAAAGCTGAAGTCGTTGCCCTCATTAAATATGGTTTTGTATGGCTTTTTAGTGGTTTGTCTGGTGATGCTATGATGACGACGTTCCTTAGCTTCGGAGGATTGGGGAGTTAAGGGCGGGGGAAAGGCAACGAATCAGTCAAAGCTTTTCCACAACTTCTGCTGTGTTTATCTCTTGAATGCCCATTCGCTCATCAACGTTGTGCTCATGCGGGGAATGAGTTGCCCAATTTGTATGAGCATTAGACGCCTTAGAGAACCAGGGCAGAGTATAAAATGATACTGTTTGGCCTCCAAAGCTGACCACATAATTACCACAACTTTATCTTGTATTTTCGCTAATTACCCTGATCTGATAATTGATTTACCAAAAATGGCCTCCACTAAGCCCAAGATTCTCTTCGTTCTCTCTTCCCATACGGCGGGATGGTATCTTGTGCGTAAATCCCCTCCTCCCCAGGAAATGCACCATGCGCCCTCATAAACCAGACGGTAACAGCCAATTAATTGGAACATGCAGCCTGAGTTTGCACACCCGTACCAAGTTCTCTCGCCCCACGTCGAGGTGTTTACAGCCTCACCTCAGGGCACGTCGACGGTTGATCCTATTTCAGTAAAGCTCTTCAAGGATGATGCATACTGCCAGGAGTTTTACAACACAAAGCAAGACCTTTGGACAACCACTCCGAAGCTTTCCTCGTTTATAGGACGCGCAAAAGAATTTGATGTTATCTTTGTCGTCGGAGGATTTGGACGTACGTCTTGGAGATTCTTATGATTTTGTGACCGCACATAATTTCTGCTGCACCACAATGAAAGTAAAAGGGTGGCATGTAAGTGCTAATACTGTTAACACAGCAATGTACGATCTGGCCACGGATACCACCTCTATTCAGCTACTACGCGAATTCCATGATGCTGGTCGCATTATTGTCGCTCTCTGCCATGGCTCGGCCGCTTTGGTCCATGTTAAACTGGCCGATGGATCACCGATCCTCGCCGGTCATCAAGTAACGGGCTTCAGCAATCTCGAGGAGGAGCAGGCAACCAGCAATGGAATAGTCCCTCCGGGTATGCCATTCAGTCTCGAAGATGCCCTCAACAAGGCCAGCGGCGACAAATATGAGAAGTCAACTGAGGCTTGGAGTCCACACGTCATCGTGGACCCATCTCGAAAATTGCTATTTGGACAGAATCCTAACAGTGCTCATCCATTGGGAGAAAAACTGTTGGAAGTCTTGACTCACTAAGGGCTAGGTAGCAGGTAGATTATCTTAGTATGAGCCCGCTTGCTTATCACGAGGGCCATAACGTTTGATGCTAAAAGTTTGACATTCAATTTACAACAATCACGTATTATCGTCTTATATATATTCATCTGACTGCGTGAATTACCTTCTCGCAGCTTATTCTAAGTGCTCCTTTCTACAAATATGCTATTCACCCAGCGATTGGCCTTCAATTCCCTCTTCGATGTATGCATCCTCGTAGATATATACAAGCTACGCTCCTTCTGTATGTTGCGACCAGCAAGACAAATACAAATATGATAATGATTTGTCTGACACATCAAGGTACCATTCATATGATCGTCTTTTTGATGATGCCTGTGCAGTTACACATTTAAATTCGCCATCGTGTGTACGAAATTGTTTCCACCCAGATGACTCCACCAGCAATCAGTCTCTCTGCCCTCGGGCGTAAATACTCCGGTTTTGGCCTTGCATCGATTCATCATCAAGCAGCTAGCTTTGATCTCGCTAAAAATGGTTAACGCGTCATATTCTTCACCTAATTGTAGCCGTTGAGGGGTTTCTTTGACGTTATTGCTGGCACCATGAAAGATAGCAAGAGGCTTGACTAAGGAAATACACCATTGTGAGCGTGCCTGTTCAGATTTCCCCCCACCCCCATTTTTTCTTTAAAAGAAAATATGACTGCAGCTTCTATTCGTAGAGGATTATAAGGCAAGGAGTATTTCAATCCAAAACACTAGACTGAATGTCTATGCGTACGATACGACGTACACAGGCTTAGACTACTGAGCAATGAGTGACCAGTGCCACACCGCCCACGTTTGGTTCAAGAGATAAGTTCATCTTTCTAGAAGAAATTTGCATCATGGTGCAAGCTGGCTCGACGGTCGATTTTAGAGTGATGGATAATTCTTCTTTTGCTGTATCGACCTCGAATTTTCGCTTACGTTAATACAGTCGAGGCTATTCCCTAGTCAAATGCTTAACGCCGACTGCCCCTCGTCAAAGGTGAAAATGTCTTGCCAGACAGCCACCATTCTATGAGAACGTGGTACATTCACATATTCACTATGAACAATTGAGAGAAGAACTTTATATGGAAGTCGAAGACGGAAACCAGTGTAATATTTAAATACGTGCTAGAAATTATTTGCATGAATGTTTCCGTAAAATCCCCCATGCCCTTCATCTCTGCATAAGTGCTCGTATCTCAATGGCCAGAATCCTTTTCCTTCCGCTTTTTCTGACCTTCTATAAACAAAAGAGCGAACATCTAACATGCCGGGAAGCTATCACCACTCCTTTACGAAAGTAGTCCAAGGAGTAGCTGAAAGAGACTGAATAGAGAGCCCCGTCATGGTCGACAATAGAAGTGAAATCGCCCTGCTATCACCTCTGCTTTTACGCAGAGAGACCATACAGTCATATGACTTGTTGCATTTATTGGAGGGGATCGCAGTTGGAATTGCAGCCTAACATCCTCGATGTTAGTAGATGCCCAAACAGAATGAATGGTCCAAGATCGCTCAAAGAGTTGTGTCTCTTGCATCTTACTTCGTCAAGAAAACCGTAGATGCTGACATATATAAGAGGACTGGATAAGATAGAACTCACTGTTATCTTTGGTGCATCCGCTGATGCTGCCATTGTAGGTGCAATCGCACCAGGTACCGCCGGCGCCCATACCGCCAGGGACGGTGTGGCAGATAACCTGGCACTGGCAACGACCTGTTCCAGCCCTAGCCTCAAGGTTATTGACAGGAGAAGGCGCCGCAACAGCAAGGGCAGAGAACCCGAGCATGGTAAGGGTAGAGATGATGGAAACGCGCATCTTGAAGGTTGATAAGTGGATGGGGGGGTTGTTAAGATGAGGTATGAGTTAGCCTGATCTATTTGTTGATGTCTATGATTTTGAGTGTTGTGTTGTTCTACATGAGAGAGTTTCTAGGGGGGGAAGCAACTTCTTATATACTTTTCAAACTGCGCCCATCCAGGTAACCCAGACCGATACTTCGATCATCACTGATCAAGTATTCCCGTTCTGGAGCCAACTTTGTCGAAATGTACGAGATACCGAACTTCAACGTGACGTATTTCCTTCAGTATACGAAATGTCTAATGTCTTGCCAAGACCATTGTAGTAATATTCCACATCACGGGGAATCCCTTACGTGAGTACTGGGGAATAAGAAGCTGCAGTATCGAGTTCTGATATTTCCCGGGAGTATATTTCCGCCAGTTAAACGTTGAATGTATAAAATGCCAAGAAAGTATTTCTTGGCTTGCAAGGATGACATGTGTTTTCCATTCACCGAGTTCCTGCCTACGTCAAGATTAGGACTACTATAGAAGTAACTATAAATCGCACAGAATTAGGTCATATTCCAATGGCAGGTATTGAGACAGGATTCTGTTACAGACCAACCGATTCTGGTTATTCCTGGCGTTACATTTCAGTCAGTTGTATACGTCGACTCCAAGTCCTAGGAGGCACTCGTTCCTGTTTTTGAGATGGTGAAATATATTTCCGTTTCGCAGCTGTAATCAAATAGTATTCGAAAGTGTGGGGGAAAAAGTCCCCATTGATGCCATCATCATAAGCACTAGTTTGCCGTATTAATCTACAGCTATTCCGAGGTATGGGGCAAATGGTCGGCAAAATTACATACCCAGATCCGTAGAAGAACCCAGGACACTAAAAACTCTACGCGCACAAACTAACGACGCTTGAGTGGTCACTTCAGTGCTCTTATTGCTATAATGTATGTGTATATTCACTTTGCGTTGTCGGTTTTTTCCTTTCTTGGCAGACCTCTTGGCAGACTATGCCACGGCATACAAGCCGTAAGGGGACTGATCTGTTGATCTGTGCTCCATCTAGTTAAGCGTCAGAAGGCAACTTAAACCTTCTAAGCTTAAGATGATGCATGTTGATTCCATTCCCTATTCCCGCAGCAGCCGCTTCCACTCATATTCCGACCTTATCAGTAATATTCCCAGCTGCTAGACTCCCTATATCTCGTATTTCTTCCATTTACCGATGATCATCTTGAACCTAATTAGAGTCGGAGAATCTACGTCTTATCATTTACTTCTGCAATCCACATCGCACGGAAGCGGAACCTCGGAACAATCCCGACAAGCCGTAAGCAATAGGGATACTGCTTTATAGTATATACCGTCTTTCCCCCATACTTGACCCTTCCCCCCTCTATACACCACGCCTTCTTTGAACTGCCAGACGTAATGCAGAAATCTTTGCACATGGCTCATCATTCATCTGAGGATCAATGCCCTGACAATGAGGCCGAAGAGCCGCTGCTCCCTGAGACCGCCAACGTAGTTTTCCAAGGAAAGCAAACGACTTGGCGTTACTTACTCGGCGTTTGCGGTGTTGGGATCCTAGTTGTTGTGAACCTCATTCAAGTGCTCATTATCCTACGAATTGTAAACAACACTAGTGCTAAGCCAAGTGCCAAATATCATCCTGATTGTGAGTTTAATCTCAGCAGTGAGCGCCGAATTGTACACAACACAAGGACATATGTTTAACATTAGATCTAGTTCCCATGCAAGCACTCACCATAGAAAGGAACAGGACTTGGGAAGAGCTCTCCAACCCCTCCTCCGATTCTTTGTGGAACGCGGGTTTACCAGGCATCACCGGTTGGGTGCAGATTGAACACGCCCGAGACTATGACCTGCCACGGGGAATTCCGTCTCTGGGTAAATACGAAGTTTATATCACCACTTGGGGCCATCAGCACCATTGTCTAGTTCGTTGTCCAATCTCATTTCATCAGATTCTTCTTAGGCATACACCACTTATAACAGAGCAAAAGACTAACCTGTTGGTAAACAGAAGATCCTTCGTCGAGAATTTTCCAGCGTCGTGCGTGGCGAAAGCATCCTGATTAACTCGATGGCCAATGGTACAAAGACACCACACACCGAAGCATCAGCCCGCAAGCTATACCACCTAATGCATTGTTTTGACTACCTCCGCCAAACTATTGCCTGTGTTAGCGATTTAACACTCGAGGGAGTCAACAAAGAGTCGAACGACACATTTTTCGACATTGATGGGTACGGTGTAGAACACATGTGTAAAAGTCAGGTGTGTAGACATCAAGGAATAAATTCCCGAATGACATCCCCAAAAAGCACACTGCTAATTGCTTATAGAATGCCGTTGGGGATTGGCTTCTTTCTCATGCGCCAGAGGAAGAGGGTTACACAGAGCATATTGAGCTCTGATAAATCTCGTCCTACTTTATTTAATTGATTATACAAAGGAGGGTGTACTTGTATTGCTCAGATATCTATGTAAAATAGTAGTTGGGGAAGGGTGGCTCACGAAGAGGCAATTGTGTACAACAGAAAGTTCCATGGCCACCACGATAGGCCCTAATAGGATCACTTTCACGTAATGCACATGAGCGTTTTCGTCTGAACCAAGTCGAATTGCGCTCCGCGAATCGTAACGGGAAGCTACAAAGATTCCCACGAGCAAATGTCTGTTAAACCTTGTCCCATCCACAAATGAATGTGTACCGCGGGCCCCTTACGCCCCTCAGGACACCGCCTTCTCTTGCATAGATTATCTACTGGGCAGTTCAAAAGCCTATGCTGCGTCGAATCCCACAGCCCTTTATTTTCAATACTTCAGCGACTTAAAGAACGCAGTCAGAGTCCTCCAAGTATACCAAAAGCAAGCGACCCGCCTAAACGACGAGGAATGTGCGAATGTCGGCTTTATATGAACGACGGGAAGGCTACGCCACCGGTGAGAAGCCGCGATATGATCTAGGGAGCGCGTGACGGCTGTCACGTCCATAACCTCCTTCATATCGTCTACCCTGTCGGTCCGGAGATCCGCGGGCTCCGGGTGGAGTGGCTGGCGCGACGAGGCGACGCTCCACGAAGTCAGACGCAATTACAAGAAATCCAGAAAGCCCTGCGGAAGTTGGCTTAAAATAATGTACAGTTCTGCTTAAGATTGTAACTGTCATCCCAATATATGAGGCAGAATATTTGGTAGAATTATTGCATCTAAGAGTGTTTCTCAAGGAATTACGGTCAGTTGTCATGGTGTTTATTTTATACAATACATCGGCTTTTCGAGTCCAGTTTTCCGGTTTGTGCTATAAATTTTGCAGTCTAGACTAATTTACCTTCTTGTTGCGTTTAAACACGTGTTTACTACCTAAACCATTTCCACCTGAAGGCACATGTTTGCTTCGCAAATAGCCAATTTCCATCAAATACATGACATTCATGCGAACCGCATCACGAATAGATCCATCTTCTCCGTGATTGGATGGCGACTTGGCTTCGAAATACCGTCCTGCACTGGGTAAAAAGGATTGAACAGCCCACAGGGGGTGATCACCCCCCTGTCCCTCGGTGTGCCCCGTCAGTTTGACAATCCATTCTTCCATCTCAACTGGGCGTAGCTTCGTGTTTGTAGCAGAGGCGATGATACTCCAAAATTCTGATACCGGTATACCGTTCTCAAATTTGAGTATGGAGTCACTCGTGGGATTGCCATAGATGCTAGCCAATGCAATTTCTTCAGCCACGCTGCCGACATCAGACATGAATAGCCAGCTTTCCTGGTCGACAAGTGGAAAGCATTGCGTTTCGACTGCTCCCACAGTCAACCTCCAGATGAAGTCATCTACGTTGGCAACACCATTTGATGGAGTACCGATGATCAAACTAGGACGGGCCACTGTAAAACACTGTTTGCGCGTAGGATCTCTTTTCAGATATTCTTGAATCAAGCGCTCCGAAGCAATCTTGGTCTGTATGTATCCCAAAGCCTCATTAGACGTTTGTTTCATATCCAGAGTGGCATCTTCCATCCGAGCAGAGACGTAAACAAAGTTCATGGGCAACACAGCCTGTTCCACAGCTTGTAGTAGCGTAAATGTGGACAGAACATTAGTAGACCTCAGAGAATCGTAGTCCTTGTGCCAGTTGACGTCACAGCCATTATGAACAATGGTATCAATCTCCCCTTCCTTCAATTTAGACCACAAAAGGTCATCCAGGCCTAAATGAGGCAGCGAAAGGTCTCCCAGCCATATTTCGATTCTTGACTCAAACTCGTCTCTCCACCAGCCGGCTGCCATGGCGGAAGTGATGAGCTTCTCCCGAGCATGGCCTTCGCTGTCTGCTCTTACATGTAAGGCAACATGCGCAATTTCGCTTTTCATGAGCAATTGAAACAAAATATGCGAGCCGAGATATCCAGTTCCTCCTGTTAGAAAAACAGTTTTATATCCGTCGAGCTTTTTTCCGTGAAATGAAAGCGACTGCGGCTTGATATTCTCCAACCAATCTCCAAATGATTTCTGAACTTCGAAGTCAATGTCAAAGTTTGGGTCTTGCTCCATCGCCTCGCCACAAGCCTCTGTACGGATAAGCTCAGCTAAAGAGGTAATATTCGAATCCGGGTGTAGTATTGTCTTCACACTTATAGTTGCGTGGTATGTTTCCAATATATGTCTTCGTAACGAGATGGCGCTTATTGAATCAATACCCGCAGCTACAAGCCCAATGTCCCAACCATATGTGACAGAGTAAAGACTGCTATCGATGTGTTTTGAGAGAAGCGAGGCAACCTCACCACTCAGAGACATTGCCAACGAATCACCCTCTGGTATGCTATTGGACTGAAGTATGGAGTTTGCCAATGTTCGCATGGTCGATTCCGGCACTTCAGTAACATAGGATAAAACCTGCTTTCTATCCAATTTTCCAGACTGCAACAGTGGTACCGATGACAACACAGCATATACAGTTGGGATCATGTAAGGGGCAAGTTCCGTGGCCAAATGGGCATCGATGGAGCCGATTAGTTTGTTTTTTCGATCAGAACTAGTATAAAACTGTATGTTCGTCTCAGACAACCCGATTTCTTCATCGCCGGTGTGAATGACAGCAACTAATCTTCCTGAAAAAGGACCAGAACGGGGGAAAAGGACTAAACCATGCTGCACTCTGTCATGTTTTAACAGCTGATTCTCAATCTCCGGTAGAGATACTCGCTGGCCTCGTAACTTCACTTGGGTATCCTTGCGGCCCACAAAAATGAGGGAACCATTTTCGTCATACCGCGCTATGTCACCAGTTTTATAGAGTCGAGAGTACTGTGAATTGTCGCCGATGATGCCCTTTAGCCATTGGGGTGCATCAATAAAGGTATTTTTGGTTCGTTCTTCATCATTGAGATACCCTCGAGCCAAGATCGGCCCCTCTACTAGTAGTTCCCCATCACAGCCTGGCCCTAACAATTGCTCGGGATCATCAGGATGAACAATCCAGCAACGGCATGTACTGATGGACTTGCCAATGTTCGTAGGAATAGTTGCAAGGGTCACATTTAGGTTTGATGAACAGCAAACCGCACACTCACTGGGCCCGTAACCATTGACTAATGCTAACTTGTTCGCCCAAGTCTTGATGTCATCGGGCATCATAGCTTCGCCAGCTAGTACCAGCGTTTTCAGAGTTGGAACAGACGATGGCTGGATCGTTCGGGCGAGAGATGGTGTTATGATGGCGTAGTCAACAGCCTTGTCATTAATAAAGCCGACTAGGTCGTTGACCCTAGTGTGTTCGTCAGGGATACAGATGCAACCACCGACCATGAGAGTCGTGAGAATCTCGACGAGGCTAGCGTCAAATATGTATGAAGAAATTTGGAGAACTCGGCATCCTGGTGTAAGCTTCAAGGCGGTGGCATGCCCACTTGCTCCTGAACAGAAGTTACGATGCTCCATTAAAATTCCCTTTGGCTTTCCCGTGGAACCGGACGTGAAAATAACGTAGACGGCGTTTGATGGGGAGGCTGGATAAAGTAGAGTGCTTTGTGGATCAAGACTGTCCAGAAGCTCTTGGCAAATGACAACAATCCGCTGAGGATAGCCATTGAATGCTGCTTGAGTGGTGGGAGAAACCAGAACAATATCTGTGTCAACCTCGCTGATAATTTGCTTGATACGCATTTCTGGAAACGCAGCATCCATAGGCACAAATGCCCCGCCAGCTTTCATGACAGCTAGCATTGCAATGACTGTCCACGCGGACTTTTCAAAACATAGAGATACGAGCTTTTCAGGGCCAACACCAATGGTGGACAAGTAGGATGCCAGTATTGTTGACTTTTCATCCAGTTGTTTATATGTGAGTTCCATATCCCAAGATGAGATGGCCAATTGATCTGGATTTCTCAGCGTTTGCATAGAAATGACATTGTGAACGCAATCTTCGACTGCTTCGACGTTTGCAGAATTAAAAAGAAGCTGCTGAGAGATAACATCATCATTTGGTGATTCAGTAGATCCAGCAGCTGTAGAATGTATGGGGTAGCCGGACGAGGTTGCCATATTGTTTAAGGATCAATGTAAGATGGAAAGTAGAGATTAGGGATCTATTTAGAATGTAGGAGTAGTGAATATAGAGTGCATGAAGGATGTCTAAGATACCATTAGGACCTTAATATAGTTTTTCTTTGGGCTATTATTCTTTCTTTACGATTTAATTATTACGTATATACTGGCGTAGAAGCAGTACTCTCTGTGTATAAAATGTGCTGGGAAAGGGGTTGACCCCTAAACCAGGGTTGCGAGATCATATTACAATATAGTGTCAATCTACTTGTATTAACCCAAAAGATGGCAATTTTCTAAATCGGTATGTATATAGTTAGTAAATATCTGTAAGAAACATACTTAGGAGCACCGCTGACCACCCAGCTCAAACTATCAGTTTATCTTGGTAATCGCGCATAGCAACCCTTGTTTATTTATTATTTTTTTATTATTTTTATTTCCAGCCGCTACGTAAGCTTGTTACACATCCTTATCTAGGCGCCGGGCTGGTAGGAGCTGCTTTGCCGGGTCCGTACTCGCTATGTACTGTACGGAGCAACACTCCGTATGGCCGACAACGAATGCAAGGTTCTTCTATATGGAAAGGTCATCTGACATAAGACCTAGGAGTTTATCAACCATCTAAAATTTTGACAGTTGGTCAAAGCTTGCTAAAATATGCACTCCCTATCTGTCGGCCGATTTCCCTGTCAAGGCATTGCTTTAGGTTACATTCATCAGCCCGCTTGTGGATATGCTGACAATCATTCAATCCTTCGCAGAATATACCAATCAGCAAATAGCATATCTACTCTTACCTAGGACTAAGAATCACATGTATCAATGGCCGTACTATTATAAAGGGTGTCAAACGTATTCCCATAACTTGGATCTCTCGATCCTTTGTATAGTATTTTCTGTATTCTCATTTGATCAGTCTTCATGAAAAGTATGCAGAACAAAGTCCTGGGTCGAAATGGCCCTCAAGTTTCAGCAATCGGCTTTGGAGCTATGGGTCTCTCAGGGTTCTATGGTCCTATCGAGTCAGAAGAGCAACGGTTGGCCTTTCTAGACGAGGCTTACGAACATGGAGAACGGTTTTGGGATACAGCTGATATCTATGAAGATAGCGAGGTGCTGATAGGCAAATGGCTTCAACGCAGTGGCCACCGCAGCGATGTTTTCATCGCAACCAAGTTTGGCCAATCAAAGGCAGGAATCCATGCTATCCGCTCAGATCCTGAATATGCCCATAGTGCTTGTGAGCGATCCCTGCAGAGGCTCGGGGTGAAACAGATTGATCTTTTTTACTGCCATCGTCTTGATCGGAAAACGCCGATTGAAGAGACTGTGAAAGCCATGGTGGAATTGAAGGAGTATGTTGGAACTGAGCAAAATTTACACAGCACTCACATTGACTCAGTATAACAGCGCCGGAAAAATAAAATATCTTGGTTTCTGTGAGATTTCTGCAGCCAGTTTGCGCCGAGCCTTCGCAATCCATCCAATCACAGCTGTACAAGTGGAATACAGTCCTTTTTCTCTCGATATTGAGCGCAATGATCTCTTGAAGACTGCAAGAGAACTTGGCGTCGCCATTGTAGCCTACAGCCCATTAAGTCGAGGACTTTTAACCACCAGATATCAGAGTCTTGCGGATTTTTCGGAAGGCATGCTTTGACTGAATGGCTGAAATTTTCCGGTTTAGGGACAAACAGCTAACAATGAATGCTAGATGATACCAGGAGAGCCGGCCCACGTTTCTCTCCAGATAATTTCCCCCGTAATCTAGAAATATCAAGGTCCCTTTCAATTCTTAGCAGCAAGAAAGGTTGTACCTTGGCGCAGCTCACTTTGGCTTGGCTTCTAGCTCAGGGTGAAGATATTTTCCCAATACCCGGGTAAGTAGCACAATTACATGAGACATGCTTACTGATGAAGAATGTAATTAATATTCCTCTCCTCCAAAGAACAAAAAGTTTGAAATACCTGCGAGAGAATATTGAGGCGGCCCAAGTTCAACTTTCAGAAGACGAATGCAAGTTGATCCGAGAGATCGTTACCAAAGGGGCCGTACAGGGAGCAAGATACCCTGAAGAGTATGTGAGATCTTTTGAAGCATGAGTTAATAAGCGCTGACATTACGATTCAGTCGATCAGCTGTTTTATTCGCTGATAGCCCCCTACCCGAATAAAGGAAAGAGCAGTTACTAGTTCCAAATTTGAAACACTACATCTGAGAGACTCTTAATATATTGTTACATCTACATTATTGTCATCTACGATTGACAATTTAAACTCGAATTCAATGTCCGATTGAACATTTTCGTTTCACTGTACGCAGCGTAGATGCGAGGTATCTTTTACCGGAAAAGTCCATTGGTAAAGTCAGTAAGACATACGTATTCTTGTCACTCAGCCCTGTATAATATACTCCCTACATCTCATCTTTTTAAGCTAACACTGATAAGCTACTAGGTACTACTACTATAGAATCTGCAGTGTGTCTTTTAGCATAAATCATTTCCCCGTTGGTTCCACTTTTAGAGACCAACTGTTTGCTACCCTCACAAGTCTCCGGAAGTGGAACCAATGGAGACCAGCTGCATATTCAATAATGCAGGGGTGCCCTAGGCCCGGCTTACCGTACTAGATACAACTCGGGAAGAGCCCATCTTACAGTGGGGACGCAAAAGTGACGACGAGCCCCACAGTGCATCACCTAATGCCTAAGGAAATCTATACCTGTCACTCCCTTATATATCCTATAAGCCTAATAAGAATTTAAAAAAATAATATTAATATAAGTACTTAAATAATAATATTATATAATAAAGTAATTATTATAATTATTATTATATTAAAATATTAAAAAACTATTTTTATAATAATTTAATTATATTTTGATAGGGATCCTTGATCGGGTCTGTGACCGGTGGTCGGTGCCGGCTAGGATAGATGACTAAGCCGGGCTTTGGCCGGCTTAGTGATATAAAACGAGGAACGTTTCCTCTGGCTAGATAGAAAAATCAAGACATGTTGTTACGACGAAAATGACTCTAGCCGAGACGGCGGCTTCGTTCCAGTTGGAACGAGGCCGCGGCAGCTAGATCAAATGATGCCGTGATCTTGTTCTTGCGCCGTGGTCCTTATAGTGGCTAGACGAGCTAGGTGGCTTGTGAAGCTGTTTAGGTGTCAATGGCCCAGTTCAAAGGTGCGTTCCCTAGCTGTCAACAAAATATTCTTAGTGCTATAATATTATTTATAAAGGTTGTGTTTTGGTGTATACTGTGGGGTCGTCTTGACTTTTGGTGACCCACTGTAGCCGAAGTACAACATCCTACTCAATAACCATAAGCCGGGATGTCAAGCGGTCAAATTCTTCCCCTGTAACTTCTCATTCGGGAAACTGCCCTATTCACGGAAAATACCACTGCAGTGGAGCACTCTATACTTGCATTTTAATTACCAATCTTTAACGTATTGGAGGTCATGGATTTAGTAACGGCTGTCTATATGCGTAGATTATACCGAGGAACATTCAGTCAAGTGGATAATCAAATAGATGATGATGCTTATTGAAATCAAGAATACGGAGTATTTTCACACAAATATATATCCTTTATTTGACAAGAGTGCGACTTTATGACCAAGCAGCGTCCCATGACGGCAAAGTTGATGACGACAAGATGATTGTGAATAATGCAAACCCCCTTTCCCGCCGAATATACCCAAGGTCTTTTGTCTAGGGACTCGAGAGCGTATGATCATGTGCCAGCGCAGACTTTGCCTCGGCCAGCTGCCCGCCCATCTCCATGAGCTTCGGGACATCTGATGTAATCACACACATAGACATGCTCTCGGTGGCATTACGCAGCTCTTCACCCTTTGCAAAAGCAAATCCAGCATAAGGTTTGTCATGTTTCTTGAGTGTTGAATGAAATTTTTCCACAGCTGCTAGCCATTCTGGCTCATCACACTGAACTCCGAATCCCGAAGGCATATTCATGCTGATGCGGGCGTCTAGCATCCCAAGCCACACCCCGTCGATTTCGGGGACTTCTGTTAAAATTGCGTCCAGATTATCAATCCCCTGTAGGGACTCGATCTGTATGATGACAGCCGCTTGGTCATTCCAGTTTCGCCACATGTCCTTCTGTGAGTTGAAAGGTGTGTCTGTAAGGCCAGGCATAAGCCGGTAAGGGGGAGCCGATCGTGAGCCACGCTCTTTTGTCCCGAATTTAGTGGCACTCATAATGCTCCTTGCTTGTTCCACTGTGTCAACCTGTGGGATGATAAGGGATGCGCCAGCGTCCATGGCGTAGCCAATCGCGGCATGGTCATGTCCTGGGACCCTGGGAAGATTGTTAGACATGAATACATGGGGTGCGGCACGATGTGGGTTAGGGCTGTCGCCTTACCGGACAAATGGTATCGTACGGCCGCCGCTCATAAACGCCATCTCATGGACCATCTAGTCGGAATTTGTCAGCTGTTTACTCAATCATTTGGGCTAGACGATAACGACGGCCCGTACGGTGGTCATGGTCTCCACATTGCAAGACGAGTGTTCCCAGTCAAACCACACCCAATCGAATCCTAGAGGTGCTAACAATCGCGTGATTGGAATGGAGGCTAGGCCGGCGAAATAGCCAACCATAAGCGAAATCTTCTTCGAATGGGCGTCTCTGATTGCATCCCTTGCCCTGTGAGGCTGGAAAAGCGAAGGGGCCATATAGTCCCTCATATCACCGAAAGTGTCCTTCTTAGACATGTTAGTTTTGCGTTGTATTTGCGTTAAAGATGTGATTCAAATAGATCAACCAGGTAAGCGTCACAAAACCGGAGGAATTAGGTAGTAGCAAAAGAAAACGCATATAAGTTGGCAGGCAAACTGAAGATTTATATTCGTCAACCTCTAAATATCTGCCTAGTATTGTTTCTCAGTTTGTATATTCTCACTGGTGACTTACACCGCCATTTTCTTTCACAGAATGCCTTGCTTGTGAGTTGATTTGGACTTTCGTATGATAAGCACAGCCAAAGCTAGAGCCACATCTGGAAATATTACCAACACACTATCACATGTGTATTGTTGGAAATAGGGGCACCAACCTAGAAAGTATCAATACCTAGGCGTTTAGGAGCCAATTCAACTACCGATCCTAGGTGGGGAGGCTACGCCCGCAGTGTAATAGTAACAGGCTGGGGCAATTGATCACCTGGGCACACATTTCAACATGTACAAGACAAGAATTGGAAGATAAACCGCTACATTCCATATACTTACGTATGACGTTATACTTGCCCTATTACATTACATGTATAATTTTCTGATGCCTGATTCTACGGTGGATGAGTTTAATATATACCTTGCACCTTTGCCCATGAGAACCGAAAATCTATCCTGTGATACGAAATCACAAGCATCCTGCGAAATCCGATGACCGGTTGTTAGTATAAATCACCACCTCCACAGCTGCACAAATCCATAAAAAACCGTTACTATCTATTGAGCTACTCTAAATTGGAGTTGGGGGCAGCTCGGGCCGCACGCTGTTAGCCCGCGAGCCGTGCCGCAAAAAGGACATGAAAGATATGACCCCGATTTGCCACGTTGAATATCATCCTTTCTGGGGGCCAGTATTTGATGAATACGTGCATATTGTGTACGAGTAGGGGTTAACCCAGTGTAAATGGGCAATGCACGACGGACGGGAGCTACAGAGCGCTATAATCAAATTGCGGGCTTCTTGGTGATGTAGACTATTAGCAATTGTTTGAATCATCCACACAAAGGGGAGACAGGCCCATCCATTACTGTCGGGGAAACGGAATTATAAGCATTTCGACCGCGTGCCACCCCTGCACATCAGATTGGAACAGTGGACTAGGCGTAACCAGAGAAACATCCTGGAAAAGATGTGGCGATTGAGGATGCGTCCAAAAGAGAAGAAAAAAGTAGAGGGAAAGGTTGGCGCAAATCTCTGGGCTACTTTGTCGTTAATAAAGTAATGGCGTAGTAGCGCAAACATGAGACGGTGAGACGAGAGCGTAGTGGCCAGTAAATGGCGGCTGTCATTACCAAGTTGCGGCTGCTACCCGCCATAGCGGAACTTGAAGCTGAGTCGGAGAATCACATGCCCGAGATAATAGGGAGGGGTGTGAACGCCTTACAGTATGCGCCAGGGGGCGGGTAAGCAGGGATATTGAAGGAAAATGATGACCGAGATAGCCGAACCGTACATTATACGGTTGGGGGCGGCATGTGGGTCTGGGAAGGGAAACAGCAGGCCTGTTTGAAAGTACAGCTGGATTAATCTCAAATAAATCCGACTATGGGCAACTATTGTTGGACGGGAGTAGAAGTGAGCTTGTAGACGCTTTTGCAACCTCGGATTGTGAGATTGAGCTTTGGTTGCTTCGCCACCATTGCGACTAAATTTCCACTTTGATAGTGACGAGTCGAAGACGAATCGACGTAGACAGTCTTGGAAACATTTACACACTGAACTTTTCGGGCTGTCTGGCATGGCCTAGATAGAGTAAGAAACTAACTCAAGATAAATAGAAGAGGTATAAAAGAACCCAATCACGTCGACCAAGAAATATCAGCAAACTCATCAGCTTAGTTGTTGCATACGTCACTCATTGCTGGAGTTGTAAATGCTTCTCCCTGATGCTACATCGCTGCACAAGTGGTCTCGTGGAATAGCTCCATATGACCACATCTTATAAGAAGAGGAACTAGCGAACTTTTCGTAATTGTTCTCCAAGGTAAAATAGCAAATACAAAGAGAAAATGTGTGGAAAGACGGGATTCACAATTAAGACTATCGGGTAGACCCTTGAACTCACACCGCACCATCTCCTGAACTATCTAGGCCTAGTTTACCCCGACTTTTGTCGAGATTCAGTTGATGTGCACGTGATTGGTCCTCCAAAGATGGTCCATACTTTATTCGTCCGACTCTCCGCGGTTTCTGCAGATGTTCAACTCGATTCAAAGCTGAACCTGCAAGTGATTTACAATGTCGGCTCCAAGCCCTGCAGGAGGCATGCCTACCTCCCACGTTGGTCGTCATTACTTCAAGAGAGCCTATCAAGCGTGCATTAACTGCCGCCGCCGAAAGGTAAAATGCATCATGGAATGCAATGGCCAGGGACTTTTACAAGCATCTTGCACGAGGTGCAGGAGAGAACTACGCCATTGCACGTTTAGTGCGGAAAGAAATTCGCAGACCAACCATCATGACGCTGGTGATATGCAACGAACTGTAAATGTTATTGAAGGTATTGCAACCTAATACCTATCTAAGGGAACAGCGTCGTTCATCATGTGTTGACATTGACTTGAAATAGAAGTGTCGGCCCATCCGGATGAAGTGACGACGCAAAGACCGGGGCATCAACCGAAGCATACGTCACCTGAAGAATTCATTCATGAACAATCTTGTGAGGAAACCACTGGTATACACTATTTTGCGATCCATTTGTATTTTTTTAAGCAAGCCATTGTCAAGTTAACAAATGGAAGCGTCGGATGGATCTCGCAAACGCCGGCGTAGAACCACGAGCAGAACAGTATCCAACGCGGCGGACATTCAATCGCCGACGCAAGAGAGAGAGTATCAACACGCGGCAATAGATTGCTCTACCCAGCAACGCGGCCTTTCACCCGTTGGCGCTGCGCATGAACAGGATTCGAGACCCGGAACGCATGTCCTTTTGAACAGCAGCAGTTTAAGAGCGCCAGATCTACCAGCGAGGGCGAGTATTAATGCACGATTGATGAACGGAAATTCCAGTTCCACGGCATATGTCACCGCATCGGAGCCCTGGCTGTCGCTTCGCCACCCACTCTCACCATCATCCCCCGATACGGTACGCCATTGGAGCTCATGGCATTTTGTGAAAACAGGCCTGATCACTGCACAAGAAGCAGTCACGTACATTGATTTATTTTTCCGCAACATGAATACCTTGTCGCCAATCCTCCACTCGTTCTATAGCAATCACGCGAGGCATGGTGACCTCATCTCTCGCGAACCTGTGCTTTGCTGTGCTATAATTGCGCTGTCGGCACGGTATCATATATTGGATGTTGCCGGGGGCGTTACACGGGGTTTTTATATCCATGATCGCTTGTGGGAACACTGCCAAACATTGTTTCAACGCTTGGTTTGGAGCCAACGGCGAGCGGTAAGGGACCAGATGGCTCACCTCGGTACAATTGAGACGCTTTTATTAGCTGCGGAGTGGCACCCTCGCTGCGTCCATCTTCCCATTGAAACTGACTACTGGCAGCCAGAGATGGCTCTCTCTGATGACGAACAGGCAACGTCTCGTAGCAAAGGTGCGGAATGTCACGTTTCAGGTAATTCTGTTACTTCAACTAACGGCATCAAGTGCCAAACAAATGGCTTCGGGAGGTGGAGGAAGCCGCTCACAGATCAGATCGCATGTCTTGGTTAGCAAAATCTCCTCTCTGCATCTCATCCCATTCGACGATTTCTGTTAATCGTGTGCAACTCACGAGCTCACTCACCATTTAGGATGCTCCTTGGAAATGCATTGTCTCTGAGTCACGAACTCGACATCTTCGCCGATGAAGATGACGCCCCAGCAGATGTGCTTGACTCGGCGTCTGAACTGTCATTCCCGGATTTCCTTCGTCTCCGGCGCCATCGAGTAGGCAAACTTATGTTTGTATACATAAGCCAACTCGCTTCGCGAATTGGCTGCTCTTTGCCGAGAACGCCGTTTCACGATAGTATTCTGTCCTCATTAGAAACCCCCAAATCTAAGCTGGACAATGAGTGGCATGAGTACATGACTTCATGGATAGAACTCAGCCGACTAATAAGGACGTCATCCGACTTTCTCTTTCCCTCGAAGAAGGTGACTCAGGAGCTCGTACGAAGCGGTCGGTATGCAGCTTTCCTGGGACATTTTCGCCCACTACTGTCTCAATGGTGGGATAAGTTCAAGAAGCATACAAGTATGGCAATCTTTCTCTCCGAACCATTCTTTATGTCGTGACACAGTGGCTTATATGTTGTAGACAACGCCACTTGCTGGCAACTCATACTGGTTGATTATCACTTTGTGCGTGTCTACATCAACTCCGTGGCATTGCAAGCCGTTGCGGGACGACTGTCTCAAGATGACGGGCGAATAAGAAACCCACAGTCTATGGATAACCAAGATTCCGACTTTGTGCGTGAAGTCATCGATGGAAGCAGCAGAATCCTAGAGATGGTGATTGACCTATCTCGGGAGGGCAACTTGAAATATCTACCTGTTCGCATATTCATTAGGGTCGCCTCTGCCTCTATGTATTTGATCAATGTTTGTTACACCCTCAATCATGCGGTAGGTTCGGTTACCCAGGCTAATTATTCACTTCATAGGCCCTGGCGCTGGGTGTTCGTGGTAACGAGTTGGACCGCCTGTTAGGTTTGTTAGATCGTACAGTTGAAGCGTTATGCCTAAACGCCGTCGACGATGTGCATCTCGGCTTTCGATATACTGTATTATTGAAAGAAAACACAAAGGGCCTGCGGGAACGGTTTATCCGTGTCAATCCCCCGCCTATGGAGGCGTCATTCTCCTTTGACGATGCAGATGCATTTCTCGGCAACCCCACAGGTATCTTTGCGCCACCACACGACACAGAGGATGCCCAACCAAATGTTGAAACAGAGGTATCAGATCACGAAGCCGATACAGGACTGAATTTTTCAATGTCTACTCCATTATCTGGACAGGGAATGGTGAGCGAAACCTCTATGCCTGGCCAATTCCCAGCGGCAGGTGACTATTCCCGGGATGAGTGGTTTGCGTTGCCATTTACTTCCGAAACCGAGCTTGGAAAGCCCTTTATGTCATACTTTTTTGGCATTGAGCCTGGAGATGAAAGGTACTTTTGGGACGCCGCTTAAGTGTTGTAGGAGAGGATCGACATAAACTGGACCAAATGGTCCATGGAGGTAATGTATTAACCAGAGATCTCCAAGTATGGGAATAAACCCTATCACTGGCACTTCATCCAACACTAGTATATACTGTTGAATATATATCGTTAGAAGTCGTGAAAAATGTTGTGTTTTGAACAGGGTGTGGAGTGAAGGTGTCACTCAATATCATAATTGGAGTTGCAAATACTTTAAATATGTTTGCCGTGGCGGTGAATCTTCACTACGCAGATTCAGTCCCTTTTTGGTCTCGCAACGAACTGAGGATGCTGACCACCCTGTCCATATACCACTGTCTCGCTTCCACCTGATCCCCAATGACTGTCAACTTCATGTCTCTCGTATCGCAATGGGGCCATGGGGAACCATCTGAAAACTGAGGCGTTCCAGTATGAGCAAAAGTCACCCAGGCGTTCTGAACGTCGTTTGCAATTTGTACGTCAATCGCATCAAAGTCTTTGTCCATGGGCTGTGGTCCATCATCAACAGCTGGGGGTTTTCTGCCAAACCATGGTTTAAAAAGTCCATTGCGTGACACGTTACCGAATATATAAGGTATCTCGGCTCCATGGTAGGAAAGCATACCCGAACGCTGGGCGGCAGGTGAAATGCGAGAAAAGATGAAGAAGTAGGTCTTACGGTTCAATGCAGAAAATCTGTGGTAAGTAGCTTTTGCTGGCTCCATCCAGATAGCCGCGCTGCACAATTCTGTGAGCGCTTGGTACGGACTGAGCTTGCCATTGTTAAAATAATTCATCATCTCATGGTCACCACCACGTGCTAGGACTTTGGACATGTTGGCCAGAGTTTCAACGGTATATATCTCTGACGGGTCTAGACCAGGAGCCGTATGAAGACCCGTTGGACGCCAAAAAGCCCGGGCTTCATGCTCCGTACAACCAAATAGCACGGGGACCTGCTCATCCCAGCCAGAGAATTCTTTCATCACAACCTCGTCATCGGGTACCGGATACCATACCAAATTCGCCGGAGAGTGAAGGTACCCAGGAGGTGGACGAGTCCCGCATAATGTTAATGATGTGACTCGGATCTGCTCTGTAGGGATACGACGGAGGACATCTAGATCTCGACTTCCCAGCAGATTGAAGAATTTTTCGCTCGTCTCGTTGACACGCTCCGAGTTTGGCGATGGTGTAGCAGCGTAATCCTCAAAACCAGCACTCTGGATGATTGCACGATGAAAAAGTCCGCGGGCGGCCGGGGTACATAGCAAAGTCCGGACTGCCACTGCTCCAGCAGACTGGCCAAATATAGTCACATTCTGGGGGTTTCCTCCAAACATCTGAACGTTCTCAGACACCCATTTCAAAGCAGCAACCCAGTCCGAGACGGCAAAATTGCCACCAGCCTCTGGGTGACGCAGAAACCCAAATGCGCCGAGACGATAGTTGACAGATACGACAGCCACGCCGCGACGTGCTAGATTTTGACCGGAATAAACATCCATCGAGGAAGATCCGTTTAGGAAACCACCGCCGTGAATCCAGACCATGACAGGTTGCTGTGCGGACGGGTCTAAACTCCCACTCCAGATGTTGAGATACAGACAGTCCTCACTGTACTCAGCACCAAGGTCAACCCCAGTGTCAACGGTTTGAATTGCCGCTTTTCCGAAGCGAGTTGCATCCCGGACACCCTCCCAGGCTGGTGGAGAGGAAGCGGGTCGCCAGCGGCGGTCGCCTGTGGGAGGTTCGCTGTACGGGATACCCAAGAATGAATAGATGCCATCTTGTACAGACCCTTCAAGGGCGCCTTGTTTTATGCGAACAGTAGCCATCTGTTTTGGAAGAAGAAATTGTAGTCTGCGGAGAGCATCTTCAACTAAGACACTGTAGGAGAGGCTTCACAATGAGGGAGGATGCTGGGTTTATAGGCGTTTGCATTACTGAGCGGCCCACCTGATCCGGTCTTAACCCACCATAGCCGGTGTTCCACGTTCGTCATGGACAAGCCCGTTGGTACTTTATATCCCACCCTTGCATTCGGTTCATGCTTAATCTTGGAACAATCTAATTACTCGTTATACTCTTCTCAGCTGCCTTGTCATTCAAGGACTGACAATAGTCGTCCGACCCACTGTCAATTTACTGGTCTAATCAGTTGCAACGTGGTAGTCCCGAAGCTGGCGGCCGGGCTTACTCGTTTGCGCTACTACAGTATTGCTCAGTGAATTATGATGTCAAAACAAATCATGGGCCCATCGAAAGCTTCATATCTATTGCATGGTACGGAATATTTCTACATAGTATTCTTTCGCCAAGCGGGCCTAATTTAGGAGACATAAATTGCAATCTCTGCTGATGTGTCTCTGGTCCCGCGTCAACAACACATGTTTAGAAAGCTAGATTGAATGCAAGGCTGTCCTCGCAGATCTGTTCGCGCATGTCATGTAGCCTTGAATATATAAGTAGTCATCCCGCATATCTGTAGTGATTTTTACTAACTTGAGATGATGTTGATCCTTAGCAAACGATGCAAGATGCTCCTGGGTCTCCAACTGGAGAACGATACCCATATCGTACCCTTTAGTTCTCTGCATATCGAGAGCCGGGCCTACTTCTAGTGATATGACTCCTGCAGGAACAAACTGGTTAGACAGCCCCACTGGGATCTTGGTTGTTTTAGCTCATGGGTTTACCTTGAATCTTCCTTCCTTCCTCCTTGGATAAATTTATAAACTCTTCAACCTGAGCTTCCGAAGCATCCTTCTTCAATCGAAACAAAACTAAGATGGCGAGCAGAATTAGAAAAGAGCAATATCAGTCTTGCTTGAAGAAGACATACCAACACGATAGACCGGCATGATGCAGTTAGTTGACTTTGTTTTAATATGTATATGAATGCTGTAACAATCCAATGAGAAAAGACTGGCATTGTATTGTTGTGTACTCCGTAAGACTCGCCTCTTTAAATATGAGGCCTGGGATGCCAACGCCGTCAACCATGCAACTTACACTGTACGGTAATTAGCGGGGCCGTATGCCTGGGCACCGGCTGTTCGCGGGCGTTCAAACACCGTCGAATAGCCTTGGCTTCAACAACAGAATAGAAGAATGAATGGCTGGTAATTGATGCACGTTCTCCGTATGCAACGAGCAAATGATTCCCTAGTTTAGCACAACTTCCGTCCCTAGCCCGGAATAGCCAGGATGATCAGTATGGTCGCTACCAAACTGGCGAGATTAACACAATCCCTGTGACTGAGGTCGGTGCCGACGTAATCCGCGTATTTCCATTCACACATCCGAAAAAACTTCTGGAACTATAGTAAAACAGATAATACACATACAAATCTTGGGGCGTCCTCGAAAAAGGTTGTTTAAATACCAGGGTGCCCCCAAGGTCATTGTCAGAACGCTACAGGATATACTCTGTATGTTAGGTATCAGAATATTGCAAGGCAGCTGTTGGATTGCAAGGTCTGAATGATGGATTACAAGGATCGACAGAATTCCATCTACGAGGACGGAATGTTCTTTAGTCGCCTCCCAATGGTAACTACCGATCCCACAAAATTGGAGGAACAGGCCAAACAATACATGACTTGTCGAAGTTTTGACTTTGTTTCAGGTGGTGCTGGTGAGAGGTCAACAATGGCAGCAAATCGGCTAGCTTTTCGACAGTGGAAGGTAAGTACGGGTTCAAGTATGGGTACGATGTAGCTCTACATACTATTACGGAGTAGATTCATGTACAACCCTAACAATCTACCTCATCTTGTTTTGATGCATTCCAACTGACCACCAACAGATCATCCCGCGAATGTTATGCCAAACGACTCATCGAGACTTGAGTGTCAAGTTGTTTGATCAGTTGTATAAGAATCCTATTATCATGGCTCCGATTGGAGTACAGGCAATCTATCACAATGATAGGGAGCTCGGCAGCGCGGAAATCGCAGCTTCACTAGGCATTCCGTACATCCACAGCACCGCCGCGACCAGCAGTATTGAAGAAGTCGCCTCTGCGAATGGATCAGGGCATCGATGGTTCCAGCTGTACTGGCCAAAGGATAATGAACTGACCAAGTCTCTGCTGTCTAGAGCAAAACAAAATGGCTACCAAGTGCTAGTGGTGACTCTGGATACCTGGACCTTGGCATGGCGTCCATCTGACCTCGATAATGGATACGTCCCTTTCATGACAGGTGTAGGAACACAAAACGGGTTTTCGGATCCCGCATTCCAGGAGAAATACCGAAAGACTGCTGGCAAAGAAATTGGAGAAGATGTGGTGGCTGCAGCCAGCGCGTGGAATGCCGACCTCTTTTCTGGTCAAGGCAGCAGACACACTTGGGAGGACATTGCATTTTTGCGCAGCCACTGGGACGGGCCCATTGTTCTAAAGGGTATACAACACGTGGATGATGCGTTGATGGCCCTTCGTTGTGGTGTCCAGGGCATCATGGTCAGCAACCATGGAGGGCGACAGGTAGACGGTGCCATTGGAAGCTTGGAAGTCCTCCCCGAAATCGTCGACGCGGTTGGGGATAGCCTCGCTGTTCTCTTTGACAGCGGAATCCGAACGGGATCCGATATTGTCAAGGCGTTGTGTCTTGGTGCCAAAGCAGTGCTTGTTGGACGGCCCTGGGTTTACGGGCTCGGCATTGCGGGCAAGAAAGGGGCACAAGACGTTTTACTCGGCCTTCTCGCGGCAAGTCGCCACAAACTGCCAGCAATGTCAGTCCAGTGCTAATGTTTCCTAGGATCTCGATCTTACATTGGGCTTGGCCGGCCTACAGGGAGTCCAAGATTGCAAGAGAGCGGTTCTTCGCAAAGTGGCTTATGGAGGCGACGTTTATTCGGCATATTAAATTGCGGCTGCTCACTTGTGCACCTACGAGGCGTGGGGCTTTTTCTTAGAAGAGGTTGAGAGGCAGTCATAGGCAACTGTGAGAGCCATGAGGCGATTGGAATAGTGATGCGCATCCAAAAGTGCACGTGTTTGTTTCTGTGCAGGAAAGAATCAGGAGTTTGTGATGGATGGCTGTTACCTGCTGAAAATCCCCGTGCACTCCCCTACGTGTACCTGTAGCTTTATCGTTATCGGCCTCGGGACGCTTATCAGAGCCCTCGCGATAGCACCCAAACCGTCATGTTATCAGCAACGTATCGGCGTAGCGCTGGAATTTAGGTTGAACAGCATCAATTGGATAGAACAGCCTAAGTAGGTACCTAGCAATCTAGATAAACGGAGCCTTGGGAATTGATCCAATGCAGGTGATTTCTCGCCCGTCCAATTCGCCCAAATGACTTTTTTTTTTTCCAAGCTCGCGATGCATCACAGCGAGGAATTGCAGGCTTCCATTAAAGGTTCCCGTCACTTTTGCACTGCAGCCCGCTGCGCCAATTGGCTAGAATCCCCTGCGACTGCGCTGTGGTTTCAATGTTCAATATTTGGCTGCGCGCGCGCTTGTAGGCCGCCATCAAAGCACAGCTCGTTCAGTCTACAGGTCCGTTTTCACAAAATCGGCTTACAGACTGGATATATGTAATCGAAGCACAACAAAACATCTCGGTATATTCTTCTACGTAGTGCTCAGCGCTGGTTACCTTTTTCCATCGGAGCCAACGGAACCTGAACCGTTTGCGAAAATGCTACGTCGGCTATTGTGGGGTTGACGTATTGTCGGATCTTTTCTGTCCGTCCGAGTTCCTCCTGGTACAATGCGTGGTTGGTCAACGCAGTTCATACGCCATGTACGGAGTATGGCATGAGCTCTTCTCCCGTGTTGTGCCGAGCTTTGGGCTCCATCGCCAGTAGGCTTGCCCCCAGACGGATAACAACGGAGACTGGGGATGATGGAGTACACCAAAGTCAACCCCATGGGGGTAACCTCCGGCTCATGGAAACAAACGGGATCGAATGCCGGAGAAAGGCACGCGTACTTGAGCTAGGCGTCTCAATATATTAGCTACAGTTGAAGGAATTCCATCTTCGACTTAGTTTAGACCAACATGACATTACTTAAAACATTGTACTTGCTACCATATTTACAAACGTCAATCACCAACTTCAAATCATGTCGGAATTGCCGTATTTAGCCATCGTGGGGGGAGGAATTGCGGTAGGGCAGCGAGGACTGCTATATATGTTTGACACAACTAACAAGCAGTCATGTAGGGACCTGCGCTAGCCCTCAGTCTCAAAAAACACCACGGCATTTCTTCTACCGTATACGAACTTCACCCCAATTACGACGTACGAGGAGTCAACATCACTCTGGCACCCAACGCTGTCCGTGTCCTCCAGCATGTGGGAGTCTACGACGTTGTCCGCACCCAGGGCTACAGCTACCGAGACCTTCATATGAGCAACGCCAGATCTCAGACCCTTGGAACACTACTTCAGGGAAGCCCAAAGCACTATAATTGCCCTTGCCTAAGAGTACACCGAGCGGTCGTCCAGAAGGCGCTCTTGGACGAATTGAAGGTACAAGGAATTCCAGTAGTCTTTGGAAAGAAGCTGGTTAAACTACACGAAGATAAAGAGTCGGTCGAGTTGGAATTCGCTGATGGAACCACTGCAAAGGCATCCTTTGTCATAGGAGCTGATGGTGTGCATTCAAGGGTTCGGGATGCCATCATGGACACTGAAACAAGCTACAGTGGGTTCATGGGCATCATCGGGATGGGCGTCAAGCGCGAGACCCTTGACAAGTCGGCGGGCCAGACGCCATTGCCAAGTTTCATATTCGGGGGCAGAGGTTTTGTTGCCGTCATGCCGTCCGACTTCAAAGGGACCGTGGTGGATTTCTTTTCGACTATGCCCTTTCCTGCTCGGTCGAGGGAAGAATGGAACGAGCTCGCAAGCGACAAGACAAAAGTGCAAGAAATCCTTCAGCAGAGATTCGGCACCGAGTGGCCCCAGTTTATTTGCGACATCACCAAGGACTATGACAAAGAGGGCCTGAGCCTGCTGCCGTGAGTACTTTTACGCATCGTGCATTGGAGATTTGCATCCTGACAAGATGATAGCTTTTTCGAAGTGCCACCTCTGGAGCGCTGGACGAGTCTCAAGCGACGGGTAATCTTGATCGGTGACTCTGCCCATGCCTTTACACCTCAGGGCGGGCAAGGTGCTGCAATGGGTCTTGAAGATGCCGAGACACTCTCGCATACCTTGGGACACCCAGATTTTGCATCGGACCATATCCGCCTGCTGGACGCCTGGGAAGGTCACCGGATTGAGCGGCTGCAACTCGTCAAAGATTTCACTGATCTGAACGGACGGTTGCGAACGCCGGACACTGCCCTCGTCCAATGGCTCAAGGAGTTGCTTATCTGGGGTCGCTTCAAGTGGACAGGTCAATTGGGAAACTTGCAATGGCTCCACGGATACAATACTGAAGACATTGTCCGCCTTTACTAGCTCATCCCGTTGTAACAGTGTTGGACCAGCTCTATGTATACAGGATTAATTGCCTTTCTTCAACCATACTTTACCTACCTATATTTATTTTCCCCCGCGGAAACACGTTTGTCTCATTGTATCTTGCCGGAAATTGGTGGTACTCTATAGCATTAGCATCTAGGTAGGCCTGCGAAAAAGTGTCAAGTTCAATGTTCATTTCCATGTTGTTTTGCAAAGGTTGCGGCATCTGCTGAGCTTGAACCTTGAAGCGAGGCTAATCGATGGCTCCTGGTTGGCTCGTTTGTAGATAAGGAAGTGCACATGTACTTTTGCATTGTACCTATTTCAGCTATAGCGAACCACGTTGTACCTTGTACCTGACCTGTCGAGCAGCCATCGGTCAATCAATCCACCAAGTCTGCCAAACTCCCTCCAGTATAACGGCGTGCGCCGATTGACTACCTTGGAGATTGAGGAAATTCGGCATCCATGGAAAGCAAAGGTCTACGATTGCCTAAGGGTCCCGAAAAAAATACAGCAGAGTGCACAAATAGACGAGTACCCAATACGCGAGCTCGGTAAAAACAAACGCGATAGATGCACCGAGCATTTCTCATAGCAAATAGGTACGGAGTAGATCTAGACGGGATACTCAACCATGAGATGTCCGCATCATGCTGGCTCAGTGCAGCGGCTAGGCCGAGTTCCTTCATGTTGTTAGGAGCAGGCAGTGCGTTGGTGCACACACAGGGCTGGGCTCGCTGTACTTGTACCGTAGCAGTGCCTGTAGCGCTAGAACGGAGCGCTGGTGATTTGACATGTACTCGCGACGTCGAGGGCTGCCTCAAGCCTTCTCTATACCAGGTAGCCAGTACTTTTCTTCCCTCGTCTCATCTTCAGATGGACAGCATTTACTCCAATCTCATTCAGTGCTAAATTCACCCGGTCAACGCGCGGCAGTGCACAACAACACCGTATTCATCGTCACAAAGCAATTACGAAGTACGGGCAGTGATATTGGCCGTGCCCCAGTGAAAGAAAGTACATGCAAACCAAGCAACGGATGTGAAAACCGGAACGGGAGTGACAGACGGCATGTAATTGAACGTGTTAAACTAAAGCACAGCGTGGGGCTGCTAATGAGATCTTAAAATCGAAGATGAAGCAATGATTGGGAGAGTCTAATCTTGGCATCTCAACTAATGGGAGCCAGATCTAATAACCCCAAACGCTAACAAGCTGGACCTGGATAATCGCGGATACACATGGCCGGATATTTCGGTTCCCACTTGGCGCAGGCTTCCCCACGGGGTAACTGTGATCCCGAATGCTCGTTGGCATATAAGACTGTTATGCGCTGTAAGGATTCCCAAAGAAGTAGGTGTCTTCTTCTGGAGAATAGGTACTGAACCTAGTCATCGATATCAACTTTCGTGTACATTTCGAGATGCATGATCCAACGAGCAGCGCACTGGGCACCGTCCAGATCCGGAGTTCGTCTACAAACGAGATTATTCTCATCCCAACTCCTTCCAATGATCCAAATGACCCTCTCAACTGGTAGGTCGCCAGCTGACATGTGAAGGGACAAGAAAACACTGCTGACCTTGAGGAGGTCCAAGATTCGGCGATACTACATTGCCCTCACGGCATGCGTCGCCATGTTTCTCTGCACCTTCTTGGCCAGCGGCCCGTCTGTGGCACTTCCTCAAATGGCGCAAGACTTCTTGGGACACACGAAATCAACACCGCCGGAACGCATCGCCAAAACAGCATACTTTATTACAACCGTAACTCTGATGCAAGGCATTGGATGCCTCGTGTGGATGCCACTCATTATCAAATACGGCCGTCGACCCGTCTACATTGCTTCCTTCACTTTGTACACGGGTACTGCAATCTGGGCGGCAGTGGCCAACTCATACGCAAATGAACTCTCTTCAAGGATTATCATGGGAATTGCTATTGGTGCTGGGGAATGCTTAGCCCCCGTCACAATCGCAGATGTCACCTTTCTCCACGAACGCGGCGCATTGATGGCGTAAGTGACGCTTCTCGTTGCCTGAATGAATACTAAAGGATTCTCTACAGCGTGTATACGGCCTCGATTTCAGGCGGTGTAGCTGGAGGCATTATCGTCTCTGGTTTGATCACCATCGCCCATGGATGGAGGACGATTTACCACGTGTCAATTGCTCTAATCGGCACAATGACTCTTCTCCTATGCTTCACAATGCCTGAAACCTCATACGTCCGAAACCCAGCCCAGACCGCAACCGCCGACGCATCGACTCCTTTGGATAAAGAAGGTGGCACAGACTATGCCGAAAATGTCAGCTCCAGGGAGCAAAGCATTCCGAAAAAGCACACGTTTCTCCAGGAGCTTCGTTGCTTTCATGGCACATTTACACAGGAGCCACTGGTCAAGATATTTGTTCGACCAATCGGGCTACTGATTCTGCCTCCAGTGCTGTGGGCTACGTTGGTAATGTCCGTGCTGATTGGGTTTTTGGTTGCAGTCGCTTCCACGTTTTCGTCTGCGTTCGCCCAGGTCTACAAGTTTGAGCCATATCAATCCGGATTATGCTTCATCGCGGCTCTGATTGGATCCCTTGTTGGCATCGCCTTTGGAGGCAAAGTTACCGAAGCCGTTGCTAATTATTTCACCAAGAAAAATGGCGGTGTCAGAGAACCAGAAATGAGGATTCCGGCTATAATAGCTAGCATCTTAGCAGCTCCAACTGCCTTGGTACTGTACGGCGTCGGTATTCAAAACAGATTACACTGGATGGTCCCGACGATCGGGCTTAGCCTACGTAAGTATTCGCTCTCGTTTCCAAGTACATGGCCAACTAACTGTCATTAGTAAACTTCTCCATTGTCCAGGCGGTCAACATAAGCATGGTATACACGATCGACTCGTACCGGCCCATTGGAGGAGAGGTTGTAACAACTCAATTGGGTTTCAAAGGTTAAATCACCTGTACTCAGCAAATATGGGCTCCAGCTAACGTTACGACAGCCTTTTTGGGATTTCTACTGTCCTTTTACACTAACCCGTGGATTGACCGAGTTGGCTACAGCGTTGCTTTCGGCACTATGGCATCCATTGTCGGCGTAGTTCTTCTGGCCTGTCTTCCGTTTTATTTCTTTGGAAAAGTCATCAGACATACCACCCTTCGCTGGCAAGCGCTACGATTTGTGCTTTGGAACAAAGATCGAGAACTTGGAGAGTAGGATAAATATGATGGAAATAATTATTATTAATGATTGCTCTATTTTTTACGTGTATTCTCAATTACTATCGAAGCTGCAAAGCTAGTTCTTCTCTTCAAAAATTTCACATACATCAGGGAATGTTGATCTCGAATATTAACATATCACCTAGTCTCTTGTCATTGTTTTGCAAATGGATATTTATAGCGACGTTTAATAATATAGTATTTCAAGAAAATGACCATCTCCTTCGCTATATCATCTTGTTCAAGTTGAGCACACTAGCTAAGAGATAACAAAGCACTGCATAAACGATTATGCAAGATTACTTGATGATTTAGTGATCGGTCCAGTTAACGGTCAGTTCTCCTTCGGAGACATTGTTGTCCTTGAAGGGAATACTGCCGCACTGACCGCATCCGTGGGCTTCCAATCCCTGCAGCATACCCAATGCCTCTCCAGCTGTAATCGAGTTGCTAATGCCCTGAGTGAATGCACAGATGTTGCCGCCAGGAATGCCGCAGCAGGCAATGTGTTGCCCGGGGCTGTATGATGTGCTTTGATCTTGTTGGCTGACTTGCAAGATCAGATCGGCGAGTCTGCATTCAGGAGTACCGACGCAATTGGCATTGCCACGACAGTTGATGCCGAGGGCTGCGGCGGCAGTGTAGAGCAAAGGGAGGACAGCGAGGAATTGCATTCTAAGAAAAAAACTGTTGGCATTTAATTCTGGGAGTACTTGAAACCGTGAGCCTTACTTGAATTGGAAGAAAAGAATCTTCAAAGTTCAGAGTATTTTTTGTTGACAGAGGTTGCTATTGAGAGCTGCAGATGTAGAGGTGTAAAGGTTGTTGAGTTGTGATGTGATGATTCAATCCGATTCATTGTTGCGGCCAAAGCCCATCTTTATAGATTTCCAAGACTTAACATTCATTGTGCTTGTTGATTTCCTGAGTTGCAAAGTTGTATAATTGAATCCTACATAGCTGAGACGTGCCACTTGGGCTGTAAGCCTCATCGCCCCCTTTCGGCGCAGGGGTAATAGGCACCGACGCAGATCAAAGTAAGCACAGCTGATACGAATGAGGAAACCCCCCCTCTTCGACAAGTCCACTTTAGTATCTCAAGAAGCAAGATCGCCAGAGATCGCCAGAGATCTTCCACTGCGGCTGCTATATTTTTAGTGCTTCTAGTGCCGAAGAACCATTGTCCTTGGTGGTTGGTGGAGTTTTTGGTAAGACGCAGGTCTTGATCTGCATTAATTTCCATGACAGCTGCAAATAAGCAAAATCTGGGGCACGATCTGCGACGGGTTCCAAGTTGAGCATTTCATAGTGTAATTTACGATGCGTCGCTTGGCTCTCTCACCGCAGACTCAAAGACTGGTGTCACTTTTACAAAAGATTCCACGCGCCTTCTGAAAACCAAAGTGTGTCTGTTGGGTGGTCGTGGCGCTGTATCTAGCATGCATGCATTCACATCTAACGACTGAACAAGTCAGACAACCCTACTGATGCAGATCATTATACTACAATGAAACAGCAGTTCGTCCGTGCTTTACCAAATCGTCTTTCAGTGACGTAATCTGACTGAACCGTTGACATATCGAGCAGGCCGTATTATTCTAGGCTATAGCTGAGAACATGATCTACGTTAATAATCCATTACGGTATATAAAACTTCTGTTGAGGATCGTCGCCATGTCAGACTTTGCTCCATTATTCATCGGCCGTGTCTCGTTCATGATGTAATCTGACAGTTCTCAAGAAGAAAATGCTTCATTTTCTATGAGTTATTATTGTTGATATTTTTTTTAGAAACCCTTAGACTCGAAACAATGACAAGAATGGGTATCCAAGTTTAGGTCCTGGGGCATTGCATTGGACTTTGGGCTCAATTTTGCTGGGACACGACTTGACACAATATCTTCCTCCACCCAATTATATATAAGAGGACCCTTTTCCTTTCAGAAGTGAAAAAGAAACACAACACTCAGCACCAACATAGTATTTCATTCACACACCACTTTCCGCCTTTTAACATTCTTATCATATATACCTTAAAGACAAAGCTACCTTGCAGGTCAGTGACAAGAACGTTTGAAGAGCTCAATGTTGTCTTTACTAACATCGTGCCATTACTAGATATAACAATCATGGCATCCATTACCTTCCACCCCCAAGGTTGTTCATCTGGAAATGGGCTTGTGACGCTCGTTTCAGCTGGAACGGCGGGCACTGGGACATGCTTCTTCAATGATGGCGCATTTCCCAACTCCAATCCATCTGGAGGATACGAGGTACGCATATGGCCACATTGGGGCTGCCAAAGATGCTTCTTATCAGCCTCCGAATCTTCGTATAATTTGCCAGCTTCCAATACTCACGTGTGTGAATAGATTCAAGGGATGCCGTCCACAGTGTCGGTCACCATATCGCAAGGTCCACCCGATGGCACCACTTGCGGCGAAGAGCTCATTGCTATAGAACACCAAAATGGATGCTATGACTTCCCAAATCTTTCCAACAGAATTTGGTGGGCATTCTGCAACACGGGAAAAGATTGTCCTGGCATAACTCAGAAGCGTTCATACCCGCCACCAACCTTGTCCAAGAAGACAGTTCCTGCCAAAGAAGAGACGAAACGGGCTGTTGATCTTGAGAAGAAGAAAGAAACCAAAAGTCAAGGCGTAATCCACACCGACGAAAAGGGTGACTACCTACTCAGCTCTACTGGCCGACGTGTCCCAGTTGTATATCAAAACGAGACAACCGAGGTGGAAGTGAATAGTTCTCCAATCGAGAAGCGACAAAGCCAGACGTTCAGCCCGCCCAGCAACTGCGTGTTGGATTCCGGCACATGTCAATCTCTGGCTGATTCCGGCCAGCTGAGGGCTCTCTGCGTCGACTGCCAGCAAGGCTTAGGAAATGGAGTGAAAGCGTCAGGATCGTCAATGATTGACTGTCGAAACTCCGGTGGACCATGCCCGGTCACATTCACTGATTCCGTCACTGTCACCGACACCATCTCCGAAAGCATTACTTTTGGAGCCACTATCGGTGACACGGGTAAAGATGGTGCTAACGGAAACGCAAACTTTAACTTTGGTATCAGCGTCTCTGTTGCTACTACGCATGGTACATCTGAGGGCCTGCTGATTCCCCAGGGTAAAATTGGCTTTGTTCAATTTCAACCCCAGGCTCAGCTCGGCACTGTTGTTACGACAAGCTCTCAAGGAAACGTTTGCGACAGCGCCGGGCTCAACAAGATCTGTGGAGCCCAGCCAGGCATTCTTGTTAGCAGTTCGAACGATGCTGATGGCCAGTACAGCGTCGTTATCAGCAGCTAAGTGTCCCGACACGACTTGTATAGTGCGACATCAGGCCTATAGGATTAGCAATTGCAGATAAATTACTGAATGATATTTTGTTACATTTTCCCTAATCTAATGCAACACCAATGTTTGTGAATCTTGAAACCGGCTAAATGGTCAAGGCCGCGCAAATAAGCGTCCCTCGGTAGTCGGAGGGGCAGACGAACACGGCTTGCCACTCACACTGCTTCCTTACCCATTCAATAGCCAACCGGATGCTTCCATGCCTGGTAAGAAATCCAGGTCTGGACTATCGCTACAATCAGCCCTATAAAGCCTAGCAAGATGGCCATAAACAGTCCAGCCAGCGTGGCTAACATGATATGCCTCGCCTTGCTCTTCTGGTGCAGCCAGGTCTGCATAAAGCCACGAGGCTTGGGGTTCTCGATTTCATCAAAAAGATCCATGAGCCGAGAACCCCAGTATTGATAAGGAATATCATGCTCATTGATGTGTCGGTAGGAAGCAGAGCCGAAGCGTAGGCAATCTGGATCGAACGATTCTTTTGAAACAAGAGATCGAAGTAATGCTTGTGAGTCTGAATCCAAAGGGAAGAGAAGCTGAAGAGAGTCGAGGGTTTCGAGAGCCAGTCTCCGCCTACTCTGAGTTAGTGGTTTGGTAGATATTACAGAAAGTATCTATTGTTTGGTACCTAATCAATGTTTCAGGAAAAGTCATAGACACAATTGGGTCAATTGAAGCTCTGAGGTGCTCTTTCAGAACGCTAGTAAAATGGTAGATTTTTACAATTCCAGTCTTTTGATCAAGCTTCAGGTGGTCTCTCAGTTCTGTCGTCCCTTCAAACCTCAAGCCGGCAATCTGCTTCAGCCTTACTGCAGACAATTCTGATTTTATGTCGATAGATGCTCGACTCTCGTCATTCAAACTCGGGTGCTCTCTGACGGGAAAGGCTGTTGCGGTAAAGTCGAGGGGGGATTGGTCGCTCCGCCAAACGCAAGGATCGGTACCGAACTCCAAGAGACCTCCGCCTTGGTGTTCGATGCAACAACCAACCATGACTAGCACCCTCATGGCCAAATTAAAGGCTCGGTGCTGGTCAGCAAGCGGCGGTGGCTCCTTTTCCATGCTATTTCTTGCCGCGAAGAACTCTCGAGTAAGTTGCATCCGCGGCAGAGAAGGCTTCTCTTGTAGAAGACGAATGATGTCGATCAAGTCTTGATGGCAACTCAGCGCTCTTGGGTCGTCAGGAATCAAAGATTCGGGAACATAGGACCCCGTCACTTCTTTGTAGAATTGAAAGAAGGGCTCGAGTCTCAGAAGCCGGCGGTGCGGACAATCTTCCCCGACGCAGGGCCTCGCAATTGAGCAGAGAGCACATGATGTCCAACCCCAAATTGTTTGACACAGCGCCTGGAACTGAGCATCATATATGCCGACTAGCGGAGGGAGAAAAGGGCCTAATTCGACCATTGGGACAGACGTTTGTTGATTGTCGCGGCGGGGAAGTGCGAGAATGGACGTCGGCAGATCCTTGAGGCTCTGCTTCCCTCTTTAAAGCGATCGCGCAAACCCAAGGATCTACCTCTCATGATGATAACCGAGCTTCAGGCCAATCAGCTTGCATTGCGTAGAGCTTGCGTATCTAGACGCGTGGGTGTTGATTGGGGGCCAACTGCGCCATTACGAATGCGCAGCCGCCCCCTCTCCGCCGCAGATCATCCATGTATTTCATTGCTCCTCCAGCCTAAAAGAACTTGATCATGAAACCGCGACTTTTACTTGTCTCATTTTTCGCATCAAGAGGCAGCGCGACTCTATGTCGGGAGTTGTTGGCGTAGCCAGCGGCGTGCATACTGGGAGATGCTTCATGATGGATTCTCCTTGGGCAAAAGATGACCCGCTGCCAGATTCTGGGTATGCAACAGCCATGCCTTCTCCAGAGCAGAGCCAAACAATGGCGGTCGTATGTGGTGCAAGTGCAATCCCAACCAAGACAGTTCCGTTTCCGCTACCAAACGAAAAAAACTTGCTCCTATTCAAGAGAGAAGCGGTCCCAGCAACAATTGCGAGGTTCAACGAGATCGTTCCGGAGATTGAACGCCTCCTAGTGCAGTATATAAGAACAGCCAATAAACTGTTTTCATCTACTACGTCTTATCGCCCTATGTCAATTCGCTACTTGGTCCTTGGGAAGTCAGAGGCCGACGCCAGGGATTGCCTCGTCGTTTTCTGTCCCCCAAGCCAATGCAAGCGAGTAAAGCGATTCTTCGACAAGCACCGAGCCGTCAAGAGTCTCTGCGAGCCGCCTGATTTATCCGCCCCGTCCTTTCGACCTGTTGTCAAAGACCTGGCGCCTCAGCTTACAGCCTTACGGGGCGACGAGGAAGCCCAGGAACCCGCGGACCCAGAATGCTCCAGAGAAACCCCGGGTCCTACCTCGATCGAAGTTCATTGTTCCTCAACGCCGCCATCGAACAAGGCCTTGTGCGGGACTCCAATTCGCTTCATCAATCATGCAGGGGAGACTCGATGTGGGACCTTTGGGGGTATCGTCAAGTTGGTCCAGAGCGATGGCTTCGAATTGTATGGCCTGACAGCTGGACATGGCCTCCTCGATTGGGAAGATTGGTCCTTGCCTGATAGTGATTTGGACTCCATGGATGACGATGATTACTCCATCGATGAAGATATGAAGGAACTTTTAGATCTGGAGTCTTCTGAAGGATCTATTTCAAGTCCTGAACCTGAAGCCACTGATCCATCTCCAAACCATCCTGAGCCCAAGTTGGAAGAGATGAAATTATCCGAGACATGGGCATTCAAACACTCTCAGAAACTTGGAAGCGTTCTACAAAGACCTAAGCATCACACAAAAGGGAGCGGCCAATATCTCGACTGGGCCCTCCTTGAGATTGATGCATCCAAACTTCAGCCAAATTATTACCCATCGCTCAATTCCAAATACCTCGAGTTGACGGCATCCCAGGAGAATCTTGCTCCAGCTGCTCTTGGTCAGCCGGCCATCATGATAGGAGGCTCTCAGGGTTGCATACTCGGCACAATTTCATCGTTACCAGCAAGACTTTTGCTCGGCCATGGCCAGTCATTTGTCGATGCCTATACTCTCTGTCTAAAAGACCATACTGGTAAGCCTATCTAGGACCCGGAAGCGACCTTTGAATCTGACCAGGACAGTATGCATTGGGGACTCTGGTTCATGGGTGATTGACCCACTTACGTATGAGGTATTTGGACACATTGTTGCGACTGACATGCTCGGCGACGCCTACGTGATTCCTCTTCAGAGCATCTTTGAGGATATTCGAGCCTGGCACGATGCGCAATCAGTCAATCTTCCCACTGCCCCCGACTTTGGAGCAAAACTTCCCTCCATGGATGCCAAGCACCAACCACCTAATGCTCCCGCTTGTCTGCTAGAGAAGATGCCAATCGGGTCGCCGGAGCCAATGGGTAGCCCTTCAGCCTTGAATGTGGGAGCTCCTAACAGCATGGTCCGCTCTTTTGAAGCCCCCCCTCCCTATGATGGGAAGTCCGTGAATACCAAGAAATTCCGTAACCTTTTGCTCTCGCTATCCTTGACGCCAACCTATTACGAGAACCCTGGTCTGTTGGACGAAGCTCTCGGACTTATTCCGCTGAATCGAATATATAGCGAAGCCGAGGAGAGCTCACAGCTCTTTCAGGCTCAGGCTGAGAGCATGGGTAACGACAGACCAGAGTGGGGTTACGAAGATTGTGTCATTCAAGCACTTCTAAGGCATGTTACCCTCTTGGCATACTATCATTCTTATCCCCACAAGCTAACATAATTCATAGGTGGTTCAAGAGAGACTTCTTTGTTTGGGTGAACAACCCGCCATGCGACATCTGCCTGTCTCCTACAATCGCCCAAGGTTCAGTCGCTCCAACCCCAGAGGAGAACGCCTCTCGTGCATTTCGTGTCGAGCTTTATCGGTGCTCATCCCCGGGCTGCAGTACATATGTTCGGTTTCCTAGATATGGTGATGCTTGGAAGTTGCTTCAAACTCGGCGGGGACGAGTTGGCGAATGGGTCAACTGCTTCAGCTTGCTCTGCCGAGCCGTCGGCGCACGGGTCAGGTGGGTTTGGAATGCCGAAGACCACGTATGGACTGAGGTCTTCTCGAACCACCAAAAGCGATGGGTCCATGTGGATCCATGTGAAGAAGCCTGGGACTCACCATTACTTTATTCAAACGGTTTGGGAAAGAAAATGTCGTACAGTATTGGGTTTTCCTACGATGGGGCTGCAGACGTGACACGGCGGTATGTGCGAGAGGACAAGTTTGCTCTGGAGCGGAATCGATGTTCCGAGGAGGATCTCGAGAGGATCATACGAGAGATTAGAAGTATTCGCAGAGCCAAGATGACCAAGGACGAGCAATTCCGCCTTGAGGAGGAGGATATCCATGAGGACCGAGAGATGCGAGGATACATTATGATGGCTTCTATTGCCAAAGCATCCAGCGACTTGCCCGTTGGCACCTCAAAGGATCCATCAGGGAACGCGGACAGCAGCCGAGCACCCATGAAAGCAAGTGCGGATGCCAAGTCGCTCCTAAGGCAACTTGAAGCAAGTAGCCAGCTCAGGCTACAAGACAATTGATGAGTTGGAGGTATTGCAGTTATGGAACTATAGTGAAATATTATACGCAGCGAAAATTAAAGCCGTTTCCCCAGCTCAAAAATATTTCTATATTTACCTACTTTAATTCCCTACCATATGTCCAGCACAACATCATGCAATGCATTCCAGAGCACCCATCATAGTATCAGTTCTCATTCGATCATATAGTCGGTTTAGAGTGTGTGAATGGGATTATGCATCTTCGTATTCAAGGATACACGGCCGCTCCAAAATGATGGGGAATCCAGGCAGCTAGCCTACCCTATTAGCCAAGCATGGGTCTTGTTCTCGGGGGTATTTTTGCATTTCATACGCAGTTCGAGTGCCTATGTACAGAATGGATACATGGAAACTTATGATGAAGAGTAAGTATATCTGAAAACTGGTTCTTAATCTCGTATGGTGTACCTGTTGGAAATTGAACAGCGCAGTGCGTCCAGCCACAATCATTACAAGTAGCTTATTACAGTACGCGTCAAACATGGGCCCATGATGTGCTTTAGATCGGGGTTTGAAGACGCAAAGAAGAGTGCATAGTTAACGTGCGCGCAACTAGTTCTCTATTCACACGACTATTTGGATTGAGTAAAATACCAGGCTCTGTAGAATGCAACTCTGGCCGTCGCTCACACCAGCATCATTACTCACAAAGGTCGATTTGAGTGAACCAGCACTCTTACGCATCATGTACCTTTGGTGAGAACGGGGCTGAAATTGCTTTGTCAGCATTGCGGTACCTTTGCAGACTTGATGCACAACTGGCTTGGCGCTAAAATCACCTGCTACAGGTGGGATTGTGTTAGGTCAAAAGTATCCATAGGTACATAAAGAGTGCAGGGGACTTGTTCTCGCGCGTATTTTAGCGCGCCAGAAATGTATCCTGCATTTTCTCACCATTTGATTAGCGGGAAGATACATGAAACCTGCCGTGGCACCTTCGATGAGATGGCGATCCTTCTGAGCTGAAGGGAAGAAACCTTTTGCTTGCACAGACCGGCTGCACCATTGGATTTCCTACTGAGGACTTGACTAGTATGCACTTTGAGGTGGCGAGGTGTAGGTATTTTACATGGACATGGGCGCACTAAAGAGACATCCATCCATATGATCACTTGGACCGCATACAGTGGGCTGCTATGTGCGGTCAAAAGTGCAGTTTCACGAAGAACGTTCAGAATGTGCTGCTCCAGCTTGAACGACTGCGGTCTGCAGCCTGTAAAATTGACGGGCCCTAATGACACGTCAAAGGTGGAAATACCGAGGTTCTCGTCTATAAACTACATAGTCGATCTGACGTGCCCCAGATACAATAACTCCACGATTAGGATGCTTGAGATGCTCTCCAGTACGCTTGATTACATGTACTCTCCTAGTATTTTCTGAGCAGGTAGGTATGTAGCACAACGTCGTTAATTTGTCTTGGATCCAGCTCTGAGGGGACATGGCAGACTTTCCGCTTGAGCGACCTGGGTTCGCAAAATCGATCCGAACCACACGAAGTAAGACAGATCTGAATATTCTCCACTTCCAACCGCAAACCCAACTCCGTATTCTACCTAGTCCCGTCAGCTGGTCAGCAAGCTCCGGAGCTTGGTGCGCGGCCAATTTACCTCGAACATTTCCGAGCGAGCCTGGCTTCATGTGGTCATGTCATGTCGTCAGAAATCGCATCTATTATATAAGGAGAGCTAATTCTTCCAACTTGTAGCCGCGTACGTCAGACATATCATAGTTCATGTTGATATAGTGCTACTGTGGTTGAGAGCCATTCGTCTTTTATGAAGCCCACGTCGAGCTGTCTGTGTAACACTTCTAAATATCTCTATAGCACTTTAAACATAAACCAGGAAATTTCATCATACTACTTGCGCTAATATTAAAGCCATGCCACCCTCCCTAAAGACCAATCGTGGCTACCTTACTGCAGCCATCGACTGGTTCGTTGGATGGAAACAGGGACTCCCGCGCGAATCGTGCAGCTGGTGTGTCGAGCCCGTCCGTATCCCGATGCGCGACGGCATCGAACTCAGTGGCGACCTTTATGAGCCGGTCGGACTGCCAAAGGGAACGTCGCCATCTGGACTCCTTTTTTTATTCACACCATATGGCCGCGGGATCCTTACCTCATTGTCCTCGGGGCATGCATTTGCCGCTCGAGGTTACCATGTCCTCATTGTTAGTATGCGCGGCACATTTGGTTCTGGCGGCATCTGCATTCCAGGCGAAGATGAGGCAAGCGATGCTGCGGATGTCGTTACTTGGATGAGGCTGCAGTCGTGGTATCCTGGTCGCTTTGGAACTATAGGAGCCTCTTTCTGTGGCTGGGCGCAGTGGTCACTGTTGCGTGACCCTCCAAAAGACTGTGTGGCTTCAGCAATCTCAGTAGGGCCTCATGATTTCTGGGATTGGCACTGGGGATCTGGTGCCTTTCGACTTGAACGTGTAACATGGTCAAATCTACTGACTCACCAAGAAGATGCTGCACTTATTCCTGCTTTGATGCGTCTGTCTTCAATCAAACAGTCCGCCGATGCCGCTCTCGAATCCCTCCCTGTGAGAGACGGTATGGCGACTCTCCTTGGACAAGGAGAGTCATCGGCCATGGATGCTGCTATGAGGCTGTCTCCAGATGACGCTTACTGGCTGAACAAAAGGCAACATGAGGCTTTTGAACGCGTCCGCGTCGACATGCCTATCCTTCTCACCAGCGGATGGTTTGATACTTTTGCTCAGCAGACTTTGAAGCAGTATCAACGGTTACAACAGCGTGGCTGTCAGGTTGAGCTCATCATCGGACCTTGGGATCATGGAGAGGCTGGACAGGTAAAGGTTGGTGGAGACGTCTTTCGTTTCATTGAGAGAACCGTCGGAGGCAAGCAGCCGGAGTCTGACGCTCCGAAACTTCCACGAGCCCGTGTCTTCATTTCTGGATCCGACGAGTGGAAAACGATGGTAGTCTGGCCACAGAAATCTTCACCACTTGTCATGTATCTGGATGACGACAAGGGCATATCGGATCAACCACCGCCAGAGACGGCTAGTTCTACGTCTTTCACCTTTGATCCAGCAAATCCGACTCCAGCTCAAGGCGGACCATTACTGTTCCCTATCTCAGGTCGCATTGATGATAGTGGTTACGCCACCCGCACTGACGTATTGACATTTACCAGTCGCCCAATTGAGGATGATGACGGTTTATTGGTGATGGGCGTACCGTCAGTTCATCTCATGCATTCCTCTGATACTGGGCATGCAGATCTCTGGATCCGGCTGAGCGAGGTCGACCTGAACGGCGCGTCACACAATATCACAGAAGAATACTGCGCGATTGATCCCGAGAGGAACTCTGCAAGCCCAGTGACAGTTGAATTACGTGATTGTGCACATCGGTTCCTCAAAGGAACCAGGATTCGACTCACCATTGCCGGTGGCTCATGGCCGATCTATGCGAGGAATCTGGGTACTGGAGAGAACAGGATGACGAGTGTGGATATGCGTCCAACAAAACACACAATACAACATGCCGCAGGACAATCGCGGCTGATTTTGCCCATTCCACTACAAGTGTAGCGAGTTTAAAACTCTCGAATGAGCATAGAGCAGCCAGAACAAGAGCATCGATATTCCCACCGCTCAGCCTTTATCTAATCGGCGTCCCACTTTGACAAAAAGTACCACGGCAGTTGAGAGATACTCGGGAGGAGACATGTCTCGCCATTAACACAACACACAAGACACATGGCTACATCTTAAACCGAACACTACCAGAAACAAATGTGACATGATGAAATTGCGGATGGTGGTGTGAAAATTACTATTGGCTGCACATCCCAACGGCCATGGCGGTACACATAGAGAGCGCGTAGAGTCCGTAAACACCGTACGACCAACATGCGCATTTCCACTACCGATGCTGCTTGTATGCCTTTGACAAAATTTATGCTGCTTAACAGTAGCAATATGCACAAAACAGCAGCGTTGGCCGTACGGATGCGGAATGCTGGAATGCTGGAATGTTTTGGGCCTCGGCAAGTCCCAGCAATCACCGCCACACCATGCCGTGGAGGTGAAGTATCGTTATCGTTATCGTTATCGTTATCCACTCATCACCGCAGATGATAACCCCCACCTTTGACCGCTGAGCAACTACCTAATCTTTGCTCTTACAGCTCTGCAATTCTCATGGACGAGGGTGAGCAAATATCCAACAGAGCGCTGGCTTTAAGCTACGTGGCCAATTGACTTGCCACATTGTGTACTACTATAGGCACATTACGCGCAATCATCAGGTACCCGTTTGAAGGCAACTTCGTACTTCACCACTAGTAACACTGAATTTTGCATCGCGCATCCCAAAGCGTCAACCCCAGAATAGCCCCTGACCAGTCTGTCTCTGCGAACTCGTACATCCATCTATATATAAAAAGTCGTGCCCTAATTCTACAATATTCTACAATATAAATAATTAGAAACCTTCATTTGTACAGCATTGCACCCAACTTGTGCGTTCAACGCAGATTGCGCCGCATGTCAATTTTCTTCATAAATCGCAATCCATAGGCGCTAGGTTTATTTCACCATTTACATCATCCAACTTCGTGCAAGGGGACATTTTCCCCGCAAGTGGCCTTTACCATCTCCTCCCCATTCTTCAGAATTTTTCTTTCTGAGTGCAACTCTGCATATGAAGCATAAATATGACGAGCACCGAGGGTTTTGACCTGTCTGCGTGGTCCGCACTCTCGAGATCGGGCTTCCTGTTGATGAGATGGAGCCGATGAAGCGATTTCATTGCCAAGGTCTAGAATTCAAATCGGAAGGGTGTGTCGACTTGCCTACTGCGCACATCGAAGCATTTCGGTCCGGCAGTTGTCTTCTAAAACTTACTCTTTTTCTTCATGTCATGCGGCGGCCAAAGCCGCGCACGCCCGATCCATTGGCGTTGTACATCACTTTAAGAGTGTTCGACTTGGACCATACACTGAGTCGTTGCTTGGCAGCGGGTACATGCTTGCTCGTTCTCATCATCTCGTCTCAAACGAGGCAACTGAAAACTGTTCGATTTGCTTTTGTTTCAGATCCAATGGGTAATTGTATTGAACTTGTCAAAGGCAACGCATGGTCCAACTAGATAAGCGAACCGACAAATCATAGCTTGATGCAGAAATCTAGATAGAAATTGATCTGGAACACTATATAACTCATTTCTATCGACTCTCAGTGCTCCATAATGACACGTAGTACAAGTTCTCAATAAGCGGTTACCGAGTTATTGGTGTAGCATGAAATGGCAGCGACCATGGTGTTAAGTAACAAAGTTCTATAGGCATGCTCAAAGCTCCAGTCACATACAGGGAAGTATGAGTTGGACGCTGAAACCTGAAATACACTGACATTCTTTTTATGTAGTCAATTTTGACCACCCTTCAGCTTTTTCGTAAACACCGTCTTGGATAATCTGGTTACACATGACTGAGCCTGCAATAGCTTCTTCCAGGTAAAAAGCAAAATGTCGAAAGATGATAATCCCTGCAGGTGCGGTGATACCAAGGCAAGATATGAAGCTGTAAAAATGAACGTCCCTCGCCGTCACTTATCAGCTAATCCCGACGGCCAGGATGATTGAAGCCAGCATTGAAGCTGTTTATGCCATTCAAGCTTGTAAGAAGCAGCGTCTCAAATGCCCCAAGATTTTTCCATGACAATGTCTCCCGACTAGCTGCGATATCACCATATGTCATAGTCTGGTCCCGATCCAAACACTGCAGGTAAATCTGGCGGGAGGCCCAACAACTAGGGTTAATGGACACTGGTAGCATTTTTATGGCGCTGGTTTCTATACTGTTGTCGTTCCTGAAAGCCCAGTATAAGGTGTACAACTTGAACACGATGATGACTGTTCGACGGATACTCTCAACAAGTATCCACGTCTCCCAATTTGTTCCCATCTGGTGTAACTCCGTGTCTACCCGTCGGAGGAGCCTGAGCCCGTACGACTTGAGTAGAAATTCTTGTTGTTCCGCGAGGATGCGCTGGTAAACATTCCCATAGAAGAATCTGATGATTTAGTAGAGCACAGATGCCTGTAGCCGGGACAGAACCCCAAGGAGTCAGCTCTCAGGGGCGTAAACGAGCAAATTAGGGATCTCAGTAGCAATCACTCCAAATAATGCCGACTGACGACGCTCATTTGCGGACAAAATCACCGTGCAGATACCAAAGGCTGTGCGAAGCGGTACAGGGAGTGTACTGTAGAACAAATGTTTATGAATAAACATTGTTTCCGCTTCATTGTCAAACACGAGCGGGCATTGTAGAATCTGGTCAAAACCCCATCCAAGTTCTAGTCGTCCGGATGCCAGCGGTTCACTGTCTATGAATGGTGTGGCCGAAATTGCCTGACGACTTAGCTGGCCTATCCGCGTCGTGGACTGGCTGTGGCTGGTTTGAAACAGCACGTCGAGCACAGGTTTGCTCTGTCCAATCTCTCTCACATTGGCGGCCAAGTTGATTGAGGTCGACTCGCTGCAATGCTGAAAGGCGATATTGCTCAATTTTGAGAAGTTGGGAGGTGTCTGCGTGTCAATGTCTCAAATATTCAGAGACTAAGTGCATAAGTGTATTGCATCAGATATGACTGTTGGCATGAATTGGTAGAAGAGCGGCAACACTACAATTTGTCTTAGCATGATTTTATTTGAAAGTCGGTTGGGAACAGTAAGCGACGCAAGACATCTTGTTCGCAAAATACATCCGCAAATATACGTACGAGGCACTTTACTGTCAAAACTGCCTAATATCTCCACTTTCGGCGTCAAACTTGTTTTACCTTCTTGGAATCAATATATATCGCTATTCTGCAACTACATCTGCCTGGAGTTGCTTCTTGGAATGATGCTGACCGGAGACTGATAGCTCCAGGAATCATCCCATATTGATTGCGAACCGAAAATTACTCGTTACTGTAGTCAGCCAAGTCCAAATTGGATAGGCGCCTTGTGGAAATACCGCCAATGCAAGCAGATGACGCTAATGCAGGTGGATGATGCCCCGATCTAAAATGGGGATGTACGAGTACTAACGGCTGGGGGTGGCGATGTAGTCAAACAAGACGGGCGATGCTTGCTTACATGAAGTGGTTGGACGCTTCGCATCGCCGGGACCACAGCATCTTTGAACCAAGATTAAGTATAAAGGCCATTTACAGCTCTAGAGTAACTGAAAAGATACATCCCAAGTGATTCTTGCAATAGACTCGGTTCTCCCGAAAGCAGTGCTTTTGACTTATATCCGTCACATATCGCCTATGGTTAAGACACCGAAAAAATTCAAGATGCCTTCTTTTAGAGATAATTTTCCACCAAAGCCTCAGTTCACCGAAAGTTCCATCAGCAGCCAGGCTGGAAAGGTATGCCGTAATACCACACATCTCGAAAAGATAGCCTAGATGACTGTTTATAGGTATTCTTGGTGACTGGATGCTCCAGTGGAGTCGGTAAAGAGCTGGCAAAGATGCTCTATTCTCATAATGCCAAGGTCTACATCACCGCCCGATCCACAAAGAAAGCTGAGGCAGTAATAGCCGCCATCAAGGCTGCGCATCCAGAATCGCGAGGGGAACTCATTTATCTACACCTCGACCTCAACGACCTCTCTTCCGTTAAAACGTCGGCCGACGAATTTCTCAGACTCGAAAACAGATTGGATGTGCTGTGGAACAATGCTGGTGTTATGCTCTCTCCTGATGGAATGAAAACAAAACAAGGCTATGAGGAGCAGCTAGGTGTCAACTGCCTGGCAACTTTCCTCTTCACTCAGCTTCTCACTCCGTTGCTGATAAGCACAGCAAAGACTGCTGCTCCTGGCTTCGTTCGTGTGATTTGGATATCGTCATCGGCGACTCACCGCTCTCCACCTGGGGGCATCGATTTCAACAATCTGGACTACAAACAGGATATTGGCAAATGGGCTAAATACGGGACCAGCAAAGCCGGGCTCTACTACTACGCAACGCAGTATGCAAAACTGCACCGGAATGATGGCATCGTCAGCGTGTCTCTCCACCCAGGCAATTTAAAGACTGAGCTCCAACGCAATGTTTCGTCGCTGCAGATGGTGGTCATCAACATGATGGTGTATCCGCCGATCAACGGCGCTTATACTGAGCTGTTTGCTGGTCTCTCTCCAGAAGTGACCTTGGAGAAGAGTGGTGCTTGGATCCAGCCGTGGGGTCGCTTCGGCAGTCAGAGGCCTGACTTGGTCGAAGGCTCAAAGTCCAAAGCTGAGGGTGGCACTGGTATCGCAGAGAGATTTTGGGATTGGTCAGAAGAGCAAGTCAAGCCATTTTTGTGAGGCTGCAGATACGTTACGCGAGATAATTTACCAACATACAGGATCAGCGGTTATACAGTCATCTATTAATGCCATATTACAACTGAGCTAGGAAAACATTGCTAATGCTTTAATACTTTAAATCCAAGGAGCGCATCCAAAAGGTGATCGAGTCTCTATACAGTCAAGTGCAACCTAAATATTCTCACAAGTCGTGCCACCCCGTCATTTGCGGTGACCAAGTGATTATGAAACATCGAAAACAAGTGGCTCATCTCCCCTTTGCGCCCTCCAATAGTTTGTCGCTGCCATGGCCTCCCAGCAGCCTTTGAGCAGAAACCCCCATTTCTTCAAGAAACCCTCAGTCATTTCCCAGCCGCTGGCATCCCACGGATTTCCCCAGACCAATACTCCATTCATCTCAATCGTGTTTCTTCCTTGTCCAGGATTCCCCAACATGTCGCCACATATGTCTTCTGCGCGAAACGTGTGCATGGTACGAATGGCGTTGTCACGCATAGTCGCGTCAGGAAGAAGATCGATCCACGTGTCATGTGGCACTGATTGCTGGAGCGCCGTTGGCATCAGTGAAGGTGGTGGTGCTGGGGGCGGACTGAAAAAAGGTATCGATTGCAGAGCATCTGTAATGTCGCATTCGGGTGGGATGAGATGTGTTACTGCAAGAATAGTCATGTTTGTCAAGGTGCAGCGAAAAGCATTGAACTGCACGAGTGGAATGAGATGATCGGAGGATAGTGGTAACACTGTACTCCCGTCGAGGCGAAATGGCGCATATGAAGGAGCAGTCACAATCATGCATTCCAAGGAGCTATTAGAAGCGTGGCGTGTGCGATGAATACATTGCCATGCGACACCTAGACTCTCATATGTATGTGTTTGCTCGACTGCCGAAGGGAATGGGGGATGGCGAGGTCCGATTCGAGCAGCCTGCTGAGATGACTTGTCTTGCAGGAGTTTCCTCTTTCCTGCAGTTGATTGTGAGCTAGAACAGCTATAAGCAATCGCAAGATAGAATGATCACCAACTGTATGATCGAGAATTCAGACGATACTGCCTTTTGCGCCCGGCTTCCCTGTCCTTTAAGCCAGTCCAGTTGTCGTCTTCATCCCTTGCCTAACCACATTGGTTCATTAGACGACGGTAGGGCATTCCTGGATGAAGTTGCTATTACCTCAGCAAGTTGGTGCATAACGGTCAGTTCAATTCGGGATTGCATTTCTCCTGGCGTTTTTGTCGATGGTGAGCAAGGGGCTCTGATTAGTAGGTAGAGTTGGAAGTAGATAAGATGGAAGTTACACGATCTGACTTGCCCTGACTTGCCGATTAGGTCGCGGTGTCTCCTTGTCGCCACGTGATGCCGGTGTTCCCAATCGTCAGTCATCCGCACCTGATCTCGCAAGTACCCGCGAGTCGTCATCGCTCTACTCTGTGCCTTAGTACCTAGGTACCTGCTACCTCAAAATACATTTGGCGGGTTCCAACCTACAAGGACGTGTTCTACGAGAAAAAAAAAAGCAATACAAAATAATCTAAGATAACAGCTTTAATAATAAATTTTAATACATAAATTCGTTGTAAGTATCTGGGCCAACACTATCCAGCAGGTAAAGACGGCGCAAACACGATACGTTTATTCTACTCCGCAAGCTTAAATACTAATCGAGCTCACATTGTCATAAACAACGAGTAAACCGTCATCATAAATTTAGAAGATGTACCGCCAAAAAATAATTGATAAATCTTGTGAATCCCTTGCCTGTGAATATGAGGACTTGTACCATGGTTGTGGGCAATATTAAGGAATGCTTCTTTCGGATATGCTCAAGTGTATTGGAGATAATGGAACAATGACCTTTCGAGTATATTTCAATTATACTCCCATTTTTACAATATCATCCACTCCAAAGACACAGTTCAAACGTATAGCCGGCCCGGATGTAAGTGCGGTTATACGGCAGTAATCGCCGAATCTGCCACTTGCGTTCCCGGACATTATGAGCTGTCGTGGCCGAGGCTAAACCTTCTTTCGTTTACAGCGTCACTTCATTGGGCAACAAAGTAAATGACATTACAATCGCTCCAAGGATTATTGTAGTTGTTCATTTGCGCACCAATCCCATAGCTATGCCGGCTCTTCGCTCGAGGTCAAAGTTATCGCGCTGGTTGGATAGTATTCGACAGAACATCAAGGATCTCAGAATCAGAGATTGCAATATTTATTTGGTAAATAGCTTAGCACAAGTCCCGGGCGTGGAGATTGCTATCTCCGTCCGTTGAAAAGAATACTCCCGAGATTCTGCGACCGAACGAGTATAAACTAGGATGGGCTGGCCATGAGATTTATGGCCATCAGATGCTCTTTTTAATGACAAACCCTTCATTTCCTCCACTGTTCATCAGCCGTAAAGCGTATTACTCGAATCTTTCACAATGACTCGAAGCAAAATAATCTTCATTACCGGCGCGTCAGGCTATATCGGTTCCAAGATCACCGAGCTGGCCATTGCAGACGGCTTCATCGTTCGAGGACTGTCTCGGTCCACAACAAACGACGACAAGCTTCGTGCCATTGGTGCCGAGCCTGTACGCGGTTCCATTGACTCCTATGACGTGCTGACTGTCGAAAGTGCCAAGGCCGACATTGTCATGCATTTAGTCGACACTTGGGGGGCGCACTTTAACGAGGACTATTCCGCTGTCGTGCGAGACAATAGCCTTGCTATTGATGCCATCGTCAAAGGCATTCAGGGCACAATGAAACAGCTCATCGTAGCATCGGGCTCCGCGATAGTCAAGCCAGATCCGGAGCATAAGGAGACTGATGAGACGAGTCCACTCAATATCGACGGGATCAATCGCCGATACGAGTGCGAGCAATACGCCTTCGATCAAGAAAGCAAAGGCGTTCGTATTTATTCGATTCGCTTGGCACCTTATGTTTATGGCCACGGTGGCAGTGGTATTGCGCTCTTTATGCACCGGGCCCTGCAGAGGGGCACAAGCGTATACGTTGGCGATGGATCGAGGCGAACCTCTACCGTCCACGTCAACGACGCGGCACGCCTATTCCTGCTGGTCGCTAAACAAGTTCCCTCAAGCAGTATATACAACTGCACGTCCGACAACTACGTGACGGTGGGCGACTTGGCAAAGGCGATGGCCGAGGCGCTTGGAATTCCGGCCAAGTCCGTGACAGAAGAGGAAGCCATTGCACAGCTGGGACACATGTTCGGCAAATTCATCAGTCTTGAGAATATAGCATCCAGTGCAAAAGCAGTGAGGGAGTTGGGCTGGAAGCCAGAGGAAGTTGGAGTACTTGAGGACATAGCTGTTGGCTCCTACGTCGCTGTTGCTGAGAGCCTCAAGAGCGGTTCCTCGTAGAAGAAGGGTTGGCTCCTGGCCTTGGCCTTGATCCCAGCAACTCTGGTTCGAAAGACATAATAAACGTGATAATTAAAAGATTTTAATTCATAATATATCGAGTCCCACGCTATATTCGACAATTACAAGACAGTTGCTGCTGAATCCTCCGCCCTCCTTCTCCGACCTGGCTTATTTTTCGTACACCTATAGAGAGTAGAACCCAGGCGGAACTAATTTACAAAAGTTCACAGAAGGGGTCCAATAGCCGGTCAAGTGGCACGCCATCAGATGCCTTGGAGGCTGTTGTCCACTATGGATTGTCATTGCAACCACTGTGATATGAAGCGTTCTTACTGCCGCTCACTCCACTAACGACAGTCAGTATTACTGCATATCATCAGCGTCGAAGAGCATTCGCTAGAATGTAAGCGTCATATACTACTCCGAACCGAGCTAGTCGCCCTTGATAAATGCCAGTTCATCTGGGCGACTTAGGTTTGCGCGTAGCCGTAATCCTCGCTCCTCCAGACTCCGGCGTCCACCAGCGCCACTAATATCGACTTCCTCTGCCTCGAAGCCCCTCAGTTGTGCAAATAGCAGGGGCAGTACTTCGGTTTTCCATACTTCCACTCCGCTCCGCCGCGTAACGACAATCGCTGCAATGACTAGGACAAATGACAGCACGGCGAGGGCAACAGGCAGCGCCAACCAGCGCCAGCTGACGTGAATAAATGTCTTTTCTACCAACGTCTGGCCGGCATGTGCCGTGCCGTTGAGACTCGCTCGGATAGGCTCCGTCATACTAGAGGCCAGTCTGTTCATAGCCGCGTCTATATCTACTTCAACCCCTAAACGTGAGCCCACTGGCGGTGCCTCAGGCGCATTGTCGAGATACACCAAGGCATTCGAACTCATTGTGTTGATGCCTTCACTGAAGAACCCGGTGGAGAATAATACTGACAGGTAACTATTGAGGTTTTCGTAGTCGATGGCTTGGAATGAGTAGTTGCTTATGGCACTCGAGGTGTTGCTATACAGAGTGTCGTAGAATGGGGCTGTACTCCCAAACAAGAGGGGGTCTTCTTCAGGCGCCGTCACATTTATCACACCATTCGTGACATTGATAAAGGGATACGTCTTTGCGCAGAGGCTAAGCGAACAGGACCATCCCGCGACAGGTAGATCTCTCACATCGTCCAAGCTGATTGAAGCGGGCATTGCCAGTGGCTGAACTGCTTCAAAGCTGACGAGAGTCGCAGGAGCGTCAGTCGCCTCCGAGCCACCAAATAAAGCGCTGGCATTCCATTGTGTGCCGAATATCCCCTGTTCATATCTCATCGTCGCAAATACGGTCTGAAGAGTCTGGTTGTTTGGCGTTTTGAATTGACACTGGGATACGGTGGGACCCTCGGTCTCCAGGAAAGCGACAAAATCTCCATTGGAGCAATCTCTGGTTATTTTGGACGTGATGTTTTGGCACGAAGAGCAGACTCCAAGCGTGCGGATGTCGGTCCATGGAAGGGCAGGTTAGGCTCGGTTGAATGTTCTCTACGTATATACCCTGCATGATGGCTGCAGTCATTGCCGGATCAATATTTCCTACTGCAAATGGGTCAGGATTTTGTTTTACGACCAAGTAACTTACTTACACAACGCAAAGCTCGAAACGGCACGGTAGTTGGATGGCGTGTAATTGCGAGATGCACTGAAAGAGGATACCAGCTCTGAATCTACCACGAGCCTGGAAGGAAAGCTAAAGACTAGCTGCACAAATGGATCCATCAGTAACCCTGCAATGGTTATCAGCGCTGCAAAGCAAGCAAGGAGGGAATGTCTATGTCGGCGTAGAATCAAGACAAATCCGCCGTAGGGTCCCCGGCTTGCTCTATCAAAGAGACTGAGATCGGCGAGACGCCTGGGCTGGCCATTGAAGTGAAGCCATTTCAGTTGTCCTAGGACCTCGGTGATTGCCAGCATGAATGATGACTTTGAAATCGTAGCTAAAAACGAGATTACGGCAGTTGGTGAGATTACCAGGCTCCACTGATCCAACTGTTTCCCGTCTTCGTACTTGAGAACGATTATGATGGCAGCCAAACAGACTAAGCTGAAGAGGCATGCAACAATCTCCCACAGCCACAATTTGGCAAAGACATCATTGACCCCCAGACGCGCATGATGATTTCCCCGACGGTCCTTTTCCTCTGTGTGCGGTAACTCAGTATCCCGTGGTGTTGCGACACCGACGACATCTGGCTCTCGAGGTACTGGTTGGTAATTGTCCGCCTTTTGATCCTCTACTCGTTCTGGAAATGTCGGTTTGTACATTGTAAGAGTTTTCGCTCCAATAGACAAGGTTTCAAAATGTCACTGTAGTTGTGGTTGAAGCAGTGAAAGAGACAGAAACGGATTAGAGGGGCCACCATCACGCTATATAGCCTGTCGCCGTTTATCTGCGGGCGCATTTGGTTGCCATAAACAAGGGGAGTATGTATGATTAGGTTACGGTCAGATTTGCCTGATCAGGCCCAGATACAATTTGATGCGGCGACTTCAGTATTGGTACAAGGGCGGACTTTACGAAATACTGGAGCTATTGGTGGACTGATCCAGCAAAGGCAGTCAGGTATTCACGAGATTCTCCACTGAGCGTACGTACTCTACCAATAGAGTGTTACAATAGCTTATATCAGGGTTGTATAAGTCTTACATTTAAATCTTACATTCCAATACTTGCGAGGTTTTGGGTACATGACTTCAATATAATGGGTAGTGACATCAGAGGCAGGGGCGCAGCCTTCTTCTGATCTAGGTACATGTAGGTAGCTATTGCAGCTTTACTGATCCTCTTCATAATAATTATAACCTCCATAACAGTAACATACACCACATAGTCCATCCTATGACTTGGTTTTGTTGTTGAAATCGAGCAATATGTGTGTGCACGTTGGTCGATGGACCACGAGACAACGCCTCAGTCTGACTGCAGTCTTGTTTATGCAAGATCTCGCGCGAAAATTCCAAATTTAGACAACCCGCGTCTAACCTAGCACAGCCATTGGCGGAGAGTGGCAGCAGTGCTTTTGAACCATTCCTGAAAAAGAAGGTCTCGGTTTTCGCTCTCGGTTTTCGCTTCAAGATGGAACCACAGCAGACATATTATATCGGCGTCCGAGCGCATCTGACACAATGCACTGCGATATTTCGCCTCCTCTGCTGGGTTACAGCTAGATTGACAAGACTGCGGATGGCCAATCTAGATATGCTAACGGGAACTTCCGAGAGGTATTGGGTGAAGTTACCAAGTTCTCGAAAAGTTGCGGCATTTCCCGTACCCACACAACGGAGCTGTACGAGCAGTAACCAGGAGCTCTAGCATAGCAATTCCATGCTTTTGTTTTAGCTCCATGAATGCGTATGCCACCTCCGGAGAGCTTTTCCTGAATGTTCTTGTAGACAACTTTACAATTGTACAAGATTCATCTAAATTTTACGCGGATCAACGTGGTACAGGGTAGCGTGTGACGATATGGACCTGGTCTAATACATAGACTGTGAGCTATGCCGCAGCAATTTGACGTCAGCGACCAACGGTGGATCGTCACTCAAAAGCAACGACGTAATTGCAGATAGATGCACCGATTTCCCAACTATCTGGGGTCGAGTCGCGAAGTGTGCGCGGTTTGGTATAATGTGGGGAGGGTCATGAGGTTCCAATGCACTACTTAGTAGGACACATGTTCACCGAGGCTGGGCAAGTACAATACAAGTATCTCTCCTTGTGCACGCATGCTCAGGATCCAGCAAATGGCGTCAACAAGGCTTCTTGCATCCCCTCGATCGAGTGATATATCAGGGGTCCATCAGGTACTTGCCAAAGTCTTGAGCGTGACTCTATTCATTGTTTGCAAGGTCCGTAGCAGTGAGCACGTGCTGACTGATATCTGCCGGCTCAACACCGGCTGATCTGCCACAATGCGCCACATCGCATTCCCCGCTTGCCCGCCTCCAATTGGCCAGGCTCGGTCGCTTATCTGGTCGCTTCGATAATGATCGATCTAACCTCAAATGGGCAATCGTCACAATGAGAGGCCTGGAACTCGGGTTTTGGAATTGACAACAACCAAAGTCGGCATTGGATCAAGTCAAGTGTTAGTAAAAATGCCCAGGCAAATGTGAGATAAATCTTTCATGATCTGCTGCAGAGCAATAAGTGGTTAGACTGTTGTGTCCCTTTTGTTTCAGCTACAGCATATAAATTCCCACGGCAGTGCGGCAGAGGCAGCCTGTCGACCAGCTTGTGCGCTGCCAAATGTAATAGAAGATATTATGAGGAAGCTCATTGATCTATTCTAAGCCTCAGCTTTACTTTATCCAGAATTCCTGTCTCCTTGAACTCCCGGCATTAAACACGACTCAGTTCAAGTTCCGACTGCCACGTCAACCCTTTCTGCATGGGAAGTGTGTTGACTCCCAGTGTAAGGACAAAGATGAGCTTGTCTCAGCCACTGATGGATCTACAGTGACGACCAGTTTGGACTATTGTATTCAGAGAGTATTATCACGAGACCTGAAACATAATAGGTTTGTGATACATTCTTACCTCAAGGGAACGAACGGATCGAAACATTTTATGTTGGATTCCAAAGGAACAGGCATATGGGCCAATGGCCTGAAGTATATCGCAAGCAGTATTGAGGTGCTTCAGACCTGCGTCAGGAGTGGCGCCTTGCATCTGTTCAAAGTAGGCAAACATCATCGGTACATAGATCATGCTGCAGTACTCACTTTCATCTGCAGAGGAAGAGGACAGCAAAGCATTTGGATTATTCCCTCGCGCCTTTTTGTCCCAAAGACGCTTGTGACATGAGTCGTGAAGGGACATGTGATAGCTCTCCAGAGCGGCAAGATACCAATGAAGTGCATCCACAGCAGTAACATTATTATTACTTGCGACGGCATAATAGACGAGAGCCGCCGCACGAATGGAGAATTTGACGGAGGGTGACGTCGTCGTGGCCATGATGTTGGGTAGCTCAAACACCCATGAGCGCTGAGGGCGCCTGGAGCTTGTAATGAAGTCGACAAATACGCCCACAAGGTAGTATTCATTATTGCAAATATCATCCAACCAAGGATGGGGTAGAAACTGCTCTTGCGCGTTGGCCATACTGAGCAGAGCGTGATCAAGATCTGACTGTGTGGTGGAGTCGTTTGGGCCATGGTCAAGGAAGACGGTCTCTTCCAGATATTCTGGCGTTTCTAGAAAAGGGATTGCTGGGGATTCAGTCGCAGGTGACACGGCATTTAAAAAAGATCCGTTGGTAGTGGACGCGCAAGGCGAAGGATGCTCGTTAACTGATCGAACTGGGGGTCAGTCATCCGGGATTTCAATGCTCTCCTGAATATTGGTTGGCGTAGGGTATTTTGCTCTGCATTTTATAGCTTTGGCGCGTCGACCACTCTCGCGTTTCAATATCTTACTGGTCATGTCTAGGAATACGGCACCACGTATGGGCCCAGAGCAAGAGAGACCCAAGCGTGAGCATTGTTTGCAGCGAGGGAGGCGCTCATCACACTGTTGTAGAGAGGCATGTGTCAATCTTGCATGCATTCACATGTAGATTGGTAAAAAGTGGAAGAATGCAGTGGTGGGAAGGATTCCTATCATGTATAGGAATTGGTAGGATGTAATATGGTCACAGCATATAGAGAGTCCTGTCAGTCCTCAATTAAAAAAACCAAGACTTACTTTGACGTGCCGTTGTAAGCATTGCTTGCAGCCTCTGCTGCGAGCTGGACGTGAGTTTTGCGGCATGCCGCCTCGTGCGGACAGCCAGCGTTGTCGGGAGAATAGCTAAATTGTGACCTGTGGACTTGTCGTTGGTGCTCTTCTTTTTTGTCTGTGTGGATGGGAAAAGGAGACGAAAAAGGATCAGAATTGACTGAGAGGGCTCTGCTGCAGCGTGGTCGGCGAGGAGGGGGGCCCTTGAAATTGCCGACGCCGGCCGCGTAACAGCTTTGAGCGTCGGCGACAAACTAACTGTATGGTCTGGTTATAGCCCATCTGCCAACTCTAGAGCCGTTAGGATGGCCGGCTTCCCCATGGGGCTCATATCGGCGCTACAGAGTAAATCTCTTGGCCTGGTTGTGTTCTCGTAGCTAGCAGGTCCGCGGATTCGTACAAACACAAGCAATATCGTGACTACAAGGCGCCCACTATTACGTGACCCCTGTTCGTCTCCGAATTGTAGTACATCACCCTTGGTAGTCATACTAATAGTAAAAATACCTGCGGAATCCATTGATCGAGCCATTTTGAGAACCTGTTCATTCTCCAAGCTGTTTTGTGCATCAATTTCTGCACTAAGAGATGGCAGAGTTCTAGCAATCGATTGAGGTTATTATGGAATAATCGCCCTCACATCTATCTTGTAGATCTTGATGAGTCGTCAAACAACGGGCAAGCCTTCAATCTCTGATACTTCGTAGGATCCAAGGAGTCAATGTGATTGAAGGCATTGGCTTCCTAATATCACATCAGCTTCGACTACGGGAATGTGTTTAACGATGCTGGTAGTTATTGCCGCGGCACCGCTTTTACCCGGGATTCTGACGACAAAGACTGTCTTATGTGAATAGTCAAGTCTACATTTTCGAGGTATTAATGGGATCCGCCCTATCACAGCATTAGACAGGCACCGAATGCTAGCTCTGTCTTCCCTTTATTATTTCAGCGAACCGCCGCGGCTAGCAAACCAAGCTTCCAACTCTGGAATCCCCACCGCTGCGGATAACAGCATCTTTCCAAACAGGTCGACATCACCGGCCTTTGCTTCACTTAGCATCACGGTGAATTGCCCGTCAATGATGAGGAAATGATTCCTCTGCCGCCAAGCGTTTCTGAAATCCAACGCTGTCTCTGCCTGCCATAGATGCTCCGACACCATCCACGAGTGGCACAGGCCCAGCCGTCCATCGCACTGGTACAGGTTCTGGCTGCCGGTGAGCACGCGATACGCCTGTAGAAAGAAGAAGGTAAATAGGAGCGTCCGCCGTGCCGATTCCTGGAAGATCCAGTCCTTCCACAGATCCGAGAGCGTGGCCAGACAGCACTCGGAGAAACGGTCTGAACAGTTTCCCTCGGTGTCGAAGATGACGTGCGCAAGGAGGCCGATTGCAGAGGTCTCGAGAATTGGAATGGTTCGCTCGCCTGATGCCCGAGCGCTGATGTTTCCATCAAAGAGGCGGATAATATGGTAGAGGAGTAGAGCTTGAGTGTGAGCAAGGCTGTCCATGGGCGTCGTTGGTAAAGGCTCGCACAACAAATCCTGCACTCGAGACTCGATGCAACGAAGAATAACAGGTGCATTGGCTTGATTCTTTGCCAAATAAAGTGCACAAGAAGAAAGAGCATCTATTTTTTTTTTTTTTAAATCTTGTTAGTTGCAATATATCCGATAACAGGACAGAGAGATGCTTTTGTACCTTGCATCGAACGGGGCATGCTATCGGCATAGAGCAGCGGATGCGACCATGGTGTCTGCATCTCCATCACCATAGTCCTGGGAGCTTTCTGGATTTGATCCAAAGAGAACTGCAGTCTTCTCGCGACAATCTCTGTCAGTCGATCATGGAGTCCCTTGGTGGCTGGCGCCGTTAGCATGGACGGTCGCGGCACAGCGTCGTAGTCCCGACTCTCATCACTGTAGTTAAGAGTAGCAAGGTCGGCGAGAAATTGATGCATGTTGTGCTGGCTGGACTCTTCATCTACGTTTGCAATAGGTCCAAATTGACAGGCCATTGGCTTGGCACCCTCCGTGCAGTCATCGCCCAAGCCGCCATCAGGAACAGCCACGTCCTGCAACGGCGCAGGCTCCAATGCAACACGACTGGGAGACTTGGCCTTGGTTCGCGGCGTACGTGACGGATACTCGCACTGGATTTGTCGCTGCGAGCACCTCAAACACGCCGGGACGGCAAAGTCGCAGCGGCGCTTGGCTTTGATGCATGACGCGCAGCTCTTCTTTCGGGGCGGTGGGTTGTAACGCTCACGAGCCGTAAAGGACATGGTTGGTCAAGGCTCTCGAGAGCATATCGTGTCTCTGGGCCACAACTTTCGCCGGAATCCCGCCGCCAGCTGATTCATGCGTCCAGATGAACAGTCGTGTGAGTATGGAGCAGAAGGTTGTGAGTGTAAAGAGCAAGATTAAAGTTGGGAGCTTCTGCCTGGTGATGTAAAGTGCACGGGCTCGGCGGAATTCCGCCGCCTGCTACGAATCAACTACCAGCTTTCGTAACCGGCGGAGCTCCGCCCACCAGCTACTAACTCCTCTACGAACGACGATTCATAAGCTAATCTCAGGAAAACTCGCAGCGGAGACATCTAGGGATATTTTTTGATCATGACAGTCGTTCAGATAATACTCTTTGCAATAAATATATTAGGCAGCGTGCGTCTCGCTCAGAAGACTGATATAGGCTGAGTTCAACACAACGACTACTCATTTACTGAAACAAAGCAAAGTTTATACCTCTTAAATTTCTTATACGACTGCGTCAGAATGTCTCAACCAAAAGTCTTCGTTTGCGGTGTCACTGGCACACAAGGCGGCGCCGTTGCTCGCAAGCTTCTCTCTGAGAACGTGGCAGTAACCGCCATCGCCCGTGATCTCTCTTCGCCTCAAGCACAATCTATCGAGGCCCTTGGCGCCAAGCTCTTCCCTGGAAACTTCGATGACACATCTACTCTTGAACGAGCCTTGGCTGGCTGCACTGCTGCCTTTCTCAACTTCAGTCCTGACTTCAATGACTGGACCGCTGAGCTGCGCTGGGCAAAATCCATCATCGCAGCTGCACAGAATGCAGGGGTAAAACACATCTTATACTCTAGTGGATTTGCTGTGAACGCCCCCGAGAGACTCGAACATTGGGACCCAGACAGCGTCATGGCTATAGTGCTGCTCTCGAAACAGAGCATCGAGAATGAAGTGCGTGGTGCGGGCTTCAACTACTGGACCATACTGCGGCCAGGCAACTTCATGGCAAACTACCTGCCGCCGAAAGTCATCATGTATGGCGATCTTCCGCGGTCAGGAATTTGGCACACTGCTCTGCTCAAGGAGACCACACTGCCCATGGTCGACGAGGACACCATTGGCCACTTCACGTCTGCGGCAATTCTTAACCCTACTAAATTTACCGGCCAAGAGATTGAGCTTGCCGACGAGCTCCTTCGCCCTGAACAGATTCTTGAAAGACTCTCAGCCACCGCTGGACGACGACTGAAGGCCGAGTATATGTCAGATGCCTCTATTGAGGAGAAAAAAAGCAACCCTTTCATTCTCGGACAGTTTGCTATGCGTGACATGGTTCAATTCGTCGACATGGAGAAGGTGCAGAGCTGGGAGGTTCCATTGAGCTCATTCAATGCATATCTCGAGAGAAACAAAGAGTATGTCAAGAAGACTTATCAGCAGGCGGCATAAAGCAAAACGATTATTTGTACAAGTGACCTAAGAGTGTTGTTCTTCATAGAGATAATAAAGAGTATAGCTATTCAGCGAGACAGAATTGTCATAAGATAACAACATTACCCCAAAATGAATCTCTCAAGCCACAAGCAGTTCAGCAAGAGTTAAGCAAATATATGCTAGCAATGAGCCATGTATATATTACTAATACAGAAGGAATATATCGTCTATGGTGCGGGGTACATTATGTTTTTACAACTTTACTTATTCACACATAAATTGCCGCATATGTTGAAAGCAGCTCCGCTCTTTATATAACTCTACTTTTTACCAAAAGTAAGAAATGGAGAACTGCGTGATAGAGGGTAGCAAGGTTATTCCGCACTGGTTGCCAGGCGGAGATTTATTCTGGTACCAACTCAAACTACCTGGAGGTGGTCATGATTTTGTGCTTGTCAATGCTGTCAAGGCCACTCGCCAAGGGGGCTTTGCCGAGGATACTCTAGCTCAAGAGGTAGAGCGTTCAACGGGCCAGTCGGTCAACTTGAAGTCTCTAACTGAAAGTGACATGGAATGGAACAGCTCTCTCGACAATGGAAATTTGAAGGGAAGGTTTTTAAATACAGAGGTTGCTTCCCCATATGCGGCCAGCGAAGTATCAATTCGATTTCTCAACAGATGCAGTCGCCCACTAACGATAGAGTGGCTTGATCACTCGTGCGAGCCAGCCTCGCGAGGTGTTATTGAAGTGGGGAAAACCGGGCACTTCACAACTTGGAGTGGGCACATATGGAGAATACATGTCAAAGAAGATTCAGATTCAAAGGTTCTATACGCTGCTCCAAAAGAAGAAGACAAAGATGCCGTTGTTATCGACGATGATCTTCTGCGTGGTGGGGATGACGTGCGCAAATCCAAGAATGACGCGGGATTTCCCCGAATCTCTATACGAAATGGAACAGTTTGGTCTACTAATGAGAATGGAGATGAGCAAATCCTTGCTAGCAACGATGGCGAAACTGACCTATATGACGAAGAAAGAATATACATCTCTCCCGACTGGCAATTCGCTGTTATATGGCAGTATACGCCTGAACAAGACTACAGGATGCACCTGGTTGAGTCTTCACCTGCTGAACAGCTCCAGCCGAAAATGAAGTCTATTCAGTATCTCAAACCTGGTCATCAAGTCAGACTTGATAGACCTCGTCTATTCGACCTAAGCCAGCTCAAAGAAATCCCAACAGACGATGCTCTGTTCCGCAATCCATACGCGCTGACAAATGTCGGTTGGAATAAGAGCGGAGAAGAGTATAGATTCATTTTCAACGAGAGAGGTCATCAACACTTGCGAGTTATCGGAATCTCTATGCATGGCCGCGTTCGAGTCTTGGTAGAAGAAAGTAGCAAAACATTCATCGACTACTCCACCAAATTGTATCGTCATTTGACCTCAGACACGGAGGAGATCATATGGGCCAGCGAGCGTGATGGCTGGAATCATTTGTATCTCTACGATTTATCTCAGGGTGTTTTGAAGAACCAAATCACGATAGGCAACTGGCTCGTCAAGGCTGTCAGTAGAGTAGATGAGAAGACGCGCCAGATTTGGTTCTCCGGCTATGGTATGGTCAAAGGCCAAGATCCGTATTATGCTCAGCTTGCAAGGATCAACTTTGATGGTTCAGGGCTCACAATGCTTACCGATGGCAACGGAACTCATTCCTGGAAGTGGTCTCCAGATTATCGCTATTTGATCGATACGTGGTCAAGAGTCAATTGTCCCCCAGAAGTTGTGTTGCGGGATGGAAATACTGGCGCCAAAATCCTGACTCTCCAGGAAAGCCAACTCGCCCGCCTTGTTGACTCTCAATGGAATGCTCCGGAGATATTTTCTACCCCAGGTCGTGATGGAGTCACTATGATACATGGCATTATCATTAGACCTGCAGATTTTGACGCCAACAATAAATATCCAATCCTCGAAGAGCTATATGCTGGACCACAGGGTTACTATACACCTAAAGTGTTTTCGAATTACTCTTGGTATCGCGGCTGGGCTGACCGAGGCTATGTCGTTGTAAAACTCGACGGCATGGGGACAAATTGGCGATCGAAAGCATTTCACGACGTCTGCTACAAAAATCTTCACGACGCAGGGTTTCCTGACCGCATCAAGTGGATCAGAGAGGCAGCGGCAACGCGTCCATGGATGGACCTTGAGCGCGTTGGTATTATGGGCACGTCTGCTGGCGGCCAAAGTGCGGGTGCTGCACTGGTCCATCACGGAGACTTCTATAAAGCGGCAGCAGCAGACTCTGGATGTCACGATAACCGCATGGATAAGATTTGGTGGAACGAGCAGTGGATGGGCTGGCCCGTTGATAAATCGTACGAGGACGCGAGTAACGTCTGCAACGCTGAGAAGTTGCGAGGGAAACTTATGCTTATTGTTGGGGATCAAGATGACAATGTAGATCCGTCATCGACGTTTCGATTTGCAAATGCTTTAAACAAAGCAGAGAAAATATATGAGATGCTCCTCATACCGGGCGGCAAGCACGGCTGTGGACATGGAAAATATGGTCAAATGCGGCAGGCTGACTTTTTTCAACGCCATCTCCAAAAGAAGTAGTAATTCTTATGTATATAGCTTCGACTCGACTATATTCTTACCAATCCGTATCTGATAATTCAGAATCTATCACTCTTGATGCAGCCAGAAATGTATAAAACGAGAAAAAACGGTTGCAAAACCACCACCACGACTTTGGAAAAACCCTTTTTAGTGACGACTGCATTGACTCGGCAATTGAGATTGTAGTGTGCCCGGGAGATACATCTCCATTTCTACAACCCTGGCTTTGTAGGGCCGCAACAAGAGCTCTTTATTCCAACGCATGGGATGACGTGGAAGTAATAGAGAATGCCCTGGCGAAGCTGAACTCAAGATGGAAAGCCTGGGGTTTGTTAAACAAGGCTTTCTTAATTATCAAAAGAGTAACTGACAAAACACCCCGTAGGCATATACGTTCAGCTTCTCGCTATAAGCAAAGCAATAGAGACAATACAGGTGAAATCCATCGATAAAAATACTGACGGCTTTGGATGGGTCTGATGTGGGAACTCGTTTCAAAAGCTTCTAACATACAGCACTCGGGTGTGCTCTTACATATATAACAGAATGCTCTGATATCTTGCTGCGTGTATAATGGGAAACAATGGAAGTTAGGTATGCCTAACTTTACTAACCCTACTTGAGTTGTTACCCCGAAATATGACGTATTGCCAGATTTTCCCCAGCCAGCCCTAATGCTGTATTTTCGGATCTTACCGCAATTCTTTACCCACTCACTTGTCCCATTGGTTATTTGTTAAAGTAGCCCGGAACGTTCCAGTTTCTCCTGTAATTCATTACTGTCAGACTTTGATGGGTTATCTACTCCCACGTATGTGTAATAAATCTCTCATAAAATGCATAAATAATAGCCCGCAACAAGACTAACTGGACATCTATATTTTAGGTGCATGTATGCGTATACAAGTAAATTGAAGCGATCTTACCAGTACCGTGGATGAGCTGGCTCGTCGTCTAATGCTGAAAAGGTGTTATACGGACCTCTGCATTGCATTCACGGAGGCTTCTTTTTTATTCTTTCTTGGCATGACATGGGTCACAACACTTGTATGGTTAAGTGTGAGCTGACTGTGCCGAACCTAACTTTGAAGTGGCGCGATGAAGGCCAGCGTGAGCAAGCTGGTCGCAGGTGATCGTATAAACCTTATGGCCTCCACAGACGTACTGTCAATTCCCACTTGTTATTTACCGGTACAAAAATTGCCGAACGCACTCTGAGTCCAAAATCAATGATGGTACAGGTTGAAGATTGCAGGACTAGATTCCTCCACGATTGTCTTTTGACCGTTTGACCCGTCAACCGCCTTTGTGAGTTCATCAATAAATGCAATTGAACCACCGTCCCAGTTGATTCCGCGCTGCACGAAATCGATATTGAACAAAGGAGTACAAACAGCGAGAGAGGTGAGCCCTGTCGCAAACCTAGCTGTGATTAATATTTTGTCTACTAAGTGGATCTATAATCTTAGGTCACTATCACTCTAATAATAGTCAAGACGTCTGTCTCATCAGCAGCTAGTATCCGCTTCAGACAAATATATTTACCGAAGGCATTAAAATATCACCTGTTAAACACTAAAGCGGCTGAGGACAAACGAAGATGTGATAGCCAGTCATGGGACCAGCATAGGTTACAGAAGTATATAGAGCCAGAATGTACTCACTTTATCTCACTGGTTCAACTCAGTCAGAAGTAAGTCTGCTGTAGCTAGCGCAACCTGGTCATCACCTAGAATGAAGTCCAAACCTATCATATTCTATGACCTTGCTGGAAGAGTAAACAAGTGTTACTCAAACAACACTTGGAAAAGTACAGCAAGACGCCAGCCCCTCTCTTTTATATCATATCGCAACAGATTCTAACTGGAAAACAGTACGTTTGGTGCTTAATTATAAAGCTGTCCCCTATGAGGTTGTGCACACTGAATATCCTGACATCAAAGATCTTCTTGTGTCCAAAGGCGTGAAACCTAATGTTATCGATGAATATACATGGTTTCCATTTACTCTTCCGGCAGTGACACTTCCTGATGGATCGACTGTTCAAAACTCACGCGCTATTGTGGACGAGCTCGAACGGCTATTTCCATCACCTTCTATGCGGCTTGACAATGGCTACACGGAGCGCGCTATACGCCTTGCCCACGACCTAATGATGGGGCTTGGGGCGGATAATTGCTACAGGCTATACAGCCGAACCTATAATCCGCGTACAACTACGCATTTTAATAATGTATATGCGCCCTTTTTTAAAGTTTCGTCGCTATCCGAGCTCGCCGATAGTCCCTTGGTTTGGGATGGTGCGTGGGCGAGCGCTCAAGACGCTCTGAAGAAGATAAAGGAGCTCCTGAGCGAAAATCCCGAGGGCCCATTCGTAGAGGGTACCACTTTCAGCTACGCGGATTGTCTGATCGGAGGAGTTTGGCAGTGGCTGAGGGTTCCGAATCCAGAAATGTTTCAAAGGGTCATGAGCTACGACGAATTATTCAGGAAGCACCAAGAGGCATTGGCACCATACCTCGAGCGCGATGGCTAAACACTGATGAAAGACTGTCGTGCTGGTACAATAATGAAACCCGACTCAAGCTTTGCTACATTTTGTCAGGAACGGGTGAGGTCGGTTTACTCAGACCCAGGCTCGGCCAAGTAAAAGGCCGCGACGGCAAGCCCATCGACAAGTGATGTACATGATAGACACGGCCGCTCACAAAAGCCGTAGCTCTGCAGTCTTGCCCCTCTGGCACTGGTGCACGCTTATATTTTGCCATACGCAGTAATACCACAGTCATATACTACAAGGGAGTTGTGTTCACTGAGCATGTTTCATTTTACTCCCATCCGCTGCGCGTTCGAAAACATACGTTTCTTCGATGTAATCACCAGGTGGAAACGCCAGCCATTGAGCAGCTCCCCACTCAGTTCGCTACCTTAGCCCCTCGTTACGCCGCGTGAGCCTATCTCGCGCTTGTAAATACTAATCCCATTCGCTGAGGAAACTGACGTTTTGGTCGAGGAACTCGCCCCTCAACTTGTTCATATCATAGATCACCTTACTCCAATCACCTAGAACGGCTTCGGAAAGTCGTACTTCTATCACACGATACATCTACATGTCTCTGATTTGCAAATTCCCGCTGCATATAAAAATTCGAATTACGAGTGATTGATTATTAATACTAATGTCCGGATATATCGACCAAACAAAGGGACCGGACATATTGACCCACAGTGATTTGTATGTATGATACAATGGAAACAAAACTTACAAATCCAATATTCAGGTACCTAGTTAATTGAAAAAAAAAACATGTCTTATACCTTTGAAACTAATCTGAAAAGTCTTGTGAAAGTTTTTAGTAGTTACTTGTAGTTAATGAGGTATGACTGATACCCACTGGCCCTGAGTTCTCAATTGACCTAGAGGAGATCATTTGTTATATAACGTTGCTGTTAAGACACGCGTTTTGGAAATGTTCCGTAATGCGTATTGTAAATGTTACATTGTAATACGGGCAATTTATCTCCAGAAAGGAGAGACCATAGACCTTTGAACTTTGACACAGAGCAAAAACGGACCGTGATGGAGGGTCAAAAAGCGGGAAGCTCCGTTTCAACGGATGAAGCGGCCGCTGTAGTACAGTCACCAGTACGAATGCAGCAGAAAATGCCAGGAACAGCAGCGTCTCTGGGGATTATAAATTAAGCTTGAGTGCTAGTGTTACAAGGGAAGGCTAATCGTACATGTTTGGAACAGTTACCTGCCAGGCCAAATTACTAACGTACTTACGAATTTATTTAGTAAGCGAAGCTATACGCATAATAAGCGCATTATATTAGTTTAAAGCAAAGATGTGAGAATAAATCAATATTAAGATAATTAGTAAGATAGTGTAATATCCTAACTTAATACTAGATAATATAGGGTAAGTTCCTAAGGTAATAAGCTAAGGTTAATTAGTTTATATTAGCAAAGAGAATAAGAAGTAGCTTTAAGTAAGTATAATTATAAAGTAAGTAAGATATAATAAAAATTTAGTTTATATTTAATTTTAATATTTTATTAATAACTATTTATTTAAGTTACTTAAAAAGTATAGAAAATTAAATTTTATATATTTAGTTATTTTATAAAAAGTATTATATTTTATTACTCCTTAAAGTATTTAAAGCGCTTATATAAGTTACTTTAATTATAAAAGCGTTAATATTTATTACTTTTATTTATAATTAGTTAATTAAGTAATAGTTATTTTAAATACTTTTTTTTTATATTTTTATTAAATTAGGTTATAATATAATACCCCTTTTTTTATTAATTTTATTTTTAAAACCCTATAGGGCTTTATACTTAATTTAGTTATAATACTTAATTTTTATAAAGTATATTTTTTTTTTTTTTATACTTTTATTATATTAAATTTATTTATAAAAGTTTATAAAAAATATAAGAATTTTTCTTTAATAAAGTATATATTAACTTTTAAAGTAGTTATAAATATATTATATACTTATTATTATTATTTTAAATTAACTTATATTATTTTTAAAACTTTTTTTTATTATAAAAATTATATAAAAGTAAAAAAATTATATAATAGTATTTTTATTATAAATACTTATAAATAGTCTTAGTTTTTCTCTTAATATAATAGTAATTAATTTTTCTTTAGTTAAAAAAGTAATAGCTTAAAAATATTCTTTAAAGTATAAGGAGGAAAAGGCTAAGAAGTATTTTAATTTATTAAATACCTAAATAATTAAATTATAATTTAAACTAGCTAAAGTAGCTAATTATTTATTATATATTTAAAAAATATATAAAAAAGCTAAAAAGTAAAATAAGAAGTTATTTTATTATAATATAAAAAAGGCTAATACTAAAGTAGTTATAAAGTAAGTAATAATATAAAACCTATAGCTATTAAGTATTTTTAATAATATAAATTAATTTTCTTTAAGTATTAGTTTAAAATATAAAAATTTAAGTTTTTTTATATTATTAAAAAAAACTTATATATTTTTTTTTTTTCTTAAGCTAAGGTTTTATTTATTAAGTAGTTAATATTAAGAGTTTTAAATATAATTTTAAAATATTTTAAAAGTCTTAGATTAGTTTTATTATATTAAAGCTTTTAATAAGTTCTTAAGTATTATAAATTAAGTTATACTTTTTTTATTTAACTTAGTATTTAATTTTATTATTTTTTTTTAGATTTCTTTATATTATTAAAACTTTTTTAACTTTTTATTTTTTCTTATTTTTAATAATAATAATTTTATCTAAAATAAGTTTTCCTATTACTTTATTATTTTATACTTTTTTTAAAAATAATATATAAAATATAAAGTATTTTAGTTATATACTTTTTAATATTTTTAATTTATAATTAATATTACTAATTTTCTTTAAGATTTTAAATAAATTTATTTTTCTAAAGTTAAGTTTATTATTTAATTAATTTATTTTAATATTTAGTATTTTATAGCCTTATATATATTAAAGTAAATAAATTATATCCCTTTCCTAAAGGTTTAATTCCTTAATTTTATTTTTATTTATATAATATTTTATATATTTTTAAATAAGTTTAAGCTATACTTTTAATTTTTTATATAAGTTAATTATTAATTTTACTTAAAATTATACTTTATTAATATTAAGTTTTTTTTAAAATAGTTTATATATTAAAGAAATATATTTATATAAAGTATAAAATAATATTAACTTAGTAAATTTAAATCTTATATTATTATAATATAATTAAGTAAAAAGTAGTTTATTAACTTAGTTATTTTATTATAAATTAATAAAATATTTAAAGTATTATTTTATAATTTAATTTATTTATTTTATTTAATTATTTATTTTAGGATAATATATATTACTAAGTTTATAATTTACTTTAAGTTTTATTATAAATTCTTATTAAAACTTAAAAGTAAAAGTCTATTTTTTATTTAAAATAATTTCTTAAGGTAAGTTATAATTAATTATTATTATTCTTATATATATATATACTAAATTTTCTACTAAGTATAATTTATAATAAAGTAAAAAGTAAGCTTATTTTATAAATTTATTTACTATTACTAAAATACTATTATAAATTACCTTAGTAAAAGTTTTTTTAAAAAGTAGTAAATTTATAATATAATTAAAAATAATTATTTCCTATAGTAGTTTAAGTATTAATAAAAGTTATAATTTTTTATAAAATTTATATTATTTATATTTAATATATTAGTATTTATTATAAGTTAATATAATATTAATAGTAATTTTTTTTATTTTTTAAATTAATATATTATAAATATTTATTAATATATAATTATAATTTCTTAATATTTAAATAAAGGGTATTTATAAATATATTTTATAACTTTTTTTTATAAGTTAAAAAGTATTTAGTATTTATTTTTATTTATAAAATATTTATTTTATACTATAACTTAAAATAAAAATTAATATAACTCTTAATTTTTAATATACTTTTTAATTTTTTTAAAAAATTTATTATATTTTTTTACTTTAAAAATTAAATTAAAGGATTTTTATTTATAATTACTTTATATATTTTAATATAATATAATATTTTAGTAATTAAAAATTTCCTAAAAATAATTTATTTTTTTACTAAGTATATTAATTTTTTTATTTTTTAATTTTTTATAATATATAAGTTTATAATTAAACTTACTTAGGAATTTAAAGTATTTTAATTATTATTTAAATAGTTTTTAAGTAAATATAAAGTAAATAATATTTTAATAATTAATAAAAATCTTAATTTAAAATTTACTTTTTTTATAATATTAACTTTATTACTTTAAGTAGTTTTTAATTTTTAAGAATTTTTTATTATAAACCATATAATTAAGCTTAGCTTTATTAAGTTTTTATAAGTAAAATATAATAAAGTAAAATTTTTTTTTATTATTTTATTAATTTAATACTTTTTTAATTATAAATTTAAATATATTAATTTTAATTTTTATTAATTTTTTAAAGTTATATATAACTAAAATAAGTTCTAAAGTAATAACTTACTTAATTACTTAAAATACTTATTTAGCTTTTTTTATTTATTTAAATTTCTAATTTTTTTTTATTATATTAGTTAAGGGTTAAGTAAAAACTAAAAAATTTTAAATAAAGTATTAATAATAATTAATTAATTTATAAAAACTTTATATTTTTTAACTAATATTAATATTAGTTATTTATTAATTATAATAACTTTTTTTAAGTTTATTTATATAAATTTAAGAATAATAATATATTTTAGGAATTTTATTTCTTAAGTATAAAATTAATATTTCTTAAGGTTTATAAAAAAATAATTATTTTATAATACTTAAAGTATTAAATATATATACTCCTTATATTTTTTTTTAATTTTAAAATATATTAAAATATTATTTAAGTAAATAATAATAAATTTATTTTAATATTTTTAAAAAATATAATTAATTCTTTTTTAAAAAAATATAAATATATTAATTAATCCTTAAGATTATAGGCTGTAAACTCGTCTC